ATAAAGTATAGTTTTAAGTAGAATTAATAATTAACTTACATAAAGAATTAAAAGTACAGCTAGAACTTATTTAAAAATATATAAAATACTATATAAATAAAAATAAGATTAAAGGACTAACTCTTTAAAAAGGGGATATAGTCTACTTACTTTAATATATATAAAGCTATAAAATACTAAATATTAAAATAAACTAACTAAATAATAAGCTTAATTTTAAAAAAATTAGTTTATTTAAAATTTTAAAGAAAATCGGTAATATTAATTATAAATTAAAAATATTAAAAGGTATATAACTAAAATACCTTATATTTTATATATTACTTTTAGAAAAAGTATAAATTAATAAAGTAATAGGAAGATTAATTTTAGATAAAATTATTATTATTAAAAATAAAAAAAAATAGGAAGTTAAAAAAGTCTTAGTAGTATAAAGAAACCTAGAAGAAAATAATAGAATTAAATACTAAGTTAGATAGAAAGGGTATAATTTAATTTATAATACTTAGGAACCTATTAAAAGCTTTAATATAATAGAACTAATCTAAGACTTTTAAAAAAACTTAGGGTTATACTTAAAACTCCTAATACCAGTAACCTAATAAATAAAAAAATAGCCTAAGAAAAAGACATTGGAAATTCCTCCTATAATATAGGAATACCTAAGCCCTTATACCCTAAATCAGAGATTTAGGAAGAAGAAGGATTAACAGCAACTTCGGAAGGATCTAGGAAGGCATTACTAAAAACTGTACTCTAATCAATAACGTCCACTAGCACCGCTGCTTTCCAATTCCTCATTAACTTCTTCTCAATAGATAATTATTACTTAGCAATACTACAAGGTATTTTATAAATATAAAAGGATCTACTCCTAAAAAAAGAAAAGGACAGCCTAACTTATATATATAGCCTTAAGGATAAGATTAATAAAAAGAAGGTATTATATTATAACCTAATTTAAAATATATACCTTTTAGAAATACTATAGAAAAAACAGCTAATTATAAAAGAGTTTTATAAGCTTACTTAAATACGTATACTATAATACGTAAGCCTTAATACTAAAGTTATAGGCTTACTAAGTATAATAGAACTTTTTAAAGTAAGCTACTAAGAATAACTAAATATATAAAATTTAATTTTTTACGCTTTTTAAATAACTTAGATAAATAGTTATTAATAAAGTATTAAGATTAAATATAAACTAAATCTTTATTATATTTTACTTACTTTATAATTACATTTGCTTAAAGCTACTTCCTATCCTTTCTGCTAACATAAACTAATTAACCTTAGCTTATTACCTTAGGAACTTACCTTATACTATTTAAGTATTAGGTCGGGATGTCACAATAACCTTTTATTTATATAGCCGTAAGCATTTCTGACAAAGAATAATTAATTTTTACGCTATTAGACATTAGTTCATCATGATATCAAATGATGGTATTGAGTTTGGGATGATACCTTGAAAATTTTGCCGCGTCATTTATAGACAATCAGTGTGAAACAGATCTTTAATTGAATTTTGTGGCATTCGTTCTGTGTAAAAAGCCATCAGACAGGGATTCTGTCAATATGTGATAATATAGTCTATCGGTCTCTTGGTCAAATAGTGTGCGTCAGCAGCTTGATATTCTCGGAACATATGATCCGCTGCTTGCTACTCATTAACTGACGTACAGATGAACAACATGAGTACCAAGGTACATATTCTTTATGCTCGCTCACTTGGCCACCCAATAAGATCTTTCTCTTGCATAGTTAAAATCGAAAAGAGGGGTCCCGGTCAATCGCCACATGGAGCTAGCATTATCTGATAAATAACTATACTTCTATTTTCTCGAGTGTTGCAGCTAAGCCTGATCAAACTTTACTAAGTCACCACCGCAGTGGCAGCGGCCACCGCAAACGTCATTGATAATTGATTAAATAGAAAAGCCAATTCGATCCTGTCTGTTTTTATAACTGTCACAATGATGAACCTATTGAGTTGAGATTTGAAAGCGTCAAAATATTGTTAAAAAGACTTAATATTTCCGATCACTGCAAATAATGAACTCAAACAACACTATTAAGAACAAACAAATCGTCATGGACAAAGCGGCTACAGCTAGCCATGCTCTTGCCCAAGAGAGTGATGCCAATATAGACCCTCAAATCAAAGATAGAGACCGCCATATTGAACACAATACTCTCCAGTCCGCAACTTCTGGTTGGCATAGCGAAACCACTACCGCTGTACAATCATATGCCAGTATACGAAACGGAGACCTTTGGACTTTGATAAGGCGTTTTAATAAGCAGATCTTCCATGTTAAGAGAATCTATAAGCCGCCGCTGTCAAATCTTGATATGAATATTGCAGCTGGTGAAGACATCACAGGAGAGAAAGTGTAAGCACATGCTGAGCGATTCTACATGACTGTCGTCATAAGCTTAGTCGCGCTCTATAAACATATAGTTCTCCTGCGATCGTGGCGAGACAAAAGAACGTTATATTTTTGTACCACTTATTCAATCGCCTGGCTTGTTGATCTGCTTGCCCCTACTTTCATTCTTTTTCTCATAGTGTTAATCATTTGTCCACCCGTCAGAGATATTTGCTTCCCACCAGCACCGGCATCACTTATTAGTTCTCGCACCGGAGCTGTAAAAAAACCAATGGCTGGGGTACTAGCCTCTGAATCTGTTACGGGAGCTCCAGAAGAAAATAGTGGCGAAGCGATCGAACAAGAGGCCCATAGCTTTATCTACAGCATTAGTACGGTGGGTTTCATTTCCGCTCCTGCGTCTATTGATATACCATGAATCAAAAACTGATGTTCCTGGTTGCAGCTTTTAATGAACATTTCTTCGGGCGAGTTCTCCCAAGAAGAACAAGATTCTGTTGGGCCAGAACACATGGTTCAGGATGTCTCAGATGTTTTGAATGAGACGGGAGACCAGAGTAAAAATAAAAAAAACCATGATAGGACAAAAGAGCCCGTTGCACGCGCTGTGCAAAGCTTTCACACACGCTCCGCGTTGCACACATTCCCCGAGCTCATCGACACTTGTGAACGACTCGGCAATGCATTGAGCCCAACCTCACCTTTTCCTACTCATCGTCCAAGACTGATCATGGCTACTTGTTTGCTACCACTACTTATGACATCATTTTTTGGTTCGTGCTATGGCATGATGAAAGTTTTGGGATTGTTTACGGGAGCTATATTCTTTGGCAAGCCTATTATCGAACGCGGCGTTTCCATCATTGATTATAGGTACCCTGATTGGCGTCAGCATATAGAGATGCGGAATTCAATCCTTAAAGGAGTACCCACGAATGTTCAGATCGCCATTACTCTCCTCCGTACTGGAGAAACCCTTAACATGCCTCAGCCTCCGCCACCCTCATCCCATGGACCACCTAATGTACAGCTGAACGCCGATGATTACGATCTGGCCCATCTTGGTACGTCAAAGAATCTCATCAGCTATCGTCTGATTGTGGGCTGACCTAAGTCTTAACAGGTGCTTCTAAAGAGGATACGATGATAGCTATCGACCCAGTGTCAGATAAGGAATACTCCAAACAGACATACGCAAGGCAGGAAAAGGGCGAACCCAGCACCACGCGCCGCATTGCTAATTGTATCAAGCGAACTACCAAGGATGGTATACAGGCAATGAACAAGATCGCCAAGGCTGCGGAACCATCAAACTCGGAGCATCTTCCAGGCGAACAAAGTGCCCTTAAATCGTCAGAAACCCATGCTGGCCCTACTCGTTTTTCTGCCTGTCACAAAGGCAAGAAAGGGTACGTATATATTACTACCACAGCTACAACACCGGCTATCAGTTGGATAAGCGAGAATGAGGACTTGGACACAACGTGGACTATAGCAATCGCGGATGTTAGAGAGGTTAGGAAAGTGAGCGACGTTGGTAGCTTAGGTGGCAAAAAGAGAGCTCTAACGGACTGGGCCCTGGAGAGAGAGACAACGGGGGGGTTGGTGCTAAAGACAGAACCAGACGGTGAGTTTTGTTTAACTTCTGTCACCTTGAGAGACGCGGTCTTCAATCGAATCATTTCTGTAGGTAGTCAGATGTGGGAGATTTGGTAGGGACCTTTAGATAAGGAAATCTCGGTTTTATAATATACATATTTGAGATTTGGTAAAAGTAAGGGGTTACTAAGAATATAATGAAGGGTTAGGGAAGGAGTTGGGTTTAAGATACTTTTTCACAAGGCAACAAAAACATACCCCTGATTAATATTTACGTATTCCAGCTACATACTAATATTTAAAATAATATAAGTAAAATTATACTTTGAAAAAAGCTCAGTTCAGTAGCAGTGCAATAATACATTACTACATTGATAAAAGTTCATAATTCAGGTTGCTCAAAGACTGTAATATAGTTGGCTAGCCATTAGCTTCCTTATGGAAATGGCTAAACTGAAGAGTGTTGTGCTGGCTGTGGTTGGTCCCCATTGGGATGGTCTGTTTCCTCCCGGTTGGGATTTACTTCTTCATAACGAGACCACTTGATAAAACGGTAGAAACCTGCAGCCACCACAGCGCCCATAAACGGACCAAGCCAGTAGATCCACTCATAACCAGGGAAACTAGGCGTTGCGACGGCACACCCGAAACTGCGAACCGGATTGAGTGATGCGCCGGTGTAAGAAGTCCCTGATAGGTAATGTGTCAGCATAGAGACGATGCGGAAACATCCAATGCTTCTCAGTAGGTCTCTTACCAGCTAGCATGGCGACGAACAGCGCCAATCCGATACCGATGGGTGCGATAAAAGTGTCTTTAGAACGCTCGGCAGCTAGCATCAATACAACAAATACAAGGAAGGCTGTAAAGAACATCTCGATAAAAAGACCTCGTACGATCGATGTGTCGCTTGAGAGAACACTGTTGGCCACGGCAAGGTCACCTGGGAACATGCAGCGTGCCAGACCGCCTGCACACATACTGGCGATGATTTGTGCTGGCACTAAGAAGGCGGCTCGCACCCAAGGCAGCGTCCCTGCCAAACACATGCCGAGCGTTACCTATCAAGTCGACGACCAGTTACCCCATTTTCCGTATTATAGCATACCTTGAGCACGGAGATTTTCGGGTGCTTAGGCGCTGCAGGGAGAGACAGAGACATACTGCAGGATTGAACAGACCACCACTTATACGGTAAAACGCCCAGACATTGACAAGTAGGGAGAAGCTGTAGACATGTGCAATGAAGAAGACAGTTGTATCGCTTATTCCCCCAGATAGTGGTGACAAGGTAGCTTGCTTCACGTATTGCATGCTGCCAGCGTAAGCAAACCACAGGAAAAAGAAGGTCCCAACAAACTCCCCAGCCGATGCAATGAGGTGCTTCTGTATCGTGCTGGGATGAAAGCCATCACGGCTGCGGCCATTGTCGCCAGACCCTGAGTGCTGCTTGAAAATCCCTGAAGAGGCCATTCTGTTCTTTCGCTTGCAGGTAGTGATATGCTGACAGCCAAGGGAAATATGTGATGGCGACCGTAGATGAGAGGTTCCATTGAAGTTCTGACGGGGTGACCAAATGAGCGGGCACTCCTTAAGCACCTTAGAGAGCTGGAGAGGCACGTGGTACTCACATTTGGCATTTGTACGTCACTCAAGGAAAAGTGAGCGGCGGATGATATGTTCCGATAATATCAAGCCGTTGTGACAAGCTATTTCAATATAGGGGTGTCGTCATACAGTTTCGGTAAACCTTTCTCATGAGTTTTGCCGCAGAGACTATGTGACCCAAGGAGCTCTGTTTCACGCTGAATATCTGTATGTATTCAAATTGGAAATATGGTGCGCTTAAATCTCAAGGCGTCATACCAAACCTTAATACTATCACTTGATGTCATGTTGGAGTAATGTCCAATAGAAGAACGCCATAGTGGCTTTCTGCAGCTCCTTGTAGTATTTGGACGGTTTTATTATTATACAACCGTGACTTCTCCATTATTATAATGTTTTGCATAGCTAATGTTATTTATAAATTATCGCAGTTTGGGCACAAATTGGTTTTTACATTATGAGGGCCAAATCATGGCTGGAGGCCAGCTTTGTGAGGCTAGCGTTAAAACGATACGTGGGATTGAGTTTGAAGCGAGTAGAAGTTCAAGCACTTACACAAGAAAGTTGTCGACTGATTCCAGCTATACCGTGACCAATCACAGTCGATGTCCACGTAAGGAGAAGTTGGAATCCCCATCCAAAGGACTGTCCATAAAACTTCTGCTGAGCTGTAAGGACATCGGTTGAATAAGCCGCCCCGATATCAAACCCAGCATTTGCCATTACGGTGACTATGGCGTGCTCTTTCATATTAAAGAGCCCGGGATTGAGAGACCAGCGGACTCCGAATGTCGTGAATATTCGCTGGGGCATTGTAAGGGACCACAGGCGGCCGATGGGGTAAGCGAGAAACTGCGCGACGATAGTAGAAATCGATATTGCAGGAGACCGCAGGTAAAAGAGCATGTTCATTCCGCCACATATGGTGACAAGAAATAGACCAATCGCCCACGCACGAATGGTGTTCGCTGGCATCTCCTCATCGTAATTGCGGACAGCTGCCTGGACTGCTAGGAATGGAGACTCATCGACGCCAATCTTTTCAGATAATGGCACATCGTTGCCGGGCTCACCATTCGAGTGTTCAATATCCTCGACCTTAGCTTTGTGAATATAAGGATCTCCTACATTTTTTCCAAGATTGACAATAGTATCGTGCGATTCCTCTTCAAGGTCGGCCTTAGACTCAATCTCATTTATCTGGGGGACGTCGCTAATCGTAGCCCCGGCGACAGGAGTTATTTAATGAGCGGAGGGTGCCATGGCAAAAGTGGAAACGAATGCACCAGTTGAATAGCCAGCATATTCGAGAGCAAGCGATGCATATCTAAGTGATTTATTTTATACATGAACGAACGGTGATTTCGATATGTTGTTGTTGAGTTTGATCCCGGGTATTCCTAGCACGTTGCTCATTCGCTAGAATATCCTAGCGTGAATGTAATCCCGCGATCCAGGAAACTGAGTCAATGCTAGTCGTGCTAGCGCTCATGGGAGTTCCACTGTCCATTGGCATTTCTCCTCATCTTTTCCCCAATACGAAATGTGAATTCCATTTTTCTATCAAAATCTCTGAAGCAGTAAGGGTATGAATGGCTCTTACGTATACCTTGCCACACGGCTCAAGACAATATTGCGATTATGTCACAACCTAGCAAAAAGAGGTCCAAGAATGGTGAGCATTTACGCTAATTCGAAGACGGCAGGCATACGGCTAACACATGCATATTGGCTAGGATGCTGCGCCTGTAGAGAGAGACGAATTAAATGTGATGAAGTATTACCAGCGTGTGGGCGGTGTGCACGCCTAAGCTTGAATTGTTGTAAACCGGAACCATCAATCCCCCTTAGGCTCCGGAGACGCGGTTATGGCTCTATCAAATCGCGAAACACCTGGGAGCCTCCGAACATTTTGCCGAATGTACAGCAGCAGAGTCCAAGTTCGCCTCTCAGTTCTCCAGCTCTTGAAGGAGACGGTGTCCCACCGTCAGATGCCGGCTCGTCAATGAGCCATGAGTGTCAAGGCTTCTCTACAGCCAGCCGCGGCGGCGCTTCAGTCTCCCTGGTTACACCTGTGGTGACTGAGGATGCGTTATCTACCACACCAAGACCTCTATCCGGGGAAGCAATCACTGAGCCGCAGCAAGAGGCATATATGTTACTATCGCCTTCATCTGCTCAGTCCCATGTGCTACTTGATAACACTTTCGACATGATCCTTCCCGACAACGGCATGGAGGAGACATCTTGGCTTGGCGACAGTGATTTATGGGAACCGACTCTCCCTCCATTCCCTACCGTCACTACAGGAACACCGAATATCCCTTCACAATCTCAGTGGATTGGAAGTATCAGCGCTTTAACCACTCCTGCACTTCAAGCAGACATGATTGCCGCACACTCGAATTCATCTACTTGGCCACATTCCATACAAGTATCCTCCGACCTACGTCAGCTCTCTTCGCCCAGATTATCTCTGCATTTTGACCTACCAGATGCCCTCAACCTCGACAAATACGAGAAGAGAGCGTTAGAATACTACCAGGGTCAATACACAGACTTACGTCGCGTAAAAGGATTCTCCTGGTCGGCTTATTCCATATTTCTTACTATTGCTTTGAAGGAAGACGTGGTCCTTCGCTTGATGTTGGCTGTCTCACTACAAGGCATGTCCCATCACAGTCACGACGAAGGCATTTCGCTATCAAGTAAAGCGAACCTCAACAAGGGGCTGAAACTCCTACACCGAATCCTTCTACAGGAGCATCCTGACCACCTTGTTGTGATGGTCTCATTCTGGCTGCTCATACTATGCACAATGGATAACGCTGCCTCTTCAACAGGACTGCAGAGGCGAGATCTGAGTGCAAAGATCCACAATTATGTTATCACGCATCGCCTCTACAATCGATGCGGTTCTGCTGCCGAAGATGATGCTGTGAAATCGAATAAAATCTTACATAATGAGACAGCCTTTCATAGTCTCATCTACAAACTTCTTGGAATGCTCATCTATGCCGATGTGCAACTAAATTTCGTCTCACATGGGGGTAAACTCTCTGATCTTCTTCTCGAGGGAGACTGTATGCGGCGCATACGACAAATATCTCGAAACTACCTATATCTCAACCACGGCAACAGATATCCGTCTTCAGAGCTCACTTACGATATAGAAAGTGTCGAGTGCTATGACGTATATCATGAGTAGCACAGGTTGTACCACCTGCTTAATCAACTGTTCTGGTTTGGGATGGGTAATCATCAAAGCATCCAAGGGGAGATTGGCACACTGGAAATAGTAAGTTCTGCTTCGACAAATGAGTAGAGTATTATTTTTTGGGAGCTAAATACTGATTTTTTCGTCTCTCTTTGGGAGAGGTATAGAAATATAGCTCTTTTTTCCGCATAGCCCATCGTGACACAATCGACGGGAAGTATCCGCGCATCCATTTCCAGATTGATGCCGCGGTATGCGAGTTTTATGCTATTCGTTTGTATCACTTCCGCTGCCAGGAAGTGCCGTCGCCTGATGTTCGTATTCAAGATTCTGTTTCCTCATTCCTGCAGATTGCACATCGACTCCAGCGTATGAAGGCCCGCTACAGCTGGTTTGACCGATCTCTTTTCCTCGTTGGTATTGAAACGCGTGATGCCATCCACAGGGATTGGATACAGGGACGGATGATTCGGGCTGACTTGATCAGAGCCTTGTCCAGGGTATGGGAGGGCGAGAAGATGTATGGGCGGCGACTTAGCAAGGAGTACATGCAGGTTATCCTGCGAGGAGAAGGGGTGCTATACGATTCCGCCATAGAAGTATCGGTTTGGCAGTAATTTTGGTCTAGGTTACTGCTGAATGTTAAACATGTCCGTCGATTGGTGATACGGATTATTTGCTGGCCTTCCACTCTTCTTCCACTACAGTTCAATTTTAAGTTCAATTGGCCAGATTATCCATGATTGTGTTCAAATAAGTGGCTGTCTCCTGGGCGTACGGGTTTGATCAAGTGGGACATTGTTGTTCAACTTGTCTCTTGTGGAACAATGCGATTGGCCAAAATATCCGCACTCATATCTCCTCTACTACATAAAAGAGGTAGCTTGGGAAATTACACCAGCTGTATCCTTATACATCGCTACCCTTCAAAATAACATTAAATCCGAAGACCTAAGGCATTCTTTACGTTCGCTTCCTATCACAAGTTACTCACAAGATGACTTTACGGGCGCTGGAGAATGGTGAGAGAGGCAAAAATAGTTGTGGTATTCGAAATCATGACTATCCGCTTGCTGAGGTGCCCGATATTGCGGATTCGCAAGTTTGGAAGCAAGTTGAGGAGTTCTTCACCAAAGTTCATGCCCCGTCATTTGGCCAGCTGAGCAACGCTGAGGACTTGGCTGTATCACCTGACGGCACAAGCCTCGCATTTACTGGGCACATCTGGAGCTCGCTGAAGGACGGTCCCAAAACACATGCTTACATTGTTGACCTTCCCACTGGATCAATCATGTCAGCAGATCCTGTGCCTGTGGCTGCTTCTCATGGCCCGCATAACAATAAGAAACCCAAGTGGTCTCCCGACGGGAAGACGCTGGCCTTCCTATCGGACAGAATTCGAGCGGGGCAATATCAATTGTTCTACTTGCGATCCGATAGAATTGGAGAAGCGCAGCCCTTGATTTCGGAACCTCTCCAAGGCATCATCGAAGATTTTTCTTGGTCGCATGATGGTAGCGCAATACTTCTAGGCCTCGCGGCGTTCGGTCTGCCCAAATCTGGCTTCGAGGGTTCTGGAACGCTCGTTGACCTGGATGTCTCTCGATCACAGTGGACCCCGATTGTGAAAACAGACCATACTGCGATGGACGTCCGCAGTCTTTGGCTCCATGATGTACGAAGCCACCAGACGCGCCGGATTAGCCTCCCCGGAATAAACATTTGGCGGTTCGCCTGGTGCGGTCCGCAGGATGCGGTTGCGATTGTCAGCGATCGGCCTGGCGAAGGAGCGTACAAGGAATCTTCTCTTGTCAAAATATCACTCTCGGATTGCATAGAACATGTTATGGTTGATGCAGGGGAATACTTTTTGGCGCAGCCAACTGCTTCACCTTCGGGTTCGAAAGTTGCTTTTGTTGAATCTGTCGGCGGGGACCGCACCAAGCTCGCTGGCTGTATCGTCTGCGTCGACAGCAAGACAAATAAGCAGACGCGAATCGCCTCCAATGTCGACATTTCAAGTCTTGAGTGGGTCAATGAGGAGACTTTATTTAGTATGGGCTTGAGAGACCTCACATCGGTGGCTCTTGAGGTTAACGTGCTCACCCATGAGGTACGTGAACTGTGGTCGACAGGCAATGCTTGTGGCCCTTCTTACCCTCAGCCAGCTGGCCTCCCTGGCGGAGGATTCGCTGTAGTCAGACAGGGCTGGGAGCTACAGCCGGAAATTGGATTGGTTAGCGAGGCCGGCGCATATACCCAAATACTCTCTTTCGAAGACGATGGTGGACGCTGGCTTCGGCCCCAGCTGGGCCAGAGCCACGCAGTCTCTTGGGAGTCTACAGACGGCTTAGAAATCCAGGGGTTTCTATACCTCCCTCCCAAAGGACAGAAACCATACCCTCTGATTCTCAATGTTCATGGAGGTCCCATGAGCGCCTTTGTTGATCAGTGGATGGGATATCGAACTTGGGTAGCCTTTTTAGTAGCTCAAGGATATGCGGTCCTCAACGCGAATCCTCGAGGATCCCTTGGACGAGGTCGAGAGTTTACACAAGGCGTAGTAGGGGACGTGGGGGGTGGTGATGCGACCGATCTTCTGAGAGGGCTTGATCATCTTGTCAATTCTGGTGTTGCAGATGCATCCAGATTGGGTGTCATTGGGGGTAGCTACGGTGGCTTTCAGTCAACTTGGCTGACCACTTTGACTAACAGGTTTGCCGCCGCAATTCCTATTTCTCCTGTTAACGACTGGAACTTGCAGTGGTTGTCCAGTGACCTTCGCCAGCGGACTCTCGACAATCGTCCTTACGATATAGAGAGTCTGTATTTTCGTCGAAGCCCGCTGAGATATGTCCACCGTTGCAGGACGCCAACCCTGCAACTGGTGGGGAAAGTAGACCAGTGCACTCCACCTGCCCAGGCACATTACTATCATACTGCGCTTCAGGATCATGGAGTCAAATCGTGTATTGTGGAATATCCGAAAGAGGGTCATGGAATTCGCCAATTTCCCGCTTTAATAGATGCTTGTTGCAGAATGGTTAGCTGGTTTGACTATTTTATGCCAGTAGATAAACAACTTCAGTAATACAGTTCATTCTCTATTTAATTATATTATACTTAATGTAAAATAATACGCCAGTGTTACATATTGAGAACGTTTAAAACAAACAAGACCCGCGATATATTACCTTTAAGCACTACAGCAAGTTTCTTATAACAAACAATGTACAACATTTCAGCAGAGACTCAATTGGTATATACATGTACGCCCATATTCCCCTTACTATAAAGGTCATAATGGCCTTTGATATCCTCTAAAAGCCTTTAGCGCAAATTCCGCTTGCTACAAAATAATTTTCAGGTACGCGCGCAACGGCTGGTTGACAGGGAGCTACGCCAACATTCATAGTTTATACATTATAGTAGCGAGGCTATAAATCCAGTAGGCTTATCTGCAGATGAGAAATAACAACCCTGTCAAATAACACAGCCCATCTTGCTCTGCTAGATTGTTATTGTATGACTTCGCCGAAAGATGTTTTTGTACTGATGACGTAATGCATATAAAATGCAGGAATCACTAATAATGAGCACGCAATCCGTTTCGCATATATTCCACTTTTGTTCTCTAACACACCACTCGATTTCTTGCCATCCATTGAAGCCCAAGGTTTACCGTCCAATACCTCACAATTTATTGCTTGCGACAATTTTGGGCTGAGCCAAAAAGAGACCCGGTGAATATATCTCAATGGTAGTTGATAGATCATGGCCCCTACTGCAAATAGAACCCTCGACGGCCACAAGCTACTAGTGCTCCTCGGAGTAACAGGACCGCCAAAGTCGCTACTTGGCACGGTATTCCGACTCGAGTGGATAGCAGAGCTTAAAGATCTGTTTCCTGGCCTGGAAATTGTCACTGTCAGAGACGTAGCATGGAATACGCCATCATTCCAGAAGAAATTCCCGGATGAAGAGTGGAAGGATGTCACTATCCTCGTCACCGGGAGTGCATTGCCAACAGCGGACATTGCTCCAAAGCTGGAGTATGTGCAACTTCAGAGTGCTGGTGCGAACCATGTTCTCGATCATCCTCTGATACGAGAAACAAATGTCGCTCTCTGTACAGCTAGTGGTGTGCATGGGTGCGGAATCCCAAGAATTAATTGAACGAATCTGATATGCTGACTCGTCGTCAAGGCCACAGATAGCTGAGTGGGTAGTAACAACATTTTTAGCCTTCCAACATCAAAGTCAAAAGCATAACAACTCCACAAACTGGGAATAATGTCTAACTTGACTTCGTAGTTACTCGATACGTTGATATCCAGCGCCAAAGCCGGTGGCAGAAGTTGGCAGAGCCCGTGAATGACGCGGTTCAACAGCGAGTGTAGGCTGAATCTGATCACCTAAGTGACAACATGAGGAACAATGAGTCTAATAAATTCTCAGTGGCATTCTTGGGTACGGCGCCGTCGGTCGCCAGGTAGCTCGAGTCTTGAAAGCATTAGGCATGGATGTCTACGCGTGTACTTTACACCCGCGTCTCTCGCCTGAGTCGCGCAGAGATGAGACTTATACGCCAGCAGGCCTCGGTGACCCTGAAGGCATCTTGCCTAGCAAATGGTTCTCGGCTGAGAATACCGAAGGCTTACATGGGTTTCTGAGCTCCGGCCTCGATCTACTTGTCATTACTCTTCCATTGACACGGAACACGCGGGGTCTCATCTCACGAAGCGAATTAGCTTTGCTTGCTAAACAGAAGACATTTGTTTCAAATGTCGGCCGGGGAGAGATCATCAAAACAGATGACTTGATTGACGCGCTTGAAGACGGCGTAATCCGCGGAGCTGCACTTGATGTGACAGATCCTGAACCATTACCAGATGGCCACCGTTTGTGGAGCACGAAGAATCTGTTCATTTCACCGCACGTCAGTGGAGATTCTAGTGCTTACGCCCAAAGGGTATATGAGGTCCTCAAGTATAACCTCGTTCGGCTCAGTGAAGGAAGAGAGCTCACGAACAAAGTGAACAGAAATGAAGGATATTAAAGAGCTCTATGCGATACATGCCGGGTCCATCACTTCCTTATGTATATATCGGACATTGGCTTTTTCTATGGCCGACGCTATGCTGTTCACTATTGAAAACAAAGCGTACTTCAATCAGCTGGCGCAGCCTTTTTAAAAGGCCGATTCCTAGGCTACCTATCCCGATAACTGAGGGCTTGATAATAACTAAGCTCTTTCGCAAACTCTTTCGAGAAACATACTACGGTAAAACTAACTACTGTACTCTGGTTGGGAAGATTGTTGGGGCAAGCTGCAAGACGGGAGCCATAGACTACGGAGGCGGATCGATTGCAAAATAGGAAAATGATAGCCTGCGCCGTTCATGAGTAAACAATAAAAGCTCTACTGAACAGTAGTTTCAGGAGTGAGGCTTCAACTAATAGCATTATATTACGCCATTGGCAGAAGCTGCTGCACAGGACGGACTCGTTCAATAATAGCCTTACTAAAATAGCTCAGGTGGAGGTTGATCGTTTCGGGTATGTTGATTTTGCCGTTTCAGTAAGCAGGCAGAATACTGGTGCGAGATTGAGATCGTTTGCGTGCTTGAACCAAAGAGTGGTGTGATAGACCCTAACCCATGATCTACAGGTGAAGATGGAATCTTTTTGATTTGTCCGTTATCGGCGAGAAGATGTGGATATACGTCTACTCGCAGATGTAACATACCGACACCACGATAAATCGAGAATGACAGTTTGGTTGTGGCCCAAGTCTTACTGCTGGTCCTACTGCAAAAGACAAACACTAGCCAATTGAGAACAACATTGCTTTCATGATGGCGGCAGCTAGCATTGCGAGACCTCTACACATATCAGGTAAGCCACTGGATGAACCAATTGGATCGGCGTCGCAGGAAAAGCCAATTGCCTTTGATCCGCTCCAGCATCTATGCTACAATCGACCTTCTTCAACAATCAGCCTTCATGACCTTGGCCTCGATTTCCCGGAAGCCAGCTCACAAACGGCCATCACTGCACCATTCCCACTCCTGACTCCCTCTGGTGTTCGTGAGCTTCGTGCCGACATCTTTCGCCCCGACATTGTCGGCAAATATGGCTCGTGGAAATATCCTGGCGTCTATCGCATCCGCGGATATGGGCCAGCCGCACCGTTCGCCTACTCCATGTGGCGAAGTCCCGAGATGCTGAAAGCTTGTTCTGACGCGGCTGGCGTGGACTTGGACATTATCATGGACTATGAAATTGGGCAGCTTAACGTTCAACTGCCAAAACATGTCGACAAGAATGGTGCAATCACAGACAATCTACCTCCACCAGAGCCGCCAAAAGCGAGCAGCGACGATGTTGAGCCAGATGAAGACGGTGCGGATCTCAAAGACCTTGTTTCAGCATGGCATCGCGACTCGTATCCGTGGGTATGCGTGCTAATGCTCTCTGATCCGGTCGGCATGTCGGGCGGCGAGACAGCCTTGCGCAAAGGCGATGGAGGCATCCTAAAGATGAGGCAGCCAGGCATGGGATATGCTGTCATGATGCAGGGGAGCATGGTCAAGCACGCTGCACTGCGGACACTCGGCAGCGGCGAGCGCATCACCTTTGTCGTCTCGATGCGCCCACGGGATCCGATGCTGCAAGACACCAGCACGTTGCGCACCGTCAAGCCGATCAGCAATAACGACGAGCTTTTCCGACAGTGGGCGGACTATCGGCTCAATGTTGTGGCTCAGCGTCTGGCTAAGATGCGTGATACCTTGCAGGCCGAGGGAAGGCCAGCTGCTGAGACGCACCGGCTAACGAAGGAATGGGTTCAACAGCAGCTTGAGTATCTACAGACAACAGTGGATGAGATGGATCTAAATGATTATATAGCCCCGAATTTTAAATAGCATTCATAGGAGTATCACGATGCGAGGCAAAGCTTCATAGTTACGGCAAGTTTGTGCTGGACATGGGTAATGTGATGTAGTTTCTATTCGGGTTGTTTTTATGTATATGGCACTTTGCTTTAGGCATATCTCAATCGTTGTCCAACGTCAAGCTTCGCCGCCTTGTCCAAAATGGCTGTTCCGAGCGCAATATCGCTAAGACTTAGTCCACGATGCCAGAACAATATCGTCTCGTCGTCGCTCTCTCTGCCCTTTTTCAAGCCCGCCACGATCTGGCCCATCTCCGCATGGAGATTCTCTTCTGTCAGCTTGTCGTTGTCCACATGCTGCCGCAAGGCCCCTAGCGGCAGACCCTTGCGACACTGGCCCCAGTCGTCGACGATCATTTTGTTCATAATGTCTGTCAGTGAAAGCTCCAGGGCACTCATTGTGCCATAGGGCATCACCAGCGCACCCTTCTTTATCCAGCTCGTCTTCAGCAAAGGTTCTGGCGCTGGCAACCGTGACGCTTCAACGACAATGTCTGCTCCTACAATGGTCTCTTCCCAGTTATCCAGCACACGGATTGGCCTTCCTAGCTCCTTTTCCAGTCTCGCACCCAGAGCTTCACGACTCTCTTTGCGCTTAGAATGGATGCGAATCTCATCAAATTGGAAGAGACTGGCCAGTAGACGGATGTTCCAGTAGGAGCTGCCACGGGCGCCAATATGTCCCAAGATTTTGGGTTTACTGGGTGCCAGATATTTTGCTCCCAGGGCTGTAACTGCGCCAGTGCGCATGTCCGTAATAGATGTCGCATCTATAACTGCCTTAGGCACGCCGGTGTCTGGGTCGAACAAGTTCAAGATACCAAACTCGGAGGGTAATCCGTGCTTGTAATTGTCAACAAAATCCCCGACAACCTTGACGCCTGCCGCGTTCAGCGGATGAACGACGCCGCGTAGAACGTTGAAGTGGCCTTTGGCTGAATCGCGCGGCACAAGATGCACTCGCGGCTCAATGACTGCTTGCTTGAGTCCCTGCGCATCAAGCGCCTTCTCAACGGCCTCTAGTATCTCTGAATCAGTAAGCTCCAGTGCCGCAATATCTAGGCCATTGAGGTATGTGATATGGATGGGTTCTGTCGTCGCGACCATCTTTGCTGCTGTTAGTAGGTAGACTGCTATGCTCAAACGAAGTACCACAATCAATGGTAACTTTCACAAGACAAAATAGCTTTTTATATGCAGCGCGGCGGGTACAGCATGGCTTAGGCCCTCACCCAACATCAAGTCACATTTTGCTGATGCAGACGGAGTACGCAGTATGGAGTAAGCGGTAGCATTGCGTGCTCTTCGATCGCCGCTCCGGGATCGGCAAGCATCTGTACCATAATAAAGCAGTGGAGATGTATGCAAGAATCAGTCATCCGCGCGCTCTCGAGGGCCCATCTGGCAACCAAAACGAATTGCTCCATTCTCAACTGTTCTAGAGGCTGTCTAGCAGAGACGCAATAACAGTGAAAACGGTAGGTACCAGTCGAATGTGATTTCAGTTTTGACAATCGAAGCTACCAATTGGCTTCACTAGCTCATCATTGAGAGGGTAGATCTGCTAATCACTATAGGTGAACTTGCTCCAAGGTCTAGGATAATTTTTTAGGTAAAAAACTCCATTACTTTCATACTTGTCGAATATCGTGTGAAGGCAATGCTTGGTGCAATACCGTTATGACATTCCCTGACTTAGTTGCTCTTCAATTGACGGACCAGATTCGCGGTGATGGCGTTAATTAGAATGCAATGTACGTTTCCTTGGAGGTCATGCAAGTGAGAACGGCCGAATTGCTTACAGTGTCGTTCCCGCGCATGGACAGCCAACAGCTCTGACTGATATTGCAAAGGATATACATACTCACGGTACAATTCACAAAGCGTTGCAACAAGTGGTCGCATTCGCCTCAAATAATTCATGACACTCGCAGTAATTGCTGGCTTTGGTGCAAAATGAATTACCAAGGTTTGAGGTTGCTCAAGCATTTAAAGATTAGCCAGGGCATGGCTGCTGAGACTTTTGCATATTGGACATGGCCACGCTCAGCAAACATCGGGGGTTAACGCGACCGGTACATTTCCAAAAGTAGATGAAAGAAAGAGGCTAATTAAGAGTTAGGATAAGGATTATCCCTCTATCCAAGTTTCGAGAACACCTCCTGGCAGGAATGCATGTACAGTGGCATATCTACTGTGATATAACCGTAAGTACGAGGAAATAGAGGGGCATTCTACTCTAGCCCTCAGCTCAATCCACCATATACTGCGACCAGCTTTGCGATACCATAAATACATTAATAAAAGTGCAATAGGATCTTTTCTTTGTAACAAGGATTTGAAAGGGCCACATATGCAACGGGTGAAGACTTCTGTTTGCCCTATGGTGACCTGATTATCTGGGAGCCGTTGGATCCTAGATACGGCATGAGCGGCTTTAAAATACGGGTTATTTTCCGTTGTCGATGAGTCTTCAAGATGACAGACGCAAGCCAAGACTATTAACATGCCATCTATACCTTTCTCTGGTAGAGGAGAGTTCATTTCCGCGAAAGTTGACTCCATGATACGGAATAGACTGTCCGATCGTAGCGGGTTAGCTAGGCACCATAGAGACATTTTGCCTGTGTTGATGCGTAACCATTCCAGATCCGTGGGCTGAGCAGGTTTAAGGGGCCACGATTCTTCAGGTGTAGTGGCATCAGGGGTCGAAAAAGACAAGACGGCTAACGCAGCTGCTGTTGCCCAGATTGCATCCTTATCCTTGATATTAATTGGCTCATTTAACCTTTTGTTGAAAATCGCTAAGCTTTGAGACCGGTGATAGCACTCTTCTACCGAAAGACGGCAGTCCGACGATTGAGTTAAATGACGGTCATACGCATAGGCCACTGCTATGGAGGCGTGCATCAAGAAAGGGTTCTGCAGAAGTTTAATGTTACCATGGTTCCGGCAATACAATGGAGTAGATATCTAGCGTATCATCTGCTGAATATAGACAGGGCTCAGCCCTCTGACAAGACTTACGAAGAAAGCCAAGGCCATAAGGCTGCGATTCACTTGGACCATTTTAGGGTCGTCTGGAGTAATGAGACTTCTTCCCAGATACCTAGTCACAAAATCCTGACACTTTGAGTCTAGTTGATAAAAGTTTGATCCATCAGATGTCCACACAGAGCTGCTGGGAGGTGCTTGAAGCACCGTCCCTTGTCTAGCGACCTGCGATGCATATAGAACAGGATCACAGGTGACGGGCTGCAGGTCAAGAACATCAAGTCTGAAGTTGCATAATACCCCGAATGAAATGCATCTCTTGCAGCACGGTTTGCTTTCATCACACTACCAGCCCAGGAATGGGGTTAGCGATGTATCATTTTAATAAACAGCCGAGATATACTACCTTGACTTTTCTGAGCTTGCAATTCCGGCAGCCAAATCTCGACCTCGTCATGGATCTGCGTTCCCGAACCTTTGCTGGACAAGTCGGCGCCATACTTGGTTTGTTTCTGATGCTGCAGAAGAATAATGCTGGAACAACTGTGAGGGTTTTTCACAGTTCGAAATGATGAGACGAGCTCCCATCTCCCTAGCCTTGACCTGGATATACAAGATTCTGATTGGCGGACAGCTGCATGAGCGACCATATGCTAACCCTTTTTCGCATATCACTATTAGCGGTCTGGAGCTTTATACTAGCCACCATTCGGGTGCAGAAGCCTCTGATTGGCCGTTAGTTCACTTACAACTTGTCTCACGGAGCAGAAGAGGGTGACAGAAGAGAGGTGACAGACTTAACAGTCTCGTAGTCTCACCATTGCTTAGAGATAACGAAATGGATATTTAATGTCAATTTGATCCTCCTTAAGAGCTAGAATAACCTTTAACCTTCTCTCATGATCCTTAGACCTCAACCCAAGTTGTCCAACAGCGCAAAACTCCCTCAACATGTCATCCCCCTTCTCACTCCCCGCGGCCCTCAACCTACCCACATCTAGCAGTGAGAGTGTTGCGGACGCTATTCATCGCTGTGCTTTGGCTTGGGACACAAACGATGCAGCCCTATTTGATTCCAGTTTCATGCCTGACGGCATATTCGAAGTCAATGATCACACCATGAAAGGCTTGCCCGAAATCCATGCCAAGGGACTCGCCCTAATCTTCAAACTTGATACGACGCACATAGTCACCAACGTGCGTGTCCAAATGAGAGAGGAAAGGGAGGCCAGCCTGACAGCTACCGTGTTAGTACAACACTTTGCCAAGGGCAAGGGCATGGAACCTGGTCAAAGGAGCCTGATGTCAGGTAGTCTTTATCATGCTGAGCTAGCCATTGACACGGATGGGCTGTGGAAGTTCAAGCACTTAAAGATCAAATCTATCTGGGTGGTGGGTGACTATAGCATTATTGAAGACAACTTTAGCGAGGTTGGATGGCAAATGGAGTGAAAGTAATCTTGGATACTCTCCATCTCGACCTCACAACCAGGCTAAGTCATGAATACAAATAAAAACAAAACATCGGCACTACAAGAACAATATTCTTGTGAATAATGTTGGAAATCTAGATATACTGCGTTGCTATGAAGAGATCTGGCCGAGAAGATGGAAAGAGACGTAAATAGAATGTTATTACGAAATAAAGAGACTTGCTATAATATCTGTAGACTGGTATCACCTCGGGTTGTTATCTACCGAGGTGACTGGCAAGATGTCGTCTTCTAGCTGTTGGACTTTGCGGGCGTGTCAGCGGACGACTCTGCTTCAAATTCTTACGACACAGTTACAATTGCTTGTAGGATGATCCTCCGGCAACTTAGCAAGATAATTACAACGCCAGTGGATCGGCTCAATATCGCGCAGAGCTTTGGCAGTTACATTATCGACACTCTAGAACATGGAGCCGTTCAACCGGATAGGTAGTAGCCTGCCTTCATGCCAACGTACAGCTGTTGGGCCTCTGAAACACTCTTACATCAGCCTGGAACTCGCCAAAATGGTGGTGAAGGAACTGAGACACGTTATATCAGAACTGGAATAAAAGATTGCGCTGCGCATTCAATCGATCGACATCAATTACTTTACTTATGAACAGGACGGCTGAATCAATTTCATTAGACTGTTCTATAGCGCATTGTAACCCTCGACCAATTTGTGCCTGTCTAAGTCATAAGCGTCGCCGTCATCACCCTCCACATGTGTCTTTCCCCTCCGATTTCTGATTTTGCCGCAGAATACTGACCAAATTCCCGGCATGTCCTCTCTAACGAATCGTCCTGGGTGGAATAGATTAAAGACAAGGATCGCAAACATCATTGGTGTGGCTTCCAAAAGATAGAAATATACTTCGTATTTCGTCAATGCATTTCCCTTGGTGATACCACTCGAAAACTCGTTAAACCGATATACGATTCGGACTGTAATCATGCAGAGTGCAGCGTACAGCGCCGCCTGGAGCGGGCCCCATTCAGCGCGAAGCAGATCCTTGAGCATGCTGCCTCTCACGGCCCTAACCCGGTCCATCTGCCACTGGAAGCGCATGCAAAGCACTAGAAAAGTGACAATGATGCATTGCTGGAAGCCAATGCCTCCCATGTAGATGTGAAGTGCTCGCTGCTGGGCTGCTGCCGAGGCGGTCGGAGAGGCCATGCCGCCACCAATCAGCTGGATAATGAAGGATGCAATGTCTAGAAAAAGGAAAATTGCGGCTAGAGTGACGGCTGGGATGCCGAGGACAGATTTCGACGGGTGGAACGCGTAAACAATGCGGCCAAATGTCATGTATGCGAAGGCATTGACCCCTACATATAACATACAATAAATTAGTACAAAAGACTACCATATGTGTTGAAGTGGTGCGAGGCGAAAGATGTGCTCCACATACAAAGAGGAGCGAGCAAAATAAAAATCTGAAAGCAAAGATATATGCCCTCACTCTGTTGGTCTCGAGTGCTGATTGCCCGGAAGCTGAAGGCCATCGTCTCCCAGATTGAAGCCATTATGATGACCCAGCACCACTTCTTTCTCGCCAATTCGTAAGTTAGTCACAAAAGAACCCATGAATCGTCCTGCAGTCTTGAGAAAATGACAAGACTTACGCACTTTTTTGTATATGATGGCCTGCCATAGATGGACGCCCAGCAACAAGGCAAACATCACTGCGAATGCAACAGCCGCTTTAAATGCCGGGTAATATGTCCAGATTGCGCCACAAGTTCCTGGCGGCACGTAGCCGTTATGATCCGGAGTGATGGTCTGATGGCATGTAGGAATGGCGATGGCGATAGTCTGGGGATGGATGGTAACGTAGCTGTCTGTCTTCCCAGGGATGATGTTGAGGATTGTGGTCGTGAAGCTGTCGATATCTTCCACGGCGGCGGTGGTTAATGCTACTTGTTCTCGAACGCGAAGATCGAGATTGGGGGATATGGCGGAACTGGTGGGGCATATAGTCGTGGTGATGGTTGGTGATGGTCCTCTCTGCGGCTGTGTTCTTGTTTGGATGGCGACAGCAGACACCAACAAAGGGAGTGCGAAAAGATGGAAAAGAAACATATCGTGAGAGAATCGTGCCGTATCGTGATGAGATACGGCTGGCGGTGTAAGCACGGCGTATGGCTATATGACTCTATGATGATTGTCTTGATCTTCAACAAACTTACTTAGCGATAAAGGAGACCATGGCGGCTTTTATATGCGATAGTATTAGAGTCATGAGTGAAGAGACGCGAGACAGACTGTACCATCTCACCATGATGCCTCAAGGTTCTGGTTCTGCACAGCCCTATCTCTCAAACACGTCTAAGCCTTCCAGGACTTGCAAAGGGGTAACCCGTAGAGCAGTTTGTTCATAGCTTATAAGTCACAGCTTTATTGATGGGCTGCGAGTGAACAATGGGGTCTGTCCAGGAATTCTAAGTCACTTTGTAAACTCGTTTGGTAAATACCAGTAAATTATACGGACATGGCTGATATCACGGAGTACACGCAGTCCCGTTGCTCCATATGTCACAGTGGGGCCAGTCCGAGTCTGAGATTCCGAGAGAAGGTAGATATTTTGGCATTTGATACCGCCACTCCACCTCACAATCGGGTCCAATCCGAACTTCGGCGCTCTAGTAATGCTGCTTGTTTATTTTTATCGAATTAATACCCAGTCTTGTCGGGCTTCGATGGCACCAGTCTCTGTCTTTACTAACAACGTAATTTTCCTCCTCACTACCTCTTCTCCCCAGCCAGGAATATGGATACGCTCGACATCTTCTAAAGAGTAATCTAGGATCCTCATCCCATCACTTGGCAGGTTATTGAGAGAGGATCTGTCGCCAATCTGCACCGGAACCTCAGCCACAGACGCTGACGTCCACGTCGACGATGACGATGGAAAAGAACTTGGAGAGTCAACAGCCGCCGCTACATTCAGGTTTATACCGTGTTCCATCTCGACAATACGCGTGCCGATCGCACTCATCGTTGCGCAGTCCCACATCGACTCACGTAGGCAGGCAATGGCAGGCTGGAGAGCGAGAGCCTCAAGTCTAAGGGGCAGATAGCGACACTTGAGCACGACAAAGTGAATCAAAGGGCCGAACCCCATGTTAAAGGAAAAGATGCCACGTGATGGCTTGCCGAGACTGGTTGTTGTGCTCGTCCGCGTCTTGATCTTCATCTTGGCCCGTTTCGCTAGGTGAATGATGCGCTGAAAGCTGCCGAAGTGGGCATCGTACTCCGTCTCATTCACGGTCAAGCACGTGCTGGACCAGATCTGGGCAACGAGCCAACGGACCTCCAGCAGGGCAAAAAACTCTTCATCATTGTCATCATCATGCGCATGTGTATGCACCTTCATCTCTCGTTCATTCGATAGATTTAGGCGCAGGGGCATAGCGAAAAAGGCATACCACCACAAGGCCAGGTCGTCTTGCAGCTTTTTTTGTTGCGCAACGAGAGTGCCCAAGTCTAATAAGAAATCTGGCTTCGGCTTGGTATTAAATTTGTGGCCAGCAGCCATGCGAACGAGCCTGACACTGCGACAGAGAAGCAAGTCGAGAGCCGCCTGAGCCTCTGTCTCGGAAACAAACGACGAGCCCACAGGAATGCTGCCTATGTCGAAAGCCGGTGGTATGTCTGGTATATCAGGGATACGCTCACTGAAGAAGAAAGGGAAGATGCCCAAGTGACAGAAGAAGGAGGCTAGGTAAACTGAGAGTTCTGTCTCGGAGCTGGCGAGGGTGAGGTTATTAAGCAAAGTGAGGCCATGCGTGACATGTCGTATCGCTACATCGCCCTGGCCTGTGAGGAACTCGATACATATGAAAATGACGCATGCGACGAGTACCGTCTCAATATTCATTGTTTTGGAGGCCACGAGGTGTTTGATGGCTGAATTGTAGCGGCGGATGGCAGCGCCGTAGAGATGATGACTTGTGCTCATGCTCACGCTCCTTGGCGACTGAGCAGCAGCATAAGATCTATTCTCCCACTGCTGTTGCCACCCGATCCGATGGTACTCGTATAAGAGACTGACCGCCAAAGTAGCTTCGCGAACTGCCAACTCGTGAATATATACCCGAGGAACCGTGTGCGTCCAGAAGGAACCGCGTAGGGGCCCGTCCAGTGCCGGCGCCACAACCTCTACGAAGAAGTAGAACCCACGAAGCTCTGCCGCATCTGATCCTCCGGTGCTGGAGAGAGCCATGGGCACAGACATTGACACATTGAGAGCAGCAGTCCCAGCAAATAGAGGAGTAGGAGCCACAACATTCATGATCTTTATGTTATTATTCGTATCAGATGCCTGCCAGCGAGGGCGGAGAAGTTCTTCCCAGGAGTAGTGGCCTGTGGGCTTGGCCTGGTAGCCTGCACACACTCGGCCAGTGGACGTGCATTTGCGGCATGCCGGGCGTGTCTCATCGCACTTGATTTTACGTTTTCTGTGAGCATCAAGAATACGAGATGAGCATCGGTGCATTACGGCTCTGGCTTGTGACAAAACCCAATGGATCATCATCAGGAGTGAAGGGATAAAGAAGTAAAGTGGGCGCCAGATAGTCAGACTTCAGGATACGTACTTGCATGTTACACAACCAGTGCGGACCTTGGCGCTGCCTTTTCGGCCCATCACGATGAAGTTTACGCAAGAGGGTCAGAATGAGCACTGCTGAGTAGAGAGTGCATATAATGTGGAAAGAGAGTGGCCAGGCCATGTCATGTCATAGAGCGCGGTTCAGAAAGAACAGTGAACAAGCAATCGTTCGTCAAGTTGGGCTTTTTTAGAGTTACAATAGACCACGAATCAATTCGCAACGGCGGCTGATTTAATCTCCGCTGCGGGGCAAATGCGAGCAAAGTTGCCAAACTGGGTCTGGTTAGCCAAAGATGTAAAGGAATCGCTAAGCTGCGACGCGTTGCCGGCTAGGGGGTCTCTATGGTCCTCCTTGAGGCTCAATATTTACAGCCCCAAGGGCGTGACTGCGCCTTCTTATCATTTGTCGAACCATCACAGACTGCGCAGTACGGGAAAATAGAAACCTTGTGCAATGTGACACACAGCGATGATAGGCTGTCAGCTAGCTAAGACAGATTAAGATCATCGAGATTTGTCCCGGGTTGATCAAGTAACACTTCTATGTAAATAACTAGTCCGTACTTGCCGCGCAGTTTCGTACACTCTGCTCTTCTCAAACACCATCCCAAGCGCCATAGGCCACCATACGTTATTAAATCACAGACCAACTTTCAGAACTCCCGGAATGACCGGATCCGAGACACGTTTGAAGAGTGCCGCAGCATGGCTCATCCCTTACTTAGGGTAGGATTGGAAATGGCGCACCAAAATATCGATGCGTGTGAGACAATAAACTGAGGCTAGCGAACCGTGCCTTTACCATTTCTTCAATTTTGCTCGCTCCAAGGATAGCCGGATAGGTTGAGAAACGCAGCGTTGCCTCTGGCGCGTAGACTGTACTTGTTTGGGTCGGATCCAGGTCATCTTGGCTAGAAGCAAACTATATATCTTGTTAAAGTGAAGATCTTCTAGTGACACCATCACAGGGTAGTTCAGTCAAAAGTTCAACCTTTTTCAGCGACATATCGACTTCATTGTGTGAAGTAGGAAAGAAAAGTCTGTTGTTGCTCTTTGTAAAGCCTATGTCATCCGATGCTACTGCCATGTCTGTTCTAGTGATAAAAATAACATCGTGGCGTCTCTGTTAATCTGTTGCCATTAAGTTATGTTAATTAACAAATCCTCAATCAAACACGCAATTTGGCAAAGATATTGGTTTTAGGCTACGTACCCTCAGTTGATAATATTGTAGCGATTGGTGTGCCTAGAGCGGAAAGTGAAATCAAATTTTAACATCATAATCTACTGATTTTTATCCAAGATACTTTGGGTAATTTTTGTATACAGAACAAGCCTCCATACGCACAGATACAGGCATGAGCTACTCAGCGTGAGACTAAAGTGGGCACTTTGTTTAGTGGTATTGACGATGTTAGTGGTGGCGGAGAGAAGTGGATTCAGCTGGGGCAGGCGAGTATCTGGGGTAGTTATATTAATAATGAGGATGATGTATTTGCTGCTCCGAGGCCGATGAAGTGGGCAGTTGAGGCTCGTTGCTAACTTTACAGTGCATGCTATTTCCAATCTATGAGAATTCACTTCATTATTGCCAAAATATGGTCTGTTTTATGGCTTTGTTAGACGATATTAACACAATTAATCCCGCACAGTTCTGTCATAAAGTGGCGTGTTTTCTGTATGATTCTATAGCTATTAGTGGTAGCCGATGCAGCATTTTTCTCTGTACTGATACAAGACTCTTTCTAATGTAATTCCTATACTCCAATTGCCCAATTTGCTTATTCCAACAGATGCCCAGCTCGCAACGTACCATGACTCCAGACAAGGACCCGCCGCCGTTCAGCTTGTTCTTTCAAGTAGTGTCGAAAGCGCTGGGTGGAACAATCTCAGTTACGCCTTTGCATGCGACAAGGAGTAGTTTGGCAAACTCATCAATCTCCCCCAGCCTTCCAGTTTCCCACTCTTGGACAAATTCGTAGTAAGTGACGATTTCCCTGGTATCAATTTGGCTCTCTGATTGCAAGCCACTCCGGTGTACCCCCAGCGGCAGGCGGAGCGAGACGGGTAGATTCACGAGGTCACAAATAACATGACAGCTCTTATATTGCAGCACGCGATTGATGCCACGAAGCAGGTATGATATCACGACCGCCCGACGTGCCGCCTCGCGGTGACACTCTGCCACTCTATCTGTCGGAGTCCCAAGAGGGTCAAGACACTGGGACTGTAGCGCGATGGTCGCCCGTTCTAACACACCCTCTTGTTTCTCGGCCAGAGCCCGCAATTGCGCGTCCCCACCAAAGAACATCAAAATATAGTAGAGCAAAAGGGCCTGTAGCGCGGCTAATTGCTGCTCAAATGAGCTGTGCGGAATTGCTGTCGCTACTTTACAAACTTCGGCAACCAGAATCCGCTGAAACATACCATTGGTCGCATCTGTGCGAGCCAAGTAGGCTGCACAGACGCTAAATGCGGTTGTCACGATGTATGACATTGAGCCCGATTTGCCAATGAAAGGGTTTTCGCCAGTATGAACGAACTGATTGGCAAATGACAAGAGCATCTGGGCACAAAAGCTCCAGGAACGTGTGTCATCCAGGCGCGGCCAGAGATCCAAGACTCTCATTTGCGCAAGAGCTGGAAATTCAAATAAGAGACTAAATTTGGGGTCATCAATGCCGGGGAGGCCGGCCAGTTCCAGCAGAGCATAGTCAAACGACTGCATCGCCACCGAGTCGGCGATGCCCAACGGTTGTGATTGCGGAGGGATGCCCGGGTCAGTGACATTACTAGCCGTAGTAAGAGGCAGCCTCACAGGTCGTCCCATGTTCCAGTCTGAACTAGCCCGATGAGAGGGCGGAAATGCGTAATGACAATCCAACGACCGCTGCGAGCAACGCTCGCATTTGGGGGTCGCCCTGCTGCATCGCCGTTTAGCTGCAATGCAAGAGTTACAAGATGTCTTGAGAAGCGACGGCATAGTTTGATGGACTCATTTATATCGCTCGTCGTTATAGTGGCACGCGGCTACACATTTGACGTGGGCCAAGAGATTGTATAACGACATTTGGCTGCCGTCAAGTTTACAACCACCGGAGGGGTGGAATAGTAGAACAAACAGCACGGCCTATCTCATACAATTTTTATATGGCAGACCAGCGGTATTTACCAAATCAAAAGGCAGTGATGACTAATGAAACCTCAGCCAGCGTTGATTGTTAATTCATACTCGTACTAGGCCTAACTCCGACACCCATTAATAGCCCAGATGCTTATAACGTCTCCGAGTACGAATACGATCCAAAGGCGCCCGCAACGCCGCTAATGAAATTCTGAGACAAGAAAGAGTGCTTCAAAATCCGGCTTCCTTGAAGCATTTGAGAGGCTTAGACTACAGGTGACGGCTCTTTTGTATCTTTACAACGAAGGCCATCCATCCACTACTTGACGTCGGCGTTCCCAGCAAACTAAAGCTGGCTGCATTGGTCGAGAGAACAAAGATGAATAGTCCGTCTTGGGAACAGCCTTGCCTTCGTCCGACAAGTAGAATCGAAAGGAACGCACCATGGTGGCTACGATGACGCTGAGGTTCACATATGCAAACTTCTCACCAATGCACCGGTGTCGACCAGCGCCGAATGGTAAATATGGGCTCCTGGTTCCTCTGGATATAAACGGCTCTTCCATATCAGTCTTGGCATTCTCGTCCATTTCTCGATGTTCCCATCGATGAGGGTCCCACTCTGTAGCATTGGGGAAGAATTCGTCGCTCAGTGCGGTTACCAGGGGTGATGCGAGAAGGACTTTGTCTGGTGTAATGACATAGCCGGTTCCGGGAACTTCGATCGGCCGCTTGACTTTTCGCATGTCAGAGTGAATTGACGAGTGGACTCGCAATGTTTCCCTGACCACGTTGCGCAGCAGTGGCAGCTCATTTAGATCAGAGTACTGGAGCGGCGCGAGCCTCCCACCGCGGCCGAGGTTTGACAATTGCTCTTCATATAGTTGCTCCGCTATATCTGGGCGTGACGCCAGCCTGAGAATTGTCCACGAGCTAGCCGAAGATGAGGTATGCTGCCCAGCCATCAGCAGTGTGATCATCATATGTGCTATTTCCTTGTCGGGAACTGGTGTGCCATTCTTGTAAGTACAGTTCATCAGGTTCCATATCATGTCGGATCCCTCTTTTAATCCGCTTCTTCGGCGACTCTCTATGATATCCATGTATATGGCCCTCATCGTGGCATGTGCGGCGTCCCTCTTGCGATTCTGTGGAAGTGGCGCCCATGGCATTAAGAAGTTGATTGGCTGGAACCCCATATCAAGGTCATGGTATAATGTAGCAAATTCGGCAGTCAACTTGTCACGGACTTCCTGTCCTTGGAGAGCTCGAGACGCAGTGAAAATCGTGATTTCTGCCAAACATTTAGAGACATCGATAGTACCAGACTGTCCCTGAAATGACGGCTCGGTTCCAATATAGTTAACCACCTCTTGCTCAATAAGCGGAACGTGACACTCAAGGGCTCTTTGCGTCAAGCCGAATTTGACAAACTTTTTTTGCTCCATGAGTTTCGAATTTGGGCAATCGTATACGACGTCGGAGCCGAAAACTGGCGTTGTCAACGGGGAATAGATTTCCTCGGCATTGAGATCCTCCTGTTTGCCGTTGAGAATAAAATCGTTTCCGTCAATACCGAAATAACATGTGATCTTTTTGCCGAGAAGGATAAATGTAAAGACATCCCCGTACTTTCAACTTGTCAGCATACCTATTTGATTACAGGGTGGCAACGATCTTGAACATTGATGCGCTGGCTTACCTTGGCTCGGCACCTAGCAAAAAAGGCGGGCGGATCCATCCCGTACGACACCGCATTTCCGAGAAGAGGGACAATGTGGAATACAGTAGGCGGTTCTTTTCTGTTTTGTGGAAGTGCCTGACGGAGGAGGTTGATGGCGACGAGAACCCCGAAAGCCCCAAAGATCAAGACTATGAAGCTTAGCGGCCCGTCCATTGCTTCAACAACGGCGTCTTGTCTAAAATTAAAGATAATAGTTGGAGTTAAAAGCTGGAGGTATGCATCTATCTCTCTGTACGTTGGATATAGAGCTTAACTTATATTATTTCTCAACGCACTGCTGTTTCTCGACCCTACGGACCCCCTCTTTCAACGGACCAACATCTTTGATCGTACCGAATTACAGGCATGGAAGCCTACATTTCACGACTAGTACAACATCCACTTCTCGTATTCGCATAGAAAAACACTTCGTATTAAGTTGCTTCACCGTTGAAGCATAAGCGTAGTAGTAATTTAGGTAATGATTCTTTCTCTATTCAGCGATCAGTCCAACTAGCGGTATCTGGCATGTCCTCGAGCATCATTTAACTTATTGAGTTGTAGGTATTTGACTCTTAGAAGTCGTTTTTAAATCCGTCTATGGTAGTCAAAAGAAGATTCTGCTCCAATATTTCCGTCTTTTTTGCCTTCAGTTCGTCTATATCCCACTCCGCCCATACGAATCTTCCGCTAAGAAAGTCTGCTTCTTCAGACACGAGCCATACCAAGAACTGCCCTGTAACTACCCCGTCTGTCATTCCATCCCTTGGTACAGGTGATTTAGACTTGACAAAACCATCTGATTGTATGTTTCCGGGATGGATATTAATAAAACGGACTTCAGGGTGCTCGAATCGAATACTCTCGAAGATCCGAACTTGTTCCATCTTACTTCCATTATACCCCGAAAAACCTACTAAGGGGAATCGCATATGAGCACCCATGCTTGTCACATTAAGAACAACAGCAGTCTTTCCTTTAGGCTTAGTTCGAAGAAATTGCTGCGTTACAATTGCTGTGCCAAGAATGTTGGTCTCAAAGCCGGTCCACCAAGCTTTCAGATTCTGCTCAACGAACGGCCCATCATCTGAAAAAGTACCTGCATTATTTATCAGAATATCAGGTGCGCCAAATGACTCGAAGACTGCGTGAATAGCTTTCTCATCCGTAATATCAGCCGTGAAAGCCTCAAAAGTTGTTCCAGTATAGACTTTTGCAAATTTATCTCGTGTCGCCAAAATTCTAGGCTCATTACGGCCAATAAGGCCTATCCGCTCAGCTCCGGCAATTGCCATCTGATGGGTGATATGTTCACCAACTCCACGGCCGGCGCCAGTAATGAGTATGACCCTGCCAGCCAACGGGTTTCCCAAGACCGCGTTAGCAAGCGCTGTATAAGGTGATTTGTGAATTTCAGCAAACGATGCCATTTTGATATGATAATCTTTCGGCGAGGACGGAGGAGGCAAGGTACACCAATAGGACAGCCAAGACTCTGTATGTTTCGATAAAATGACAACTGTGTTGAAGCCCACATAAGCGAAATAGGCTATTTTATGTTGTAATTCTTCCCATATCCACACTACGATACTGTGAATGATGGTGGAGCTTACAAATCTAAATCCTACGAGCTTCTCATGTCTCTCATGAGCTGAAACTCTGCTGCCTATCCTTGCTGAGCTCCATACCTGCTCTGCTCATGCCCGAATCAATATGACTGTGTTCAGCCGCTAGTCTCGAGTTCAACTAGAGTCCTCAGTACTCGTATTCGTTGAATCAAGCTCTCAACACGTGGCAGGTCGTTGCTGGCTCACCAGTCTATGGATCTGCACGATACGCCATCTCCTCCGTGTAGCGATATGATAGAATCCGGAATATGAGCAAGCCCCATTATTAGAAGAAGTCCATGAGCATAGGGGTTTGGCAGATACAAAGACATCGTACAGACTAGTGTCTGATCTTTATACAGTACCAAGTAATGACCAGAAAACCAGGTAACCCGAGAGTTTTGAACACACAAGATGATAGCTATACACACATAAGAGCGTTCACTAGTTCACTCAAATAGTACTCTTAATGTCATTTTGTGTGCGAATATTCATTTTGCAGTCTCCTTTTTGGATGACCACTTGAGTACTTACTGTGTCTCTAAATGATTGGAGCGAATACTGAATGTAGGCTTAGCGCATGGCGGAGAGTTCCACCGAAGAACCCCAAGGGATCTCTGGATGGATGTCAAATTGGAGCTTGCCGGCCCAGCTCCACATCTTTCCGCAAGCCAAATGTGCCAGGCTCCGCAACTGTCCACAAATCCACCGGGGATTGCAGTTAGCGATGGCTCCGGTCCGCTCGAATTCGTATCGTCCCGAACTTTCCATGCCAAATAAACATTATGTTATACATGGTAGCCTCGTGAGGCTTTATACAACTGTGTCATGCCAGGCTATGCACACTATATGACCAATAGCAGAGTATAGCGACTTATCCGAAGGTTTCTACAACCACAGCGGTGATACCTACGACTCAGTCAATGCCCCGAATTTTCGTGGCAATATTTGCCGTTGCCGAGACTTCATCACACTTCCTCTGTGCCTATGCCATCTATATGCTACCCAAATTCTTGCAGATGCTTCGTCCCGTACCTACGGATCTCCTCACAGGCCCTTCTTTCTCTGGAGAGGATCCACCTGGCTCTAGTTGTCACATTATTGCGAGGTCCTGAAGCCTAGTGTAGTTACAATAGGGGGGCTCTGTAGATGCCAAAGAAGACATGCTACATGACTCTCATAGATACAGCTTAAGCTCCTAACTGAGCTTCAGATATGCCCCAAGGGTGGCGAGATGCTGCTATATTCTGCATTAACGAAAGTTAGACAGGCCCTTTAGTCTATTATAACGAATCAAAATCCGCGCAAGAGCTTCAGCCCAACGTTTCCCCTGCATGGAAAGCCCACACATGTCGCTCCGCATCGTTACACATACTTCCAGGATCCAATTATTACATCTCGGCGTATGCAGCCCGCGTGTCCTTTAATCCAGTGATGCCCAGGTCTTCCTTGGTCAGGATAACGTCTTCGCCCGAGAAACTCTTCTCTTTAGCCCACTCAACGTATTCATGCATCCTATCCATTGCTTTACCCCATTTGGGCCACAGGCTGTAATATGTCTCTTTGTCTACCTGCACGTATTCTGCTTCGACGCCGTGCACCTCTGCCCATGTCGCAAGCATCTCTCCGGCCGTCATAACATCGGTCATGGCATACACGAATTTGCCGCCAAGTGTCTTGTGGGATTGCTCGATGATTGCTCTCGTGAAAACGCCGACATTAACCGTCGCATCACCAACAAGGGGGAATTGCACCGACGCCGGAGTTGGTTGGAGCTGGATGTACTTCTTCTCCCCGGCCGTTGGAATTGGAAACGGACGATAAAATGGGTAGTTCATATTAGAAGCGTAGACGGAGACCCAGAGAAATGTCGTCTTAGGGAGTAACACCGGGTCCGACTTGATAAAGTCGTTGACCCTATTCTTGCTCACATAATGGGGAATTGCGAATTTGCCTCCACTGATTCGGGATGTGTTGGGAAGAGTCGACCAGACGAGGTGCTCCAGTGTTGGTGTCACAGCTGCAGCTTTAGCAATGTTGATTCCGTGTCTTGTCTCAATCTCGATAGCCTGTTCGGCATCGTACATTATGAAAGGCTCAAAAAAGTTTGTGGCGGCGAAAATAACCGACGTCCCAGAAAAGGCTGCCTGAAGCGCGGCAATATCGTCGAGGTTGGCCTCAACAATACGGACGCCCTGTAATGCGAGTTTCTTGGCTGCTTCGCTTTGGCTATTACGGGTGATGGCTGTAAGCGAGTAGGCGGGGTCTTTCACCAGAGCCCTGATGACAGAACCACCCTGAATGCCTGTGGCGCCAATAATTGTGATTTGCCTGGTCATAATGCTGGTTTTTCGTAGCAAATTGAATCAAGAATAGTACAAAACTTGATGTGAATGGTGAATTTGAATAAAACTGATACTGAATCGACTTTACGAATACTTCGCGATACACCAACCTATATGCTTTGCGCGCTTGCTATGACGATAGGTTTAATGAATACGTATTTACTTGTTGACTCTGTTGATCCTATTCCATGACTTACAAATCGATCTTGTATCTCTAATTTGTAATGATAACCGGTATTATAATACTCTACGGAAGAAATCAGCTACGTGTGAATCGATCCACATACATCCGCAGCTAGCTGTATTCTTTTGTTGCAGTGCTAAAACCCCATTGTAGATTGGTTCCCGCAATAATTTTGTCCATTCGCTAGGGGTTCTATTGGGGTACGAACGCCGGGATTGCCGGAGAAGCGGACAATCTTCGCGTGTACTAACACGCCTAAGATGTATGTACCATACCTCGTTTAAACATAGATTTGCAAGTACCAAGCCGCATGTCATAACTCTGTTAAACAGCTTAGTATTCAAGTGACATACTATATCCGACTTCCTTACGTACAATCAAGACCTAATTGCAGAACCATTTTTTATCGTTGCGGAACGCGTGGCTAGCCTTTTGCATTCGCTTACAACTTGCGTCACAAGATAATAAACCTGTGCTAGCGTGAATCCCGCAGCGGAGAGAAGTGGCTCTGTGCGGAAAGAGATGGGGCCAGGTATATCGATCAAGTCTACAACTTCGATGACTTCGATATCCTTTCATAGCAGGTCTGCAGAGGCCTCCGCGCTATCAGTATATTAAAGCGGACTGCTTACTATAATTCAATAATTTGAAAAGTGAAGATTAATTCGGATATTATACATTTTTTGTCTTAGAAACTATAGACTACTCAATCTGCTACTTTTTTTTTGCTATGGCGATTACGGAACTTATTTTCCCCAAGCTAAAGCTTGACCAGGCCCTGCTCAAAACGTTTGCCGAGACACTCCCAGCCGCCGCAAAAGAAACATTCTCAGGCATTCCGGGCTTAACAAGTTACTACAGGGGAAAAGTCATTGAAGCACGGAATGTTTCACAGGCAACAGACCTTGATCACAGTGGTTTAACTATGGTTTTAGGTACGTCATATACTAATCTAGAACTGATATATGCGGGTATCATTCTGCCAGACAAGGCACAGGCTGATATAGTACAGAATGGGACAAAATATCGTCATTCAATACATTCTGGGCCTCGGAAGGATTTGCAGCATTTCGATCGGTAATGAAACCGTTTATGCTTAGCCCAGTCTCTCCAGAATTATATTACTCCGAAATTGCAGACTCTGGCAACACGACTGCCTGCAGATACACACAATATATTAAAGTGGATGGCGGACACAGCGAGAATAAAAGTGTAGAGAGTTCATGGGAGAAGTTGACTCAGGAGATTGGAATTGATACCAAGTCTTTCCATGCTTGGGGTATCCAGGAAAGTGATGGCGCATTTATGGGAATGAATGGCTGGAGTAGTCTTGAGGTACGTTTGCTTCGGTCGGCTTACACTAAGGACTCTAAAATAACTGAATATACACAGGCCTTGAAATCGACGACTGAAAGAGATTCTGTAAAAAAAGCTTTGCAAGAGTTGACTAAATATGGCCAAGTTATCACTTACATATTAGAACTAACAAAGCCCTTTTAGCAGGTTATTATAAGTTAGCCTTTGGCCTAAGTAGTGTTACGGAATTATGTACGGAGTAGCGGTACTTCTTGTAACAAGACCCGGTTGTGTTTTTGAGAAACTCAGCTAGAGAAGAAGACTTGCTAGATTAACACTACGGTAATATGATTTATTAAAAATAATCTTACTCATGTATTTACCATTTTAAGCATGCTACCAATATGAGCCTCACTTTTGAAATAGTTTTGCTTTTGTGTAAAAAAAAAGAAAAAAAAAAAGAAGAAAAAAAAAATCACACTAGCTTATAGGACCCCGTTCGTTATAGTTAGTAATGACTGGAACCATCCATTTTACTACTCCCAAGCCATCCACTTCGTCACCAACGTTCCGTCAGCGACACTGTTACAATGGTTGGAAAGCAGACCTTACGTTACCCAGTACCCATGAAGCGTAAGGCGATCTCGATACAGAGACACACCGCAAATCGGGTCACTCGCCAAAAGACGAACTACCCCAAAAAACGCGTCTCTGTCGCCTGTGAGGTCTGTCGCTCGAGGAAGACTCGATGCGATGCGGCGCAGCCAACATGTTCGTTTTGTGCCCAGACCGGGGCGCTGTGTGAATACAGAAGCTCTCAAATGCCTGAAAGGTACGAGAAAATATTTTTTGACCCGAGCCCACTTGCTGGGATTGCTTGAAGGCTGCAAGTAAATGAGTCTGTATATTGTAACTGTGTCGGCAACTTCATCGGGGAAGACGATGCTGTCTAATGATTGAATCGAGCATTCCTTTCCACGCTGACGGTTCCGCTAGTTCTGAAACGCACCTTGTGCAGGATTCTGATCATGACCTCTTCAGTCGTCTAGATCGGATTGAAGGGCTTTTGCTAGAAGCAAAGTCTCATCGTTCCGCTGCAACCAAATCTCACCTCGCTGATCAGCCGTATGCTCCCCTAGATTACCAATTTCCAACCTTATCTAGCCGTTTGGCGGAGAATCAACTTTGTGGAGAGACTGAAAACTCGGATGTCGTTGTCTTCGGCTTTGACCTTCACTGTCTCTCAAGTTTTCGCACCAAGGAGTTCCACCAAGCGCTTCTGCCCCTCCGTGTCAACGATTTTGAGGAGAGCTTGGAACAGGAGCTCAAAGAGGGTAAGTCCCTTTTTGAAGGAGATCAAGTTGAGCTTCTCAATCTCGACCTCAGTCATCAAAATTGTGGGCGTCTTCAACAACTCTTTACACGAAACGTATTACCTCAGCGGCCAATATTCGATCATGAAGCTTCTGCCGAGCTGGTTGCTCGCGTGACAGAAGAAAGACCTGTTCCAAAAAACCCTTGATACGGCCCTCACGTTACTTATCTTGGCCCTCGGATCCATGTCAACAGACAGCCAAAATATGTCATATGATCCAGCGACCACTCCGGGGCTTGATTACTTCCGCGCCGCCTGCCAGATTGTTGACGGCGACCGGAAGTCCAACTACACATTACAACATGTCCAATGCCATATCCTTATGAGTGTCTATTTCCAGAGCTGCCTCCTACCAATTCAGGCCTTTGAATCGATCAGGGTGGCTTCCGAAAAGATCGTTCTACTTCTCCAAATGCGTAAGCGCATCGCCTCTGATAGGTCGTACGCCAGCTGCCAGCGAGCATATTGGGGCCTGTTATCTCATTGAACAAGACCTGCAAATGTATATCTCGCACAGCTCTTGCTTACTTCAGAGCATCCATGAACTAGTACCACTTCCTACCAGCGACAGCGAGGAGCCTGGCTTCTACGGATTTCTGGCTTGCATTGCATTGTGTCGAATTGTTGCCAGAGCCCGAAACGGCATCTCTTGGAATAGGGTTATGCTTAAAGAACCTGTCATCGTTCGCGAAATCATTCTGCAATTGTCTAAATGGTACGCTACCTTGCCTCCACCTATCAAATTCCCTCTGCTGGACCTTTGCCAAGCCGGTGTTTTCTCCAATGGTACACTTCTTGACACACAACAAGCCCAACTTCGTGCAAAGTTCTTTTCTACTCATGCTCTTTTGCACTGGCCAAACGTTGTACTTTTGCTGGAAATACAATCTCCTACCACGCGACAGGCTGATGATCAAGTCAACCACGATTCATCGCACATCCTAAACGGCGCAGCTAAGGCCCTCGAGTTCGCCACCATGTCCATTTACGCGTTTGAGTCTTTATATTCGAACCCCAACCTTCTTATGGAATCAAATGGTGGTACCTTTTACGCTATTATGATACTTCTACTATCCGTTTATAGAGGTTATATTTATTATCAAGAGGGTCAGTAAAGCTGCAATAGCTAGGTCAGAGGAAGGCTACGCCCCAGCCCTTGGGCTATCCGTTTATAATGACCCATCACTGAAGATGGTGCAGCATCTAAGAACGATGGAGGCTCTATGTTCAGGTTGGCATCTCTTGAGGTATTAGCCTGATAAGCCAGCAGCTAAGAGTGGCCGGGAGAAGGTGGAACGACTGTTTAGAGAAAAGGGAATCAGGCTACCTACCTAACATAGGAATGCGGAGAACATAGAGCTTGCTAGAGAACTTCAGAATGTGTTGGAACTTGATGTTCCTGGCTAGACTCGTGATGAATAAATTGCCCTAGCTGTTCGTGAAGCCAACATCCTGCAAGTTGCTGCGCCGCCACGGTATATAATTAATAAGTATGTGAGATTCAACCGTACCTTTAGACAGATTAAGCCAAGAGGAGATCGCTTCAACAGGTGTTTACGCTTCACTGCCAAGGGAAAGTGTCAGGACTAATCGGATGCTGGAGTGTGTTCCGAACCGACACTCCGACACTAGGATTCAGTCTAACAGATGAATGGCGCTATTGAATCATCTAGTACTAAAATAGAAAGGGTATTTATAGGTGAATGACTCCGCGTTTACACCGTGCGACGAGACACAACGCTTATAAACACAAGTAATCTAAATTTCACCCCTTCAAGCTAATGAGAATAGTTTTCTACTTGAATTCAAAAGCGGTTAACCATCCCTCCACTGAGAACTACTAAAATAGGCTGAACAATTAGAATCTGATGAGATACAAGTACTGTATGCACCAAGGAACGTTAATCTGCATGTTGTAGACTATATGTTTCATGGGAAATGGGAATGGGCTTGGTGAGGCGTGGATACCCCATGAGGTTGTCCGGGGCCACCCCGACCGTCTGTTGGAAAACTATTCCAAGCCACTTAGTATGGAAGACCTCCACACCATAGAACCGTTTATCTTGCTTTCTCAAGGTTGGAGCGTATTGTATGTGAAAAGCTGGTCTTAATATATATACTACTACGTTGTGTTTAACGTTGAGACATCACATTTGGCTATCTATAAAACATTCTTCACCATGGCAAAAAAAATTAATGAGCCCATCAATGCTATTCACCATGAGAAAACCGATGAAGTAAGACGCTATCATTTCTGTAATACTTCATACCCAAACCTTTTCTATCGCTAACAGAATTAGAACGAGGCTCCGACTCAAGTCATAGGGATAGCCAATGCATTCGACCAGGCCATGACACAAGAACCGCCCCATATCTTTGAAAGGGGCCAGATAATGACCATTGTAGTCTCACTTGTCGGCTTCTGCTGCTCCACAGCCGCCGGCTACGACGCCTCCTTGATCAACAATCTCTTTCAAAACCCGTGGTTCAGAGAGACCTACAATGTTGAGAGCTCGGGTATCTGGGCTGGTATTGTGGCTTCTATGATGCAAGTGGGTGGCGTTGCTGCCATGCCATTTATCGGCCCTACAATGGACTACTTTGGACGTCGAAGTGGTCTCTTTCTTGGAGCACTCTCCATCATCATAGGCACAATCATCCAAGGTACTTCTACGACTGCTGGTCAGTTCATGGGTGGCCGCTTCTTCATTGGGTTTGGAGTCATCATGAATGGTGCCAGTGGGCCAATATACGTACTCGAGATCAATCACCCAGCTTATCGCTCAGTAATGGGCGCGTTATACAACACTCTGTACTTCTCTGGGGCCATTATCGCTGCTGGTGCCGCGCGTGGTGGTCTTGACATCGGTGGAAATGCTTCGTGGCGTATTATTACCTGGCTTCAATGTCTCTTTGCTGGAATTATTATTGTTTCGTCTCCTTGGATTCCCGAATCTCCTCGATGGCCCTACGTTCATAACAAGAGAGAAAAAGCACTCGCCGTTCTTGCCAAGTATCACGGAAGGGGAAACCCTGAGTCACCTTGGGTCAAGCTCCAGCTTCAAGAGTACGAAGAATTTCTTAACTTGGATGGCAGTGACAAGAGATGGTGGGACTACCGCGCCTTGTTTCATACTCGTGCCTCTGTATATCGGCTGTGTTGCAACCTCTAGGTTTCAGTCGCTGCTCAATGGGCTGGTAATTCCGTTCTTTCTTACTTTCTGGGCGCTGTCCTGGAGACGGCCGGTTACAGCGATCCAATTCAACAAGCAAACATTACCCTGATTAACAACTGCCAACAGTGGGCTTTCGCAATTCTCGGAGCATGCTATGTCGAGCGAGTTGGTCGTCGGCCTCTACTTATGTTTTCCTTTGGTGGCTGTAGTATAACTTGGGCAGGCATGGCGATTGCTTCTTCTGAGTTTGCCAAATCTGGCAGTGGACTCAATCCAGATGGTTCTCCTTCAGTTGGTACTAGCGTTGCTGCATCCAAGGCATCGCTCGGTCTGATCTTTATTTTTGGCTCGATTTTCTCCATCGGGATCACGCCTCTCCAGAGCCTTTATCCCATGGAGGCGCTCTCTTATGAAATGCGAGCAAAGGGGTCAGCACTCTCCACTCTAGTTATCAGCGCCGCGATGCTTCTCAACCAGTTTGCTTGGCCCGTTGCAATACGCAACATTACCTGGAAGACGTACATCATTTTTGCGGTCTGGAACATGGTGCAAGCGGCCACTATCTTTTTCTTCATTCTTGAGACCAAAAATCGAACTGTAAGTAAGATTTGCTTCGAGATTTAATATTCATCCGAGAAGCACCAGTAGCTTGTAGCCATCGAGGGTTCTATTTGCAGTGGGAGCCATGGTCAACAGCCTTCGAGATGAATTCGCGGAAGCTCTTTTTAGTTTAGCCTCGAACTGCCGTAAGCGATACGTAGCGAGGAATTGGACCATAAATCTACGTCATTGATGGATGGCAAGAGATCGAGAGAATATGTAAGAGAACAACAGGCGAAGCGGTATTATTAGCGACCTTACATTTTAATATGCATTACGTCAGCAGGACAATATTATTCAGTAAAATCACATAACTGTCTAGCAGAGCAAGACATGCAAAAGCTAGGTACTTTTCCACTATACCCCCTGCAACTTAATTCACGGGCTATATTTTCATTAAGCCTGAGGGTAACCCACCACAAACCAAAAGTACAGGAAATTGATAAAATTCATAGTATTTTTGGTCAAATCTAATAATATTACTATACTAATATATTAGTATAAGTATTAGTGATTCAAGTTATACCTAACATGCAATGCCTGTTCTTTGAGATGCACTGCATGAAGCACAGCAGAACACAGGGCATAGTTCAATAGTTTGACCACAATTCCTAGTGCAGCTTGGTGTGAAACCGCATATTTTACTCCAGTCTGGCGGTGATGAAGGAGAAGGGGACGGAGACGGAGAAGGAGACGGGGAAGGGGACGGAGATGGAGATGGAGAAGGAGTGGAGGGGGGTATAGATACTGCTGAAATAGAAACCACAGTTCTTGCAGTACACCTCTTATCGGGGTCATCATCTCCGGAGTCATCGCCTCCAGTTATTCCTGATGTTGGTGGTATGAAGTCAGGGGCTAACGGTGCGCCGGCTGGGATACCTATTGGGTCAGGGACCTCCGTTCCTGGCGGGATGAAAACACCCGGGGGAATTATAGTCCCTGGGAGGTATGCAATCTGAGGTGCACTAAAAGGGTCAACCGGAGTAAAGCCAGGTGGTATCACTGCACTGGTTGGCAAGTTGTCCCCTGGGTTTAATGTAAAAGCTGGAGCCACAAAGGGGAGAGGACCTGCAGGAACAAAACCTGCAGGAACCACAACCATTGATGAGAGGGGTGCATTCGCTGGGTATGTTGTTGAACCAATAGTGATAGTAGCCGGTGGACTGTAACTGCTTGGTAGAATGACAGGGTAAGGCAAAGGAATTCCAGGTGGGTAATATGCCTGAGGAAAGGTGATAGAAGATGACGGTGAATAATCTTGAGGAAGAGGGATTGGAATCGGAGCCGGCTGGAATGGTTTTAGAGTAACGCCAGGGACAATTATAGGATTAACCTGAGGGGTAATCCCAGACAAAGGAACCGGGAGAGGCATCGGAACGTTAGGGATAATGGCTACTGGATTTGAAATTGTGCCGCCAGACCCACAACAAGTGCCTGTGATCTCTCGCAATAAGTCGCATGTTTCGTCACAAGTGGCAGGACCTGATGGCGAGTTATTATTGGTTCGAGGTGGCAGTCCAGCTATTTCACTTGCACACGCAGGTGTTAGAGTGAACGTTGCAGATGGCGCCAAAGTAGTGCAGGTGAGTGAGACCACAGGCACGTTATTCGGGGTTGCGTTGTTGCCAACACCACCAGTGCCATTACCGTTACCGATATTTCCTGCTTCAAGGTCAATGGCCCAATCCACGGATCCAGCGAAATTTGCAGCTTGATAGCTAGATATGCGGCTAGCTTTCGTAGCAGGCGTCATATATGCAACCCAGGTATCCTGGTAGGTGACAATGTCAGAGTCACTGGCATCATCTCTCGACTGTATGGCACCTTGACCAATCAGTTGGTAGATCTCGGCATCTGCTAGATACCCAGCCGTCTGGGTACAAGCGCCAGGGATGGCACTGGAATCGGGTCCGCTAAACAGACAGTCGACACTTGTACACGAAGGGTCCACCATTCCGAATGACCGCCCATAACTTGTAACGCCAACTGTGATCTTATTGGTGGGAACACCAGCTTTTGTTATCATAGCTAAAGCAAAATCGGTCTCCGTTAAATTAACGCTGCAGACATTATAAGTTACATACTCTTCAAGATACTGCCAGTTGAATAACTTACTGAGAACGGAGGCAGTTTCCGGTAGGGCAGCCAGGATTGCTAAAAGCATTGGCATAGTCCCATTGTCCGTGAAGATCATACGTTTCATAAACAATATAATCGAGCACTTGAGCCATATCTGCGATTGGGAAGCCTCTTAGGTACCTAATCCGTGCTCTTTGGTTAATGTGGAGTGATTTCTAAGAACATTCCTCTAGAGTACACACCAGTAAGATGCTGGAGCTGCCAGAGAAAGCGTTTTGCCTTCCGGTAAAATATTTCGAAGTGTTTGCAAGAATGCGAGATAATTTGCCCCGTCGTTAGGGCTTCCGGGTGGGATTCCGGGAATATCCGGGGCCTATGCTTCAGTATCAGACGGCATGTTATACATTCAAACGTATCGAATAACCAATGCACAGATGATCAACTTACTCCAGGGTATTCCCAATCGAAATCCACACCATCAAGGTTATGCTGATTAACTATATCCACAACACTCTGAGCAAATGTCAAGCGATTTGCAGAAGTGACACTATCACGGAAAATGGGGAATGAATCAACATCCGTAGAGAATGACCAGCCACCGAAAGATAAGATACGTTTGAAGCCAGTAGCGGCAGCAAAGTCATTGAAGGCATCTTGGTCTGCTGACACGTCAACAAGAAAGTCCTCAGTTAGAGTAGCAAAAGCATAGTGAATATGAGTGTATCCACTTGGGATTGCGGAAACGGGCATCTGGAGACAAGGCCGGTCGAGGTTAAACGATTCCCAGTACCCAACCTTAATGAATTCTGATGGACCTTCACTGTTATTTGTAATTTCGGTTCCACAATTGGAAATGCATCCAGCTGTTCCAGGGGCTGAGGTTCCTGGGGCACCAGTTGTTGACTTAGAGATGGTACAAAAGTCCGGCGTGATACCACACTGCCCATAAATATCACACTGGTTGAATAGTGTTAATAGCTTTTGAGACCGAAGAATTTGAGTGAACTTACACATGAGTTCAATGGACAAGGATTTAGATCTGTCAACGTAGAGAAGTCCGCGGGAGGTTGAGTCCCGGGTACCTGAGGCCCACAGATTGCATTGGAGACTGATGCAGGAAATGGAGGTGTTCCTTTAACGGAAAGGCCAGTTAGAATTCTACCTAGTAGTTTTGAGTCTTGGGACACAAAATACATACCTGTACTTAAGCAAATAACCTGGCCCAATTGTACATTATCGCACCCTTGCCAACCCCATGTGTCCTGGTTCCAATTCTCAATGTCGGTAATGGTGATGCTGTTTTCGGACGCAATCAAGGCGCAATAGTCGTTGGGCTGCACAGCGTATTGAGCACAGGAGCCATCAGGATTCGGTTTTGGACTGAGGTCGGGTAAGGAGCCCGAAGTGCAGCAGATGTATTGGCCCACTGCTAGAGTTGAACATAAGTCTGAAGCAGGGTTGAAAGTTGCCAAATCTTGCGCTGAAATGCCACACTCTGTAGCCAAGGAACCACAACTGTCTCCGGATACAACTTGAACTGTTGAGCAGGTCCCGTCTCTGGAATTGATGCCTCGTCTTGAAAATTGGGATTTGATGGTTGGTTTTGAAAACATAGTAATGTTGCTATGTCTTATAACCTCCAGATCCTGCACACATGTCGCATTGCTCCAAGTCAGGAGGGTATTCTGCACAGAGGCTACATTTCCATCTGTGTTGACGACTAAACCGACTGTATGATTGCCGTTTAAATCTTGACCACATCTTTGAACTAGCGTTGTCTCACTAAGGCCGACTGCCTTTACCTGTGAGGTGAGCTCGTGTATGATTGCAGCAATGCTTCGGCTACTATCAATACTCCCCCCTGCAAAGAAGCCCATCACAAGATTCTCTATCTTGCCCAAAATGATAGTAGGTGCATTTTCATCAAGAGCTATCACATGTTGTTGTATAGCTCCTGATAATCCCTCAAATTCATCCTGGTTAAATTGCACATTCTTTCCGGACTGTGCTCCAAGTATGGAGGCGCTAAATGAAGTAGAATTTGCCTGTTTGGCAACAGGAATCGTATTGGTTTTTGGGTCATCACCGACGGCCACAGTGCATGCCCGAATGGTTGTATGAGTGCTGTGGTCAGCAACATCATTATGAAGTGATAAATCAAATAACACAGTATGGTTGCAACTGTTTAGTTTCTCAAGATAATGGATAAAAGTCCAATTGCTCGGGTTAGGTCCTAAGTTGGTACAATCGTTTGGACATTGTTGAAGTTGGGAAATGAACTCAGAACCAAAAGTACAATGTAACAAGTTGAGGACAACCACTGCCCAAGTTAATTTAGTCATTGCTCAGAAGTCGCGAATTCAGAGCGGCCACTAGAGCTTAACTAGATAGATTTAACATATTAATCTCTCCCTGAGCCTTCTTCGCAGTGACCTTTATATTTTATAGCTTGATTAACTTATATCCAACTATCTTCAAAAATATTTCACCCCTTGGCGTAGGTTAACATGACATATTCCTGACTAAGGTATTGAAAGAATTGTAACCTATACCTACCTATTATAGTAACAAATAGCGGGGGGGGATGAGGAATTATACCAGAGGTACATAATTAGCTCTACCTCTAGTGTCTCTCACGTCAGCGTAAAAATAACCCAGTGTTTTTTAAAATGGCTCTTGTTAAATACTATACTGAACATATCTCTTTGAAGGTCCGAAGGTACAATTCTTGTACTTTCTTTGTTATCATTATAGTACTTCTCTCAACTTAATCCATAATATATTTAGTGCAAAACTCTGCTAGTACATTGCTAGGACTGAAGTGCCTGCAAGTACTGGCAAGGGTTAGGGAGACTTGCTCTTATGGGTAATTTAACGTAAAAGCAATATATCCTGAATTTTCTCACTCTTTAATTGGTCAACCATTAGAAAATACAAAAATTATACCTTTGGACCTTCAAACAAATACCATAGGTCACTAACATTGCTTATCTCTCTTTATATTATACCCATAACGAAAGTCTCCTGATCTTTGCCTCAGGACTAAAATCCGAGTATTTCATTCGTGGTTAATATTCTCAATCTTCCGTACCAGGGTGTTATTTATCATCAGATTCTGCTTAATAATACTATGGGCTTTTTCTACCGCTACTTTTGATTCCTCAGCAATGATTAACATCCCAGTCTCAGTTTGTCTCAGTTTGCCCTACATGGCCTGGTATGAATTCAAGGCTAAGAGGTCTCGAAACAAAGGTACTGTAAATAACGGCTTGGACTACCTATATAACGGGTAGCCGAATCATGTATTTATGAAAATTCTGATCAATATCTTTGCCTTCCCCCGATTCACATATACTTGGTTGCACTTTCACTATGCGTAGCATCAAATATATTCCTTTATTTCTCTCATTCAATTATGCATTGGGCGCCGTATTTATACGCAGAACCGCAACAGATCCGCCGGTAGAACAGCAGCCATTGACAAACGCTGCTATCGAAGCACTCCCCTCCTACGATCCTGTTAGAGTTGCTACTATCCATTATGAATACACCGGATCCTCAGCTGAAGTGCCGCAAGTACAGGCCGAGCTGTCGGCAATGCAGTTCATTTTCCAGCAATATGGTTTTAGCGTCACAGACCTAGCGATCCCCCTATCTTCAAGTTCAGATGCCCAGGCTTTTTTGGAAACAGAAATTGCGTCACTGTATGATGGGCTAAGCGACTCTGGGTCACTTGTGATCCTTATATATGGGGGCCATGGTAGCCCAGGTGGGCTTTGGTCAATAAACACAGGCACATTCACAAAGTAAGTCATTGATCTGGGGAACCCCAATAATTTTCAGCCCCGTAAGCTTGGTTGTCGGAAGATATATACTGATATACTCTTAGTCCTATAATTATTCAAGTTGACTGGGGCAGCATTGACGCCAATATCATTACTCCAACAGGTGTCGATACTTTCCAAATTATAGACACATGTTTTGCTGGCTCGTTTGTCGCTGCATCAAATGACATAGACCCCGCTTCGTTTAAGGGTCGCGCAGGTTTCAGTGTTATAGCATCTGCAAGTGCTAGTAGCACTGCTGGCGCAAATCAGTTGGCATTTACCAAGGCGGTTATAAATACTTTGGCTCCTGCTGATGGTGCTCTTCCTGCTAATTTTACACCTTCAAGCCTTTTCAATGCCCTTCCAGTTGTAGGCCAGACTTATGCAAAGATTACGTTGGATCAGGTAGAAGTTGATGCTATGATTTCTGGGTCATATAGACCTCAATTTTATGAGCTAGGTACAACTATTGGAGTGCCTGGTACTGCACCGAACACACATAAAATTGGATACTTGAGTTGTTAGTTTATGAAATAATATAGAAACTTAGCCAGTAGCCTAATTTTATATTGTGTTTTTTTTGCAAATGCTTTAGGCGGGATTAATATAAGTTTACTAAGGTTATTGAATAAGTGGAAAACTTATAATTTAACCATTAGGCTTGCAACTATTATGAAAGTTATAAAGTAAATATATTTTCTATGAGATTTATTATATCAAATTTTTTTTTTTTGAGATTAATTGGCCTGACTTATTTTATCATTGAGTTTGGCCGCAAGATACAAAGCTCAAGATCCGAGCCGAGGACAAATGACAGAATTGGGAGACCAAGGTTACTATAGTTTGGAATCAATCACTGAAGGACGTCTGGTTAGAGGCAATATAATCCTCTCAGATCCAATCTCACGGCCTCAGTAAACCCAATACATCGCGTCCCAGCAGTCGCAGCCCATCCCTTGCAAACGAAGCTGCACTGCCTCTCACCCGTAGCTCCCACTGCAGCTCCTCTATTCTTGCAGTACACCACGTCTTGTCTTCTTCATCCACACCGGGCCTTGAGCCAAGAAGATTAATAAGCGCCCCAATTTCTGCCACCTGGTATGCGGCTGCGCTTCCCCAGAAAGAAGCCGTGTGCTCTGGTCGTAAGGCGCACAGGAAGTCGATGCCCGCTTGCACTTTGGCTTTGCCAGTTTGAACAAGCACATTGCGTAGTGATTGCGGCATATCGGGCGTCATAGAGCGGACCAGCGCGCGGTAAAGGGCAATTTCGACCAAGAGCTGCAGTCTAGATGGATGCCAAGGTCTTGCGCTACGGCGACCAATTGGGCAGTCAGCATACGATTGGTTGCAAAGGTATGCGCGAGGCCACTCTGTGCAGCACGGCGACTGCGATGCAGGAGCAGAAGCCCGGCCTCGAGAGTGCTCAGCTTGGGTCTACGCATGTCGTGTGCAATGGTCCTCATCGCCAGTTCCTCGAGTGCTTTGGCATCTGGCAGTGAACTTTCCTCGCTAGCAAGGCAAGAATCGTACAGTTGCCAATCCAGTGCGATCAGATAGACGGCTGCCAATAGAGAAGGGGCAAAGTGATGATGCGAAGCGCGGTATTTTGTGATGAATACATCTTTATGCAAGATGGGAAAACTAGGGTGGACGATTCGAAAGTACAAATCGACGAATGTTGATCCCCATGGCCGAGCAATGGCCTCGATGGCGTCAACATCTGCGATGCGCTGTGCTTCTGAGGCGGATACCTCATCTGCGTGGACAAGGAACACAGTTCTGTCGTCCAGACGGCGTTTCTTGGACGATTTAGATGGAGCTGTACCAGCAGCTGGGAGTCGGAGGTCCGTCAAGCCGATGTACTCTGCATGGGTCGTGAGATCCAATCCCAGAGTGTTGCTCAACACCGCCGGGTCCGGCTGAGCAATCGTTTTTGCATAGGGGTCCGAAGCCGACAATGCCACATCATCTGTAGTCTGAGCGGCTCCCTTCCGGGAATGCGCTGGTGAGCTGGCTGAGCTAGGTGGCGATGCGGTCAAGTAAACAGGCTGAACAAGATCGAGTTCCTGCTCCTGCTCCTGCTGCTCCTCCTGCTGTTCATGCTGCGTTGTCATAGACGCATTGCGAGTACGTGACGGCGGCGCGTGCACAAACGTACACGACTGATCGTGAAAGGTACACAGCACACATCGCGGCTGGCCGTCTTGTCGCACGCAGCGCGTCTTTCGAATGCGACAGGTATCACAAGGTCTTGAGCGATTGGATCCCCGCCTCCGTTGTTGTGCGGCCTTGGACGGTTGATGAGCAGGATTTTGCGCATTGGGCGACAACATCGATATCGAGATGCACTTGGAGTGCAAAGATGGGTCGCGCCATGAACTGCAATGTGGAGCAATCGTTGACACTCGGAAGATAGTGAGTGATTGAGTGTTGCCGGCTCGGCGGCCGTGCGAGTTGAGTCGTGTTCAAAGAAAGGTTCAACCAAGATCTTGGAGACAATCATCGGCGGCGCCCCCGCCTGAACCGATCAGCTGCCAGAGAGATAAGATAGGTAGCTTAGATTAGTAGATGAGTTATGTAAGAGGGCTGTGGCTATTACGGACTAACACGCCTTGGAGGCTATCTGCGTACTAAATTGCTGTGGGTGTGTTGTTGATATGATCCGAAAGTCCACCTACTTAAGACCGCGGTGGCCGGCGGCCGAGTTGCGCCGGCGGCGGGAGGCACTTACATCCAAAGTCTGTGTTCCATGTATGCACTTGGATGTACTCACACGTCTCCTTCTCCCTACCACTCACTCTGTTCAACTTTGATATCGCCTGGCCGGCGCGGTCATTATCGCACACTTACCCGGCCCATCATGAGGGAGCTGCAATGGCATTCCTTGATGGGGCGCTCGGCTGCTCGAATTCTTGAGACAATTTGCACCCAGTGGTGGTTTATCTATTATTATAAGCAGGGCCTTTCCATCCAAGCGACCTCGCTGCCACCAGTCTTCATTCTTCCTTGTCCAACCTTAGAACAGGGTGTATCTTCCAATATCTTTTCTTCCTCAATCCGGATCTCATGAAGACATTTCCTTGCATCGACACATCCTTAATACAGAGCGCAATTCTGGTATAATTGGCCTGAAAAAATGACCCGAATCACTCAATCGCGCGAGGGTCAATCCCCTCTTCTCATTCACGAATGGAGGGCAGTCCAGGCATTGGGTGGCGGTTTGCAGAGACTCTACTCACTAGTTCAGAGGGAGCGCAGCTCTAATGCAGCAACGCGTGCCTGGATCAGTATCTGTACAGACGAACAACTCAAAGAGCAATGGGACCGCTTACATGCCTCAGACAAACAGCCAACTTCCCTCCCCTTATACGGCGTCCCCTTTGCCGCAAAAGACAACATAGATGCGGCAGGCTTCGCAACCACGGCGGCTTGCCCAGCATTTGGCACCACCCCTGCCACTGAAGACGCTTCTGTCGTTGCCAGGCTGAAGGCAGCTGGTGCCATCCTCATTGGCAAGACCAACCTCGATCAGTTCGCTACAGGTCTCGTCGGAACTCGGTCACCGTTCGGAGCGGTTCCCAACAGTTTCGACCCTACGAGGGTAAGCGGCGGATCCAGTTCGGGCAGTGCCGTTGTGGTCGCTCGGGGAGCTGTCCCATTCTCTCTTGGAACCGACACGGCGGGATCCGGTCGTGTTCCCGCCGGCTTGAATAACATCATCGGCTTGAAACCTACACGCGGTGTTCTGAGCGCAAGAGGAGTGGTGCCGGCTTGTCGGACACTAGACTGCGTGTCCATCTTCGCGCTCACTGCAGATGACGCCGAGACGGTGTTGTCTGTCGCAGAGGGTTACGATGCGCAGGACTCTTACTCGAGGATCCGGCCGTTGCACACCACGCATACTTCAGACTCTGGATTCGGACACAAGGCGAATGAAAGGCTGCAGCCCGTTCTGGCTATTTGTGCTAATCCACCTTGGTTCGACCACGATGACCATTCTCCTTCGTATGAAGCTACCCTCGACAGGGCTAGATCACTTGGATGGGTACTACAACCTGTCGACTTCACATTGCTTTTCGAGCTCGCGTCACTGCTTTACTTCGGCCCATGGGTCGCGGAGCGTTACCAAGCCATTCGAACCTTTATCCAAAACATAGAACCAGATCAGATGGATCCCGTGGTGCACAAGATCATCAAGCAAGCGGAGAGCTTTTCTGCCACGGACGCTTTCGAGGGCGAATACAAGAGGCAAGACTTGACGCGCCAGATCGAGCTGGCATTTGCCGCATACGATGGCCTCCTTGTGCCCACATCACCCACATTCCCAACCCTCGAACAGGTCGCGCTCAGCCCTGTAGAGGAGAATTCGCGACTGGGCACTTATACAAACTTTGTCAACTTTCTAGATTGGTCCGCCTTGTCGGTACCTGCGGGATTTCGACACGATGGGCTGCCGTTTGGGATCACATTAATCGCAAACAACTGGCAGGAGCCGCACCTGTTGAGATGGGCCCGGGCATGGTTAGCTGGCCAGACAAGGACACTTGGAGCTGTGTCTGCGCGCTGTCTCGAGCCGGCACTTTCAAAACCTCAAGAAGCACACGCTTCGGAGAAGATGTCCGAGAACAGCATCAGCGTCGCCGTAGTTGGTGCTCATCTCTCGGGTATGCCTCTGAACAAAGATCTTGTCTCGCGTGGTGCTGTTCTCAGTCGTAAGACGAGGACGTCGAATCGTTATCGTTTATTCGCGCTTCAGAGTGAAAGCGACCCGTCTCGGCCAGGTCTACAGCGCCTGCAGGATGCACAAGTCGGGGCAGAGTTTGTTGTCGAGGTATGGGAATTACCCGAGACAGCTTACGCCAGCTTTGCCAACACCATTCCTTCACCACTTTCCATAGGGAAAATAGAGCTTAGAGGTCACTCTTGTGTCTCTGGCTTTGTTTGTGAGCCGTACGGCCTTGATGGAGCGGTCGACATCACGCATTTTTCGGGTTGGCGGTCCTACATCAGTCACCTGAATCAGCCAGAGCCAGCCTCACTTGGCTCAGTGTCCACGGTCTTGATAGCCAATCGCGGAGAAATTGCCGTACGGATCATAAAGACGCTGCATCGGCTGGGCCTCAAGGCAGTGGCCATTTACTCGAGCGTCGACGCCAACTCCCCTCACGTTCACCTTGCGGATCTATCCTACGAGCTCAAGGGTCAATCCGTGGCCGAGACCTACCTCTCAAGCAGCCAGATTCTTACCATTGCAAAGTCTGCAGAGTAGACGCGATCATCCCAGGCTATGGGTTTCTGGCTGAGAATGCTGATTTCGCCACGGCCGTTGAGGAAGCCAGTATCACCTGGGTTGGCCCTACTCCAGCGCAGATGGTCGACCTTGGCCTAAAGCATCGCGCACGCGCCCTTGCCATCGAATCCGGTGTTCCTGTGGTTCCTGGTTCCGAGGGCACGTTAACATCACTGGACGATGCACTGGCCGAGGCGCAAAACGTGGGCTACCCGCTGATGCTCAAAAGCACGGCTGGTGGCGGTGGTATTGGTTTGAGGCGCTGCGCAAACGAAGCTGAGTTGAGGGACGCCTTTGAAGGAGTCCAGCGCCAGGCAGTGGCTAATTTCGGCGATGGGGCCGTCTTCATAGAGCGCTTCGTTGAACTGGCGCGTCATATTGAGATCCAAATCATCGGAGACGGCAGAGGAGCTGTCGTCACAGCTGGTGAAAGAGACTGCACCCCTCAACGACGACACCAGAAAATTTTCGAGGAAAGCCCCGCGAACATGGTGCCGGAAGGACAGCGTGCGGCCATGAGGGCTGCCGCTGTGCGGCTGGCTGCCCACGTGAGGTACCGCAATGTTGGCACGATTGAGTTCATCTACGACGTGAACAAAGACGAGTTCTACTTTCTCGAAGTCAACGCTCGCTTGCAGGTTGAGCATCCAGTAACCGAGCTGGTGACGGGCTTAGATCTCGTGGAATGCATGCTGCAAGTTGCTGCCGGTCAAGAAGTTGAACTCTTCAGCAGTCCAGTCAACCACCTCCCAACAACAGGGGCGTCCATTGAAGTGCGATTGTACGCTGAGAGCCCTCTAGAGCAGTTCCGTCCATGTGCTGGGACGGTGAGCAAACTGAATTGGCCCGAATCCCTACGCGTGGATACCTGGATTGATGAGGGCACTCACATCACGACGCTCTACGATAGTATGATTGCCAAGCTCATTGCCGTGGGATCGGACCGTCGCGAGGCTCTAGAGCGACTTGCAGATGGCTTGAATAACACGGTTGTTGAGGGCGTCCAGACAAATCTCGACTATCTGCGGCAAATTGTGGCATCGGAATTATTCTCTTCGGGAAACTTTCATACCAAGTCGGTGGACTCATTTCAGTTCATCTCTTCCACTTTTGAGGTGATTGAGTGCGATGGAAGTGTGTCCGTACAAGACTATCCTGGCAGATCTGGTTACTGGAGCGTTGGAATCCCACCCAGCGGCCCAGCTGATAGTCTTTCTTTTCGCCTCGCCAACCGACTTGTGGGCAACGACGACGATGCTGCAGGGCTTGAGTGTACGCTACACGGACCTCGTCTGAGATTCCATCGTGATGCAGTGATCGCCGTCACCGGCGGTGAAACACTCTTGCTCATCGATGAAAAGCCCGCCCCTCTAGCACGACTTTGCGCATTCAAGCCGGACAAACAGTGCACGTGGGTGCTATCACAGCCGGCTACCATGTCTACATTGCCATTGGTGGTGGTATCCAAGTTCCGTCCGTTATGGGTAGCAGATCAACCTTTGAACTGGCCAAAATGGGAGGCTATAAGGGTCGTTCGCTTCGTCCACGAGACATTGTGCCCATAGGTACTTCCCAAACCAAGACAATCAGATTACTGTCCTGTCCTGTAATATCAATGCCAAAGCAGGTTGGCGGTAAGAGCTGGAGGATTCGTGTGCTCCCTGGACCACACGGAGCGCCCGACTACTTCACCCATAATGGCCTCGTAAGTCTATTCTCCAGTATATGGAAGGTACACCACAACAGCAACCGTCTTGGCATCCGGCTTTCGGGGCCCAAGCCGGAATAGGCGCGCGATTCGGGAGGCGAGGCAGGGCTTCATCCGTCCAATATCCACGACAGCCCCTATTCTATTGGAAGTGTGAGCTTCACGGGTGACGAAGCTGTGATTCTCGGATGTGATGGGCCGAGCCTTGGAGGCTTTGTCGTTTTTAGCGTTATCATCTCGGCGGATCAGTGGAAGATGGGGCAGCTGCGGCCAGGAGATTCCGTATCGTTTGAGCCCATCTCTTCTCAAGCAGCACTAAAGCTGGACAGCGAATTTCAGCGTGCAATATCGCAGATCAGGCTGCCATACGATCTCGGGATTGAAGAAACAGTTGGCACCCCCAATCTCGACGGCCTGGAAGTCGTTCTCGGAAAGACTACGCACAATGGCCACGACTATGTTTGCCGCCAGGCTGGAGATAATGCACTGCTCATAGAGATCGATGGCGCCTCTGACTTTGATCTTGCGAGAAGTTTTGAGATCTTTGCATTCTGCGAGCGGCACCGTGAACAGCCTGTTCCTGGCGTCCAAGAACTCACTCCGGGCGTGGGTACTATTCACGTCATTTATGATCATGGGCTACCGGCTGCTACGTTGATCGACCGGCTCTTTGCTCACCTAGCGACATGTCAATTAAGACGCAGCATCCCCTCAAGAACAGTCCGACTACCTCTCGCCTTTGATGATACTGTCTGCCGGGCTGCTGTAGAGCGCTATGCTTCTACAATCCGTGGCGAAGCTCCTTGGCTCCCAAGCAACATTGAGTTTTTGCAGGAGCTGAATGGCATTGAGGATATATCGGTGCTCTTGCACAGCGCAACTTTCCTCGTGGTGGGCCTCGGTGATGTCTTCCTTGGCTCTCCTTGCGCAGTGCCACTCGATCCCCGTCACAGATTGTTTGGAACCAAGTATAATCCCTCACGCTCTTTCACGCCGCGTGGAGCGGTAGGCATCGGTGGGCAATACCTCTGTATTTATGCGACTGACTCGCCAGGCGGATACCAGCTCGTTGGAAGGACAAAGGATATATGGGCATCACCGGAGACTCTACCATCAACTGTTAATCAGCCACCCTGGCTATTCCGCCAATTCGATCGCATAACCTTCTACCCGGTGACAGAAGATGAGCTGGACAGCCAACCAGCGGATAAGTTGATCCAAATTGTCGAGGGCGAACTGGAACTTGCATGGTACGAATCTCTATTAGCTGGCAATAAGGAGCTCATTGCGCAACACCGAGCACAGCAAAGAGCATCGATGCTCAATGTGCCCTTCCTCGAAGATTTGTCAAAGCCGTACATTCCCAAATCCCGCACAGTGAAAGGATCTTCCAGGGGGGAAGACGGGAGTGCCTATGGCACACAGGTACCATCAGCGATACCGGGACGCTGCTTTGAAGTGCATGTGCAGCCTGGACAGAAGATTACCAAGGGTCACCCACTGGTAAGCATTGAGTCGTGCAAGATGGAGGTTGTCGTCAGGAGCCCCCTTGATGGAGCGTGCAGTGCTGTGCTGGTTGAAGCCGGAGATAATGTCGACGCTGGAGATGTATTAGTGGTTATAGATTAAACTACCTGAATTTAAGCGATGACAGCTTATTTGCACACCTGACTACACGTCAACGTGCCAATTGGTACAACTCCTTGGTATCTTTTCATGGGCCGCGGCGTCTTTGCCACGAGACAGTCCAGCTGCGCAAACTGAATATCCTGCGGAACCGATTAGATCTTTGTACCCTATTCGCCATGATTTGCACCGACTCCTCTATAGCCCTTAACATAACAGTCTTGTAACTATCTATGGTGTTTTTCAGGTTTGAATTAATATTCTTTTTCACGATGTACCACGTGCCATATAATTGACACCAATCTGAATTCAACTATAGAGTACTTTATAGCCTATTGGCTTTGTTTGCAGCTTCTCTGTGAAATGCTCTTGACACAAAAGCTCGTTCAAATCCAGTGTCCAGTGTTTGACGCTGCTTATGGTCATTCAGCTTGTCGTAAAAAAAGATACTTGTTAAGAAGAGATAACAGAGCGATCAAACCGATGGGAAAACTGGTCTAAGTACAGGGTAAGTTCCTACGCGAACGCTTGAGTACCTAAGCACTTCCCCCGCTCTCTTCTCATGTTTCTAATTATTTTTTATTTTTCTTTTTTCTTTATAAAGTCCTAAAAGAGTTCCTCTAAAAATTTGTATACTATTTTACCACCTATCAGTTCTAATGGTAAGCTGGGCTTGATGCATACGATAGCTACACGGCTTGTGATTGTAGTTCTAATCTAGCAACTTGGTGTGATCTTAGCCAGACCAGCGGACCGCGGATTAATACAGAGGCCGTAAGCTACTGCTAAGCTGAACATAGGTCACTCCCCAGCACCTCACTTCACCTCAAGCTCCAGGTTCTCATCTATATATAACTGGGAGCTACACGGACAAGGCAGCAAACATCAATCAACCGGGTTGCGGCTCACGGCTGCATAAGGGGTGAAGAGGGTACACAAACTCCAGCCTCTCTGTAACCAGCTAGCAAGGGAGCTAGCTAGCATGGACCGAAGCGTCAGCGACCGTGCATCCCAGCAATTCTACCAGGGACCGCCCATCTTACCGCGACCTACAGAGGATGCAGAAACCCATGGCTCTTCAGGCGTTTCATCTTCTCGGCATCCGCCTCGGATTCATCATCGTAGCTGTACCGAGTGCAGCCGCCGCAAGGTGCGATGCAACCATCACCAGCCGTGCTCCAACTGCGTCAAGGCTGGGAGCGAATGCATCTTTCCCACGTCCAGGCGCACCCCGGTGAGGCGTGAAAAAGCCTCTAGAAGAAGAGACGAAGAGCTTTTAAAATCGCTGCGGAGACTCCAGCGCCGACTGCAATCCACCGAGATTGCACAGCTGGTTGCTCAGGGCGAAGCTGATGACAATGGCGATGAGGGCAACTGCTCCGAGGAAAGAATTCGTCAAGATGAAGAGGCGGGAAGCCATCAAATCAGTCCTTTCGGTCCTTCTCCACCGACAACTCATGTAGACGATGTGCCAGGCAATACAGAGGAGTCTGCTCGGCTAATGCTTGATCATGACCGTAGCCGGTACATCAGCAATCATTTCTGGGCAAGTATGTCCAGAGAGGTATGTTCAATACATGTAGCTTCGACGTCCCGTCCCTTGCCAAACTACGGACTCGCTGACCGGCGGCTTTAGATTGATGAAATGCGCGACATCTTGGACGGCTCCTCCTCGGAGCAGGAAAATGACGATCAAGACCACCAAGACCAAGGCAGCGAGGCAACACCAAGCTCTCGTCTATCACACAACAGCCGCGACTTTCCCATCTTCAGCCCGTCTGCCACTTCTCAGTCACTGCAGTCTCTCTACCCGAGCTCTTCGGATCTTTTGACCATTTTTGACGTGTTCCAAGAAAACGTCGACCCCGTTGTTCACATCTTCCACCGCCCTACGATGCGGAAAACCATCACTGAGGTACTGCCGGTCCTAGACAGATCGTCGATGGACCGCATGACGGAAGTGGTTGTGTTTTCCATCTGCTATGCCGCATTGACTAGTCTGAACGATGCGGACTGCCAGAAGCTGTTGGGAGAAGAACGGCGCGTGTTGCTCTCCCGGTATCGGTATGCGACTGAGCAGTCACTCTCCAGAGCTCGCTTCCTGGAGTCGCAAAACCTAGGCATCCTCGCAGCCTTGATATTGTTCCTGCTCTGCCTTCGTCGACACGATGACTCCCGCCTTGTGTCCAGCCTGCTCGGTGTGGTGATTCGCAATGCGCAAGCCGTGGGATTGCATCGCGACGGCACAAAGTTCAACCTCTCGCCGTACGAGACGGAGTGGAGGCGTCGTCTGTGGTGGCACATTTGCGTGCTCGACATTCGCGCCGCCGAAGATCACGGGTGCGACCCGTCAATTTACGACCAAAATTACGACACCAGATTCCCGCTGAATATCAACGATGACGACCTTTCTCCCGAAGCCACTGTTGCGCCGCCAGAACGACAGGGAGTCACCGATATGACCTTTTGTCTCCTACGCTTCGAGGTTGCGGTCGCCATCCGCAAGCTCAACTACCATGGGCCTGTTGGGAATCAGGAGCCAGCACTGTCCACGGTTGAGAAACGTGACTTTGTGGAGAGAATAGAGAAACGCTTTTATGAACGCTACATTAACTGCTGCGACATCACCAAACCCTTTGACTGGGTCTCAGCTGCATGGGCACGGCTGATGCTGTCCAAAATGTGGCTTGCTGTGAGCAATCCGCTACATCTCCAAGACACTGCCGACGGTGCTGCTTCTCTCAGTCTCCGACGCGTAGCCTTTGAAAGGTCCGTCGAAATGCTGGAGCTAGCAGACTCTTTAGAAACAGGGCATAGAGCTGCACGATGGCGGTGGCTGTTCATGACACACGTCCAGTGGCACGCTGTTGTCTTTGTGCTGGCCTATCTCTGCGTCCATCCCACCGATGAGCTGTCCCATCGTGCATGGCTGGTGATGGACAGAGTCTGTGAGCGGTGGCCTCACGATAGTCGCTCTAAGAAAGGGATGCTCTGGAAGCCTATTCACCGACTCATGGACCGCGCGCAACAAATTCGGGGCGGCCAAGGAGGAAATCCTCCAAAAGAGCCCTGTGTCTTCGAAGAGAGCCATCACCAGTTTTACCATAATCCTCCACCAGGTGCCCCTTCGCAAACTCGAGTCTTGGCGACCCCGCTCACAATATTCGAACCGATGACTCAATCTACAGACCTTGCCAGAGAGAACGCTGCCCCTTCAATCCCTCCGACATGTCAAGGCACCGATGAAGCTGAGCATCACCTCACTACAAGTATCGGCCTAGCAGACAGCAGCTCTACACCCAACTTTGGGGTTTCCGTGCAGGCTCCCGGCATCGATGGCCTCCAGGATCTCCAGGACCACCAGTCAGACTGGGCCAACATCCTACATGAACTGCAGCATGGGTTTCAGGAGGACCCATACGCCGACATGACAGATCCAACAGAGGCAATAAATGAGTACGGCAACAACCTCTGGGGCATGCTCTAGATGCAGACTCGCATGGGTCAATCACATATAACATCATGAGGTGTTACAGTGAAGGCAAATCATTGTCGACAGCTAGGTACGGATCAATAAAACCTATCAAATTTATTTATTGCGGTTTTCATTTTCCGCTGTCTATTGGAGAAATAGAGATGCTATCGGCTGATAGTGAACCATCCGTCACCACCAAACCCACTGCGCCTCCTACATAGTCCTCGTCTGTCACCGTCAATTCCACCTGACCGACTTTACCTTCGATCTTGCTGCCCCGCACGCGTAGGTGCACTTGGTACTTGTGATTATCTTCCCATGCAAAAGGCATGCTCATCAGCTCTATCCTCTTATCGTCAGCGGCCTTAACCAACGCCACGCGCTTGTCTTTGGTAAACATGAGCCCGTAATAGCGGTTCAGTCCCTGGACCCGAGCGGCAACCCCCATCGGTCCACCGAAATTGACTACGAAATTCGACACCGTCACATCATAGTCGATCCAGTCCCTGGCACCCTGGCTTAGGAGGCCCTCGCCTCGGTCTTGAGCGATGAAGAATGACGGCCCCATGTCAGTGTGCACCTTGTCTATGGAACTGACCCAGGCACGGTTCCAGAAACTCTGGTATCTACTCTTATTCGCGGGTCGTTTCAGTGTCATTCGAGGCGCGCCATCCCATCGCAAGCTGTGAAGGAATATGGCACCATTAAGGTTCGGAGAGCCTGTGGAAGTTCTGATGGCGATGCCAATCTTATAGATGGGCCAGTTCTGAAGGCTTTCGGGGATGATCCATTCCAGGCTATCCTGCTGCCCGGACTTCATACTTATAGGCTGACTATCCACGGTTCTCAAGATGTCGTTTTCGTCGTATGCCTTGATTCTCAGACACACAGTCGAGACTGCAGTGTTGCTGTCGGCTGCGTGCAGTTCTGCTTTGACCCTTTGGCCTGGGTACACCAGAGGTGAGGCCATGATTTCGTAGTTTCGATCGACTTGGAGGATATCTAGCGGGGTAAAGGTTGGTGTCATTACTTCGACAGCGTCGCTCGTGTCTGTCAGGTTGTTGATGTGAATACAAAGGCTATCGACTCCGCTGTCTTGGCTTTGGCTGATACGAGCCAGATCTGAAGGCGACTGGAAGCCCTGAACACTACCAGGAAGGGAGAAATGAAACTGAGCGCCATCCTTTGGCGGCTGGAAGGCTGGGTTGCCGGATAAGCGGTGGCCGAGATTGGCTATGTCGTATGCTATACGCGCTGCGTTGTTGATCGAGTAGCCACCGTCAGCACTGGAGATGATGGCTCGATCGGCCAAAGGGCCTAGCCAGTCAGGACCATCTTGAAATGCGGCCAGGCCGTGCATCAGAGCAACCAAGCACGCAACGTTTCCGGCATTGCAATCGGTATCCCAACCACAGGTGTTGATGACATGCATGGCCTCATGGAAGTCATGGCCTGCGTATAGTACAGCCATGATCATAATGGCATGGTTGGGGACAACGTGACAGATGCCCGGATACTTATCATAGCCATAATTGTCTTCGATTCGCTGACGCGTTTGCCTCCAGTCGCCGTCCTCTTGCACCCAGCGCCTGACGTCGGCAATCATCCGCGCGATAATGGAGTCAGTTGGAACAAACGCCAGACCGGCATCAAGGAGATGGTTGACGTCGCTGGACAGGAACGCTTCTGCCTCCATGACCGCCCATAACTTGGCCGCATATACGGCCTCGCCATCGTGGCTCACCCGTGCAGCTGTCTCGGCAAGCTGCGCCGCCAGAGCCTGATTTCCTGGAGCGACCATAGCCCAGCCATCGATGAAGATTTGAGCGCCAATCTGCTCTGCCAAAGTGCGACCATTCGTCTTAAACGCACCACTTGCAGGGGCAGTGATGCCATTCTTGAGATTGAGGAATGCTGTGTGCTCGGTCGAGATGCCATTGCCTCCCCACCAGAAGATAGAGCGACCCTCCACGACGTTGTTCAACCAAGTCTTGCCGACATCCTCAGACGAGAGGTCTGCAGAGGCAGCGTGCTCTTCTAGCGCGCGAACAAAGGTAAAAGTACCTGAGACGTCATCGTCAATTACAACAAGTGGTAGACCTAGCTTGTCGTGTACATAGTAGCGAATATCTCCGAGCTTATCCTGTATTTCTTGATACGTCCAGTTTTCGAACGGCCGTCCAAGGTAGACGCCCACCAGCTTTCCAAGAACGCCAGCGTAGACTCGATGCAGATAGTCATCAGGTATAGGCGACATGGCTTTTCCTGAGCGTGTAATGATTTGACAAAGAAAAATGAGAGAGTGGTAAGGTGCGGCTATAGTACAGGGGCGCTCAACTATCGTAAGAGCTTCAATGAGGAAGCGCCGGTTGCGGCTCTGCAGTAGCTTCAAGCAGTAATTATACTGAAAAATGCAAAGAATATTTGCGCATGCGTCCACGTATATCAAAAACCTCGTCTTAATCTTGTCCTTCCCACCATACTCCCCGATGTGAGACCACAATTCGGAACACAAGTCTCCCATCCCGAGCCCGAGCCTCCCTCCCCCACCCTGACTTCGGGGCACCGTTTTCTCGAATTCGAATCCGCAGTCAGTTTTCGTCACGCCGTCCAATCACGGGCCCAGATGGCTCGGGAAACTCGGGGTTCAGCATTCTCTCCGAAGCCAAGACGCACCACCGCGCCGTCTAAGACAATACAGGGCTCGCGCCTCAACAAGCAACGCCTCAATGCGGGGGCGCCAGGTTAAGCTTTTCCTTACACGGCGATCTGGGAGTCAAGATGCACGTGGAAAAGATTCTATTTACCCCGTGGGGAGAGGAGAGACCCACACGCACCCGCCATCTTCTCGGGATTTGGCTTCAACTTGGAGTTTGCATGACACAGCATGATCAGCGAATGGGTTGTGGTAACACTTCTCCCGATACGCTGGAGCCAAGCGAGGCAGAAGAACTAAATATAGGAGGCATCTCGGTCTGATCCCTCGCTTGGTCTCGACTGTCATTCATCTCCAGATCTACCAAAGGTTCCAATACGTTGAAGAACCGACCATGGCTCATCGAAAGATTTCGCGCTTCATTCCACGAGACCAAAAGTGGCTCATAGCATGTCTCATCGCAGTGTCATCGGTGGACTCTGTGGTATGCCCTTCACCTTGTCACACGCGGTAGTTACCAGGCGCGACTAACCACCAGCAAAACGCAGCTTGTCGGCTACGACAGCTCGCTCATGGGTAGCCTCAATGTGATGCCCTCCTACAGCAGCTACTTTACTCTTACCACCACGACAAAGTCGCTCAATACAGCCATCTCCTATGTTGGCGGTGCCGCCATCTCACCTCTGGCAGGGTTTCTGGCCGACTGGCGAGGTCGCCGCGAGTGCGTATTTTGGTCCGCGCTGGTGACTCTCATCGGCGGTGTCATCCAGGGCACTGCTCAGAACATCGGAATGTTCATCGCCGGGCGGTGCATCGTCGGCGCGGGTATGGGTCTGGCCCAGACGACAGCGCCGACGCTGGTTGCTGAAACCACTCCCGTCAAATATCGAGGCTTCGCTCTCGGCATGTACTACGCTTGCTGGGGCATAGGTACACTTATCGCGGCCGGCGTCTGCTTTGGGGTATGTCAAATGTGTTGACTGAGCTCAACTAAACCCAAGGAGAGCTGATGAGCTGACTTATATGCGCTACAGACGCAGAAACTCGATTCAACGTACGCCTGGCGCATTCCGAGTCTTTTGCAGGCGGCTCCAAGCTTCGTCTGCTTTCTTATTTTGTTATTCGTTCCTGAGTCACCTCGTTGGCTCATTAGCCATGACCGACACGAAGAAGCGTTGGAGGTTCTCAGCATCGTCAACGGTGGCGACGCCGACGATGTACAGGTCCAGTATCGCGAGATTGCGGACACAATCAACTTTGAAAAGGAACACAGCCTGGGCCTGGTGCAAGCGATCTGCAAAAAGTCCAGCCGCAAGCGCTTGTTGATTACAACAACGTTCTCGGCCATTGTCATGCTCCCGGGAACTAACATCATCACCTTTTACTTTGGCGAAATGCTACAGAACGCCGGTATTCAGAGCCCAAATACACAACTCCAAATCAACGTCATTCTCACATCGTGGAGCTTGGTCATTGCCGTCGTCTCAGCCTGGTATACGGATTTGCTGGGCCGGAGGCAACTCTGCTCTGCTAGTTTGGCTCTGCAGACTGCCTTCATCTTCATATTTGGCGCCTTCACGAAACTCTATGGAGACTCAACCAATACTTCTGGTATATATGCAACGATTGCCATCATATTCTTGTACAATGGCGCATACAACTGGGGCATCACGCCGCTCACAGTCCTCTATCCTCCCGAAATCTTGTCTTTTGAGATCAGAGGAGTCGGCATGGGCATTTATACCTTTGCCACAAAGTGCTGCGGTCTTCTGGTGACCATGGCTGTACCTTTCGGCCTGCAGGCTATTGGATGGAAATTTTACATGGTGAATGGATGTTTCGATGTCTTGATGCTTGTCTTTGTTATTTTTGTGTGGGTGGAAACTCGTGGTCTCAGCCTTGAAGAGGTCGACGAGCTGTTCGACAAGGAGAAGCGTGAGGTGGTCGCTGTGCAAGTCCATGCAGAAACCAAGGTAGACATACAGCACAAAGAGTGTTGAGGAGCCCCGTATTAGCCTAACCTACAGCCTATCAATGTTTGTAAAAACTAGTTGCAAAATGCAAATTCAATAGTTCATATCTTGTTGATATCAATTACACTGATCTTCGATTGTATCTCTGTATTCTTTATAATTTCCCTAGAACTCTGCTCTTCCCCATGGTGGAAGCAGTGCCTTTGGTGGCCACTGTGTTTGTACAAATTGACACCTTAAGTCGTATTCTCCCGACCCAAATCTTTGCTCTTTAGCTTCCCGCTTCCCCACCTCAGATTCTCGGCCGTCACTGGGAAGGCTGACGACGGCGGTAGAGTTTGGAGGCACCCGTAATCTCATGCGGAAAAGGTCTCCCTTTAAGGTCCATCTCAGCTCAATCCGGCCGTACCTTGATTCGAATGCGGTATCCGCCCAGCTCAGCTCCTTATTGGGCTGCGGCTTCACTCTGAATACTTTCCAGCCGGGCTCAATCGCCTCGAGTCCGCCTACATCAGCGTGCATCCAATTTGCGATGCTCCCGAGAGCATGATGATTGAAGCTTGTCATTGAACCGGGATTAACAGTCCCATCAGGGAGCATGCTGTCCCAGCGCTCCCACGTCGTGGTGGCTCCCATCGTAATGGGATACAGATACGAAGGACATTTCTTCTGGAACAGCATAGCGTAGGCTAGTTCGACGCCACCGGACTGGGTGAGTGCCCGAGAAAGAAATGCACTGCCCACAAATCCTGTGGTAAGCTTAAAGTCATTAAGACGTACCAGTCGGAACAGACGAGCGGCCGCCTGTGCCTTTATTGAGTTGTCTCCACATTCTGGCAAAAGATCAAACGACAAGGCGAGCGAAAGAGCCGTTGCAGTATCTGGAACCACGAGACCAGCCGCGGTCAAATACTTGTCCCGCCACGCATGAACTAGGCGCAGTGCAGCGTCTCTGAAGCGAGAGGAGTCAACCGGTTTGGCTAGCTTCGCGGCTACCTTCCCAGCGATCTGAGTGGAAGCAATGAGGAAACAATCGGCGACAAATGTGCCATCCGTGGTCCCTCTGCCGGAATCGTTCTGGGGCGCTCTTGGGTCTAACCAGTCGCCAAACTGCCACTGCTCAGGATCCCAGAGTCCATCCTGACCTCGAGTCACGCCATTTTCCAGGTACTTAACCATGCTATCATACTGCCTCGAGAGGAAACTAACATCACAAGACATACGATACAGGCCCCAGGGAACCATAACTGCAGCGTCACCCCAAACGCCATTTGGCATCGGATCCCACCCGTGGCCCCCGTCGCCATTTCTTAGTAAAAAATTGGGAATGAACAAGGGCACCACGCCTTGGCGCCAGTATTCGGTCCCCTCCATCTGATCGAGGTACAGATCCTGCAACCAGTTTCCCAACATGCCAGCCGTGTCATACAAGAAGTTGGCAGTAGGTGCAATGATGTTCAGGTCTCCCGTCCAACCAAAGCGCTCATCTCTTGATGGGCACTCTGTGGGCACACTCAAAAAGTTGCTCTTGATGCTACAGAGAGCATTCTCATGTAGTCGATTGACATCATCGTTGGAGCATGAAAACCAACCCGTACGCAGCATGTCAGTATGCATCACCTCGGCGACAATGCATGCTTTGGTGAGAGGGCAGTTCTTGTCATCAGGGCTCCATCCCGCAATCTCGACATATCTAAAGCCGTGGAACGTGTGTTGCGGATGCCAGTCAAGGAGTTCTCGGCCATCGCATATTATAATGTCCCTGGCTTTTGCTGTTCGCAAGGGACGACACATAATCTCCCCGTCTTGGATGACTTCGGCATGGCGAAACGTGATTCTAGAGCCAGCAGGTTTCTGCACTTGTTTAACGCAAATACGACCGGCGATATTTTGTCCAAAGTCCACAATGACAGCGCTTCCGGACCGCGACTTGAATATGTCTTTTGCTTCCAGCCTCTCCACCACCCTTACTGGCGGGGCTTCCGGAGAGATGAGCCGGCTCACTGCAAGAGGCGACTCTCGGACCGAGAAAGCGTCGTCCAGCTTTGAGCCCACACTCAGACTTTGGTCAAAGATTTCACCATCCAGTATTTCACTGCTAACCAAAGGCGTGTTGGAGACGCTCCAGCTCGCGTCGGTGTTCACCAAAATCGGCAAGGAAGAGTCTGCAGCCCAAATCTCTAGCTGAAGTAGGACACCGAGTTTCTGGCCGTAGGTGAATCGTTTCCTGGCCCAACTGGTGGCAGAGGCAAACCAGCCGGCGGCCACGTCTATCTCGATCTTGTTCCACCCAGGCGTTACCAAAAGATCTTTAATATCGTAAATCTGGTAATGCAGTCTCTTATGGTAGCTTTGGAAACCCGGGGCCAAACAGTGGTCGCCGACTTTTCTGCCATTGATCCGCACGCTGTACACGCCATAGCTCGTGGCATATAGCCGGCCCCTGTCAATCATCCCGTCTTTTAGGGAAAGATGAAACCGCTTGTGAAAGCACAGGGGGCGGGCTGAAAGGTCCGGACCCAGAGGCCACGGCTCCGACACTGTGATCATACTCCCCTTCCAATCGCTGTTTCTCAGCAATGCAATTTCCAAAAGAGACGATGCAGACCATTCGGTCACGGACTCATGGTCGGAATCATTATCGCGCCCATCGAATAGAGAGTATTTGCCATAGCACCTGACGCGCACAAACCGGCGCGCTCGTGAGTTGAGTGGCTCTGAGTTCGGCCACGGTACTAGAACGTTGTCTTCGCTCTCTACGTGAAAGACTTGGCCAGGCTCTGTGCTATTGGAGGAAATTGCGATATCGTATGCAGTCTGTTTCCAATTGCGTATTTGCTCTTTCGAGCATGAAAACCTCCATGAAAGCCTTGGGTGCACACATTGAACTCCAAACCCATTGTGATGCTGCTCAAAAGTCGGTGGAAGAACCAAGACTGGAGACACCGAATGACCCATGTCTAAAATGAAATTTGCGTGGTCAATGCGAAAAGAGTTTCCCCATGGGGATAATTTAGATGTCCCGATTTAAAAGGCAATGAGCTCTCTAGTCATTTACCAAAAATCTTTTAGGTGGTCGTCAGCTGTTGTGTTTTGTTTTGTTTTTTTGCCACTCTGCCGGGAACTTATTGGCAGCGCTAGTTATTATCACTTCCACTTCCAATTCATTCGGAATACCGAAAGTCCCGAGCTACCAAGAGTATCTCAAGCTCTTCCTGTAGAGTATTTCACTTTATTTCATTTGCTAGCAGTATAGAACAAATCTGGTCTTCGTAATCGACCATGAGGGTAAGCTGCTCCGGAATGTTACCGTGGCATGGCATTTTACTACTGTTGCTTTCCAACATGTCTGACGGCATGGATCAATTCCCCAGATTCTGACACTAATCAAACCCTTGACCTAGCTCGTAGTCAGGAACCAATTTGAGCCGTTATATATGGCGCTCCTCATTCCCCAACTACCCCGCAAGATATTTTGGCCGGCAACTCGGCAGTGGTATTACTTTATCCCCGGCCCTATTTCGGGGACCTATGTAAACTTGCTAGGCACGATCCCTGAACTGGTTCTACCATCGGACAAACCCAACATCAAAACATCCACTAATAAGATCTCTCCTTCTGCATATATCCTAGTGGCTAGAGGAGAAAACGCACATATGGTACTAAACAGCTACGTTGCAAGCTGGGGTATACTAGCAGGCAGAAGACTGTCGAACTGTATGTGGTATGGTTTCTAAGAGAAGCATGGCACCTAGAGGAGAGCGCGGAAGCTCGCCGATAACCGCTCGCAACAGCTATGTATTTGGCCATTCCCTGTTGGCTGTGGTTGAACATGTTATTTTGGCGTGTTTACCAGCAGCGTCGGTCCGATTACCGTTGATACTATTGAAATGAAGATTTGTAAATCACGGCTGGACTCCTGGACTCCTGGACTCCAGGTTGTAGAAGCTGACAGCCAGGGTAGCATGATGTGCACGGCTGTTCGGCATGTAACCATACCTCCGTTACAACTACCCTATTGTTCAAGGGTATATATTCAGCTGGTGTTTCGCATGTGAGAAGAAGCTTTCGGTAGCATCAGTGCCAAGGCCCTTCTTCCTCTTGGCATAACATACTGGTGGTCAAGTCTCAGCGATGCTGCCAAAATCCATCATCGCCGTCAGCACTGTCCTGGCAGGCGTTGCGTCTGGCCAAGCGACCTCTCCTCCTAAATATCCTTCGCCATGGATCAACGCGGACTTTAACTGGGACGATCCTTCTCCCGTTCCTACCAGCGGTCGATCTTGGGCGGAGGCCTATGACAAAGCTGTCCAGTTCGTGAGCAAACTGACTCTTCTGGAGAAGGTTAACCTCACTACTGGTGTTGGATGGGAGGGCGGAAGCTGCGTAGGAAACACTGGATCAATTCCTCGACTTAATTTTCCAGGTCTATGCAACCAAGATTCGCCCCTTGGTGTCCGTGACAGTAAGATCAGCCCCCATCGAATTGGCCCTTATGAGAACATTTCTAAGACAACTCCGTGTAGCGGATGAAAACTCTGCCTTCCCAGCTGGAGTCAATGTGGCAGCAACTTGGAGCCGCAGCTTGATGTACGCACGTGGTGCGGCTATGGGAGCTGAGCATCGAGGAAAGGGTGTGGATACCCAGCTGGGACCTGTAGCAGGACCCATTGGCCGTACGCCTGAGGGTGGCCGAAACTGGGAAGGTTTCAGCCCTGACCCGGTGCTCACGGGTGTTGGAATGGCTCAGACTGTTCAGGGAATTCAAGACGCCGGTGTGATTGCCTGTGCCAAGCATTTCATCGGTAACGAGCAGGAACATTATCGCCAGGGCGGCGCTTCCCAGAAGACGAACGGACAGAACAACAAGCTCGCAGAATCTTCCAACATCGATGACGTTACTCTACACGAGCTTTACCTCTGGTGAGAAATATCCCTATGAGAAACTTTGACCAGTCTATTGACTAATTCTCTTTCTAGGCCTTTTGCGGATGCAGTCCGTGCTGGAGTTGGTTCCATCATGTGCTCTTACAACCAGGTCAACAACAGCTACGCATGCCAAAACAGCTACATGCTCAACTACATCCTCAAAGAAGAATTGAACTTCCAGGGCTTTGGTAAGTCAAATCAGTGCTTTCTGATCGATGCAAAAGCTTACACATCTTAGTCATGAGCGATTGGTGGGCACAGCAGTCTGGTGTTGCCAGCGCCCTGGCTGGTCTTGATATGACCATGGCCGGAGATCAAGGTCTCGCTTCTGGCGATACCTACTGGGGAAGCAACCTTACCGCCGCTGTCATCAACGGAACCATTCCCCAGTGGAGACTCGACGACATGGTTGTGCGAATCATGACCTCTTACTACAAGATTGGCCGTGATGTCACCAAGGTTCCTGTCAACTTCAACTCTTGGAGCTTGGAGACCACTGGGCCAATCTATGCACAGGATCCAAGCAAGGGACAGACGACCATCAACCAGCATGTAAATGTGCAAGCCAACCACAAGAAGCTCATTCGCCAGATTGGTGGTGCTTCAACGGTCCTTCTCAAGAACACTAAGAAGGCACTGCCCTTGAAGAAACCCAAGAGTATCGCCGTCATCGGAAACGATGCCCACGATAACCCAGCTGGCCCCAATGCTTGCAGTGACCGAGGCTGCTCTAACGTCAAGAACGGCTACCCCATCTGGACCCTTGCTATGGGTTGGGGAAGTGGCACTGCCAACTTCCCATACTTGATCAGTCCCGTTACTGCTCTTTCCGCCCAGGCCGAGCAGGACAGAACCGGCTTTAGAAACGTCAGCAACAACTTTGACTCAAAGGCTATCATCAAGGCAGCTACCGGTGCGGAGGCCGCTATTGTGTTCGTCAACGCTGATAGTGGCGAAGGCTACATCACTGTCGACGGCAACCAGGGTGATCGAAACAACCTCACCGCCTGGGGTGGCGGCGACGCACTGGTCTCGCTGGTTGCACAGCACAACCCAAACACCATCGTTGTCATGCACACTGTAGGACCCATCATTGTGGAAGACTACAAGAACAACCCCAATGTTACTGCCATCCTCTGGGCTGGTCTCCCTGGCCAAGAGTCTGGTAACGCCATCACTGACGTTCTCTATGGCAAGGTCAACCCACAGGCTAAGTCTGTATTTACCTGGGGCAAGGACCGTGCTGACTGGGGCACCGATGTCATTTACGACACTGCCGAAGATCCCGTACAGATCCCGTATACTGAGGGAACCTTCATCGATTATCGTCACTTTGATGCCGCCGGTATTGAGCCAAGCTACGAGTTCGGTTTCGGTCTCAGCTACACTACTTTCACCTATTCTGATCTCCGAATTACCAAACACAAGGTCAGCAAGTATAAGCCTAACAAGGGAAAGACGTCATCTGCACCCACATTCGGAACTCTCAACAAGAATCCTGCCAAGAATGAGTTCCCCAAGAACATTGATCCCATTAACCTCTACGTCTACCCATACCTTGAAGGCCCCGTTCCCGAAGGACAGCCTGAAGACGTCCCTCCTGGATCTCAGGATGGCTCGCCCCAGAAGGTCGCCCCTGCCGGTGGCGCTCCTGGTGGAAACCCTGCCTTGTACGACGTTCTCTACACCGTCACAGCCCAAATCGAGAACACCGGAAAGGTGACCGGTACCGAAATTCCTCAGCTGGTAAGTGTTTCGCAAACCATCAACAATATTTGTCAATCCAAATTTGCTAATTTTTTGTAATAGTATGTGAGCCTGGGTGGCCCAACCGACCCTGTCCGTGTTCTGCGTGGATTTGATGACATTGAGATCCTTCCTGGCCGATCTGCTACTGTCACCTTCCAGTTGACCAGACGTGATCTGAGCAACTGGGACTCAGCCAGCCAGAACTGGGTTATCTCTTCTTACCCCAAGACTGTCTATGTAGGCAGCTCTTCAAGGACTTTGCCCTTGAGCCAGGTTCTTCCTTAGACATCGTGAGGCTTCGAATTGGCAAAGGGGTAGTAGACTGGGATAGTCATAGGAAAGATGTCAGAGCTTCCTGAGTGAAGCCAAACTTAATCCAAATACAGTAGTCTTTAATGAGAAAAAATTATCCGCGTCCCTCAGGCAGTTTTTTAAATTATCTTTTGAAGGCATTGTGGTTGGGGCGATACTAGAGGTTATTCTAGAATGTTAATTGCTATCAATCAACCAATTAGCCCCAACTTATCTCCCTATGGCGTATTAATATCATGAGGAGGCCGACACGTTGCTAAGTGACGTGCATCTGTTTGTAGACTTGGTTGCACAAGTGAATGGGATATGACTTTCTCGTGACGATCCAAGGATCCACTGCCATTATCCACGTCTGGGTTAAATTTGAGGCTAATATTATTTGGCATATCTCTTTCACCGCATTTTCAAGGAAGAGCTTCCAATATCTCGCCAATCTGATTTCTTCTTCTCTAGATGTATTGCTCTATCTCATCTAGAACTCTTGTAATCGACAAACAGAACAGGTTGGACTCTCGTGAGTTGCGTTAGCTAGGAGAAAGCCATAAAACCATATTGATTCTCAAACTGAGATATAGGCAGCAGATATTTGAACCAGACCTGAAACAAGTCCAGGCCTCAATTATGTCTTGCATCCTTGAGACCAAATACCCATTCCATCGATAGCCAACTGAAATTCCAGTGTAGTAGGGGGGACAGTTAATGGTCTACAACCGGTATAAACTGAAATTGAGGCTTATCGGAAGTAAGCTTATTAAAATGAGGAGTTGCTACCGGAATTATAAAAGCTAGGCTGTACCAAACTTCTTTTTATATCTCGATGGAGAGAAACATATAAAGCTTGTTAGATTGACAAGCTTTCTTTAGCTCAATAAGGATCTTGTCATAGTCTCAATCGAGTCATATACCTGCCTTTTTAGTAAAAAGAGCCAAGGGCTTTTGCGCCACTTAATTAACGGGCTGGGTACTATTCCGTACTCAGTTAAAGGCAACCTCGCCCCTGAAGAGGAAGCGCAGACTACCCCACACCTCCCCTACGGTCCATACAATATAAGCTTCTTTAATACTCCGTAGGTTGAGGATGAAATTTTTCGGGAAGCAATTAACATGATCTGCTTGTAATGAACACTTCCAAGTCATGTCCATAGTTCCTAGGTGACTTTGAAAGGCATGTCGCCATCTTCGGGGTTCCTTCTTGTAGATTCTATTTGACAAACTACTATGTTACAATCATATATTCGTCGTTATCCGGTGATGAAGTCGACAGTAGCAGCTTTGTCGACATTTTGGGTATGTATCTAAAAAGCCCTTCACTCTCTAAGAACGCCATAACAACAGTACAATCATCTGCAGATGCACAAACATATTTCAATTTGATCGAATGGATGTCAGTACTACCATGAGATGGATGTTCTAGCTAAAGGAAAATGGTCGCTCAGCATATGTTATCCACCCTAAACTTTGGCTTTCTATCCAAAACACATGATAGAGTGGGCTTGCACACGAGAAGTCCTTGCAGCCGTGGGAGGCGAAATATGACGGCTCAGAACCTCTTGGCCACCTGAATTGCTCATACTTTCACATCGCTTTAAATGGACGAGTTATCCAACTAGTCATAAAATAAAGCCTAATTAAGCTGCTAACCATTTATTTACAAAGTCCAACTATGCATTTGACCCTTTACTCGATTTGTTCTCTTCTCAATTTACAAGCATTGAGAGTAATATGCGTTCGAGTACGTACATGTTGAACCAGAAGCGCATACAAACGGCCCAGGCCAACCTTGGCCTCCACACTGACCGTATTTACTATTATTCTTTATTAGCATGATATCACGCCTCCTGAATTGGGGAACAACTTACGTCTGGGTAGGACCCGCAGAGCTTGTCGTCCTTGAAGTTGTTGGCCGAATGGTAGTGCTTGGTCTCGTAGTGATAGTAGATGAGACGCTGCTACGCGTAGTTGACGGTCTAACTGAGGTGGTTCCGGAGGATGCAGGGCCGCCACATCCTACACGACTAGATCCAATCGCAACATCATCAAACCAGACGGTGTTGACATCTCCGCTGTAGGCTTCCCAGCCAAAGTAGACACCCGTGATGGCAGGAGTATAAGATTGTCTGGTCCAGCCAGCGTCATTCGGATTGTTAGCATTTGGCCCAGCGGTCATACCCGAGATCTCGTTGCCGTTCAACCAGGTGTCAATGGTTCCATCAGTGCCCAGATGATACTCAAAACACTGGAACGAGCCGGTAGGTAAGTCAACCGAGGAGGCAATGCCTGCTGGGGATAGGTCCGGAAGTGTAGCATCGTCGGATTCGCGGTTGTAATCGAGGACTTCGCTTTGACCACCGACACGGAGATGCTTACCGCCCTGAGCGGTGTCTGGCATCACAGCGAATGTAACGTGGTCGTTGTTGAGAGCAGTCTGAAGTCGACTGGACGTGCCCACTCAGTATCCGTATGTTTCAGTCCCTAACAAGAGTACTTACAGCCAAACTCTAACATATACATCGCCGGCCGGCACCTGGGTAGTGCCGAAAAAGATGTGTCCACAATAGCCATTGGGTCCACCGACGACCTTGATGGAGTTGCTGCCACTATGAGCTACTGTGGTGTCAAGACTGACGCTTCCGCCCTGATTACAATCTGGTGCATAGGTGGGCCATGTAGTCTGGTCCCAGCCATTCTCAAAATCGTCCGAGATTTGCGCAACGGAGAGTGATGAGAGAGCCGCAAAGGCCAGCAGAGCAGCTTGGCGAACCATATTTGTCCAAAATGACTGGTCAGAGAAGGAGACTGCTAGAACTAGGGTCTGGATTGCTTAACGATATGTCTAAAGCGGACTGATAGGATAAGATTTATATATGTACATCACAAGACCGTTCCGCCTTGTCTCGTATTGTCTGTTAATTCCAGACTCTCTAAATTACAACATCATTAAAGTAGCACTCTATCCATGTATCAGCTGTCAGAATCTGACTGTGGCATTAACCCGCTCTGCCTATATGGATGTGAACTTAACCTTTGACACTTTTGCGGCTAAAGTAAAATGGGAAAATATTTTTTGCCTAAAATAGCCAGGATTAGACGAGCTGTGACCAGGAGTCAGTATCACAATACATTTCCCACCGACAAATCTTGGCCTGAAGCTCTGGATTTGTACTAGTGGATCACCTAGGGGAGCCGGGCAAGGAATGGCATCATGTCACCGAGAGAGTGCAATGGCAATTCCAATCTAATTGATATGTTAATGACTAACTATCTAACCCATATAAATGAATGTTATGAAGTGACGTTATATACCGGGTTAACTATATAGGACCAAGTCTCTTTGTTCCATAATGCAGTGAAAAAATCATGACATCATCCCAAAATACAGTAATTCGGTCTTAATCGGTCGGATAGTCCGTTTCTCCGATAATACCTTGCCCAAATACCTGCTGCAGCGACCATCAGAGTCGGTGTGTAATATCACTATGAGTATAGAAAGTATAGACGTCACTTGGTATTTTCAAGAGTGGACGAGTTCAAATTCAGCAAATTAAAAGATTGTTCCTCCTTCAGCTCAACAACTAAGTTTTGGCAGGTTGGCCCATGGCTCTTTAATGGAAGTTCCGTGGGTCTTCGTAGATGTACCGGCCATTTTGACTATCTGGAAACGCACTGAGCATAGTAGGGATTCAAGGTAGTGCAAACGGCGGGCGAGGCGCAGATAGTCGGGCCAGAGTAGCCACTGCCACCGCACTGGCCGTATAAAGTCTGAGTTGGGCCGCCAGCGGGTGCAGACGTTGTGCGAATAGAGGAAGAGGTGGGCCTGGATGTAGCCCCCGACGAGGTTTTCGTAGCAGATGCAGATGAAGCTCTGCTGCTTGATGAACCTCCACCGCCAGGAATGGTGGCGCTGCTTGTAGCCGTTGCCGCGGAGTTACCCTGGGCAACACTTGAAGGGAGGCCTGCTACCAAACTGGGACCGGGCATGGTATAGGCAAGAGAGCTGGTGTAGATGTTGACGAGAATACCAGGGTCAGATTCGTGGTAAAGGTCGGTGGCTAGGACGCCGGTAGGCTGCAGTGATCCAGTGCCTGTGACGGCGAGGTTGAAGCACTGGGGGTAGTTCTGGGCGCCGTCCGGCTGTCCAGAGCTGTGTAAGGCGATGAGCTCGTGGCGTAGCACGTAATTGCCCGTCTGTAGATCTTTGGGGATCTGCACAACCCAGGTATTGTTGTTGGTAACGAGCACGTTCTGGGCCCAGTTGCCCGGGTCCGCCCCGCTGATGAGACCAACGCCATCAATCTTGAAGAATTCAAGCGTCGTCTTATCCACAGTCTCGCAATCGCCGTTGCAGTTAGCTAAGTAGTCGACGATGGGGCCTGGGTGTGGCCACGGAAGCGGCAGCCACTGGAGTAGAATAGAATCTCCGGCCTTGACAGATGCATGCCCCTTAGCATTGGTAGCATTCTTGTGGCAGACGATATCGGGGCCTTGATATGCGTCGGGTGCAACAAAACCTGCAGAATAGTATAAGCGTCAAGGCACGAGAAGAGTTAATAAATCCAGATGAGAGGCATTTACCATTGTCAAGATCCGCAGCCGTCCAGCCTATCACAATGGGCGGGTTTGGCATGTATGGAAATGATGTCGGATCATAGCCCTGATAGTACACCCCATTGACGATAATGTTGTTGACATGTCCATGTCCGACAACGCCAGTGGCTACCGTTAGTGCGGTGGCAAGGAGGTTGGAAAGCTTTTGAGCCATGTTTGTAAATAGCACGGAATAAAAATCTTGCTGCTGTGTATGCATGAAACAACGTTTCAACAGACGATCCATACCGGATGATTATGTCGGTATTTATGCATCACGGCTCGGTACTAATAGTGGCCCATCGAACTGCTTTCTTACAAAACGGTTTCCTTTGCCTTCTGGAGCGCCGAATTATCCGCCAATTTAGAAGCCAAGAAAACATAACATCGCGGCTAAATAATTTAACCCAGAAGTAGAACAATGGAACGTCTTCTCCCGACATGAAGTATCATTTATGCGGAGAAGGTTGCAGCGGCTAGAAAAGATTGGCACCTACATGGTAACAGCCGCTTTTAAGCTAGGCAAATCAAAACATCGTTTACCGGAAGCTTTTGGCCTATTAGGTCCAAGACCCGCTTAGTAAACGGACTGTAAACGGGGAGCAGCCGAGCAAAATTGTCTATTCAGGCATATGGGTTTTAAAAAACAAGTTAGTAAGACATCTTTTCCACCGAGAATGGACTACGTTGGCACTCAATAATGCCGCATTCTTCCCGTGTTACCCGTTTCGGTATATAGGACTCTTGTGGCCATTTTCATTATGTAGGAAACTAGAGTCCAAGATATAAGCCATATGAAAACAGGAGAAGAAAATTCGGTAATCGAATGACTTCTTTTCAGATTTTCAGAACTGGTGCTGAATTCTTTGACTGTGAAACCAAGAGACATTAATATGCAAACGTCAACACGCGGCTTTGAATAGCTAAGTATTTTATGTGTAGGGTATACAGCTGAACCCAGCCCAAATAGCACGTCTCCATGTATCTCCCAAGTCATCGAATCACTCTCTCTATAGCTATATTTCTCTATTTACTCTCAATATAAAGGCGTATCCTTTAATTGGTCTTATAGATAGCCACGTACTTGACCCTCATAGAGGCATCATACCCACTGACAGTGCTCGCGGTTGGATTTCCTGGATATCCTCCACCAACGGCTACATTCAGAATGATATAGTATGTGCTTTGGGCTAGTTGTACCCACTGCTGGTACGTCCCGACCATAGCACCCGTGACAGAGTAAAATTGAACACCGTCCAGATACCATATCAAACTCTGCTTCGTCCAGTCGGAGTTGCGGAGATCCACCTTGAACGCCCAAGTATGGTACTGTCCGCCCTGGTAGGTTACCCTGCCGTTGAATGCCCCATTGTGATTGCCGTTTGCGTCCTGGAAGTGCAGCGTTCCTTGGTTCTGGTTGCTCATCTTATCCGTCACCTCGAAAATGTCCCACTCGCCACATTTTGGCCATGGGACCCCGCTGCTACGATAGTTGTTTCCTTTCGCCCAGAAGGCTGGCCAGAGACCAGCAAATTTGGCTGGGCTGCCGGTAAAGTCGGGAACCCAAAGCTCGGACTGAAATATCATAGCTCCGCCAGTGTCGCACACCTGCGCAGTGTTGCTCTCGAGGCGGCCCGAATACCATTTCCCATCAGACTTGGTGGGTACGATGTACAGCTGACCATCACCCGAAAGATGAACATTGTCGGTGCCCGATGTGTAGGTTTCCACCTCTCCGTTAGCGTTATTGGATTTAGCGATTTGCACCCATTTGCTGTGGTCGACGCCAGCGTAATGGTCGCCATTGAAGTCATCGGACCAGACGACGTGGTAGCCAGACAAGCTAGGGATTGTTGCGAGTGTGGGGGCCCATAGGAGGGCAAGGACAGGGAGATAGGAGAGCATAGTGAGCTTTCGTGAGGGTAATTCCCTTGCGTTGATATCTGCAAAGATGAATTGTTTGACTTGGATATCCTTTGGATGTAGAAACCTGCCTCTTTATATAATTTAGACAATGTGGTAGAGGAAACGGATCCACCATATTTAAGCTTATCACAGGTTAGACCCCAAGGCACAATTTGTAGAGACAATCCCCTATTTTTAGAAGGCTCTCGACACAGACTGATCATAAATCTCGGCCAAGCCCCGAAGAACACATTTTGAGCGTAAAGCGGCTTGTGAACTTCCTATTTCTGTCAACGTTGGGTTCCTGCTGCTGTCTTTGAACTCCACTTACCCCAAGCTTAAGAAATGGGTATCCAACTTTATGCCCGAGCATGTCCACTAGCCTCTCAGCCCTAAACCACAAGTTGCCCAATCCAGTTGCGTGATACACCAGTGGCGCACTTCGATTTACTCACTCTGCAGCCTGACCTTGCAGTCGCTAACTCAAGTCAATCTCACTGCATGATAATGGCCGGCGCATCTGCGCACGTTATTCCATTTCTAGAAGTTTCAGGGTTTAAACTCGTATAAGTCCCATGATAACTCTGCATATGACAATCCGTATTCGGGGAAACCATCAGGCCACTAATCGCAATCGCAGCAATTAATGTGATAGAGCTAGCTATTTATGAGGTATCTATCTGTTATGAGACACAAAGTGGTTGCACTTAAACGTCCGTTTTTGGTGACATGTTTGCATAAACAACGTGGAATCTACAAGCTATCTCACTAATGAATCACAGCTCTATGTTTGGGGGCTTATTGGGAGTCACGGCATATTTCAAAACTTATTTTGTTAGCTCCTTGATAAGAACGAGGTAATAGGAATACTATCGACTATATCACTCTTGTTCAGGGTTCATATCTGAGAGGTTCTACACGTCACGGCATTCTACCAGACAAATCCGTAATTTTCTCACCGCATTTACAGTTATTCGCTACAATTGGGAGAGAAGAGCTAGCTTAGACTTTTGACAAGACTTAATTTTAAGTTTAAATGCTAATGAGACGTTAATGTAATGAGGGGACGTACTAGGTATTTTCTACCTCTTGCATTCGAAGGAGTACATACCTACCTAGGTACTTCTGTGAGGAGTAATAACCTAACGAATAGCCCGCCTACCAAGTGGGACAATCCAACGGACGTTTTGAGAAATGGGGCTCGCCTATAAAGGGGAAATACCCAATTGATGCCAGTTAAAAAAGATCGTGTAGTTAGAGTGTTCCCTACATCCTCTTCACCTTTCGTGAAACCCTAGGAGAGCCACTCGCTAGGCAGCTCACCACTAGTCGATTCAATTGGTTCTGCAAGACAAGCCCACTACGTGTATTTTGCCCACGGGGCTATCTGCAAAGAATACCTTGTTGAAGTTTACTAAGTCAATCTTCTTGGGCGTAGCGGCTGGCGTGTAATTGTTGGATGATAGGTCGATTTCGCTTCCAGCACTGGCGCCTGTACTGTAGAGGACTATCCTGCGGACCTTCAGCTTGTTATCAGACCATTCTTACCGTATATCTCGTGTTTGAAGACACAACCGTAGAGGAAAGGTTTGGTCATCGACGAGAGTTGGCTAAATGCCTCGAGTATATTGTAATATGGCAATACGAAGGCCATTAAAAGTATACCTCAAATTGGGGTGACTGAACTGGACGGTTTTCTACGTGTCCAGCTAGGCTATAAGAGCGGGGACATCGATCTTACTGTGCTATCACACGACTTAACAGACAAATGGTTCTCGGCTGAAAAGTCGCTAGTCCCTCTTCCTAGTCTATTCTCCCCTTTTTAGAGGACAAGTACGTGCGGTGACAACGAGGCCAGCTTTGCCACCTCCAAAGACGACAAAATGGTGAGCCTTGGCCACAATATCCTCACGCAAGGCCTTGGACGATGGTTTTGGCGGATAAATGCAAACATTGTCTGCTTCTAGACAGTGAGGGAAATTTGGAAGCCGTTCTTACCTCGGCTTAGATACGCAAGTACATCCTTAATCTCACTGCTTTGTACATGAGTGAAGTCCTTAGAGTGCGCCAAATAGACTTCTAGATCTATATTCCTTTCGGCCGTGTCGGCAGCATCATTCTACGACCCCACTCTCGGCTACTACATTTATTTTTTAATTTTTCTTTCCTGAAAAAGAAAAGCATCTTAATATTGATTCTAAACAACTTATTCTCTTTATGGGTGACCCCAAAAGATTTATCTGAGCGGGGGAGAGACGATCAAAGGCCGCGGAGCATATGTTATCGTGGCTCGCATATTCGGGTACGTCTGGATCGCATTAAGGAATGTTGAAAACACAGCAATTAGGATTTTACGTTGTAATCCATATACATCTGCGATTATTCCTTTGTACAGGAACTCCGGGGACCAGGGCATTATGTACATGGCGGTTAATCATGGGACTCGACGCTTACATTTATCCCCGCATAGATTCGGACATAATTATGTCACAACTGTTGGAAGGAAAGGCGCGATTATGCAGCAACTTTGTGAATCCCTCGTATCAAAAATGACCAAGGATCAAGATAAGTAAAATAGAGGAGGAGAGGGCGTCTAGAATACCGAATTTATCGTTTTCATCGAAAGTTTGACGAATTGTAACACGGCTAGCTCACCAATCTGGAATCCAAAACTAATTTTCATACTTCAGGCACCAATCTTGGTATACTCATGGCCCTATAGAAAGATGAAAAGGGATTTGATGTATTTAGAAAGTCTCGGTGTGTGAGCTTAGTTGTATTAACTGTTTTGGTCCATGTCCCAGCACGACGTACTTGTAGACGACGGGTGATGAACTAATTGCATCTCTAAAAGGGTCTGCGTTCTAAGCTAGCCTAGCTGATGTGTCATCCCTCCGAGCATTACCTGTACCTAATGATATCCGTGAACAGAGACAGAGGGGCAAAATTAGGTGACGACGCCAATCCGACCAAGCCAATTCACAGAACATAATAAACATGATACCTTGTCTTCGCAGGCATTCTGGGGGAGTTGCCAAGAATAACAAAGACAGACTACATGGACAAAAGTATATAGACGAGTCGGTATGAAATATTGACGACGCATTATAGGCTTTAACTCCCATATGTCATCACCCTGGAGAATTGATTTCTCAAAGAGTATCCACTATACACGGCTACACCAGGCTCGGATGCATTACATTCAAATGTACCACTAAAATAATTAGACTATTAGATACTATAGTGACTATTAGCAACTTTTAGTGAGAGATTGATGTGGGAGAGCCGATTGCTAGAGGTACAAGTCAGAGGCAGCGGGTGTGTAATTACAAAGCAACTAAGAAACACCAGATAGCTTCCGCCGTGGCTCGGAGTATCCCATGATGAAGCTAAGAATATTATTAAAAGCGTTAAGTAATCTTTGGACGGTCACTATGACAAGGCTCCAGGACAGCAAATACTTACCTTACTATTGTAGAAGCAAAGTTTATACACAGTTTACGGCCTTGTTAATAGATATATAAAGGCCGGTTGCTCCTCGAGCTACTGGGTGACCTCTGAACTCATGCAAAAAAGCCTTTCCAGAGCCCTCATCGTAAGAAATTTCCATCAGAATATACCTGATTCGATTGAGGGATAAGGCTATTTGATATGGCGAATCATCACTTTGGCAATATGGACGGCAAGCCTGCCAACTATAAACCAGCGTATCGCCCAACAGTCGAGGAGTTGCTCCAGCGTAACAAGTACTACTCCTTGAACCACGTACTGTTCACTTGAAAACTTGTCTGACATCGCGCATAGGGAGTACGCGGCCACTGTGCATAAACCTTGGCCTGACTTGGGCGAGTTGCTGGAATGGACTTCGCCATCTACTATTGTCAGTACGTACAATTTTCACATTGAAATCCAGACGTTACACTTAAACTAATTCTCTGCAGTTGCCTGTTCTGATCCGCGATGCGATCCTCAGCAATTTATGCAGGGGAGAAGGGGTGGTAAGTCTCACGATTGTTCTTAGTCCTCGCCATGCCTCCTCGATACATGATGCTGAGCTGCATATTTACAGAAATTGCTGCAATTAGAAATCTAGGTGGTCAGGTCGAGATCAGTATCGTGGATATCGCTACTCTAGACAGCGAGTTCCAGTTCAAGGAGCTCGTGATCGTTCACCACACTAATTGTGGCGTCCAAAGTTTGACGGCAGATGGAGTCTCTGAGTACTTGAAGGAGAATCTTCCCAGTGCCACTAAAGAAGAGCTGGCAGCATTTCCGATCACTCTTTTCTCAGAGTATGTTCCCTAATCTTCCGTCTTCGTTACCGACCCCTTCTGTTTATCAATGTCTGTCGTGATAACATCAAAGCTGACTGTGGTGTATCACAGTATGGAAGAGGGAATAAGACATGACTTGGAAGTTGTGCGGAAATCACCTTATATTCGCAAAGAATTGAAAGAATCAGCCAGAGGGTTTATTTTTGACATTAGAACTGGGCTTTTGACACCAGTGGTTCAAGATATATAATATCTTTTAAAACTCTACTCTGGCTTTATATAGGAAAACTAGACCGATAGAGTTCCCTCTCCAACCCTAGCGTTACACTGGCACACGTTTTTGATGCTCCTTTTCATAGCGCTAGACTGGTTCTTCAATATCTTCACCGTAGCCCTTGAGTTTACTCATATCCTAGTTAAACCGATAAGCTCTTTACAGTATGAAACGTAAGCTATTCAGAATGTGGAAGTTGTAATGACAATTGGTACATAAATCGGCTGGTACAATATGAACGTAATGAAACAAGTTAGAATGACAAGAAGAAGAAGAGGAGCAATTAGTTTGCTATCAAAGTCGCAGTGCTTCCTCGATTAACGCGTCTCTTTTGGCAACAACTAGAAGAACCAAATTACTCAAGGTGTCTGTCACGATGTGCACGCTGCAGACGTAATTGACAGTGAAATTGGTCCTTTTTGAAGCTAGATAAGGAGATAATTCCTCGCTAAGTGAAGAAATATGTTTAGCTATTGTTTTGCAGACTTATCAGCTTCCTTTTGCAAAAATACATTGCCGGCTAAAGTTAGCTCGCTAACTAATTCGACCTGAGTTGATGCTGCCATTCATGAAGAAGTATCCTGATGAGATCCATCGTGTTTGCCAAATGTGTTGCAAGTACTCATGGCTGACAGTACTTGTAACACTCACATTACCGGCCTTCCTTGTCCGATGATCTCCAGATTTCAGCCGACACGTAACTCAGTAGGCTGATTATACGTTGTTTCTCCTTTTCTCACAAAGGAAGGCTTACGGATTCACTCCCTTCAATCTGATCCAAAGTGGTAGCTTTGTCATCGAATGATATACCTTCATAGGCCTCATTTGACCATCTAAACCCCATTGCCGATTCACCGCTTCATGGTCGTTTCTGTCAAGCTCAATATCAAAGTTCCACAATATTGTGGCTGCAATGAGTCTCATCTCAAGATACGCTAGGTTCTTCCCAATGCATACCCTAGGTCCTGTTCCGAATGGTAGCGATGCATTCAGGTGGTCATCTAGGAACTCCGCGTCCTCCCCTGGCCACCTCTCTGGTTTGAAGGTATCAGGATCACGGAAGTTAACAGGAGAGTGTGTTGATACCCATGGAGGTACGGCCACTGTGGTTCCTGCAGGAACATAATATCCAGCAATGGTAGCGCCACCTGAAGGGACTACACGCTGCTGACTTGCAGGTGATGGTGGGAAAAGACGCAGAGCCTCGTTTAACGTAGCCTCGAGGTACGTCAATTTTCTAACATTGTCCCATTTGATCTCATCGTTGGCCGTAAAAGCGTTTCTGATTTCCGCTGTAAGTCGCTTGTATACATCGGGGTGAGTGCAAATGTAGTATGTCCACCCGACTAAAGCCGTAGCAGTTGTGTCAGTTCCAGCACTAATAAATAAGGCCATGTTCAGCTGAATTTCAGTTCTGGATAATAGGCTTTTGGACTCGTTGTTCAGAATGTGGTACATGAAATCTGTATGTTCTCTGTTAGTGTCTTGCAGGCGACTAGCTGTTTTCTCGCAGGAATTGTTCAAATGGATCGATCGCCATGAAGCAGCCTTCGCAGGGACCAGAAGCCATGTCATGAGACGCTCAAGCCACGTGCCAACCCCAGATATTCGGCGGATGCCCTGCGTCCACGTAGCCGCTACGAAAACGTTGATGACAGAGGTTGACCACTCGGTAGCTGAAGCCTGATCCAAGCATCCAAAAGGCTCTGCAAAGCAAAGGTCACCCATCATGTCAAATGCCAGGTATGTATCTGTGGCCGTTGTCAGCGGATAGGGCGAACGGAGAATATTATCACATGCGGATTCATACACCAGTCGGAGACATTCACTGCCTGCTTCTCAGATGCCGCCTTCTCGAGCACAGATACAAGTTTCTGAACATGGATTTTAAGAATGTCTTCGAGTTTGGCCAGTGCGCTGTTAGAGAACAGATATCCCAAAGCCTTGCGCTGCCGGGTATGTTCTTTATTCAGTGCTAGGCTCACGCCAGTCTCCCCATTGACGTTTCCTACTGCCCCGAGAAATATAGGGCTCTTCTCCATGAGAAGGCCGCCTTTCTTCACGGTCTTGAGTTAGTTAGGAATTCTTATGTCGAGTTTGAAGCGCTTACGCGAAACCCATAGATCTCTTCCCGAGCCTCCGTGGTAATGAAACTCAGCTCGTTGGGAGAAACTCGCACGACCAAGCCATACTTTTCATGCAGAGACCTGTAGTAAAGGTGCTGATCTCCCCTTACCAGAGCTATTGCAGCAGGCAGTTCTGACAGGCTGTTGAGCCAAGGACCAGGTACTGAACGTAGCGGGTGAAAGACTCGATATTGTAGAATACGAACAACAAAGCCAATGAGGAACTGCAGAGAATAAGCAAAGGCTGCGGGGTTGGTCAAAGTTGCATGTACTCACTAGGACAGAAAATGTCGAGGCAACCGAGGTTACAGAGAGCATTTGGGCTAGCATGATGGAAGTGATGTTGGCCTCAGCCTTTTCCCCTCAAGGCTGTTCTCAATTTATTACTGATCTTGGCCTGTGAACACGATTTAAATAGTGTGATTTTTAAGGCGTAGAAATTAGTGCCATCGCGTGGTCAAATCCATACGCACACACAGTTGCTGCTTGATTCATACGTGCGACTAATAAGCCCTCGCTCAATCAACCAAGGAAGTTTCTGGAGCAAGCAGGGTAGGAGAGTATAAATTGTCCCCGTATGGAGATTGTTTACTCCCTCATTTCTACGCGCGTACAGCAGTTCCCGCAGTGGTGGGGAGCGTGCCAACCCTGGAAGTTTTGAATGGGTTGTCCGTTGTCCTATGGCGCTAGAAGCGCATGGTGCAGTCGCATTGCATGAAGCAAAAAAGAAAAGGGAAAAAATAACAGAAAAGAAAAGAGCTCAAAATAACTCTTTGTGGATGCTGGTTTACTTCCGATGCGGATACAACCACACCCCGCAGATGAACGCTATTTCTGCACCATATGGAGTACACTCTCGCACCCTTGCAGGATTCAAAACAGTGGCGAGTTGCGTGGTTTTGCTGGTGTGGGCATGTTGAATGAATGATGCGGTTCAGCGTGGATCTTGTCATAGTTCTGTTTGTCGCCCCTATGGTCTTTATAATATGGCGCAGATACTCACTCTTGTTATACCGCAGAGACTGTCCCAAATCATCTCACTGTTTCCGGCAGCTTAGCCCTAAGATTTACACTGGGATCAATACTGAAAATGGGGGACACGGAGGAGCTGGCGACGGAATACACCCGGGTTAACAACACCCAGTACGGCGCCGGGTTGTTTCTCCTCGATAGACTCAATATTGTCCCGGGCATGAAAGTTCTCGACGTCGGGTGCGGACCTGGAAATCTCACAGCTCACATAGCGCAGATTGTCGGGGAGAACGGTAGCGTTGTGGGCATTGATCCCAGCACGGAACGCATTTTGCTCGCACAGAAGATTCAGAAGCCAAACCTGTCATTCTATGTAGGCCATGCCGAAGACCTATCGCAGTTTCCTACAGAGAGCTTTGATGCGGTTTACGTGAACTCTACTCTGCATTGGGTGCAGGATCAACCTGCAGCAGTGAAGGAGTTTGGTCGCCTGCTCAAACCAGGAGGGCTACTTGGCATTTCAGGCGGATCAGGCGATACGCTCAGCGCACAGGAGAGGATCAAAGCCGATGTGCTATCTAGGGAGCCATATCGAAAATATCCGGAAGAGAGCCCACCCAAGTTTCTCAAGCGGCGAGAGCTCGAATCTCTTTTGGACGATGCTGGGTTCCCAGAGAGAAGCATCGTCGTCAACAAGATCACAAAGTCGACCAAGGATGCCGATGAAATGATTGACTGGTTGGATGCAAGCTCAACTGGAAAGACATATGGCAGCATTCCTCTGGATCTACGGCCAAGTGCAAGGGAGGAAATGAAGACGGAATGGAACAAGCTTCTTGTGGAAGATGGAATTCACATGGATATCGATCTCTTGGTGACTGTGGCGGTTAAAACCTAAGCTTTATGGTAATGCTACACTGGACACTACTGCCCTAGATTTTGGCGAATAGAATTGAGCTCTTTTCGTCTGTACAATATTCTGGCACTGCTTGTCACGTCTCTTAATTTATGTCGGGCCATGTAGGTGTTAGCCATGCTGGGCTGCCTTGTGCTGCGAACGAATAAGCGATGCCACTGCGGCCGTGGCTGGGGGTGGGCATCCAGTACACGTACACTATTCGTGACATGACATGGGCGGATCTTATTGACCGCCAGAGGTGTAACCTTTACCAGCCTGGCCCCTGGTGAGTGATATTCTTGTTACTCAAGAAGGAATGCTACACAGGGTGTTATAAGTGAGACCCATTCACTCTGGAGCCAAGTTATCTATTGTCTTTTGAGACCGTGTTAAAGTGGAGGGTAAAATGTCATCTTCACGCACTCCAACATGGCCTTCGCAAGACATAGAGCAGACGAGCAAGGAAACCACAACCAATTCGGAATCAATGGGAGCTACATACCCTGCCAATCCTTCAGCAAGTTCGAGTTCGAAGAATGTCAACCAGCGGGATGGATCATGCACCTCGCTCTCAGTTTGGTGGGACGAGCCAGAGGACCAAGATCCCGAAAATCCCATGAACTGACCTGCGACAAAAAAAATGGGCCAACATTCTGACGATTTCCGTCATGAGCTTTCTGGTGTAAGCGTGAGAGCCTCCAATGGCCAGACCATCCAAGGCACGGCTTGAATCATCTGCTAATACTCAGCAGGCCACTCGTATCATCGGTGGTCGCGCCAGCGGTAGAGCTTATATTGGCAGACTTCCATTCTAGCTCGACAACATTTCCGACCTTTGTACTGTCAGTATTTGTGCTGGGCTTCGCTGTCGGACCACTGCTTCTCCCTCCACTAAGTGAGCTGTATGGTCGTGTCATTGTCTACAATGTCACGAATGTGCTCTTCGTCGTGTTCACCATCTTGTTTGGCCTCTCATACAATGAAGCGATGCTCCTTGGCTTTCGGTTTCTATCTGGGTTCGCAGGTGTGGCCACAATATCGATAGGCCCGGCCAGTATTGCAGACATCATGCCCCGGGAGAAAAGAGGAAAGGCCGTGTCACTCTGGGCTGTAGGCACCGTGATTGGCCCAATGGTAGGCCCCATCATTGGTGGTTATGTGACAGAAGTTCTCGGTTGGAGATTGATCTTCTGGATTATCTCAATCATAGTAAGCCACCGCTAAGCCGCTGCCTCGGACAAAAAAAGCTCATCACGTTAACCATGGATTTTATTAGGCCGGCCTTGTCACGGTCGTCGCTCTAACCATTTCAAGGGAGACATACCCTCCAGTGCTCCTGGAAAGGAAAGCAAGCCGACGCAGGAAAGAAACTGGAAATCCCAACTATCGGTCTAGGCTCGCTTCCGACTTAGGCCTTCGAGAGCTTGTCATACGAAGCATCATGCGACCCTCCAAGATGCTAATCCTTTGTCCAATTGTCACGACCAGCTGCGTCTACATCTGTGTGCTGTACAGCATCATCTACATATTCTTCTCGACATTCTCAATCATATTTAAAGAGGTCTATGACTTTTCTACCTTTGATTCCGGGCTAGTGTTTATTGCCTGTGGCATTGGGACATTGTCAGGACTTGCTTATCTGGGGTATTTCAGCGACAAGACTTTAGAGAAACGGGTACGGGCCGAAAGGCTGATTACGCCGGAGGACAGGCTACCCTTCCTAGTCACAGTACCTGGAGTCTTGAGCTTTTCACTTGGGATATTTGTGTATGGGTGGGGAGTGGAAAAACATGTTCATTGGATCGTTCCCCAGGTTGGAACGGCCATGGCAGGGTTCGGTTACATTCTAATATTTACAGCCGTCCAAACCTATCTCATCGACGCCTTCGAGGATCACTCTGCCAGTGTCAACGGCGCTAATGCGGCACTCAGAGGTCTTGCCGGGGCACTAATCCCTCTTGGCGGCCTGGACCTGTACAAGACATTGGGATGGGGATGGGGAAACTCCCTGCTAGCCTTCATCGCACTTGCTTTTGCACCATTTCTCTGGATCTTGGCTGTGTATGGTGAGAAGATTCGGAGAACACAGCTGTTCAAATCAAGGCTCTGATGCCTTGCAAATGGAGGCCATTTGGTCCATTTGATAATAGAGAAGAAAAAGATGTAGTAAATTTACTCTAAGATATAAGACATATAGGGTAATGCGTCATCTATCTGTCAAAATAAACAGCTCGACCACTCCGTCCGTAGCAACACAGGTTGCTTATATATTTGGTTAGCGATCTAATCCATTCCCAAGTGGCTATCAACGTGTTGCGCTATCATCCAATCCGAACTATAGTATTCTATGGATTCGCTAGTTACAATCTACTGACAATCATGTTGTCCGGTTGAGCTGTGAACCTTGCAATCAGCTCACTGCGGGAGACGTCTTCCAGATGAAGCTTCCGGAGGCTTCTCCCAGATTCAAAATAATCGACACCAGTAATCATTTGGGCAAGGACAATAATGGCCTTGATGGGTGACGCATCTATGCCAAGCTTCTCAGCAAGGTTATGCCAGCAAACAAGCAGATCAGGAACGTCCTCTGAGATATTTCGGTTTTGAAGATCAGACGGAGCCTTGAGTCCCTTGTGGGGACCTGAATTCCTTGCCAAATCTACTAGGTCCAAAAAGTCGTGGCCGTAGCATTCGTTGGATACTTTCAACGCACTTTTCATGCTGTGCCCAAATGCCTTGCCTATTTGCATCCGCACTTGATCGACCACGATCATGGCCTTGGCAACGGAGCTCGTCAGGCCATCTCGATATAAGAAAAAGTCACCACCAGTGTCTTCGATGCGAGCAGCGTTCATCAGCATCATCAATGGATGAAACACGCCGTTTACGTTTAACAGGCAAACTTCGAGGACACTGCTGCACCAGCAAAGATCCACTGGCATGATTTCTTGTACCGCGTCGTATACTGCCTGACTTGGAGGACTTTGAAGTGCTGCGATAAAGATGAGACTCTTTTTGCCCAGAATCACCACCACATCCTTTTCCATCCGGCAGGAATATGGAGATAGGTTGGTCTCCAGGACGCATCCGATCTCGATATCAGCAATGAGAGAGAATAAGTTGCCCGGTATGCAGATGATGGTGTGATGTTGCAGAGGAAATGTTCTCAGTTCCTGCAAAACTGTCTCGTGCCCAGTCGATGGAACCGTAATGATGATAATCGTGGAGAACTCAATAATCTCACTCATATCCGTGGTGATACATACGGGCATAGAGCCCTCAATCTTTCCCCGTACGGTCAATAGGCCCTTGTCCATGACCTCGTTGGCATATCGGAGGTGCTCTGGGTGTGAATAGACCAACACGTCCATCCCGCGGTTTTGGAGGTCAGCCACAAGGGCGAAGCCAGATGGACCAGCGCCGATGATGGACACTTTTCGTTGCATTGCAGCAGTGTCGTATCCGGATCTAAGATTGTGAGTGATTAGGTGTGTCTGAGCCAGTTGTTGATCCAAGGTGAGTCAGATAGGTCAGATGCAATATGATTTCTTTAGAAGGGCGCCTTGAAGGGAAGCAAAACAGTACTGAGAACGAGATTACATCTATAAGCTGATACAATTTGAATATCATCCATGATCGCGCACTGCTTTTGCTGCAGAAACAGCCGACATGGGTGCTTGGGCATTCACGGCCACTCAGCTGCGCAGGTTTTCCGATACCCCCTGGTTGCTGGAATTCGCGATTCAGATCTGTCATGAGAAGGTGCGCAAGATTCCACGATTCATGGTGTATATTCACTCCGTAATTCTAGACCATTTCCACTCCATAGGCGGCAGTCAACTCACTCCTCCTAACACCATTGGCGAAGGTTGCACCAGGAGCGGAGCAACAGGAATGGGCTGAGCAAGTTTGCGCGCATATAAAAGGTCGCGACTGCAGTCTCTTTCCTGGTATGCGCTCCTTACTATGCAAGTGTCTGTCACACATCTGTGGCCCTATCCACATATGCATGTAGCATCTAGCCAACTAATAATAGTCACTTGCTGGGTGTAGGTTTGGATCTTCGCCTACAACACGCCCCTTGTTTGAGGTTGTCCTTGGGATAGTCGCTCTCGTCGTCGAGGATCAATCAACAAGTCTTTTGTAATATGTTGTCTTCTGTCTTCTTAGTAATTTCGCCGCCCCCAGGCTTTCACGCTTTTGTACACGCTCCTCCACTTGGCGCGTGCAACTCCTGCAGATCCGTTGACATAGTGTCTGAATTAATTACTCCGTATATTCCACCGAATCTAGTTCATGCGTTCTTACAAGGTGTCGAAGTCGGAGGTACACATCCGAATAACTAACTGGTGTTACAGCAGTAATATTGTCCCTTCATCAGCACAGTCAGGGGGCCAGCTGATTTCATGCGGAAAATGATTAGCGGCCCTTGCGCAATCGCAGTCTTGCTTCTCCAGAGCCGCTATCATCAATTACCAAATTAAATTTCCTCATCCAGAGATATGGATTTTTGCCTGGACATTTTTGGCCAGCAGCCAAGACTCAACATCCATACGCAAATATGTCTCTGCTTTGCGATGCCCGATGGTGTTGCGCAGTCCACCATCGTGAGTAGACTGGAATCTGGCCTTCGCCAGCTAACGGCCGGCTTTCCATGGGTAGCGGGCCAGGTGGTCGTTGAAGGTGAAGGCGCAGGGAACTCTGGAGTTTTCAAGATCAAGGAGCTGCAAGAAATCCCCTATTTTGCAGTGAAGGACCTCAGAACAGACACCTCAGCTCCAACCATGATGAGGCTGAGAGAAACCAATTTCCCAATGAGAATGTTGAACGAATCTGTTATTGCGCCTCGCAACACATTTCCCGCAGCCAATGCCGTCAGCGTACGCGAATACGGTTCGCCTGTGTTCCTTGTACAGGCAAACTTCATCGTTGGCGGCTTGGTACTCACATTCCTGGGCCAGCATCAGACCATGGATATCGTGGGGCAAGGACAGATTATGCATCTCCTCTCGAAGGCCTGCCATGGTGAATCTTTCACAGAGAACGAGCTGTCATCCGGTAACCTCCAACGTCAAAACCTCATTCCTGTTCTTGATAATTACGAACGTGGCCCCGAGCTTGCTCGTCATCTGGCTGCCACTGCAACCGGTCCAACTCGCAATGGTCTCGACAAGCATGAAACAAAGCCAACTCAGATTATGTGGGCAAGTTTTACCTTTCATCCCACATCGTTGGCAGCCTTAAAGGCCACTGCTGTCAAAACTCTCCCAAGTGGTTCCAGCTACGTATCTACTGATGACGCGCTGAGCGCATTTATCTGGCAGAGCATCATGCGCGCGCGCGCCGATCGGTTGCCACCCAACAGAGAAACGACCTTTGCGCGAGCCATTGACGTCCGCTCGTTTGTCGACGTGCCGGCGACGTACACGGGTATCGTGCAGAACATGACGTACGCGACGTATACGATACAAGAACTCGTCGTACTCCCGCTGGGTGAAATAGCCTCCACGCTGAGAGCTGCTTTGGAACCCAATACCACGATCCTCCCTTTCCACACACGTGCCTTGGCCACCTACTTGCACAGCCAGGCTGATAAGTCGCATGTCTCCCCTGCCTCGTCATTGGACTTTTCAGTTGACGTGATAGTAAGTTCGTGGGCAAAAACGAATAGCTACGACTTGGATTTCAATTTGGGACTAGGCAAGCCAGAGGCTGTTCGCCGGCCATGGTTTACGCCACTGCAGAGTTTTGTCTATCTCATGCCTCGAAAGGCTGACGGTGAGATTGCGGTAGCAGTGTGCCTTGAAGAAGAGAACATGAAAAGGCTGAAGGCGGACAAGGAGTTTATGACGTACGCAAGGCACGACGGATAAATCAAGTAGCAAAGAAGGTGAAGGTCAAAGAACAGCGGCATATATCCCATGATATCCCATTGATTATGGTGCTGGAGTATATATATATATATATATGTATATGTATTTAAAATAAGTAACTGATGAAGCTCAAAAACTATTATGATACTCCAATAGATCAAAGTCGATAATGGCTTGCCATATCTACAGTCATGTTTATGCGTTTAATAGTCCAAGTCGATACATTCGCAGCCTGATATTTACACGCCGCTGTGCGATGATTTTATTTCCTCCTGTAGAAAGGAATATTTTTGTATGTCTCAGGCCGTGGATGTACTCCACCGCGGGTCTATGAGATCGGTTGTCCGACAAGAGGGTATCATTCATTATACATTCGCCTCCTCTTGGCAGTAATTAAAACAACGGTTTAATGGCCCCCGGGACTGCCTGTCAAATGGTTGCAGAGCACACTGCCCAAGAAAACACCACCGAGTACCGACAAAAAATAGCCAACATTCATCGTCATAACCGCCACCATACTAGGACAAGGTCAGCAGCCAGGTTCAAGGGTCACCTCACGGAGATATTTCAGACTGACAGCAGATAGCTCACTCCTGCAATCACTGTATCAAGTGCTCCTGATAAGATAGCCTCGCTAGCTCTCCAAGGTCGAGGCGTCGCCTTGATCTCGGTGATGTCTGGCTGGAGTAGACCACCACTACGCCTCTTCTTGACGACGGCCACCACCTTGAACAAGTTGAATCGCAATGCCAGCAACATACGAAACACGACTGCGAAAGCAATAAGAAAAATGCATGCTCCTGCGTACTGCCCGGCCGTGTTGGGCGTGAAAGCCGATGACCAAAGGGGTGTGTTTGTGGAGGTGAAGAACACCATGATCATGGACTCCATGCTCATCGTCATGTTGGATGATGGCATGGACATTGGGTCGCCTGTCGAAGAAGGCATGGCCATGGCCGAGGTAGCGTCCATCGACATGTCCATTGACGGTGATGCTGAGTCCATGGTGGTGATTGTTGTGTATTTGCGCCGAGTTCCACGTTACGACGAGGGCGAGCACAAATTGGTGGAATAACGAAAACCCCAGGGGCAGAGGCGATTTGAGCAGCTCACTACGAGTATGTACGAACAAAAATGAGAATAATTTTGTCTGTCTTACAGCGGACCGTTGGGCTGGGTATGGGAACATGAGCACGCCCCCGGGCTAGGCCGCTAGGATACGCGTCACATGATAAAACGAGGACAATAACACACCAACTTCGCGGAAGAAGAACCAAACCAATAGGTATCGTTGTTTATGGACCGTTCAGACTATTCGAACGCTACGGTAGGCTGCATTGGCTCTTTGAGATTGGTCATGAGTCGCGTATCCTTGTTGTACGTAGGATGTGAAGGAGTTGGAGAGAGAGAGAGCCCATGCTCGGACATTCTTTCAAGGCAGCAACACTCCCTGGACGACATTGGCAGGGAAGCTCACAATCATGACCACCGAGACAAGGTAACCGGTCGAAAATAAGTGCGCAAACTTGCTCAAACAGAGCCCAGTTGCCGCGCTACTGCAGGTGTGGTGTGGCCCGGGCCTCAGCGGGAGGACGTGCGGAATCCATGCCATGTGGTTCTGCATCATTCTGAGCGAATGGGCTGCGAGCTTGCCCCTATCCAGGCCAGCTATTGGGTTGTTGATTCCCCATATTTGGGATCGAGACATGCATGAATCGCCATTTGTGGCACCGGCGCGGGCGCCACAACCCTTTGTGTGACAAGACAGAAGAGTACACATTTACACACGTACGTCGTCCAGGCATCTAAATCGTTAGATCGGTACTGATCATTATCGATTTACCATACGTGTCGAGAAAGTACCAAACTAACACTGTAGATGCCTGTGGACTGTACGGAGCACAGAGTGTGCTTCACCAGGCCATCAGCCAAGCCCATCGACCAATGAAAGTATACATAATGTAGCTTGTTTATTATGAGCAGGCGCAAACTCGTATCGTACTGCCTTTGTACAAGGTTCTGGAGCTGCACAGTGATATCCAGCAGAGTGCCCGAGCAGCGCCGCCCCATTGCACTCATCCTCTCCTGGCTCGAGCATCGAACGCAAATGAGTCCTATGTTGCCTCTGGCGTGAAATAGAACCAAAAGAGTTATTGATTCGCCTTTGAAACGCATTTACCATGTCCGCCGCCTGGCTTACGCCGCCCGTCACACTGACGGGGAGTCGCGAGTTTACCTGCGACAGCTTTGGCTTCACACAGGAGCAGTGTGATTACTACCAGCAGCGTTGGCATTTCTGGTGAGTAAAACCAACTCTAACAGCAGCTACGATACAGAGCCTCGGCGGCTTTACTAAAGAGATATTTCGCAAGGTTCATTGCCGACCATGTCTATGCGCTGTCGACAATCGCCTTCCTAATGAGCGTCCTCGGCATCTTCGTCATTGGCAACGTTGTCTCGCAGCTGCTGGGGCATCGAACATGGCGTGGCTCTTCCCCGTGGCAGAAAGTAATTGCAGTAACACGATACTTATCTTACCGCGGCTTTCATGTCAAGGCACTGCGATGGAACTCGGCCCCCTTGGGGCTTCTGCTTCTTGGGGCTGCAGGGACTGTCTTTTTCTTCTGTAAGTTAACTGCGAGCTTGGTTGGATGAGACAGACATCGGGATTAACAGACTGTCTTCTCAGGCATGGATTTGATTCCCCAACCGTATTACTGGTCAAGTTTGGATTTTGGCGGCTCTCCACCATTGGGGACAAGATCAGGATGGATGGCTCTGGCATGCATGCCTTTTGTCTTGTAAGCCTCTCTGATAACCCGACCCAGCAAGAATTCCTCAAGATACTGATTTTTTCCTGTTTTTCTTTTGCAGTGCGACTGCGACTAAGACGAATTGGATCACACTTCTCACGGGTGTCTCGCACGAGAAGCTCCAGGTGTTCCACCGATGGATATCCTACGCCTTTTTCCTCCTCGCGCTTATGCATACGTTTCCCTTTATCGTCTTTCACATCCGGTTTCACGATATGGTCATGCAGTTCGAAATGGGCCTGATATTCTACTGGACAGGCATCGTAGCCATCATCTTGCAGGCTTGGCTTACTTTTGCGTCCCACAGTGTGATTCGGTAGGTGATGGCACATACTGCAATTCCACCAAGACTGCACATCTGACACCTTACGCAGAAACTTGGGCTATGAATTCTTCAAAGCAACCCATCTACTCGCCGCCGCGGTATTTGTCTTGATATTCTTCTGGCATTGCGACTACACCCTGACTTCTTGGTAAGAACAAAACTACATCTATCAGAATCCCTCCAACGCAGACGCTGATAATTCCACAGGCACTACTTCATTGCGACAGCGGCTGTGTACGTCCCTTGCTACGTTTACCCATGGCTGAGGACTTGCTTCGAGTACGGCACGCGAGCAAAAGCTCAGGTCACCGTTGAGGATGGTGGTTTTACACGCATTTCAATCCCGGCGAACTTTACATGGATCCCCGGACAGCACTGTTTCCTCCGGTTCACCGGCTTTGGATTCTTCCAATCCCTATCCGCTCATCCGTTCACAATTTGCTCGATGCCAGCCAATGGAACCGAAGAAAAGTCGGAGCTTGTCTTCTATATTCGCCATCAGCGGGGCTTGACGGCACGTCTGTACGAGTTTGCTCTGAAAAGTCCGGCTGCCTCCATCCCTGTACTCGTCGATGGTCCTTACGGAGGAATCAACCTTCAGTCGTATGCTCACAGCGACCATCTTCTTGTCATTGCAGGAGGATCAGGTGCAGGATGGACCTTACCCTTTATCGAGCAATTCATCATGTGCCAACCGAAGACTGTTGATGAAGAGCGTGGCCAAGCAGCCGACGTTGACAGCATAACCAGGAAAACGAAAAGCAATGAGCGCAGCATTCCCGGGCCTTTTACTCTCCGCGTCATTGTGGCAATCCGAGATTTCAGCACTCGTTTGTGGTACATCGAAACTGTCAAGAAGCTGCTATCCCGATATGAGACATTGGAGTCGATTTCCAGTATTCGTATTCAATTACACCTGACAGGGGAGGCTGCGCGAGAGGTAGATCCGGCTGATAAAGATTTTGACCTTCCAGCAGATCTAAGCAAGCAAGCCTCCTTGCCAGAGAACACCGTCACCCAACAGGGCAAAACAGAGACTACGGCATCGAGCCTATTTGACGAACATCTCGATGGACGGCCTCAGCTACCGCTGATAATCCAAGAAGAGGCAGTAAGAACAGCAAACGGAGGGGAATCACTTGCTGTCTTTGTTTGTGGGCCAGATACTATGCAAGATGATGTTCGAAATGCCGTCGCGGAAGCAAATCTAAATATCCTCAAAGGCTCTAGGTCTGGAGGAGTATATTTGCATTCAGAGCATTTCTCTTGGGCATAAATGACTATTGTTCTTTGTAATTATAATATTAAATGATACACAGGCTGCAGCATAACCTTCCTCTGAATCAGCTATTACAGCTTTTCTGACCCTCTTTAATATACATATAACGTCCATATATCCACAAGATCAAATTATAACTAAAATCTCAAGAAGTATTTGAGACATTCTGTTTAAACTCTTCGCACTCAGTCACTCTCACAATCACTTTTCAATGTGCTAGACTGCCTCTGTCTCGTATAACGCAAATGCATCAGCCATGTTGAAGGCCATAGCTGGCTAATCAAGTCACCCGTTAGTCATCCTTGCTTCTCTTCAATGCTTCAGCAATAATCCAAGAACACGTGTTTTCTCAAATATCTCGGCCTTTTTTTTTTTCGTTCTTTTCTCAGCAGCCATAGAGGTCTATAAAATTATTTTGCGACTGTTAATACACCGTAGCCGTTTATAAGGATGCGAGTAGTTTGATGATTCTCGGGGCATGCTTAGACCAAAGTAATGCAGCGCTAGGACGACTAGAAGATAGTAATATTTACACAATCTGATGGAAATGTCTCGCAATTTATGAACGCAAAAAGTACACGAATTATCAGGTCGTTGCTTAGCCACTATTATATCGTAGCTCTAATAAAGTTAAGTCTCTTGATGGATAGACTCAACTATTTTGTGAAAGGCCTCGTGTGCGTCAAGATGGTTCTTCGGAAAGGCTGATCCAAGAAATGCCCCAGCAAAGGTATCAAAAGCAGTACCTGCCTCAATTTTAGGCTCCCATGTCAAGCCTCCCATCCCCCTCTGCGCCACATATATTTACGTACAATGTTGTCTAATGCATGGATTGCAAACTGGAGTAATTATATGAACCATTCCAGAATGTGCATATCGTGTACCCCTTCTTTAGCCAGTTCACAGTCGAGATTACTTCCAACCATCCTTAAAACCATCAATTATGAATTGGGTCAGTTGATCATTACCCGTCAGGTTGACTAAGTGGCCGGACCATTAGGCCTTGCTTAATAGTCAACCCGCCGAGTACCAGCGAAAGAATGAAGCCTGAGAGATAATTTTGGCACCTATTTAATGCGATTTACAGAATCGGGCATTAATACCATTATGTCTCTATTTACCTTAATATAAAATGCGTCTACTGCAGATGACAATGGGCTAGCCCTATTTGCTCTTTGTCGTGCTTAGTGACTCAGGCATATATGCCTAATACGATGCTTTACACTTAATTTCTAATTGGCCATCATGGTGGCAAGGCACATATACACCATCTTTCGTTGTCCTAAAATGTTGCCCGCTGATCTAGTTCGTATTGTATCATATTTACTCCATAGCAATGGCGCAATCTTAATGATATGGCAGAAAGATTTAGCCAAGGTACCATAGAGGGAGGGAACCAAGAGTTGGTAATCACGCTTTATGTATCTACAACAAGCCGATTTTCCGATAGTACCTCTTATGTCCGGTACCACCTTTAGGGGTTTTAGTGCTTAGTGTAGTTATTAAGATTACGGCCTGACTCCTTTATCAATGATGCCGATTCTCGAGTGACCACGCGCATAGTGGAGAAGTAGGGACTGTTAAGGCTGTGCTGAGGGTGTCCGTAGGGAAGGAATCTCCATCACGTGTAATCACTTTTGATAGCTAGGTGAGCGGTGACGACAAATACCCCTACAGCAACTACGAGGCCGGTAACCCTCCTTAGACATGAACTATAAATTCACTGCCTGCCTTCTCCTTCATCGCTTCTTAAAACTTACCAGTTCCTCAAACTTCGCATTTGTAATAAATATATTACCCTGGAAGATTAATTTCTGCTTTCACAATCACATTGACTTCTCGTTACGAAAGAAAAACAGATTTCAAGATGCTTATTTACTCCGCCGTCAAGAAATACAGGAATAGTATAGCTCAAAAGGAAAGAGAGCAACGTGAGAGAGCCCAACAATCGGGACAAACTGCCTTCAACACCAGCAGCCGGCCCAGTCACAATGTTAGGATGACTCAAGCTGCCAATCAGGTTAGTTAAAATCCTATTCAATCCTCCCAAGTGGAATCATCAAGACTTTTGAGGGCTGATAAATAGCAACAATAGCAAGATCAACAGCCACGTCAGCGTTGAAGAGCACTGTCTGGATGAAGAAAGCAGCGTCTTTGCGCTTCGGTGATATGATTGAGGATTGTAGGTAAAGATGGATACATTAGAAGAGAAGGCAGCGGACAAGAGAGCGTGATAGGGGGATAAAGGTTAGTGAGATGAAGCGAGGGTAACAATTGCAGCGAAAATAATAATTAAATTTACTTTGTCGGTCACACTATGCAGTAAACGGTTGGAGCAAGTTACATTTGGGGAAATGAGGTGAACGTTGATACAGAGTAGTTAAGAACCGAGATACCAAGGTTTCCAAAGTGAGATCAGGGCTATAATAGTCATGCCAACTTCTCCTGCGGGCTGATGCAAAGGAATCGGTATTAGTCGCTGTCTCGCATGAGTTTCCATATCGGGAGAAAAACGGGGTCCCATAGGCGAGACACGTATTATCCGCTTATGGAGCCATGCAACCCGTATCAGCTATGACTCTGACATACGATTGGATGCTACCGGAACGACCTGCTTATTTCCTTCCGGGCACATCCAATCACAGATAACAAGAGGGACCGTTTCGATGCTAACTATATACGGCTAGCTAACATGCAAGTTGAGTCAATCGGTTTGCTTGCTCAGAAGATTGTTGAACAATGAGCGGAAGATTATTACAAAGATTACGATAGTATTGGAGACCGAATACAACAGCTACCCGGTATTTGAATGAAGTAAAATGAAAGGTCTATCTATATGTTATAGCGATATAAGAAATAAGTGAATATACATTTTTATTTGAGGAAAAGATTAATGCAGCAGTTATTCTTTATAGGGTAAATGAAACACGATTGAGATTTAAAGACAAGATAAAAATATAACAATGCTAAAAAGAGAGACCTAGGGTCTTTGAGAGAAAATGCTTGAAGTACTCTTCGTAGTACCCACACAGTTGTTATTTTAACGCTGAAAATCGAGCCATTGGCTGCATCTCCTCGCCTGTTTGCTCAACAAAGCCGGCATGAATGGTGAAGCCCAGAATTTCGCAGATAAGCGTCACAGTGACCTCCATTGCCGTAGACATTCCAAGTAAGAGCCAGGGACTGGTATGAACGCCACCAAAGACGAGACTGCAGGAGTAAGCAAGGCGTACTAGGACAAAAGGAATGCATATGACAATTGCAATGAGAATGCGCCTTTCGCCTTGGATGATATAGTCCCGATTCTTGTATACAAGTAAGATTTCCAGGATCAAGAGCCCTATGACGGCAGCTATAATGCCCGTTCCGACATAGCTGAGAGTAACGTAATGAGTAACTGGGCTTCCATTGGTGAGAGTGTAACTCGACTGTGTTCCGCCAATGATCACCAGAACCATGCCAGCCAGCATAAGAAGCTCAAGAAGACGGCGGTGAGTAGATTTGATAAGAAGCGGACCTTGATTGCCAATAGAGTCGATGAGGCGGCCGAGGAGTCCATGTAAAGTAAGAACCAGAGGACCGAGGCCAACACCAAGAAGGATTAACCAGCCAATGTATAGACTCTGGTTGGTTGGTAGCGAAATGGTTGCCAGTCGCAAAGCATCGCCAATGAGGCGAGCAAGAGACAGCATAATGAGGAAACGCCAGCCAGCACTTCTGCCAAAACCGTGTTTGCGACACAGGAAGATGGCACCACCAAGATACAGGCAGTAGATGGCAATTTCGCCGCAGGCAATGCCATCATATGCATCAAACGGGCGGCTCATTGCTTCGGCTATGGAGTAGTGAATGTAATGGAAGTTTGTAGATATATATATCAGTGGGGCTGGACGTAACGAATCGAAGAAGGTGGAAGAGAGGGAGAAAAAATAAATCTCGAGTCAGAACGTAACATGAATTGTATTTTATAAGGTACAAGAGTGAGTTGAAGTGATAATTGTATCCCTTACGATCGACACAGACATTAAGCACTATCAGTAAATATACCTGCGCTGCACTAGCTACTGTCTGAGCCACCTTCAATATCCCCATACATGACCTTGGACAAGGCACAATGATATCAAGCGGCTAGTAACAAATGCCGAATCGTATCCATCAACTATAACGGCAATGATGTGGTAACCAAGTCATTTAATGCCAGTCAGCGGAAGGCCAATTTTAAGCGTGCCGGGGCGCAGGTAGCAATTTACCTCGGCTAGGTCAAAAGATGCCAATGGGTAACATTGATTGGCTATACCCGGTGCTACATTTACATGTCCCCGGGCGTGTCCAATCTGGAAAACTCTGAAAAGTATACGACTCCTTTAAAAGTTCCAATCCAGCAACCCCAAAGTCAGCGTGGAAGAAGTGCTCCACACTGTCGGCAATCATGGGTGCCGACATTCCTATTCCACATCAGCCGGGACCCGCGTTGCCGCGCTCCGTCAACGTTGTGGCTATGTCTAAGTCAAGAGACTATGCCTATGTAGGTATGCAGGTGCTCGCGAAATGGTTGCGAGATACGTCCAATCCTTTTTTGATCTTCGAAAGGCATTCTGCATCGACCTCACGAAATTTTACTCTCCGCACGGATGATTCAAGCGACAGCTCTCTCGGGTTTCCGTATACAAATCGTTTTTGACTTTGTCAGTCGCTAACAGACGCACTTCTATGACTCCGAGGAGCCGACTTCGCTGAGCAGTATGGAGAATACATCGACGCCTCTGTTTTCGTCCCCTGACCCATTGTCTGTACCTTTGTCACGCTTTGCTGTACGCATCAATCCAATAGATGGCTGGGCAATATGCAGAAGTAGTAGCTAAATAATCGTGTAGTGTGATTTCTGCAGGGAGAAAAAAATCAGGTAAGGGAGGCTGGAGTGAATAAATCTGCAAGGTTGGTAGTCTCTCCGTCCACAGCTAAGCTAGGATAGGTGCTCTCGTGAACAGCCGAAGTGTGCCACTTGCCGCCCTTGGCCTGGCGAGTGTGTCTATTCCAAAGAAGTCTCAGCTCCAAGATATCAAACAGGAGCCTCGAGGTACGTGGTACTCGGAGATTCGCGGATCTGTTTGTTGTACTTATCCATCTGGAAGCGCGAATACCGGGATCCTATACCCAACAAAGAAAGACTTGGACAGTTTCCAGGAGCGCCTCAGTCGTATAGAAGCAGCTCTTGAGAAACTGGCCCGCGCTGTGGATAGTTTAAACCCTAATATGAACAGGGTAGATGCCACTTTCGCATCTGAAAAAAGTTCACGCTTTGAAACAATCCAATATCAATCAGTTGATAAGGAAGAGACTAACACTCAAACACCCCCTAACCAAAACCAACTATTTGTTCCACCTGCAAATATCTCCATAGATGCAGAAACACTTAATAGTAACGCAAGTCTATTATCCTATCAACAGCCTGGTTTCGGAAGTCTCCAATGTCATCCTAGCCCATTCATACGAGCTAGTCTCGACGCAAGCTGTGGCATTTCTCTTTTGGGAAATGAGGCAGTAGCTGGCTTTTTTATTCCATCAAGAGCTCTTGGATATACGCTTATTGGTCGTAAGTATGTTGCATTGTGTATGCTCTTTGCTGTCAAGACGCTGAATAATGTTTTTTCCCAAGGGTTTCTGAATATTTCTGACCTGGCTGACTTGATCGCTATCAAGCCTTCTGACCAGATTTTGATGGAAGTCATTTTTGAGCCTGCATCAGTTACCCAACGCAGTTGGGTACTTTACATTAATTTTATATTCCTCATTATCTCCCACAAGGACCAGACACTTAGCCACCTCACCACATCATTCCGGCATAACATTCGACTTGCCTTAGATGATGCCAAAATATTCCTAGAGCCAAACGAGGTGAATGTTCAAGCATTGACCATGCTTTCTTGCCTTGGAGAGGACTATACTTCTCCGAGCCTATCATGGATGCTTGCAAGCCACGCCTGCCGGCAGGCCCAAGCCCTAAGCCTACACTTTACGGAGCAGCACTACTCCACAGAACAACAGCGCCGATTGACTCTCTTTTGGGTAGTGTTCATGGTCGATAAAGCATGCGCCTTGGTTTTTGGTCACCCAATATTATTATCAAGTAAACTGTATGAAAACGTGCCCTTGCCTGATTTCCAGCACCTCTTAAAATTTCGCCCCCGATATGGGCAATCCAACAATGTTCACTCGCAGCTTTATTTGTCAACATTTGGCGCCCACTTTTTGACTCAAAACATCAAATTGGCAAGATTAACTGGCTTAATCCTTGATATCCCGACTAATGGCTCTCAACATAGTGGTCGGGAGGGCTTAATATCGTATCTGGATGATTGGGACGTGTCAACAAGACAGGTATGCCTCAGCTTGATATCGAACTCTCAAATTCCGAGCTTACGTTTTACAGATCTTATCAGAAGCTCGGGGACTTGAAGCTGATCATGCGAGTGAAGAACAGCTTCGTGGAATGTCTCTTGCCATTCGACTCATGAGGTTCAAGTATTTACACATCCTTGTCTTGACATTACCAGAAGATGTCCAATACGCTACTCTCCGACTTGAGTCTTCGCGGGAGGCTCTGTCCCTTCTTTCACACCTTTCGAGTAAACACCATGTATATAGAGGAATTTTCTGGTGAGAACGCTTGATTCATCGCTGCTAATAGTAAACTGACTTCGTATGCTTAGGACACTTCTTTATTATCCTTTTACCTCATTTTTCGTAGTCTTCAATCACATTACGTGCAATCCAGAGGCACCAACCACGAGCGGAGATTTAGATCTGTTGACCACAACGCTGTCATATTTCCAGTCGATGAAAGTAAAACTACACACACAATCTGTTGTTACATCTGAGTTGGAGAAAATGGTCGAATCATTTATTCAGCTTGCACGCTCAGCCGTCTCGAAAGACATACCAAGTTACACTTAAATATCTCAGAACTCAATACGACGACCAACCGAGGCTCTATATATGTGAGCAATGAAGCAATACCGTGATCGGCGGCCTTCTCAGTGCTTTGCCGGAGAATAGAGCCAACGCCAATAGAGTAGTGGAAATGATAACTAGGGAATATAACTACTTGCGCCTAATTCTTTTCATAATCTTATGACAAACCTTTCGTAAGGTTTCATCGGGAAGTAAGCGAATGAGAATACCCATGGGAATTGAGCCAAGACCTAAGCCAATAGAGATGGCCCATTGCTCACCAGTCAGCCGGACGACCACAAACGCCTCACCACCAACATAAATAATAATTAACTGCCCACCGACCATAATCGACATCATCACCATGAACAGCCAATTGTGGTACAAACCTTCGAATATGTTCAGCTTGTTATCAATACGACGGCTGTTTATGAGCTTGAAGATTTGCATAAAAACAAACACGTTGAAAATAAGAGTTCTTAACTGGGACTCTGGGTAACCGAGGTTAGATCCGGCAAACCATAATACGAAGCAAACAATCAACTGGTAGATGGATTGGCCGATGATCATCTTCCACATGATGAAGCTAATAAGAGAAGCTGTCCGCGGCTCTGGTTTACGTTGAAGTACGCTTCCTGTTGGCGGGTCTGTCGCAAGCGCAAGCGCCGCAAACGTGTCCATAATGAGATTAACCCACAGCAGTTGTACTGCGTTGAGCACTGCGGTTTCGTTGTTATCGGATACAGCCGTAACAAATGTTATGATGACTGCTGTGATGTTGACAGTAAGTTGGAACTGTAAAAATTTCTTCACGGAGTCGTTCACGGCCCGTCCCCAACCAAGCGCCTTAACGATAGACGTGAAGTTATCATCCATCAAGATAATATCAGACGCCTCTTTAGCGACTTCAGTTCCAGATAAGCCCATGGAAAAGCCCACGTCGGCAGCCTTCAGAGCCGGCGCATCATTCGTACCATCCCCTGTCACTGCGACAATCTCACCGAGGCTCTGTAGAGTTTTGACGAGAATGCGTTTATCTTCCGGGCTGGACCTGGCCAAAACGCAGATATCTTTGGCAACCTCTTCTTTTTCTTTATCAGGTAGTCGGCGAAAGTCTTGCCCTTCCATCACCAAGCCTTCCTCTCCAGATGAAGTTTTCAAGATGCCACATTCTCGCCCGACTGCTCTTGCTGTCTCAATATTGTCACCGGTCACCATCTTGACTGACACTGATGCTCTTCGGCAAGCTTCGACCGCAGCAGGGACTTCTTGTCTAACGGGATCTCGAATCCCTACAACGCCGATCCAGGTCATATCTTGAAGAAGGTCGGGAAGCTCAATATCGCTAGAACCCGTTGAGCTGTCGTCTGTTTGGATCCAATGCGGGGGCCACTCCTGGAAGTCGACATATGAAAGAGCCAAAGTTCGTAATGATTGTGTCGTAAAGCCATATATGATATGTCTGATAGTATCTTTCTGGTATTCCGATATCGGTACCTGTGATATACATTTCGATACTTCAAACAGCGAGGTGCTGCATTGTGCTAGGACCACTTCCGGAGCTCCCTTCACAAATAACCGATACTTTGCTTCACTTTTGCAAATATCGGATTGAGACAGCTTGATTACCGCTCCCATGCATTTGTGCTCTGATTTAAATGGGAACAGCTGCTGTAGGGAGCTGTTGGCACGTTCCAAAGAGGCTGGACCAAGTCCAAAATATCGACGAACCCAATCAAGGAGGGCTGTCTCTGTTTTAGTTCCCACAAATACCGTCCTGCCGTTCTCTTCACTCTCAAAAGCAGTAGTGTTTACTGCAAGAGCGGTCTTCAGTAGAGTTTGAACCTCCGTACAGAGCTTTGAGGATAATTGGTCTGCAGAAATCCGTTCATGTTGTTGCATCTCCACATGTGTCGACGATGCGCTGGCTGGCCCTTGAGGCTTCGTTTGAGAATGCTGTATATGAAGCGCACTACCATCAGGCCCAGATTGTAGATTCTGATCACCAAATAGTAGTGGCTCGCGGCCCAGTGCACCGGTCACCACGGTCATGGCGTTTTCCGTTAGGGTGCCTGTTTTATCTGAGCAGATAACAGTGGCATTCCCCATTGTTTCGCATGATTGAAGGTGGCGAACGAGATTATTTTCTCTTGTCATGCGCTTGGTAGCGAACGCCAGTGACAGTGTCACCGCCAGTGGGAGGCCTTCAGGGACAGCAACGACAATAATGGTGATGGCCATGACAAGAATATGTAGAAAATCTTGTGCTTTCTCTTCTGGAGACCCATCGTTTCCGGGCAGTCTGATCAGAAACTCAATAAAAAGGACGGTGAATAACAAGCACCCCGCCCCGCCTCCAAGTTTTGCGATGTAACCTAGAGGATATACTCATTAGCCTCCTAATGCTCAAACATCCGAGGCTGTAATTAATCGTATGGAACCAAGCAGTGCTTACCAGCCAGAACATTCAGTTTTTGTTGCAAGGGGGTAGGTCCAGGGTCCTCCGACAGCGACATCATGGTCCGACCGTGGCTTGAATTCTGTCCAACGGACGTAACGAGGAAAGATCCTACACCGTCTAGGACTCTGGCCCCAGAGATGATAAATGGATCCAGACTTTTCAGCTCTGATCCTTCATTGTCGAGAAGCGCCTGCTGTACATCGTCTGCTGGGACCTTTTTGGCCAAATCGGACTCCCCTGTGACCGAAGACTCGTCACAACTCAGACTATGGCCTTGAACGAAGACTCCATCAACCGGAATAATATCGCCTGGTTCCAAAAGCATAACATCTCCCACAACTACATCATAAACAGACACGGGCATAGGGCTACCTGAACGGATTACTTTAACAAAGCGATCCTCTTTCTTCATGTTAAGCTTTCGGAATTGGCGTTCTTTCTGCCAGTCATTCAACGCACCAACAATCACAACGATTGTGATCGCAACAATGATCGCCACGCCTTCGACCCACTCAACCTTAGCGCCTTCATGTTTCGTTTGTCCAAATGTCTGATATAATCCAAGGGCAAGCGAGACAATAGCTGCGACGCTGAGCAGTATGAGTACATGATCATGCAAAGCAATCCACGCCAGCTGGAGAATTGATTTCGATTTTCGTTCTGGCAACCGATTTTCGCCAAAGACTCGTTTCCTATCAGTGAAGCTACTGCTTGGTCTATCGTTGGAGCAAACCAAGGGATGGTTCCCAGCTTGTTCGCTCTCTTTGAGCAGCCCAGGCGATAGATGAGCTGTCGTCGCTTGCTCGAATGTGATTGATTGAACAATGTAATGTTCATCAATACCAAGGCCAGCACGACAATTGGTCCATAGACCTTTCTCTAGCCCAAGAAGTCCCCCTAGAGCGACAAAAGCGGCAACGCTTTTTGGATTTATGAGCTTGCCCAATTGACCTGGGGAGAAAGCAAATGGATTGTTTTCAACATCGAATAGGCGTTCTTCTCCTGGGTTTGGTCGAAGAATAGAGTCTTCAGGCTGCTGAATGCCTTCTAAAGACCTGGATTTGTCGTGTAAGCGTTCGCCCTTGGACCGTGTGTTCTCGTCCACGGTCCTCGACGAGCTCTGTGAACCATTTGTCATTGGAAGCACGTTTAGCATCCCGAATTCTGGCTGCAACAAGAATTACTCGTGATAGAAGATTTTGGGTGTACAGCTGGACCCTTTTCTGTAGGCGAGATTTGATTGTTCCGATTTGTGTCGCGTATACGGGGATAATGCCGTTTCACGGAACTCTTGATGTAATTTTTGATGGCAGCAGCAGTTGTTGCTTTGCCTCAGATATGTATTTCAACATATATGTTTCAGTACTTTCATGCGGTATGGAAATCCCACAAAGAATAGTCATCATGATGATAGAATGATGGGTTCGTGAGGCCTCTTTATGAATACCGTAGTTAGACAATGAGCTACTGACGATAGCCAGCTTACGGACGATGTCATCATCTGCCTCAAAATACCATCAAAACTGTTACGACAAAGAGGAGATTTCATCTTCAAGGTTTTTGCTACTGGCTTGGCAAGCTACGCTGTATAGACTGCGATGAGGCTGTGAAACCAGCGGTGGAGGCGCAGTGACGCCACAGTGTGTATGAAATGCCAAGAACAGCGCGGTTCATACTGAAATATTAAACAATGGCTGTCTCTTGTAGTCTATAGTTTCATAAGCTTTTTTTTAAAGTTAAGAGGATGATGCCGTAGATACATGTTATATGGGCGATGTGGCGGCATCCGACCGTCTCCCCCCCAAAAAAAAGTTCGACCATTTGCATAATAAGCAGCAGCATTGGATTGGGAGGGGTTCTTCATTAATTACAAGATCGGATATATTCAATTTTACGAGACTTTCTTATTTCTTTCCATCGTTGAGCAAATAAGTGAATAATTGTATGTCGCGAAATAAGCGCGATATGGAAGACTTATTGCCAGTCATGAGCACGACTAGCTTGGCAAGAGGACACCAGCAACCTGAAATCTCATAAACGCCTCAAATTGATGCCAAGTTCGTTCATATATAATAACCAACGAAGAGTTGCAATTCCATGTAGTATTGGGGTCCGCTCCATATATATTTGTAATCGTTACTCCACGATTATCTTCATCACAGGTTTCTCTTATGGGAATACAACTCTCTCGCTACATCCGCGACAAAGCGGATATACAGAGCAAACACTTGGTTTGAACCCCTAACAGCAATGTATGACTGGCTGAGAAGCTGTCGTATGATGTCTCGCGCGGGATTTTACTCATATTTTGCACCTCTTCTCCATATTTAATTTTGATTCGTTATGGCTAATGCCTATTTAAAGACGCAATAACTCATCTTGAAGCGTTGAGCACGCAACACTTACATCCTAACCATCTTTTACTTTCTTACTATCAGTATAAGCTTAATTTGTCTTCGATCAATTGGTCGAAAGCTCTCTTCAATATGGCTGTTACTCATGTAGGCATCCTTGCCTATGCCTTCCAAATTGTGGATAGCGCAGGTCCCGCCGATCTCCTCTCCTCCGCCAACAAGTCCGCTTTCCAAGCCGTCAAAGAATATGGACCGATTGATGAAGACATTATATCTCGCGCACCCCAATTTGTTTTCCATTACATTGGTGTCACTAGAGATCCAGTTCTCCTTGGGTCGAGCCAGATGGTAATCATGCCTACAACAACCGTCGATGAATGCCCAGAACTTGACATTCTCCTTGTCCCTGGGCCGTACCTCAGCAGATTTGAACTACACCCGAAGCATGCTGAGTTTATCCGCAAACATGTGGAAGCCGATAAGATGCTGTGGACAACTTGCACGGGAGCTAGTGTCGTGGCATCAACAGGTGTTTTGGACGGCAAAAAAGCAACAGTTAACAACGTCGAATACGCTTGGGTACGTAAGCGTTGGCCCAAGGTTAACTGGACTAGAGAGAAGAAGTGGATTATTGACGGAAACATCTGGACCGGATCGGGTGCATTTGCTGGGGTAGATATGGTTGCACACTGGATCAAGGAAAATTATGGGCTTGATGTGCTCATTCAAGCTAGCAACAACCTTGATTACGAAGCCAGAGATGATGATGGGCTATATACGGTTTTCCCTCAGAGATTCGATTCACAGGGAAATAAAGTAGCTACGCATGAATTCCTGTACTACGATGAGGAGTAGATACATTGTATTTCCTCCGCGTACTATAGCAGTCTCAATATTAAGTGTTCACGCCCTACGTGTCAACACTCATTTCGATTTTGTCGGATACATGTACAACTGAAAAAGTGGGATTCAAGTCACAAAAGCTGAAAGCTTTGTTCCTCTTGGAAATGAAGAAGTCTTCCTATTAGACCAATTATAATGAACATCAGTGATATGGATGACTTAAGAGAGCCGGCCAGAATTAGAATGTTTGCCAGTGCCTTCAGTGAATTAAGAGCAAATTTTGTCTATCAAGAGCATATTCAGTGTATAACGCCATATTCGCATCCATTATCTGATTCATATCACGGGGCTGTGTCTCATGGATTGTCTCGCCGGAGAAGTCCAGGCCGTTCACAGGTTCTCTTCAACCTAGCCACGTAACCAATCATGCAAGTGTCCTCCTCGGTGCGCCTGCCTTGTGATTTCGATAATCTGTGTCGGTACGTCCTTTAAAAAAAGTGTATGACGGCAATACGGGGCGCATTCGGATCCTTAGATTATAGAGCGAATCTCGGCGGGGCTCCGAAGCACATCGTTCAGCTGCTGGTCTGTCTAAGTATACCTCACGCCCGTGTGTTACCCAAGATTTCTTTTTCATTGATCGCCTTCGTAAACGGAATGCTTATTTACATTCCTCCAAGGGGCCTCATATTCCCTGTTCTCAACCCCTCAGCCGGCACCTTATCCCCATATTGACTACTCGTATTCAAGTACTAAGATTAGTACAATTACGACGTCGAATAACCGTAAATCGCTTCAAGGTAATGATTCCCACTTCATAAATGAGGCCTCAGAGGCCGTTGTTGTTCGACCTGGTCTAAAGGACGATGACTATTCGCAGGCTGCAGAACGCGGGCTGTTGATGATATGAGCCTCCAGGGAAGTGGCGGAGGAGAAGCAGGTTATAGGGGTACTATTTGGGCATATGGAAGATAAGACTTGATACTCTGGCTTTTGTAGGTTATTTAGTAAGCTGGTTTGATTTGTATAACATTAATATATTGACTTTCTGGCGCCTCGCAGTACTCCTGTCTCCTGCAGTAATTGATCGCTGTGTAAGTCGTCCTCATCACGAATTATTTATCCCTATAAGCACTGACAGCCCTCTATTATTCGCTCGTACTTTGTATTAACATTATTCTGGCGTTGGTGCAGAAGGGATCTGGGCTTGATGTGTTGGTGCGGGAGGCGCATCTTTATCTTGTGTTGATACAGTAGCAGTCTCTTTTTCTTGGGCTGATGTCGTGGGGGCCTCTTTTTCTTCCGGAGTGATGCCTGCTTCGAGGTTCCTTTGTCGCATGTATCGCTCACGCTCTGCCCGTTCTCTGGCAGCAAGCTCGAACTCCTCATGTGTACCCTTTTTCCACATTCGTGGAAACCTAATAGGTCAATACATACCCATATTTTTGCCCACATAGGTAACTACTTACCACCACCAAACAAATATAAATGCAATACCACAGATGCAACTAAGGGAAGCAACCGGTATAACCCAGCTCGGAGCCATCTCGTAAATTATAATTCTGCCCTAAGGCAGAAAAGGTGGGTTGTCTTATTACGGCCACCTGATGTCGAACTGCGAGCGATTGCAATAGAGATTGTAGGGTGTGTTGTAGGTTGAATGCACCACGGTTCCAATTTGGCAAGCAGAAATGAATTAATATTAAACCTTAGTGATTACAGCAGCTACTAATTCTACAAACAAGGTGAAGCTTCTTATACTGTCCTGGGGTGATACAGGATTTAAGTACAAGAACACCAACGGGCAAGTACATGAATGTATGCTAATCCATCAACAAAAGATCCAGAAAATATCCTTGGACTATTCCATATTCTCTTCAAGCTCCTTGAAGCACCGCCGAGGTAGACCCGGCCGTGTAGGCCTATGACAACGAGAGTGGGAGAAATCCCCGGACTGATACCGTATTTCGTGAAAATCCATAGCGTTGGTTATTGGTTTTGGGGTGATGTGGTAACGCAATATAGCTAGCCGCGTGGCTATCCTAGTCAACCCGGGTTTATTTGCGGAGAGATCCATAGTCCAATATTTCGCGGGAATCCGGCAACGCGCCCACTCACAGTCACGCACACCAATAACCAATAACTCACGCGTATTTTTCTCAGCTTGACGCCTTACGAAACATGACTGTAGGTGGGACGCATATTCCCATCAGAAAAGGCCCGTCTTTGCGGTGCTATCACGGACCTCGAGATCCATGGTGACTTCCACTAAACACTCGATATTTTTAGAATTTTTGATGGTGGTTCCCTTTAGGGATACCAATCTGATCATGAAATCTTAATGAAGCTAACAACTATACATATGACATCAATCACCCAAATAAATGCTGCCCATCATCTGAATACCTCCAGCGCGCCCACATTTCAATAACGCCTTCCCAAGTCCTGAAATGGTGATTCCGTAAATAAGAAACAGTCTGTTTTCCTAATTCATGGACCCAAAGATGACCCCCACGAATTGAAAAAAGATTTCTCGTGGGGAAATTGTGGCCGTATCGCCACTCCGGGTGATCTTTAAAAGCGTTACGCTCAAGATTGGAAACCTTCGGCTAAGAAGCAGCAGCTATATATTATACCAGTTGTTTTGCTTGATTAGTACTCTAATAAGAACCCTGATGGGGCGATTCCAATAGGCACAATCTCCGGCAGTAATAATCTCTCCCGAATGCATTTAGATGGCGCGATGAAGCGCTTCTATCATTCTATCATTTGGTTCTTGTTTAAGCCGCGACTTGATATACCTAGATCTATCATTAGACATCAGGTATGGCGCAGTTGTTGGGCGACGTAGGTCAATAAGTGGACATGAAAGTCAGCATCAGCACATATAGGGTCAAACGAGCGAGCGTGAGAATGGCGATCCGTTTTCTTCCGAATCATTTTTTAACCCAACAGGATATTTGAATGGACAAGTGGATTGATAATATGGCTATATTCTGTCTCTCAGTATTTCACAAACTTGCCTCTCATGTACTTCGTAGCTGTCATTTTGGGTCGAAGTTTGATGGCGTATTCACTGATGGCGTTGCCAGTAGCTGGAAATACACGCGGTATCAATGGAGGTTCTGATCAAATCGGCCGTACTACAACTCGTATTTCTATCAAGGCGTTGCTTCATTACAATTTATCGCCCATTGGCCCCCTGTCGAGCATGCATCGCTCCTCGAATGGTCAGATACCACGCTGTTGGTAACAGTCGGTCCGAGTTGAATGGAACAAACACACCTTCATACGTCAAGTCCATGGGGAGCCTTCTTATCAAGGATGTACGGAAGACAGTCACCTCTGCTTGTGTCGGCATAAGGGATCCTAGGCTTGCAGGGCTGCAGCCGTCTTGAGTGCGCTATATGGGCCGACTCTTCTCCAGGACTCCACAATTGACGATGCTGCTGCTATCCCTTTCATGAATGTTTCGACCCACAAAGTAGCCATGTGACACTCGCTCGTCCCGCAATACAGCCTCCGGTCCTTTACACTAGGATTTGTGGAAGGGAGTGAAATGCGATAACGTGACGGAGACGCGACGACAATGCTGGTTAAGATGGCCAAAAATTACGAGAGCGAGAAAAGCGTGCCGGTTGCCATGAATAGCTTGCCTGTCTCCCCACATGGGCAGCCCGAGCTGATTTTTTTTTTTTTTTTTAGTGATAGGCCACGACTCTGTCCCTTGAGGACGAGTATTACGCATTGAAAATGTCGACAAATGTGATTTTGAGCCGGATTTTGGAGTCCAAAGAGGCGCATCTTCTATCTTCTAACCAACTCGGCGCAGGTTAGCAAATTACTATAGCCAGGAGACTACTATGATCATATTCGCAACACAAAACGTTGTGAAAACTTATTTCGTACTACACAATCTATTCCATACGTCCCTCGTGGAACCAGAATTCGAATTTCTGTAGTCCATTCAGTGACTATAAGATCTATGAATGGATTAAGCAGATTGGCATGTGGTGTAGAAAGCCAACACCACATTATTGTAACCATCTTCACTCCGTAGACTGATTAGTATTGGATCCAGCCAAAAGGAATAGTACTTCAATTGCCCTTAATACCACAGCGCTTAGAAAAAATGAATGGTGAAATGGCGGGATTAGAGCATTTTGAGTATCGCGGCTGACAGTAAGCCCAGGCACTTACTCACGTACCAGTGATTGAATTGGCAGCGACGAGGTCGCCCAGTAATGCCGCTTAATATGCATCAGCTCTTCCACACATCTGTAAGCCAAATCGGTTTTATAGACTCCATTGTGGCTCGAGCGCTACTACATCGTATACCATAAGTGGCGGGACATCTCGTTCCAATGCTGAAAGAGATTTAGCTATGCTAATTTTGCATAGAATCCGGTCAGTGTTGAGAAGTGTCGTGTGAGCTTCTTTCCATTGCATTTAAATCTTAATAATCCAAGGGGACGGAGTACAGATGTAGCCATAGTGAAATGCCATACATTGCAACCCTATCTTGCCAGTGCGACTTACTGGTCCGCTTCACGCCACTACCGTATCATTTTGGTAATTGCTACACAAGAGGTATTTCGGTATCAAACAACTTATCACGCTCAATTGACATCTTTTAATCGAGTTCAATATCTCAGCCCGGCACTTTATGACAGACATATGTGTTTTAAGTCCTATATATGCTAGAATGAGCACTTTTACGACAAACATATGGTCCACGTAGCCTCACCCTATCTCTCTCTTGTTTAGCTTGTACATACATTTATTTACCTCTACAACTCTGTGGCACCTGATTGCCCCCGACTTCATAATAATCGCACTAGTTGCCACTACGTTACCCTTTTGACCGGCCAAGCGGACGTCGTTGGTGGTCCCATTGCTCCAATTAACTGACGATTGTGCTTAGTCTATATTTCGGCTAAGTTATGCATAAATACTTGAATAATATTTAAAACTGCGGATCTTTCTTCGCGTGACTATCATGGATAATGTCTTTTTCCCTTTCCGCTTCGTAGTTAATGGCATTTCAATTAGCTGATTTGATGCCAGTAGCTATTCACAATAAGTCTTCAAAAGTGCATCTTCTATGTTTCCATTTGCATCTTTTGGTTTTATGCTCCCTGTTTTATGACCTTGGGTCGTTGGGCAAAGGCGCCTAATAGTCCTATTCAAAGTAACCTCCACGCAACCCAGTCAGGGGCGCGTGCCTCACCGCTCGTACAATCGATAGTTGTGCTTTGTTAATATGAACTAACTTCGTACGTATGATTCTCCTTCAATACCATCTCTGCCTGACTCTGTGATTCGTTGGACTAAAACTGATGTATATGGTTATATACGTAGAACTCTCGCCCCGCTTGAGTTGCCGGAGTCCGAGTTATCGTTACATTTTAATCCGCACGGCAAAAATGGAATTCCAGAAATCAATTTACCCCGCGCCAAGGTTAATCTGCCAGTGTTCCCACCATCTGCATGTGTAAATTACATGACCTGAATAAACACCCATTAGGCGTAGTGAGCAACCCTGTGTAGGGTTTAGCAGAGCTGGAGCTGATGGATAAACTTTATCCATTGACAACACGCTTCAACCCAGGTTCTTACCTCTACTAGCATGGACACAGGCATCTTGCCTTTCTAGGGTTCGAATATGCTATTTCTCCACTACTTCACTAAACTGTAAAGGATGATATTTACCAACCCCGTTTAATACATCTCTCATTAGCTAGAGGAGTTATCGTCGTCCACAGGCTATTAATTCACCTCCTGAATTCTTCCGAATAGTATAATCTGCTCGGATTAAGGGAGATGGGAAGATTTCAGGCTGATATAGTGGATGAATTACCATTTTCCTCACATGAGCAAGCAAGCAGCAAAACATTGTTGGAAAAAGACGGAAAGAGGAAATACATCCACTCCGTTTGTCATGGAGTACGCGTTTCAATAATTGGCCATAAGTATATAAGCTGCCCCTAAGGTTCATGAGTTGACATCGTAAATCACTTCGTCTCATCGACAAGACTAAGTTGGCCCTTCACTGGAGCTTCACTGTTCGCCACCATGGTTGCCTTTTCCCGATTCGTTGCTGGCCTCTCGGTCATCGCGGCCTCCCTCGCCGCTCCTACGGAGGTAGCCGAAAAGAAAGTTGAAACGCGTGGCGAGTATAACTTCTTTCTCGGGCCTGACCACCCTCTCTCTCGTCGTAACTTAACCGGCCGTTCCAACACAAATTACAATCAAGATTATACCACCGGAGGAACGGTGAATTTCGTGCCGTCGACTAACGGATTCTCGGTCAATTGGAATACTCAACAAGATTTCGTCGTTGGTGTTGGCTGGAACCCCGGCAGCAACCTGTACGTGACTAAACATTACTACATGTTCTTCTTCTGTTTTCCTGTCTATACATCATACGTTGATTCACTGGCTAATCCGTTATATTGATACGTTGGATATGATAGTCCCATTACTCATTCAGGCACTTTCAATGTGGCTAGCGGTCTTGGCAGTCTTTCCGTCTACGGATGGACCACCAACCCACTTGTTGAGTACTACGTTATGGAGACCAACATTGGAATCAGCACAGGCGGCTCGCAGAAGGGGACGCTCACCAGTGACGGAGGCACCTATGCTATATGGGAAAACCAGCGTGTCAACGAGCCTTCTATCATTGGCACGGCGACCTTCAATCAGTACATCTCCATCCGACAGGGAGGACGAAGCAATGGCACCGTCACTATCCAGAACCACTTTGATGCGTGGGCGGCAGCTGGTTTGCACCTCGGCACGATGAACTACCAGGTTATTGCAGTTGAGAGTTGGAGTGGCAGTGGGTCGGCTCAGCAGTCCGTCTCCAATACTGGCTCCGGAACTCCTCCTCCTCCTCCTCCCGGAAGCACAACCTCATCGGCACCTGGCTCCGGACCTACAGGTGGCGGTTGCTCCGCCTTGTACGGCCAATGTGGTGGTATCGGCTGGCAAGGCCCTACGTGCTGCTCCTCAGGTACCTGCAAGGTCGGAAACGCGTACTATTCTCAGTGCCTGTAAGCTAGGGAATCTTCAAACGCCGTTGATACATGGGTTGGTTAGAAGAGTCGAATACATGTGAGAACTGAAATTGCATTTTTTTAACCAAAAACATGATTAAATCAGATGGAGGCAGGATGTGGTCAAAGAAGCGGGTTACGAAGAACGACGTAACGCATTGTTAAGAAGATCACCGTACTAAACAGCAACTAGATAGCATCCATACCTATATGAAATAAGAGTTGGACGTAAGTTATATTTCCAGCGCGTCTAGTGAATCATCAAGGGATGCAATTGAGCCAGTATCAACGCCCAACTCATCCGGAAGTACCATCGGATACTTCGCGTCCGTCCATGCTTGGTCTCCCAACGCCTGCATATACTGCTTAGGCTTCCTTCCTCCGCCCATAGAGGGAACAGCTTGTAGTATGTTTCACTGCTAGTCTCAATAAATTCGAAATCTTTGCCACGTGCGCGTACAAGCTTTCGCAGCATGTCGACTACATTGAATGTACCAATCGACGCCACCACCATTGCCCCTTTCTTCATCTCAGGCTTGTCCAGTATAGCCTCGACAAACGGGACAAGATTCTTCCTGATATCTCCAATGGTTGGGTAATTGATCTTTGACGGGTCGAAATTCCCCACAAGAACATATTTCCCAGCACTCTCCAGCAGTGTTGGTCTGAAGAAGGGAAGGGTAAAGTTTAACGAGTATCATCCAATCAGCATAAAGGTTGTCTTAGGTAGCAGGTTTTCTTTTGTTCGGATATAATGAGCCACAATATCCTTGCTATCGTAGTGCGGTACCTTTATTTTCCCTCCGCTTTTGACGGATGCTCCTGGAAGATTGCTCCAGACGTAATGCTCCAGGGTTGGCGTGGCCTCAGCAGCATTTGCCAGATTCTTGCCCTGTTGTATCTCAGTATCCATGGCTTTATCTGCATCTTCAGATGTTGCGAAAAGTTCAAAGAAATTTGTAACACCGAAGATGAAATGGGATCCGGCAAAGGCAGACACCAGGGAGGCATAGTCGTTAACATCTGCCCTGACAACTTCTACATCTTGTTTCTTGAGAGCTGCAGCGGCATCGCTTTCAGGCCGTCGTGTAAGTCCGCGGAATTTGTAACCTCCATGTTTCTTCAGGGCATCAATAACAGCCGCTCCTTGGTTACTAGTCGCCCCCACAACAGTTGCAGTTTTAGTCATTGTAAAAGTTGATGTGTGTTCGGTATAATAAATTTGGATAATCAAGGGAAACAATTGCGACAAAATGAAAGTGAGTTACCAAATGTTAATTTTGATTTGCATAGCTTAGCTGGTGATGGTTTTATATTGCTCTGCCTTCTCATTTCAAAGCATGGTCAGACATGTCAGCGGGTGTCTGACGTTATTATCAATCTTCTTGTCAGAATAGTACCGTTACAGTAAGTCTGTCAATGTTACTTCCAATTTTTCCAGGCCTAGCATTTGCTCAATTAGTCCACGAATGAAATGGAGGCCTAAAAGCATGTATACATGTTATGCTTGTTTATAAATCATAGAGAGCGACTCTATCCGGTGCGAGCTTGATCAATTCATAGTTAGCTTATGTATGAAGCACACCACTATGACATATGATTTCCACCAACTGCCAAAATTGGCGTTCTTGAACTCAGGCTCCGCTACAGAGTATACACAAAGTCAGGCCGTTTATCACCCTTGATGCGTTTCTCCTCTTCCGTTAGTCCACTCTCCACACTGTTACCCATGTTCCTATGCCGCCGAGAATTCTCAGCTCTCAAAGCAAAGTGCATGAAAACGGATCCTCCAAGCAAGAAGAAGATTTGTGATGCCAAAACGACCCCATGGCCAGTCGGGTACCTAGGTTTTTGGGCGGGTAGGTAGATATTTGACGACACTATCCCATTCAAATTTCCGAATCCAACGACTATACCCAACACTATAGCTCGCTTTAGTGAGCCCTCAGTATTGTTGGATACCCATGAAAGGGTATTTGGGATGGCTGGGTAGATACCCATTGCTCCCAGAAAAGTACCGGCGTACTGAATGTTTGGTCGCGACGAGCCCAACAACAAAGCAAATCCAACAATACCCAGAGTGGCGGCGGCTAAATTACAATACCCTCGCCACTTCATTTTGTCCGCGAAGAAGCCTATAAGTACCGTAAGCACCGCCGCGCAAACATATGGTGGAACCGTCAGTAGCTGGGCGCGCGTTCCTGAATGACCCATAGCTGCGATAATGGTCGGAAGAAAGAGTGAAAAGGCATAAAGTGGGATGGTGCAGCCGATAAAAATCCAAGTATATCCATATGTCTTCCAATCTTTAAGTGCCTCGTAGATGTAACGTTTGTTGAAATCATCGGCCGTATATCCCTGTCTGTCCAGGATAAGTCGACGTTGTACCCTGATACGTTCTTCGGGAGTTAGGAATTTAGCTGTATCAGGCCAATCAAAGACCATCCACCAGCATAAGACAGCAACAAGCACTGTAGCAAGGCCTTCAATGATGAAAATCCAAGCCCAGCCCGGTTTACCGCCAATTCCGTCCATTTTTGTAATGGCCGCCGCCAGTAGACCTCCAAAAGAGCCGGCAATTGCAGCAGCGGAGAGAAAAATGGCACTCCGGACGCCAATTTCTGAACTCTTATACCAACAGCTAAGATAATAGTTGACCCCTGTTTGTGGGGGGGAACAGCTAGCTGACGCATAGTTCATAAGGCGGGGTGATTGTACCTGGAAATAATCCTGCCTCTGCCGCCCCAAGAAAGAATCGAGCGGCTAGAAGGCCTCTGTATGATGTTGTAAGGCCCATTAAGGTCATGATTATGCCCCATATTAAGATAATACTCGTGAAGAATATGCGAGGGGTAAGGCGCTTAAGCAGGGCATTCGTAACGGGTTCGGCAACGGCATAGGAAATGAAGAAAATGGTCAATATCATGTTGTAGTTGTTTCCTTCAAATATATGTCAGCCAATTGTGAGACAAGAATATGATTCATCATTTACCTTTCATGCCAAGATCGGCTTCAATATGAGCCAATCTGGCATTTCCGATATTGGTACGATCCAAGAAGGACAGCAAGTACCTAGAAGCCATTTAGAATTGATCACTGCTGGTAAGATTTTGATCGATCTAACAGAAGAGATAACCATGGAACAAGCCAAAGATCAACTTTCCACATTAATTTCCTGTCCTAAATGATACCATAAGTTAAAGGGCTTGATATGTGATGTTTGGAAGGAGACAATGTACAATTTCCTGCTTCTCCTCCTCACTTTTCCCTTCATCTGGGTCGGTCAGGCGAGTAAGAAGCTCATTTCTCTCGTATTCAATATGTTCAGTCTCTTTGATCTTGATTTCTTCAACTGAACCCGACGTACGAACGCGTTGGGGTGACAAGTCGGCTGCTGACATGCTGATTGAAATATCTCTCCAGCATTCGAGAACTCGTAAATAAGGAGGCTTGTTCAAAGGATATGTTTATTTAAACCGAAAATAACATGTTGGCACAAGACTGAGGTCAATGTACAAGAAACTGCGCCCATTTTATATCTTCCCATGCATTGCCAAGCTGAAATGTTTCCAAGCCACAATTTTGCCAACGAAAATAGCGGTATCGACGGACAAGGAAGAGTGCAAGTCTATTCCAATAGCCATATGTCTAACATCCCTTGGCGAGTGATTATTCTCAATCATCATTAGCTGCGCTTGGATGGCGTCTTGAAGTAGTAACTGGATGAACTAGAGTATCCTTTCCAAGGCTCCTAACTGGTGGAGTGTGGCGAGTTGGTCTGGAGCCAATGCACCCCGCAAAATTAGCTCGTATGCATTCAGCCCAGATTGCGGGGGAATAGCAGGGGTTTACCCCAAGATGGGGATGACAAGAGCTAAAGACTCAGCAGGTGGTCTCCAGGATGCGAAGAGTTTGAGGTATGATGGTTTAGGGAACGTTGGACAAGCGTTGATTTCTGGTTCTCAAATGGGCCATTGAAGAAGCCGCAGCATCCTATGGGATAAAACATCTCAAGTTCTAATTTTGCTCACTAGATGGCTCGAGATACAACTACTAAATTAGAGCTACTCATGGATTCATTGTAAAAAGGACCAAGGCACGCCAAAAGCCACTTATATTGCGCATAAATCTTGGTACTTCATACAATTAAGGCCAAATTCTAAAGTCATCAGTGTAATTGAACTACATAGCTCTTAGAGATGGTAATATGGAAATAATTTTCTGCAAGTAACCACCATCAATGAACAGTTCCTCATATGGTCAATTTAAGGACATGCCAAGATAATGGATAAGATCAGAAGATAATAGGAGACATTTTGAGAGGAAAGAAAATACAGAGAATTGAAGTTCGAGTGCTGTTGCCACCACAGCGCTGGTAGACCAAAAGTTGAGCGGATGATTCCATTGCGCAACTCGACTCATTTGAGGGTTCTAAAATAGACCTTTGGATCTACTATATCCATAGAACCGCAAAGAGACATACTCGGTCAGTTATTCTACAATTTAACTATCGTGCTGGAACTTTTTAAACTGCTTTATTGTTTCAATATGTACTTAGCGGCTGACACTATCATACATGAGTATCTCTACCCCTCATAAATTGTTCTACTGATCATCAAATCACTCACCATCCGGTACTTACCGAAGCTTGCTATGGGCCAAATGTAACCAAGAACATTCCATACGTCATGGGTTCGGACATTAGCAACTGTAGCGTAATGTCAACTAATAATCCAGATCTCCAAGACATGAAAACTAGCAGAGACATACATGTATTCACTCCAACCATCTTTCCCAAGCTCTCGACTGCCCCCCGCCCCCGCCCCCGCATTTTCTATACTCTTCGACTTTTCATGGTGGAGTATTGACAGCGCCTTACTGAGGCTGAAGGAGGACTCCTGTTTCTCCAACGTGGTACTAACACAGGCAAGGGATTTGATCATCTCCATAGCAATGATGACTTCCTCTGACGTGCAACCAAAACGCAATCTCCAACTCCCTAACTTTATATTAACAGCAAATTTCTCGTCATGATTTTCATTACCAGCCTCATCGATGTACACTTGTTTACTTCTCGAAGATGCATCCATTCACTCCGTTCTTCGTTATTGCGGCCATTGTAGCCATTGCTATTCGTTGGATGAACAAAACTGACATCCCTAAAATTAAAAACTTGCCCGAGCTCCCTGGAGTGCCACTATTTGGTAGTCTGTTTCTTCTTGGAAAGCATCATGCACGAAACTGTGCCAGACTTGCCAAAACCTATGGAGATGTTTTCCAAGTTCGCCTCGGGAACCGAGTACGTTGACCTCTATTTCCTTACAGCAGATAAAGCTAACTTGGCATAGCGGTTTATATACGCTAACTCCTTTGATGGAGTTAAGGAGCTGTGGATTAAAAACCAGGCTGCTCTCATCTCTCGACCAACCTTTTGGACTTTCCATAATGTGGTCTCGAAAACGCAAGGTGTCTACACACTTGGGACGTCGCCATGGAACGAATCAGTAAAGCGAGCTCGGAAGGCTGCCGCGACGGCACTCAACCGGCAAGCTGTTCAGACCTACCTCCCATTCATTGATCTGGAGTCTACTACTAGTATCAATGAGCTGGTACAGAATATCAAGAATGGTTATGATGTTGATCCCAATGGCTATTTCCAACGGTTCTCTCTTAACATCAGTCTTACACTATGTTATGGCATCCGAATTGATGGGACCGTTCGTGACCACACGTTGAATGAGGTCGTCCAAGTCGAAAGAGAGCTTGGGAATATCCGTGGGATTGCTCATAACTGGCAGGACTATGTACCATTGCTACGATTATGGCCTGGCTTCAAAACTAATGCCATAAAGTTCCGCTCTAGGAGGGATGAGTACATTTTGGATTTCTATGAGCAATTGAAACAGCGAATTGCAGCCGGGACCGATAATCCCTGCATTGCTGGCAACGTTTTAAAAAATCCTGAAGCAAAGCTTGAAGACAGTAAGGCAAAACATTCGCAGCATATGGATAACGAGTTAATCCAGAATATTAACCAGCCTATAGATGAATTGAAATCCATTTGCCTTACCATGGTTGCTGCCGGCCTGGATACTCTCCCGGGGAATATCAATATGACAATAGCTTATCTATCCTCCCCTCATGGCCAGGAAATACAAGATCACATGTATGAAGAAATCCTGAAAGCTTACCCGAACGAAGATCCCTGGGATGCTTGTTTGACTGAAGAACGGTGTGAGTTTGTGGTATCATTTATCAAGGTGAGTATTACAGTCTCCTTACGCAAAGCATCTAGGGCCTTCCTAACAGGGACATAGGAAGTACTTCGATTTTGGTCTACGCTCAACCTATCCTTTAACCGACAGAGTATCAGAGATATTACGTATAAAGGAGCTGTTATTCCTGCTGGAACACCTTTCTTAATGGTAAGTGATGATTGAGCCGCGATCTACTCAGGTTGGAGATCTAATGATCTAATACTGGCGCAATACAGAATATGTGGGCTGCAAATCATGATCCTAAACAATTTCATCACCCTATGGACTTCATCCCTGATCGCTTTGTTGGGGTCTCTGAAGCTGGGCAGGGCACTCAGCATTACGGATATGGTGCTGGTACTCGGATGTGTGCAGGTGCTCACTTGGCTAATCGCGAGCTTTACGCCATCTTCATCCGTTTGGTACTAGCATTCCATATTCGTGAGACTACACACGTAAAGGATAGGCCGATCTTGGATACCATCGAATGTAACTCTGTGCCTACAAGCATGGTGACTCAGCCGAAGCCATTCAAGGTGAGGTTTATTCCTCGGAATCAACAGCAATTAGAAAAATGGATTGCAAGCAGTAAAGAGAAGACTGCATACCTTTGAAGAGGTTACATGCATTCTGGGGCTGTCTTATGTCGGTAGCTTCAAGGACTCATAGCATTTTTGTATCATTAGAAATGACAAGAAGAAATTGCAACTGAGATACCCGTATGGTGACGCAAATAGGACGGTATCTTGTGGTTCGGGCTTACTGCTCCCTTCACTCTCCTTATCATTCTTACTTACACGGCAGTTGTGACACGTTCATGCGGAGATACTAACATTTCACCGACCCGTATATCTATAGTTCGTACAGTATATCACAATCTCTCAATTTGGTTTGTGAGGACGGCGCTCAGAGAATGCAGTAAGAGGCTGGCGACCTTGATGCAGCTAATGTTTTATGCAGCTGCACCTCTGTTTTGGAACGATGTAACCAACTTTCTACATCCATATAACCCAGTATGCTCAAGAACTTTCTTCTAAGCGTTCTTTTATTTCAGGAAGCGCACCCGCGCAAAATTGTATAGCATATTGTGTACGCATGTTGGAGGAGATTGCGGGTTCCACGCATTGCTTCTAACATGTACTCCGTAGGGTAGATCTTTTCCAACTCTTTCCGCATGAGCTATTCTTCAATATCCAAATTACAGTCGGAATGAATAAGTGCGCAATTTTCCCCAGAAATTTAATCTTTAGATCCGCATAATAATATAAATAGCCAGTATTATCGGCTCTCAGCCAAGGGTACAGGCAATGAATCATAACGCAGAGATCATTACCTCCCTACGATGGGCTAATAAGTCCACAAGACTAATGGATATGATTGGAAGGGCGCCAAGTTCGCTATATGACGTAGCGCAGTAACTAGATGTCTTCTGTCAAAGATTCTGGGGACCAATCACCAAAACTGTGGGATCCGAAATGTTCGTGTCCCGGGTAATGGGGAAAAGCCGACCTGGTCAAAATATCACGGAGATGGAGCTAGCGGTCGGCTGCCTTGTAAAGTGTCCATGCTAAAGACATCAATGCCCAGATGGTGTGCGGGGGCGGGGCACAGCTCCCCAAGTTGGAGATTAGTGATGAATAGAGAGCTGTTCATGGTCCAAAGATGCCCATATCAGATTATATAGTGTAGTGAGAAGAATACGCTTCATGTTTATAATATTTGTAATTGAAGTACAATCTCAAATTAATACGTTCCACTCTAGGTACCCAGAGCACATTGTACAGCGTCTTGAATTGCAACATCACTAGCTAGCGATACCGTGTTGGACTCCGAAAAGATGGCTCACAGAATTCAAGTTGCCATTCTAGATGACTATCAAGGCATCGCAGAGCCAATATTTCGTCAAGTAATGCCAGAAATTGAAATACGCACGTTTTCTGACACCATCCAACTCTCTACTCCCGAAGACAGCGATGCCCTTGTGCATCGGCTTCAGCCCTACAATGTCATCAGCACGATGCGCGAACGAACGCCCTTCCCGAAGGAAATTATAAAGCGTCTTCCTAAACTAAACCTGCTTCTTACTACGGGAATGAAGAACTCCGCCATTGACTTGGCTGCCTGCACTGAGCAGGGGATTGCTGTTGTTGGTGCGAAGGGTCTTGGTAAAAACACGAAAGAAACCCCACCGACATCTCTTGATTCAACCCTCGAGCATTGTTGGGCCTTGATCCTAGGCCTCGCTCGAAACATCTCTCGGGATGATTTAGGCGTCAAAACGGGACACTGGGAAACATCTCACGCCACAGGACTTCGCGGTAAGACGCTCGGTCTGCTGGGGTTTGGTACCTTGGGCGCGAGAGTCGCTTTCGTTGGAGCAAGCTCATTCGGCATGAAAATTCTGGCATGGTCCAGTAACATCACTCAGCAGGTTGCTGATGAAAAAGCTGCAAGCTTTAGCCTACCTCCAGGGTCATTCAAAGTTGCTGGAACCAAAGAGGAGCTACTGCAAAACTCTGATGTTTTAAGCATCCACTATGTTCTATCCGAACGCAGTAGGAATATCTTAGGATCGAGTGAACTAGCTCTTATGAAGCCTTCAGCGATCTTGATCAACACGTCTAGAAGTGCTCTCGTCAATGAACAAGCTTTATTGGATACCTTATTGCAGGGCAAGATTAGAGGGGCTGCGCTGGATGTTCACAACGCCGAACCACTGCCACAGAACTCCCCTTGGAGGGTAACCTCTTGGGGTACTGAAGGACGGAGCCAATTGCTTCTTAGTCCACATATGGGCTATGTCGAAGAGGGAGTTATGACGCGCTGGTACCAAGATTCGGCAATGAATTTGAAGACATGGGCTGAGGGAAAAGATCTTCTCACTAAACTCAATTAGAGATTGAGGGGAGATAAAGTGGTAGCCGGGCGAGGCTCAATTGAAGAATGAGTAAATAAAGTAAAAGACACTTCTAGACGGAATTTATAGCATGTCTGTAGGCAATTGAAACCTGTTGTATATTACTTAGCGTGGGCATGAAGTGGTTGTCTTCTATATACAATACACCTATTGGATTATGTCCATTGCACAACGGATACCGGGTATAATAAAGCGTCAACTGCAGAGAAATCTAGAAATGGCCAACGTCTTTTCTAAGAACCGCACCAAGCTCGGTACTTCATACAGCGGCACGGGCTATCTACGATTGTCATAACATTACGTTCTTGTAGCAGGTGTGTACAACGAAAGTTGCACGATTCGACACATGGGAGCCACTCGGCGATTCCAGGCCCAGTGGATATTGTCAATTCAGCTACTTTCCCCCGTTTCTCATTGTTAGCTATATGTCGGGCTGTTTGGAGCGACAGAGGGCGATGATTACATTCGCCCACTAGCCCATCAATCACTTCCGTTTAATTGCCTAGACGGGGCAGCTAACGCCGAAGTGGCCAGGAGCTTAGCCTCTCTCCCCAGCTTCAAGCCATGGCTGCCCTTAGTTAGTTGCGGGGAATCCTTGTTTTCAGAGCCGCTACTGTCGCCCAACAAACTCTTGTTCCAGCCCTCGCCGTCGATGCCGACGGCGTCCCCAAATTTGCTTTTGCAAGCTTCCCTTCTCTTCCCCTCCCCCAAAACTTCATCCACATTCCAGGGAGTCTGTAAGATGCACGAGGTTACTACTCATCCTGCAAAGAATATCTTGTGCCATCGTTGCAATCGGGGCTTTTCTCGGCAAGAACACCTTCAGCGTCATGAGCGATCACGTAAGCATGCCTACAAACATTCAATTCCTAGAGGTTCTCTACTAAAGAGCTATTTAGATACGAAAGAAAAACCGTTCAAGTGTTCTCGATGCCCAAAATCATTTACAAGAAAGTATGAGAGAGTTGCTAGTTTGAAACATTGTCATTGGGTATCTAACGCAAAGTTAAGGGATTTACTCACTCGGCATTCTCGTCTTACACATCCAGCAGCACCTCAAAATGTTCAGCCCCGCCTGGAAGAAGATCTATCGAGTGCATCAACTCTGGTAGCCTATACAGACATTTCGCCTCAGGGTCTATTACACTCTGCGGAGCAGTATGCACATTCTCAAGAGCTAGCTACAACTCTTGCCGTACACTCCGAAGAAGGAAACCAGTTCCAACCCGATGAAGCGCACCGAAAATCAGTAGAAGACTGCTCTCTGGCTTTCGACGTCGACAACAGCCTTACAGAGATCAATGCCCCAGCATTTGCACAAGACTTTGCATCATTTATTGATATGGTGCGAACACCTGGTCATCCTTTTTCTCCGGCATATCAACCTCTACCGGTCTTTTTTCCTGATCTGAATCTACCATTGCTCAATAGTTTTGAAGATCAGCGTGTCCCTGAAGACGTAGAAGGAATTTCTGCTTCTGCAAGAGTCGCAGCCACTCAGCGAGTCCCAACCTATCAGGTTGGAGAGACAGGCTGCTCCTTGTCTCGGTATGGATCTAGACTTCCCTCTCTACAACCCGAAGAGACGTCTCAACAGGCTGGGCAACATTCTGTCAATCATACTACCGGCCGTTTCGTCGTTACCAATGAACTTCGTCAACAAATTATCGAAGACATTTCCAAGTTTCCGGGTTGTTTTGACGCGGAATTTGTTCTTCCTTCTAGACATACCCTGACGCGTTTGGTTAACGGATACTTTAAAAATTTCCACGAGCACTACCCGTTTCTACACCTGCCTACTCTTCGCTTAGAGACGCTGCTTGTGGAATTACTGCTAGCTCTAGCTGCACTTGGTGCACGGTATACAAGAGAGACAGAGGTTGGGGCTGAACTGTTCCATGTGGCTAGGGCCATAGCGCTCGAGCGCTGCCAACGGTGCAACACCAGTGCCGAAGGCAATGTGTATCGAGAGGAACAAGAATGGCGAGGTTCATTCACCCCCGATAGCAGTAACCCGAGTTCGCCTAAAAATCGGAAAACAATGTTCGTGGAAATGACCCAGACCGTCCTGATGCTCATCGCAATAGCCACATGGTACAAATATGAACCAGGGGCGACCAATGCGCTCTCATTGCGCAGCGTACTGCATTCTCTTGTTCGAGAGCTGGAAGTTACACAGCAGTCGGATCAGCACTTGGATGACTGGGAAGCTTGGATCCAATTTGAGACAATTAAAAGAACGCAGCTGGTTGTTTTCTGCTTCTTCAATATCCACACGATTCTTTTCGATCTTCCACCAATGCAGTTGGCCAGCGCGATACGCCTGGATCTCCCCTGCTCAGAAACTGTGTGGAGAGCTACCGATGAACAGTTGTGGCGTGACGCCCGCAGAACGTCCAACATCCCCCGTGAGGACTTCCAGGGAGTGCTTGCGGAACTTTTCGCCAACGGCGACCAGTCTTTTGATGCTAGCTCACAGGCTCCTCGGAATCTCTCCGCATTAGGCGGATACGGCATCATCCACGCCATCATTCAGCAGATTTGGCTCACTCGAAACGCCCGCTTACCCAGCCAACAACGATACTCCAGACTTTCCGCTGAAGATATGAATATGTTTGAGTCTGCTTTGAAACGATGGGCAAGGTACTGGGAGCGGAATCAAGAGTCCTCTTTAAACCCACTCAGCCCTCATGGCCCTGTTACTTTCACGTCTACAGCTTTACTGCGGCTGGCATATATTCGCCTCAACTTAAATCTTGGTCCTGTTAGGTGTCTTGATAGCTGGGATCCAGCTTTAGTGGCTCGATCGATACATCAAAGCCAGGGAGTTGAGAGACACCCCCAGCTAACTCGAGCGGCTCTGCATTGCGCCCATGCCCTAAGCATCCCCGTGAAGCTTGGAATTAACTATGTCGCAACGACCCAGCTTATTAACTGGTCAAACCAACACGCGCTATGCTCGCTCGAATGCGCAATTCTTGTGGCAAAATGGCTTGAATTGATAACCAAACCAGACCCTAGCCCACCTTTAACGGCCGCCGAACAGGTGGTCCTCAAGTTTGTCATTGAGCTAGTGGCTGAAACTGAGTATAAACGCACTGTTGAGCAAATAGCCCATAAGAAACAATATTTAGCTGCTAAGATTGTGAGGCTATGGGCGAGGCTTCATCGGGCTGATAGCGTGTGGCAGGTGGTCAACGTAATTGGGGAATCTCTGAACATATATGCAGATCTACTAGAGCCATAATTATCTAGGTATGGATAGCCTTTTGACAAAGGTATATAGAAACTGAATAAGACACACGTGATTTTTGCTCCGCTCGTAACTTAATGTATCTGTATTTTGTCACCTCTCTATCGTATACGTTAATCTCGCTGAGTTTGGTGTTCTTTAAGTTGCCAGTCACCGCAGACCGACCAGAACAAAAAGTATATTATCAACAATCTAATACCAGGGACGAAGAAGTCAGTGGTGTCTGCAAGATCTGAAAGTTCAGTCCAGGCGCCAAATATGGTGGGTTTTCTTGACAGAGGAGAAATTTTATAACTTGCTTCTCCGGGGTCGTTATGACCATGGGAGGATAAGATTAGCCTCTCTCTTTCTCCGCGATTCCCAAGACTGTTTGTATCTAATTTTCAGTTCATCTCCACTCATTCTATCTTTCTCATGCTAAGGCCCCTGTGCACATTCAATTCCAAATACAGAGACAAATATAACATTACGCGCATATTAGACCGCCTCCAAATTGGGGACCCTGAAGATGGCTTGAATGGTTACATGCACACCCAGTTGACCCAAGTGGTGGGGGCGGGGCTGTTAACAAACTAGACTGGAAACATTGAAGTTGATCCCATCCACGCATGCGTTGAGGGGTCATCACGACTACAGGAGAATCGAACCAGGAAGAATTATGTTGTCAGATACACCACTGTTGGGTGGGAGAAAAAACCCGCGCCTCCAACGTAGATTTGTGTCTGTTAAGGTCTTTATAGGTTTTACTCTCTCTGTCCGTCCACCCGCTTTTGTTGGTCATGGCCAAAGCAGGTCTCACGAAGATAAACTAGCCTTGGCAATTCGATGACAATGTCTTCCAATCCAAGTATCAACCTATTTACCTGGCTCACTGCCAACGGGATTAAAGTGTCTATTACACTCGAAGAGCTGTCCATACCATATCAGGTCACGGAGGTGGAAATCTCAACCAATGCTCAGAAAGAGCCTTGGTTCATCAAGATCAATCCCAATGGCCGGATTCCGGCTATCTTAGATGATGGGCAGCGAGTTTTTGAGAGCGGTGCAATTCTGTTGTATCTGGCGGATAAGTACGACTCTGAAGGCAAAATTAGCTACCAGTTTGGTACATCCGAGTATTATGAACAGCTGAGCTGGATAATGTTCCAAGTTGGAGGTGTTGGGCCAATGCAAGGTGAGAGAAGTTTTTGACTACGTTATGGCAATCCTTGTACTTAATACGTTTAAATCGACAGGTCAAGCAAATCATTTTCGCCTCATGGCAGGAGAATATTCCCAATATGCTATTGACCGGTACATGGCTGAGACTCGGAGGTTGTATTCCGTGCTGAATGAAAGGCTTGGGGCATCTCCTTGGCTAGCTGGTAACAAGTATACTATTGCCGACATTTGCAACTACGGTTGGGTTCGATACGGACCAATTGCTCTTGGAATAGACCTAGATGACTTCCCCCATCTAAAGCGGTGGCACGATGCTATTCACGGAAGGACGGCAGTCCAGAGAGGCCTAAATGTTCCACGAGTGGTTCCGGATGAGCAGTTAAGGGAGAGGTATAGACTCATGGAAGAAAAGACAACTGCTCTTCAAAGTTGACCGTGTTGGAATATCTTCAAGATCTGAGACCATAATAATAGCAGAAATAAATTTTGCTGATCCATCAATTTGAGTTGTACCAATTAGCCCATTACCAAGGCCGTATACACTCGCCCGTAAGCCCCCAAAGGCCGCTCACTACGCCCTTGTGGGAACATACTCGCTATCAATGTGACAAAGGATCAAAAATAAAGTCTATTGGTTGTGTTTCTTGTCATTTCGTTCCCTCTAACTCTCCGGGCTTACCTCCACCCATCGGCCTGCAAACTAGACGCACTCTCCTCGCCCCACGCTAGCTCCAGGACATGCACATCAAGTAGGTGCTAGCGTGCTCCTTTATCAATATTGCATGTGCCATGCGACGGATACAGCTACAGATAATGATAGATCTTGATGCCAGTGATGCCAGTGATGCCATTAAGTTATTCTAGATCTATCTCAACTGAAATACAATAATTAGTTTACTTGGCTTCGAGGACGCGACTGCAGAAGTCGACCTGAAGAGTGTATTTCTAGAGCATGACGCTAGGCACACCGGAACGAGTTCTGAGGTAAAATCTTTGGACATTGAAAATTTCTAAATTGGCGCTGTCCTAGTGAATATTACTAAGAATGGTTCATTGCACATGAGGAAGCACCTCTGACAGCTCTCTAGTATGTTCACCGTTCGCAACCATCTCATTAATGACGCGAGTCGCTGTCTTTGTGGCCTCTATCCCAGCAGGTACCCCACAGTATATCGAGGATTGCAGAATGGCCTCACGAATCTCAAGCTCCGTCAAGCCGTTGTTGATGGCCCCGCGGATATGAATTGCCAGCTCTGGCCAGCTTTTTAGCCCGATCAGCATACCGATATCTAAAGAAGCCGGTAGCGTAATTAGTTAAATGTCTTATGCTGCATAGCAAATTGCACATCTGAACATATTGAAGGCCAGTATTCATATCAACTTACTAAGAAGACTGCGCTGCTGGAATGTTAAGCCTGGGCGAGACCAAATGTTACCCCAGCAATACCTGTGTTCTATCAGTATCTCGTGAACCTGGCATTGTAACTAGGCTCAGAACTTTCTTACTCAGTAACGAGTTGCTGGTTGGGATAGGCAAATTCCGTTGAGCCATTCTTTAAAGCTGTGTCAACATAAGCATCGCCAACTACTTTTCGTCGATTTTTGAGACCAATTGCAAACATCTCGTTGCTAAAGTGGTCCGGCTTTGAACCATTGGCAGACATATTGAACTAGGATGAGTATATGCAAGCTGGGTAAGGAACTCAGATGAGCAGCATGGAGGAGAGAAAAATGAGCAATATCGTTGACCCAAAACTGGCGAGAATTACTTGAACGGAGTGCATTGCCGCAGAGCCTATAAAGCGCATTTCCAACAATACATATGTAAGCTCCGATCAGTCGCAGAAGACGTGATGGCTGAAGATGCCGAGATTGACCACTCTCCAAATTGGAGCGCTTTATTTCCGGATCGCCAACCTCGGCCGACATCGCGAGCTTACCATGGCGTTCAGAGTTGCACACTTCAGAGGTGCTGCAACTGGGACTGGACTTGATGATCTTCCCCACCCCCAAATTGGCGCCATAATTCTTGGGCCCAAATCTTCATTTTCCCTCCACTCTCGTCCCTTCTCTGCACCACATCCCGTTAGTCTATAGCTACACTACTCTCCATGGTGTCTGCTTTACTGACCATAGAACGGCACTGTATTTTACGCCACATCTTGAATGTCTTGCACTTGATGTCACCAGTGGAACGTTGGTTCACACCTCTGCGGCATCACACCCACTTGAGCGGCATTACTGAGAAAATGGCTGTATAAAAGACGGCAATAGAGAGCGATAATGTCCGCTTACCGCATCACACGCAAACATTTCTTTTCCGTGAAAAGCATACTTCGTTATTCCCGCTGTCAACTATATCATCGACACAACAGATTTTCTTACCATACGCCATTGACATCAAACACCATTATGCGGGCTCAGGTTCTCGAAGCCTTCAACACACCTTATGTCTTCAAGGATGTAAAAAAGCCAGATGCCCCGACAGGCCAAGACTTGCTGGTCCAGGTTCAAGCGGCTTCTTACTGCCATACTGATGCAGTCTTCGCGTCTGGTGCCATGTGGCAAGACCTCCCTCGCGTCGGATCACACGAATTTGCAGGCGTCATTGTGGCAATGGGAGATGATGTTTCAAAGGAGCTCGGATTGTCTGTAGGAGCTCCAGTTGGGGTTCCTGGCCGTGCATTCCATCCTTGCGGTTCTTGCTACGAATGCCGTGTCAACGACGGAGACCCCCATGGATATGGCGTGTACTGCACCAAAGCCGGCAACCTCGGCCTCTCACGGGATGGTGGTTTTCAAGAATTTTGCATCGTGGATTCCCGCCAGGTTGCGCCGATACCACAGAATATGACCGCCGTGGATACGGCGCCACTCATGTGTGCAGGCCTTACTATCTGGAATGCTCTCCAGGCAGCCCGTGTGACATTGAAAGAGGGAGGCGGCGACGGCCTCACAGTTGCCATCTCTGGGGCCGGTGGTGGACTTGGTCATCTGGGAGTACAATTTGCTGTCAAGCTGGGTTGCCGAGTCGTAGCCATCGATGCCAGCGATGGCGCCCTCGAATTGCTTCGCCAAGTTGTTGATTCGCTAGGACCATTGTCACACAAAGTTTCCATCGTGGATGCCCGCACACAAACCCCTGAAGATGTCCGCATAGAGACATGTGGCAAGCCAGAGAACGACCTACCCGGTGAAAAGGGCGTCGATGCTCTTTTGGTTCTCCCAGAGGCTCAGCAGGCTCTAACATTTGGAATGAAGTTGATCAAAGACCACGGTATTTGCGTTACTGTCTCTTTTCCCAAAGAGGGATTCCTGATACAGCCTCGTGATCTGGTCTTCCGCCATATTGAGATGAAAGGTGTTCTGGTTGGCCGAAATCATCAACTAAGAGAGATGCTCAATTTCGCGGCGAAGAAAGATGTTCGCGCAAAGACCAGGACGTACAAACTAGAGGACCTCAACCAACTAGTGACCGACTATCATAACGGCGTCAATGGTAAACTCGTTGTGGATATGACGAAGTAAGAGAGGGAAAATCCGCGATGTATGTTAGTGGCACTAGATGAAGCCTTGGTAGAGGTTCTCAGTAAACCAATTACAGGCATTTACTAGATCCCATTACAAAAAGTGTCGCTTAATAATTCGACTTAAGATCATTCTCTATATGACCTCAAAGGCATAGATGGCAGTGAATATGGTAGATAGCAACTCTAGTGTGTGAGAGTATATGGCTGTTGTAGCTGACCCAGTATTGGTCGTAGATGTATTTGGCTAAGAATTCGTCGGTACCCCGAGTCGCGCGATATATATCTTCTATCCACTTCTACCAAGCTTATGAACTACGTAGTATACGTGATGGTGAGAATTAAATGATAACAACCAGCAAGCGAGTAACTGTATAAAGCGCGAAGTGTAGGTAGTTCGATGTATCGCATTTGTTGATACCTAGGTCATGTCAGTCCTAGTATAGTAGTACGAGACTCGCCCCAATTCGGGGTCACTCGTTGATTTAGAGACTAGAGACCACAAAGCAAGCCTAATAATCTTCGCCACATTTTGCACAGCATGGGTCCTCTTCACCCCCACAACAGAATCACACAGCTATTGTACGGTTTGCTCGATCTTGCTAAGCCGCCTCAATACCGATCCAAGACTCTTACAAAGCGGCCCAAGTCAGATCATCTGCAAGTTGACGGCGCGTGGCAAATGCATACAAGTCAAAGTCGCAGATTCTGACTACCCCCACGTACAATTGTGCAACACCCGCCGCCACAGGATTACAGGATTACACGAGTACAGTGTTCGCTGTCGGAAACGGGTTTCAGTGAGGTATAATACTCATTTAAGAGTATTACAGTGGCTTGCTTGTCATGTATCTGTTCGGTGCATAATCGTTATAATTAATTTTTTGTGCCAGCCAAGGTACTGTTATACCATTTTGTCGTTACTTGAGCAACGATCATTCCCGCACGACTACCTAAACGTTGAAAAGAAAAGCCCTTCTCCTATCGCAAGAGGAAATTTCGAAAAGGTCAATATATCAACCAAATGAAAATCTATAGCCACATGATTAAAATTACCGATTATAGCTTTCCAGCTTTCGGCTCAGAGCCCAGACATCGCCTCCCTAATGGGCAGATCCAAAATTACCCAGACCAGTACATCCAGTGCTAAAAAGGCCAAAGTTGGTAATGGGAGAACATCAAGCAACCGAGCAAGCCATCTGCAAAGGGCCATGCCCGAATTCAAGAGTACGTTGTGTACTACCACATCGGAAAGAACCAAGACTAGAACACGTGAAAACATGAACCGTTTACTCGAGGAGATTCTAAAAGTCGATGATGAATTAAGAACGTGGTTGGAGTATACCGGATATTTTGATCCCGAAAATCGCAAGAGAATATTAGATAAAGCTAAAACGCGGAGAGAACTTGACCAGAGACGGGCAGAGTTTCTCGCCCAAGTCCAGTCAGCCACTATCCATGCATTACCAGCTCCTATGTCTTTAGTCCAACAAGAGTTGCCACCTCTTCGTTATAGACGATCAAGAAGATTTTCAGGAGCAACATCTCGACCACGGAGGGCAATTCGGGCGGAAACTTGATGGAGTTGATGATGACTGATCTATCTTCATATCCGGAAGCGGAATGCGAGAAGCAGGGGGCACAGATGTCTGGTTTAATGCCGCTTACAAGGTAGTCTTTTAATCTCAGGAATGGGTAGTACTATTAGAATACTCAATAGCCGAGAATTCATCGTCTATATTCCGTCACAGAGACGATTTCAGTTGCCTGATATCAGTTCCCTCTGCAAGATTTAGATGAACTCGTCATTCCCTAATACTAATCTACATGACTTCTCCAGAATGGGCAAATTAAATCTCTATTTGTCGCCGCTTGGAATACGGTAATCATATTTGGCGGTTGAGCGTCCTCTAATTTGGCGCCAGTAGGAGCTCACGCCAAGCAGGCAACATCTTGTTATGGTTTTGGTAATAGTAGTGGAAAAGTAGCCCGAGGACAATGAAGAAAAATGCCGTTATGGTATGTCGACGTGATCCAAAGCCCGCTAAACCGCCAATATTTTCTCGGGATGATGTTTCCTCCGTGTCATTGGCCTGCAGAATTTGTAACATTTAGTCCAGAACTCCCAAATACAGAGTCACGATAACGAACCTTGCCCTCGACTACACCAATTTTGAGCTTCTTCAATATGGACCTCGCCTCTTCACTGTGGCCTGCGTCCTCAAAAAGTTCTGTAACATCCCCCCCTCCTTGGTCCAAAAGAAATTCTGGGCCACCTCTACCAGTCTTGGTCAGCTTATAGAAAACTAGCTATGAGTGATTGAGTACATGCTCACGGATGCTCATGCTGAAATTTTGTGACATCATACACACTACCCCGAACGACGATAAATAGATCCTCAGTTTTGTTGTGATGCTGGAGTTCACTCCATGTGTAGGCTTTCGACATTTTCAGTGAATGCAGATGGCTGAAGAAAGCAATGCCTTGAGTGATATTACAAACTTACGGTACTTCTTTGACGAATAGATATATCGTAATAATGATTCTTTTTAACATCCAAAGCCGCAGCTTAGTTGCAACACCTACCCCATGTCTCCAAATCTCATCCTGCCCCTTCTACTCATTACTCAGTGGACGCCCGGTGATCGCAGAGAGGCTTCCCCCACCCCCACACAATGGCGCCAAACAAACTTCCCGTCTTTACCCACAAGTATCGCGTCACTCTATTTGGCGCGGGCGATAAATTGCGGAGCTCTACTTTTCGCAGTCTTCCAACTCTGATTTATACGGATGGTACGGAGGACGAGAACTGCTTGGGCTATCTCTAAGCATGCGACAAGTTATATTAGAGGTGTGCCTTCTTGTATCCCGGTTCTATCTTAGAGTACACAACTTTTTGCATCCAATTTAAAGGACAATAATGGCTAGCAACATGCAGTCATGCCACCGTAGGCATAGATACAGATTTGACGTCAATTTGACGTTAAGAAGATGACGCTACTTGGGCATCAGGATGCATACATCCACCACATCACATATATAAATGAGCGATCGTCAGTCTCGCAGTGCTACCGTCAGAATATTTTTTGAGATGGAATATTCGTCATGTGGTCTCTCAAGCAGCGTCGTCAAATTAAAAAGGACATACTTCGGGAGCTGAACCAAAAAGAAGAATCGCGATTGCAATCACTCTCGAACGGACGTACCGACCCAGAGGCGAATCAATCTCTGCAGTCATGTCATGGAGAAAGATCATCACTTCATGATGGAGAACCCTTTCAACATGTGAATTCGGACCGAAAGACCTCATCAAATGGGCAATTCTTAGTCACATGTGGACCTGAAGATACGCTCAATCCACAAAACTGGCCGCTTATTTCAAGATGTAAAAATCTTTTTATATTGGCATTTCTCATATTTACCCAAGGCTGGGCAGGCGGTTCCCAATCAATGGAGAATTCAGTAGCAAGTTCAACGTTTCATGTGAGCCAGACCACTGAGAATTTAGATACCGCGATGTATCTGTTTGGAGTTGGAACGGGCGCTCCATTTGCGGGACCATTGTCCGAGACAGTTGGAAGAAATCCTGTATATTTACTGGCTACGTTTTGCTACCTATTTTTCGTCTTGGGATCCGCGAAAGCAACCACATTTGGTGGACGTATTACCTGCCGTTACTTTGTTGGCTTGTTCGCCAGCGCTACCTTGTCCATCAATGGATCCAGTGTCAGGGATCAGTTCAGAGATGTCAAGAGAGCCTTTGTCTTTCCAATTATAGCTTGGGTTAATGTAATAGGTGAGCGGCATGGTTCCTCTACAATGCCACCCATAGATGTTGATGATGCTGACGATTCTGAGACAGGCCCTGTAAATGCACCGGTAGCAAGTGGTTGGCTCGTTTCTAGTCCTAGATTGGGTTGGCATTGGCCCGATTGGATCACTTTAATAATATCCGGTGTCGCGTTCTCAATTGCACTTCTGTTTCTTCCGGAAACATACCTGCCGCTGCTTTTGGATTGGAGGGCGAAAGAATACCGGCGTTTGACTGGCGACAATAGGTTTACCTCCGAGCACGCTACATCAGCAAATTTCCTGGGGCGCCTAAAACACAATGTTACACTTGGTATCACATTTTTCCGAACAGAAATTATTGTAACAGTACTAGGCTTCTACCTTCTACTCTTATACACGCTTCTTTTCACTTCCCTGTCAGGATTCGATTTCATCTTCAAGGACACATATGGGCTCTCTACTGGCCTTACCGGTAGTTGCTTCGCCTCTATTGCAGTAGGGTCGACGCTTTTCACATTCAGCGCACCAGGCTTATACAGCTGGGCTCGCAGAGTTACAGAACATGTGCATGGAGCAGCCGTTGAACCCGAGTTTCGACTATGGCCTGCGATCGTTACGTCGCCCATGTTGCCCCTATGTCTTTTCTGGCTCGGATGGACCAACTACCCTCAAATTCCTATATGGTGCGGGTTGTGTGCTTGTTTGGTATTCGGTATTGTCTTAACTGCATTTTATGTGAGCAGTTATGAATACATAATAGATAGCTACGGTGACCATTCAGCTATCGCTCTTGCGAGTGTTACATCCGTACGGTACTTGGCTGCAGGTGGAATGGTAATGGCTACACGCCCAATGTACACGGCCATTGGTGTCCATTGGACAATGACACTCTTGGGTTGTGTTGCGGCTATTCTTAGCCCTGCGCCGTTACTGTTCTGGTTCTATGGACCCAAGCTCAGATTAAACAGTAAATATGCGAAGAATCCACAACAAGGAGGATAAGAGTCACTTTATAGCAATCAAGTTTTGAATTACAGGATTATTGGATAGTTAACACAATGTCTATTCGTGCAGAACTATGAGATTGTTACTCTGTAGAGTATTATAGGCTGCAGTCAAGCACCAGACTCCTATCTCCTCAAACAACAGTTACCTTTCTAGCTTAATGCCACTCAGATTTTGTTTTATCAGGCAGTTTGCGTTAGATATCTGCCTGATCGAAGTTGCGGATAAAGTCATAGTAAAACTTTACCATATTCACATGCTCGCTCATTAAGAGCTTTTCGTTAACGCCATGGATGTTACCGAAAGATTTCAGGCTTCCGGGACTCCACCTATAAATGTTCTTTGATAGATCTGTAATAGTACGTGGAGTCAGTATTACAACGTGGAAATCTTACATGCACTCATCAAAACTTACCTAGATAGTGGCGAGTGTCAGTGTTGCCAGTCATTGCCCCTGGAGCTGGAACAACAACCCTAGCTTCATCTGCATATGAGTAGCGAACCGTACCAGCAAAAACATCCCACACAGCTCCCTTCGTTGGAGACTGGGGTGTTACATAGGATCTCTTTCTTCCCTCGAGAACCAATTTTCCGTTATAGATAGGCTCCCAGGTTGCGTTGACTTTGTTGCCTCTACCTGCACGTGTCTGTCCAATGGAATCAAGATAGGCATCGTAGTCCTCGTCCCCTTCAAAGGCATGTAGAGTGAGATTATACTTGTGAACCACTTTTTGAACTAGATCTACTATGCGGTGTTGAATGCTGCCAATACTATCCTGGGGAGCATAACGATGATTCACGCCCAGAGTAGTAAACTCGGGCAACGAATTGATCTTTTGGCCACCTGCAATCCAATTCACGGCTTGTGATGTTTGGATAAAGTATTGCGTCTCTCGCTGTGTTTGCGCCAACAGCTTGGCAGCATTGTCAAGCAGGCCCCAATTGATATACCCGGTTAGTGCAGGTAGAGCGTACGGTGAGTATCGCGTGAAGCAAATAAGGCCCTGGTGGATCGGCCCATCTGGAATAATCTTTGGTATAAAAGGGCTTGATTCCAATGATGTGACAATTTCTGACATCATACCAATAGAGGTGTGCGGAGTTGGTGTCGAACTGTGGCCTCCAATGACTTCGAGATCGAACCACACGTCGAGATACCCTTTCTCGTAGACAGCAGGCAAAGCGTAGAGCACATCGCCAACTTTCTGAAGCCCTGCACCGCCTTCATCAAGAATGACGGCGATTCCATCTTTACCATAACGCTCTTCAAGATGCTTAGCTATCGATGCTGCACCGCAAAAGCCCGAGCATTCCTCATCGAAGCCGAATGCAAAAATGACTGTGCGACGAGGCTCGTAGTTTTCTTGTGAGAGAAGCGATTCCATTGCTGACATGAGGGCTGTAATGGCTGATTTATCATCTGAAGCCCCGCGGCCATAGAGATATCCACTCTTCTTGTCGTAAAAAGCATCAAACGGCGGATGATCCCAATCTGCTAACGTTGCGTTCTCTACCGGCACGACATCCTGATGGGCTGTTAGGAGAATAGGTGCTAATGAGGTATCCGTGCCCTCGATTGTATACACGAGACCGAATCTGTTAATGGTTTCTACCCATGCTCTATCATTGCTATGATAGTCTCAGCATCTGTTTGGGGGATTTTGATGAGACAAGTGATAAGGCTCACATCAATGGGTAATGCTTCTCTAGCACTTTTGGGATCTCATCAAATGGCTTCCATCGATCGTCCGTGTCGAAGTCTCCGAGATCGTCATAACAAATCGAATCAACTTGGACCAGGGGCTGATGACGCTCAACCAGTGTTTCAAGCGCTTCTTGGCTTGAAAACAAATCATGAGAACTATAGAGCCCGTCGTCCGAAGGATCAAGAGGATCAGCCAAGTTACATTTAAACCGAGCTTGCTCCACCTTGGGAAAGGTAGCAGCATTGCGGTCACTAAAACCAAGAGGCAGTTGATTGGCAAGTCTGGCTACAGAACTCGCGGGCCAGAACTCAAATGCAGATGCAGAGAGGAAAGTGCCGGCAAGCAGCACTTTCTTTGTATTCATCATTGTAAAGAATCAGGCTTATAGCAGGTGGAAGACATAAATTGGTATGGACCGAAGAATCTTTGAACGGGCATTCCACCCTCACTTTATAGAGCTCCAAGACGTACCATAGCTGGTTTGTAAATGTGGGGAAAATGCAACCATGACATGACGGACTCTCCCGAAACACATGTGATGCTCCATGTTAAGTCTCAGGCCATTTCTACAAACAAGAATTCCATGTTTGACGTACGAGGCGGCCTGTTAATATGCAGGGGGACTTTGTATCCCGAGGGTACACAGGGTGGAGAAGAGATCATAGCGAATGAATCCACGAGAAGTGGAATAAGAATCGGCGAAGTGCAGATCGGGCCGCACTGATGAGTCTAATATCCGTGCACAACAGGTATCTGTGAACGAATGCTTGGGCAGAAATGAACACAAAGGGAAACATCAAAGTGGATTTCTTGCAGGACAAATTTCACTGTTGCTTCACCGATCGGAAGAAAGAACGAATCATTTTATTTTACGTCACCATATGTTCCGAATCATGCATTTTATGTGATACAAGTCACTCTGTGTGTTTCGTACACATCACAAGCATTGAGGTTGTCAATCAGTGACACTTCGCTTCTCTCTCGAACCTAGCGGGGTAGCCGTAATGCCAGACTCGACAGTACTTGGAGAGCAAATACAAGAATCATTAAGGTAAGGAAGTAATAAGTAGTAGTCCATAGTAGAGGAATATGGTGTTTTCACCATTATATGTGTATTTGGCCTCGAGAAGGAGGGATTAGAGATGTGTTAGAGGACAGAGGGCGTTTAACAACTGCAGTGCTACCGTATTCTATTTAAACTTCCAGGACATTGCGTCTGAAACGCAGAATTGTCCAGCTTTCACACTATGAGATGACTCTATCCAAACTCTGTAAGGAGTTGCAACGGCCCATCAATGGTGAACGCATATCGGCCCGTACAAATTCTGGGATGAAGTCTTCTTGAAATCCATTAGATCACTAACGGATGTATTTGTAGTTGGCAAATTTGGATGTCTCATTGAATGCTTTGCTTCATGTGAGAGGAAAATATAGCGGCTGATTTCAATGCATTTCAACAATTTCGTGGCGTGTAGGGATAATGGATCTATTGAGGTCGAATGCTGATCTGGCGTATTACAAGATGCCTGCTTAAGAACAAGCGCTGACCAGGGGAATAACCAAGGGAGAGTCAATGACTACAAATGAGTTGTATTGGTGCAAATAACGAAACTCCATTCGCATACCCGACGGTTGAAGGTTACTTGCTTTGAACTGTTCTAGTATAATAATGCTTAGAATGGAAACAAGGAGGAGATGAGGTGGATCCTCGTAAAGTGGCTGCAAGAACTCACTTTTCCTGACGACCGCTGGATCAGTAGTAGTGCCAAGACTGATGAAGTACCAGACATAGAAATTATTGCCTTTTACATGAAATACTCATAGATTTTATATTTTACATTGTATATTCAATTATCATCGTCGATTTGCATGCTTCTGATTGGTGCGCATAGCCAAAACTCCAAACCTGGGGTAAAGTATACCGAAATACCCACCCCTAGGTTAGCGGAGTGTGTTGTTCCACCTCTGATACTTGTGAAGACCAACTTTACGTGCGTCACAAGGCCCTGTTCATGCAACATTGGAGATGAAAAGTAGTATTTTGACAAGGTTATATAGGCTGTTTTGGTTGTAACTTGCAGAATAGTAAAGAAAATTAGTAAATAATATGCAGCTAATCCGTGATATTTGAGGAGGTTCTTGCTAGTTCAGCAGCACCAATGAATGTGGAAGAAGACATTGTAAATAGACACTGAAAAAAATATAAAAGGCCAGCTTTTTACCACACAACTTTGAAGGTGATCTCTACAGCATATCCATTCCGTTTAGGTGGCTATTTAATCCTCCTGTTGAAGAACCCTTTAAAGCACTTTCAAGTGCGGCATTGTTGACTATCTGGTCTTCCTCCCATCTAAAACTATCAGCCATGCACTCACGTGTCAGTAAGGCTCTGGGCCTTGTTGCCACAAGCTCCCTGGTCGCTGCTGGGCCCTGTGACATCTATTCCTCGGGCGGCACACCTTGTGTTGCCGCTCATAGCACTACTCGTGCCCTATACAGCGCTTATACTGGGCCGCTGTATCAGGTCAAGCGAGGATCTGATGGCGCTACAACCACCATATCACCACTTTCTAGCGGTGTTGCCAATGCTGCCGCCCAAGACTCTTTCTGTGCTGGCACAACATGCCTTATCACAATTATATACGACCAGTCGGGCCGTGGAAACCACCTTACCCAGGCCCCTCCTGGTGGCTTCAATGGCCCAGAGTCCAATGGCTACGATAACCTCGCCAGCGCAATTGGCGCGCCAGTGACGCTGAATGGTCAGAAAGCGTACGGAGTCTTCATCTCCCCTGGCACTGGCTATCGCAATAACGCCGCCAGTGGCACAGCTAAAGGCGACGCTGCAGAAGGCATGTACGCAGTTCTCGACGGAACCCACTACAACGGTGCCTGCTGCTTTGACTATGGCAATGCCGAGACAAGCAGTCGTGATACGGGCAATGGCCACATGGAAGCCATTTATTATGGTGACAGTACCGTCTGGGGCACCGGCTCTGGCAATGGCCCTTGGATAATGGCGGATCTTGAGAACGGCCTATTCTCCGGATCTGCTGTCCACAACAACGCCGGAGATCCGTCAATCTCCTACCGATTCGTCACCGCGGCCGTCAAGGGGCAGCCAAATCAATGGGCAATCCGTGGCGGTAACTCTGCATCCGGCTCGTTGTCAACATTTTACAACGGCGCGCGCCCATCAGCATCTGGCTACAACCCGATGAGCAAAGAAGGTGCCATTATTCTCGGCATCGGCGGCGATAACAGTAATGGTGCTCAAGGTACCTTTTATGAGGGCGTCATGACCTCTGGTTATCCTTCTGATGCAACTGAGAACTCGGTGCAAGCCAATATTGTAGCCGCCAAATACGCTGTCACATCGCTGACTAGTGGACCAGCGCTCACTACTGGTTCTTCAGTCTCGCTACGCGCCACCACAGCCTGCTGTACCACGCGATATATCACACATAGTGGCTCTACAGTCAATACCCAGGTCGTTTCATCATCTAGCGCTACCGCTCTTAAACAGCAGGCCAGCTGGACTGTTCGAGCTGGCCTGGGTAACAGCGGATGCTTCTCGTTTGAGTCTAAGGACACCCCCGGCAGCTACATTCGACACAACAACTTTGTACTCTTGCTCAATGCCAATGATGGTAGCAAACAGTTCGCTGAAGACGCAACCTTTTGCCCACAAGCCGGCCTCAATGGCCAGGGCAGCTCACTTCGAGCTTGGGGATACCCAACCCGTTATTTCCGTCATTACGATAACGTCCTTTACGTTGCCAGCAACGGTGGTGTTCACACATTCGACGCTACCGGCTCGTTTAATGATGACGTGAGTTTTGTAATCAGTGCCAGTTTTGCTTAAAAGGAAGAATGCATATGAGGGATCCTTTGATGTAACCTGTGCTCGATCTTTGCTTTCTCTGTAAGGCAGGGTTGTGGATCTTCTGTCAGTGAACTACAGATGCAGATCTAGATCCTTCGGCAAGGATCAAGACATCCTAGTATGATAGTTAGCATTATTCTTATCCAATCAACATCAATATACGTATATTTTGAGCCATTTTATATGAAAGCGCTACAAGACCAAAAGATATTGATGGCACATTGGCTCATTAACTCATCAGCAAATACGCTATGAGCATATTTATAGTCAATAAAAGATACCCTGGCTCGTATTTCAGGGGAGCCAGCATTACTTCTTTGTAAATGAGGGCCATTTTATACACACGATTGATCTTTGCGTGTGGACTACTACAAGCATGTAGTGCAGCTGTCAAGATCTTAGTCACGAGGTACGATGAAGATCATATAAATGATGAATGGTTACATAAATTACATAGCAGCTCAGCCTCGAAGTGACAAAGAGTGGGTAAATGATGGAAATAATAATAACCTTATGGCAGTGCTTTACGGCACTATGTTGCGGGTTGGTCCCGATTGTTGAAGGGCAAGAAAGGGATTGTTTTCCAGAAGGCTGCTCAGCTACATATCCAAGTCAACACTAATCACTAAGTCACGCATTTTAGCTCTCGTCAAGTAAAGTCTTCATTTTTGACATATTAGTCTATGAGAGTAAGCAGTTTGCAGTCAACAGTACATCATTCACTGAGGGAAGAATAAGCACTTATAGGTCAAGTGCTTCTATCCAGGTTTATTTGGTAGCTTTCATGCGCTCCCGATAGAGCCCAATTTGGAATCGGTAGATACGATGTGCTGAGAAGCAATTTCACCAAGAAACTAAAGTCCAACCAGAGCAAACTCACATTCAATGAAAAGGTATTTCTTCTGTAGCCTAAAACCTGTTACGCAACTTGTAGAAGCTCAGCCAGCGTGCTATACAGCTATTAGAGCCATGAGCAGCCAGATCACGTAATCAGACCTGGCCTGTCAGATTATGAACAAGATCTTTCACAAGCCTCCTCACGTTCATTAGCATTCCATTCAATTGCCTCGTCATGCCTAGAGCTGCAAATAGTGATTCTCAAACAGCATTATGTTAAACTAATTGGGACGTTGATATGCTTTGTTGGTCCGGTGTGTCTGCTCCACCGTCTTTCCATTGAACAAAGGTCATTAGTTGCAAACACTTCGCAACGACCTGCTCATCTACCAAGATGAGCAGCGAAACTCGTGAACCAGTGCGCACCGATGCACCAACAGTGCTACACAAACTACCGCCTCTGACGACAAAGATATTGTATTCGATTATTCTCTATGCTGGCAAAAGCCTTGCCGCTTTATCGCGAGAGTTTCAAGGCTAAAAGAGGTCATTTGGCCTCCAAATGTGAGGCCTGATCTTATCAAGACGTATCAATGCCGGCCTCATCTACCAGTTCGGTTAGTGATACCCATTATATCACACAGTGAACGTTTTCTTATACGGGATGGATGACGCGCAGGATTTTCCTACCAGCTTCCCACGATGCGCCGTCGCCGCATGCCTATCCTGTTCTGTTTGTTATAGTTAGAGGTAGATGGTTTATAGGCTACAATAAGGAGCACGATGAGTGGAATCGTGCCTTCGCTGATACCCAGTCTACTGTTGTTATTAGACTTGACCATTCCAAGGCACCGAGAACCCAGTTTCCTAGACCAGTTCACGACATTGAAGCCTTGATGCTTGCCGCACTAGCTGATGAAACCATCCCCATTGATCGCTCATCTCACCCCCCTATGAATCGCGTTGCTATCCTCGGGTTTGCCTCCGGAGGCAACCTCGCGCTCGCAGTCAGCCAACTACCCTCAATACACAATCATTCCCTTGCGCCGGCTGCTGTCATGTGCGTCGCCGGTGTTCTCGATTTATCAATCCCAACAGAGAGAAAGCTGGAGAATCGATATTACAAGCCAGCCTTGAAGCCTTCAAAGCGCTGTGGCAAAGACAGTCTCGGCCCCGTCATGCCGGCTCTGTGCTGGGGATACGTTCCGTACGGCGTGGACCTGTGTAATCCACTCCTAAGCCGGGATACGCAGACCTGTCGATGCTCCCCGCTCATGTGGGATTGGTTGGCGCTGAGCTCGACTTTCTTGCGCACGAAGCCTGGCGCTTGGCATGCCGGCTGTCGCGTGAAGATGCGAGAGTTGACCACGGAACGCCAGATCCCGAGAGCAGGGAGACCCAGTGGCGAATTGTTGGACAAGAACAAGTTCATTCTGGCAATCCCCTGCGCGGGCTCGGGGAGGGAGTTCCTGATGAGCGGTTTGCGTTTGAAGAGCATTGGCAGGGCGGTGGCGTCAAGTGGTTACTCATCCCAGACGTCTTACATGGATTTGATAACCGCTTTTACCGCGAGATGGATACTCGTCGAGAGGATATCCGGGATGCAGAGGTAAAGACTGAGGCATACATGAGAGAGCTGGGAACATGGTTACGAGAACGAGTGTGGAGATTGTAGCACATGAGTATTTTCACGGTCTTTTGATGCCTGACAGATAAGTAATTCGCAGGTCAGATTGTATTACATACGGGAAAGAGCAATCGTTTAATATTAGCTTTGCTACGGATGATTGCAAGACCACCATCGTGAAGCGTAGCTATGTATGATTGTGTTTTGGAGGGTCTAAGCTTCTTCCCTTAAGTCGCAAGACTTGGCAGCAATAAGCAGCCTAAATATACAACAAGTATCCATTCTAGCTCGCTATAGATACAGCAAAAAATTAGCGAAGTGTAGACTGTAGCGTCGTGATCTTGACTAAATTGGCCATTTCCCGCCATTGGCTGAAATAGTACTTCCAGTCACCCAACGAGACCCTTCATCAGCAATGAAGGCCACGATCTGGGCAATATCATCTGGCGTGCCGCTTCTTGGGGCAGCTGCAGTCACACGGGCGTTTTCCTTGCGATAGGCTTCCAGAGCCTCAGGGGAGAGGCTTTGCACCAATTCAGTTTCAACAAATCCAACCGACAGTGCTGCATGAGTGAGCGATACATTTCAGGTAAAGAGGATGGGAGATGGTGAACTTACCATTGACAGTAATACCGCGGGATTGGCCAAACTAAGATTCCAGTTAGAATGCCATAAGCCAGCAGGAATTATCAGACTCACCTCAACAGCCCAGTTTCTAGCTAACGCCTCAACCGCTGCCTTGCTAATGGCATAGGCAGTTTGGTTCATTCCAAACGAAAACCGCCTGGCTGCAATAGACGAGATAAGGATAATACGGCCTCCACGTGGTATATACGGGAGCAGCTTTTGCGTAAGGAAAAATGGAGCTCGTACGTTTGTTGCCATTGTATCGTCGTAAATTGCTTCCGTAGTAGTTTCGGTTGATATGGGTGCGGCGTAAGCCGCATTGTGAACTATCATTGTGTTATTTCCCAGTGGCATAACATGCAAACTCACAACTTCTGGAGAATCAACTTACCAACAATGTCAATTTTTTCAACACCCAATTCTTGCAGAGCTTCGTCGATGATTTTTTGGTAGTTGCTGGATATCTTCAGGTCTGCCTGAATGCTGACTGCCTTTGCGCCAGAATTAAGCGAAAGGACTTCTTTGACTGCTTCCTTTGCGGTCTCAGCACGGCTCGGGTTAGCATATACCATAGCCACGCTGGCACCTCGGCGAGCAAGTTCCAGAGAAATGCCTCGCCCAATCCCCCTGATCCCACCAGTCACCAGAGCCGTCTTGCCGGCAAGCGGCAATTGCAGTAAAGACATTGTTAATTTTTGAATACTTGGTACCTTCTGTTTGTGAAGATGAGACTGTGTTAACCTTGGAACACTTTATTGTAGGAATCACTTCTTATATACATGGACTCTGGGTTACCTGTGCCAGCATCTGGGTGCTCCGCCAGCAACTTCACATTCACATAAACCATCTACATAGGCAAAATAAACCCTCAATAAAACATTTATGTCCGTTTAATTCCGTATTATTGATATTTTCTTTGAATGATACCGTGTCATTCACGACATGTAAAATACATGGTCAACTTGCTTTGTTGGTGTATCCAATTAAAGAAGCCACGCCAGTTCCACCTTGTCTCCCGCAATCAATATTTCCTGGGTTTGCGGAGATAAGATGGTATCGGCGAGCAAACTATTGAAAATTACGTCAGCAAACATTTCCCTTTTCGTAGCACCTTTGTGTGCTCAAGTAGTAAGATCGTCGCTACTGACGGAGTTAATATGATAGTAAATAAAAAATCGCACAGTAAATTACGGAATAGTTAAGGTGATTCTTTTTACATTCTATGTTTCGGAGAAGTCCTTTGGGGACATTAAAATTTTGTCAATAGAGGAATGTGTCCTCTGTGGATTAAATACTACTATACTTATTTACAGCCAATTCGCCAATTCTCCCGGACCTGCAAGTTCATACTGAGCGGCAAGAAGTTCATCTTCTTCGGATTCCAATCGGCCGGCCAGAATTTCTTCCTTTTGATCTGGGGTAATAAAATATGGTCCGTCAACACCGCATTTCACATCTCTCTCTGGCATAGTGCCATTGTTAAGGAACGCACGCAGGTGTGGCACAAGGCACGAAGACGGCATTGCGGAAGAGCAATGGCCGTATCCCTCGATCTCGATTAGGCGCGAGCCTACAAATGATTCCCTTGCCACCTTTGCAGAGCGAAGAGGACAAATGGGATCATACGTGGTGGAGAGTATGAGTAGCGGGTGCAAGGTTTCAACGCCTTGGCGTGGAGCAAATGAATGCTCCTTTGGGATCAGCCACTGTGCTTTGGTAAAGAATTCTTCCATTTGTGTAACGGCAAATGATGATGAATTCCACATAGGCTGCAGCATTTCCAATAACTCATACTTTTTCTCTGGCCAGTGTGATTTTCCAGCAGCGCCGTCGTTGCTATGGATTATCATTCCATGCTCCATCACCATCGAGCTATTTTTATCCAGGCCGAAAGCAAGCAGCGCAGCTGTCGCGTTCCCATTCATGAGTTGTGCTATGGTGTCGGCAAGCATATACCAAGAAGACGGTCTATACAAGGCAGGGAAAATTCCACGGAGCCACATCGTGCTGTAATCTATCAGTCCATAGGCCGTATTATTGATGTAGGCTGGTATAGGGTCTTCTTTCAGGGACTGAAGAAATTTTGTAACGTTTTTCTTCAAATCTTCTTTAGTATGACCAAAGGCATTCAAGGGGCATTCGTCAGAAGCCTTTACGCATTCGTTGAAAAACCCGTCCAAGACCCTTTCGGTATCCTCAAAGTCCCCTTCCAGGGGATCAGTATACCAATAGAATTGGTTCACAACACCGTCAATAATGACTCGCTCAGATCGTTCTGGAAACAGAGTCGCGTAAGTTTGTCCAAGTAAGCTGCCATAACTGAAACCCCAGTAGATCATATTCTCTTGGCCAACTGCGTCGAGAATGCTATTCATGTCTGCAGCTGTCTGCGGAGTATTCATGTATGGGCCATACTCGCCCATTGTATCGGAGCACGCCTGAACAAAGCTGCTAGTCCAAGGTTGCAGCTTTGGGCCATCCGCAAGGGGATCATAAGAGAGCGAGATGGATCGTGCTTTGCGTGTTTCATCATCCGGGAAGCAAGTAGCTTGTGGCCGGGAGTTATTGACGCCCCGTGGGTCAAATGACAAAATGTGAAAGTTGTCGCCGGCAATTTTCTGTGTCGCCTTTCCCCTCCGATAGAGCCAGTTTATGCCGCTACCTCCTGGGCCACCTGGATTCACAATAATATTCTTGGTTGCCCTTTGGGAGCTGCGTAGTCGTGCAAGGGGGATGCTAAAAGTACGGTTGCCCGAATTTTCCTTGCTGAATTGATCCATTGGTACGGTGATTGAGCTGCATTCCAGATCGCTGCCCTCTAAATTTCCACACAAAGTCCATTCAATGAGCTCCCCAGGGTATGTCCGGACGTGTTGAGGAGCTTGACAATTGTGAGCTGTGTTAGAATCATACGGAGCCAACTGATCCCAAACGAGCAGAATCGAAAGAATGGTGGCCAACAGGAGCCATTTCTGCGTCATCCTCTTATTCTTTGTAGATTGCTGCGGAGGGGTTGAGTCAATCGGCAATATACCCTTCTCAGTGAAGGGTTGCTTTTCGCTTGTCAAATCTGCAAGCATCTTCGAGGCAAGAACAAGCAAATGGCATGAGAGATGAAGGAGGTACTATCAAATAGCACCTAGCTGAGGTTTTAATGGGATCTTTCCAGAGTTATTGGCAGATGACCGGTGCCCCAATCTACGTACGTGTTTACGCGGCTGAAGGACGTTGGTTGAAGGCGGGAGGAGGAGCCGGTCCCCCGCAGTAGAACGCGTCAGTAATACTTGGCAGGCATTGCGATATTCAATCCCTGTAAAGCTTGCGCCAACTTCAATGACAACACGCCCGACTTGGAATTTACCTACCCTAGGGGTTTGTAAAAGGAAGAAGAAAAAAGAGGGATACGAGAAGTGATTAGCAATTTTAGCATACAGAAACAGACAATCCGCACATCTCCACTACACTAGACTCATCTAGAATGGTGGTCATATTCTTCTTATGTATGCACATATTCATTACGTGGTCTCTGGTTTGCATAGCACAGAAATCATCTTCAAATGTCGCCATGCTCCCTCAAATACGCAAGCAGCAACACTGCGATGCAGTAAAAATATGAGAGTCGTTTATCTTATAAAGTTTCATAATGAAACATCATCCTCTATTGCATTTATTACAATCTTATGCAAAACTCTCCATATCGTCCATAGATAGGCTACACACTAAATAAGATTTGGATCCTTCTCGGTCTGAGTAAGCCCTTATAGAAAAGGAGTCTTTCACATCTTAGCTATCAATATGTCACTCTTTACGAGCGAATGAAGTGCTACTTAATGACATGATTTATGGAGAACATAATCCCTCGGCATCCTAACAGTTCAGCCACAGAGACATACTTTCCGAATGAGTTAGTTCGCATACCGAGGTCGTAAGTAGTATAAGAAGCCGTACAATCGCAGCTATGATCTTGCCAACATGATCACTCTTGCGGTATTAATACGCATAGGGGACGCAATTTGTTATAATTAATTATATATTACTTAATCAGTTCATTGAGTTCGAGAATTTAGTGAACCTTTGTTAGATTCCGCTATGAACATGACCGAAGCAAGCAGAGGTGGGCTTTTTGGCTCATGGGGGATTTCTCCGTCTCTGCCGATTGCTCTAGTTGCCATATGTGTCCTTCTCTACCGACTCTATATCCGACATTTCCCAAAGCCCATTCCAGGCAACATCCCTTACAATATACTGTCGGCAAGACGGCTAATCGGCGATTCACTGGACATCCGGCGGTACCAAAAGACAGGGGATTTCAGGCGTTTCTTCCACGATCATAATACGAAGCTGAACACCTCTATTTCTCAAGTCTTCATGTTCCCATACCCCAAACCGTTTGTGCTTTTGACGGACTTTCGTGAATCATATGACATCTTGTCAAAGAGACACCGAGACTTTGATAGAAGCAAAAGAAATGCAGACATTTTCGGAACTATTGGAACAAACTTTCATCTTGCTATGCAGACACGAGATCCACGATTCAAGGGAAATAAAGAGCTTGTAAGGGATTTGATGACACCGGCATTCCTCAATGAGGTAAGATTACTATGTTTTCCATCAGTAAACAGTGCATGCTAAGTTTCAACCATAGGTTTCTGCAGTACACATTTACGACATCGCCACTGTGCTGGTTGATATGTGGTCATATAAAGTTGCTCAAGCTGCTGGACGCCCGTTTTCTGCGTACGAGGACCTTCACTATGTTGCTCTTGACATTATTCTTGCAGCGGCTTTCGGCATTCCCCTTGAGCAATCAACAACTCAGAAGCAGTATGAGTTTTTACAGCTTCAGTCATCTAAAATTAAATCAGCAGGCTCCAAAGCTGATCCAGTCACCTATGACCGCACTCCGATAGCTGAATCCCGTACGGCTCTGATGAAGGTGACAGGAACCGTGGTGGTGGGATATAAATCTCCATTCCCTCGCCTCCATCATTGGATTTTGAGAAACACAATTTGGCGCAGAGATTTTGCTCTGAAAGAGGCATTTATTACAGATGAAATTAACAAGGGTGTTGAGAGGCTGACTTCGGAGAACTCGCAAGAGAATCGCATGCGATGTGCGATGGACATGATGCTCCTAAGGGAACTTGGCTACGCGAAGAAGGAAGGGAGAAAGCCAAACATCAACGCGCCTAGGATGAGAGATGAGGTAATATTGAGTGCTCTATCCTGTGTAAAGTGAGGTTAACTTTGGAACGGGTAATGCTAATTGGATATGATGCAGTTATTCGGCTACGTAGCTACCGGACATGACACCTCATCCACAACGCTCTCGTGGATCACGAAATTCTTGGCCGATAATCAGAGTGCCCAAGCCAAGCTTCGTCGTCAATTACGCACGGCCTTTGCAGAAGCTCATGCCGAAAAACGCCAGCCAACTGTGATGGAGATTATCGAAAAGCCAGCACCTTTCCTCGACGCCTTCCTGGAGGAGTGTTTGCGAATGACAAAAACTATCCCCACCATTTTACGTGAGGCCTTGACCGATGTCACAATATTAGGTCATCTAGTTCCCAAAGGCACCAGTATTATGATGTATAACCATGGGCCCGGAGGACAATTGGAGTCTGGATTTAACATTCCTGAGGCTGTCAGGTCCGAGACGTCACAAAGCTCAAAGGACCGTGTAGGAGAATGGAATCCTGACGATATAAGTCGCTTCCTTCCGGAAAGGTGGCTACAACGAACAGCGGAAGCGAAATCCGACGGCGAAGGTGACGCAGAATTCGAAGGAATCGAATACAACGCCAATTCCGGGCCTTTCTTAACATTTGGTGGTGGACCCCGAGGCTGTTTTGGAAGGAAATTAGCATACATGGAACTGCGAATTGTGATGGCCATGCTGGTATGGAATTTCGAATTTCAGCCTTGCCCTGCGGAACTCAGCTCGTACGAAGGCATTGACGCAGCAACTGTTGTGCCAAAACAATGCTACGTAAGATTGAAGCAGCTGTTGTAGGCTATTAAGCCAGAACCTACCTTAATGTCGAATTGCTATGTGTTTCTCGATATGCCTGGCACAGATTGATGGAGGGATAGCTAGACTAGCTATGGGCGAACAACTAATTGAAGCAGTCTACTGCACAAGAGGGAGACTCGGGCAAACCAAGCAAGTCATTTGCGTAGTAGAGAGGCTCTGAATTAGCTAGCTAGAGGTCTAAAAATACTGAGCCATCGATTCGCAAGCTGGCATTTGTTAATTTCCTTTTCAAGCATTTCTCTACGACCTTTGTTGTATTCTCTTCAATATCGGTTTCCAAACGTTCTATCCTCTCGCTCGCCTCATTATCCAGTCGTTCTAAAGTTGCATCAACCTCATCCTTAAGATCTTCAATTATATCTTGAGATTCGATCCTCATATCCGTTATACAGTCATCGATTCGATGATCAACCTCTTCCAATAATTCTAGCCTCTCTTCCTCTCCACGGCTGTGTGTAGAATCCAATGCCTCTGAGACTTTATCTTCAAGCTTGACCATGCGGCCTTCTATACTATCGAGGCGAGTGCAAATGTTTTTGAGAATGAGTAGGATTTGGTCCTGGGTTGTGGATGGGCGCTCAAAGTCATGGTCGGAAAAATCGCGCTTGCGCTTATCTATAGTGAAGCTGGGTGAGCTTGGAAACTTGAGATAGTAGGGTACGGCTTGCTCACTGGAATGATGGCTACGACTGGGCGCAGGCTCACTGTACGGAGGCAAACACGCTTCGGTATTGGCAACATCGTTCTTTACATTGACAATTTCGCCTCCTCTACCAGCATACAGCGTTGTGAGATTGGCACGCCTTGTGTTGGTAGACGGGCGGTTGTCATTATGCGACAGTGAAAAAGTCGAAGCAACCGATTCCAAAATTCCCTGTGTCGATGTGACTGTGTCAAGATTACTGAGATGTACAGTGAAGGCCGTCACCGTGGCGAGGGCTTGTATGGAATCTAGAAGGGCTTTGGTCTTTGGTCGGGATTCCAGAATAAGATTCTTGGGAACAACGAGATGTGGATGTGCCGTCAGGGAGAAGCAGAGCGAGTGATGTATGGGCCCAGACTGTATCAAAGCTGACAATGGAGCGGCATGTTCGGTTTGCGGAGTAATGGACTGAATGGTTTCGGGATGTATGAATAGGTAAACGGCTTGTTTACTGCTTTTGGATTTACTGCCTTTCAACAAGACATAGCCATATATTTTGAAAATAGCTGTATTGGTCGACGTGTCCAAGTATAAATCGAGATTCAGACCCTCAACACGTTGCATTTGGCCATCGGGATTTTGCCAAGTCAACAAATTGTTTCGATATGTCATGTCCACCTCGAAAGCCTCTCCATTTTGGTCACCGGCAACTGGCTCAACTGGTTCTTGGCCATCATCATTTTCGCTGATGCCGTTGCCGTTGTTGTCGCCGTTGTCATAATGAGTCAGTTCGTCCTTGTCACCGAATTGCTCCGTTGCAAATGGACGTCTAGAGCATAAACGCGTCAGTATATCAAACCAGCAAAGGGGATGCACTTGGCCATTGGTTAGTGGTGTTGCTGGCGAAGGCACATGGAATGGAGGGTGCTAAACAAAGTCCCGCCGCTCATCGCAGGATGACATGGTCGCAGAGAAAGTACTGGCATAAGGAGGCGAGAAAGGAGCAAGCCGTCGCATGCCACAAACTGGCTTGCAACCGACTAACGCAAGTTCATCGCGATACGCAATGAACTGCTACTCGCAATCCGCGGCCAACAAGACCCCTACCATTTTGACAGACTTGTCTGAAGCAACAAGCGTGCCAAGTATGCATAGGAATTTCCCGGTCTTGCTTCGCAGGCAACTTTCTGCTGGAGAATCTCATCGAGCGGAGCGGCACGGCTATCCATACAAGCACAAAGCTCGATGGAATCGCACAAGAACTATTCCACTGACCCAGGCGAGGAAAAAGGCTGAGTCGATTCATCGTCGTTGTCGTCATTCACATCTCGAGAAGGCGAGGCAGCGGTGGCTATCATGGCAGAGAACACAGCATCGAGAAATCGAAGAATCAAAGCATGCAAAAGGAAAGTCAAGTGCTGCGCTCTCCTGGCGCAAAGGTGAAGGCTTGTCGCTGGCGGAGAACATGAAGAGCGTGCCTCGATCGTGAAGCAGTGCAACAAGGAAATTAACGCAAACATCACGGCTTCACGGAGTTGTCTTACGTAGCAGTAGCACGTGACTTTGATTAGCCAATTAGCTTGCGTTACCGGGTCTGGCTAAATACGGGCTAAACTCCGGACGTAAACAGCCACTATTACATAACTCGATTGCTGGATTGGTACTAGTGCGCGCCTAGTTGCTTAAGCCGAAGTGAGCAGAAATACAGAACAGTTACAGAGGAGGGAGGCTGGATCATACGGGCTGTAATTATTCGGGCGCTACAGAGTAAATTCCGGCAAGTACATTCATTCTCATGCCAGGTATAAACTTGCGGAACAGGTTCCAATATATTCGAGTTATTTCTCAGGTACATATAAAATGGATGCAAAATCTGTAAACTACAGCAAAATTTCGGGCCTTCTGTTTAATGGTTCGGGAGGTAAGTCGGTTAGGTACCTCAACAAACGTGTGTCCGTACCGCCGATTCTTCTGGCTCTTCTGGCTTTGATGCTCTCGCATTCAGGATTCATCTTATTCTCTATAACTTCCCATGCAGCTCGTTTCTTCAACACACTCGCTAGTGCTGTAGCTTGTCTAACGCCCATGGAATGACCCATGAACTGCAATCGCTGAATCGCCCACTCTCTTGCCGGCCCTGCACATATCTCGAGACGAGCTGCAGCGTACAGATTCCACATGAGAATCAGGGCGTTTACCGGTTTCGCAGAAGTTCCATCCTTTTGATGAAAATTCAGATAAAACGGGACTGAGGCGAATATATCTGAGCTTGCTTCATGGAGATCACAAAGAGACTCGTCGTATTGAGTCAAGACCTGGGTTGCCAGTGCTCTTGGCATGGTGTTGATCTTGGCGATTTGCGGCTGCAGCAAGCCAACAATGGTCTCGTGTAAAATGACTTTGGCCACATTGTACAAATCCCAGACCCAGGCGCTCCGTAGACTTCGATAAGTGCGGTATTTATTTAGATAGACTTCGTCTGTCGCCTCTTCAATAAACTTGACGGTGTATGGACCTTGGGAGCGTAAAATCGGGTGATACAGGTTTCGGATATCCTCCCCAATACTAATGCATTTAGCAAATGCTGTTTGCCACTCCTCATCTGGGCTCAATCTGATCCAAGCTCGCAAGGAGCACAGTTTCATGATTACACCACCTAGTGGATAGGGACCCAGTGATCTAAATGGTTCGTATTTGTGGGCTTCATCCGTCAGTCTCTGGATAGAGTCCGGAATCCCTTCACTTCTTTGGATGCAGGATATTATCTAAACGCTTATTAGCATACTACTAACAACAAACCATTGTCTGACTAACGATTTGCGATCGGAGATGCAAGAACAGCTCCATCCCGACTTCGCTGTCCTTGAATTGCTGTGTGCCACGGATATGTGCCACTGCCAGTGCACCTAGCATGTGATTATACCAGGCATTTAATGACTGTTGGCTATCACACATGATCATCTGGAAATATCAGCACATACACGAAACATAAGGTCGAACGAAATCATCTGCTAATGCAAGAGAGATGCCGGAATGTCACTTACTTCATAAAGTCCAAGTACCAGAATGGCGGCGAGCGTCCCAGCCTCTTTTATCTTGGTCGTGTTGTGAATCGCTTCATTGATATCATTTATAGCAGTACCGTAACTTTGCCTTGCCTTCAGCTCCAGAAGTGGTGATGATTCTTTACACGCCATCCCCGCTGAACCCACTGCGACCATAGCCGCCTCCAAGGCGCTGTTAAGGCCTGGTCGAACTAGCAGTCGAGCCACGCCGGATAAATAGCCAGCAGTGCCCTCTTGAATAAGGACATAGCTATGGACAAAGTACGATTTGGCTTGTTCGTCAATATTGTATGGCAGGAAACATAAAGAAATAGCATTGTTGATTGCAATACTATTATCCGCATGGGCTTCGGCTTGAGCGCGACAGATCCTGGTAAGAGCTTTGGATTTGGTCGAGTTGGTTTCATCGTGGAATATCACATCAATAAGATCACGATACCCTGTACACGTTTCTTTCGCTCGTCTGCATTGTGAACATCTTGGTCTCTGGAGATCGCACTGAGGCAGTCTTGGTTTAGCTCCAGGTGCACAAACGGTGAGTTGGTATTACACTAACCTTAATCTTCCTCTTCCTACATAGCGCGCAGGCTGGTGACGGTTTGCCTCGATAAACCATATGGCGGATGATGTTTTGCAGTACAGCCTTAGATGCTCTTTGACAACGACGAGGGAATGTTCAAGATCTATCGAGGGATGACAGGAGTTGAGCAGGCTATTATGACGCGTTAGCGTGGCTTGGACCCTGCGGAGACAGCATACATTTACTTCATTAGCTCACACGACCAGGCGCAGTGAAAACTGGGATTCTCACAACCTAAAAGCCACTGCCGACTCACTAAAAGGGAGTACCGGAGATAAGGATTCTCTGTGTTGAAGAGTCTTTGCACAAAATATAAGCGAGTTACAAGTAATTACATATATACCAAAGAGATGATAGCCTAGTATGCTAACTATTAGATCGCCCCGTTTCAATTATTAATCGAGACCATTTCCTCTTCTCAGCACTTAGGTTAGTCTCTGCTCCGCCCTCGAATGCCTTGGACAATGTGACCGATGATCGTCATATTGAAGATCTTGATCGCGGTGCTGACTACAGGGTTCTGTTTGCGGTTCGGCATGCTTGACTGTCCCGTGGTTTGTCCCGAGACGTTCGTTTGGTTCTCTCCAAGACGAATAATCACGTCATCCTCTTCTTTTAAGTTATTCCGGTTTCGACCCAACGAAAATCCTGCCACAATATAGATAAGAATGACAAGAGCCTCAGGTATGACGGCGAGACACAGCCAGGCTGTGACGTTACCCGTGATAAAATTGAAGTTCTTGTCATCTGTCAAGGTCGCCAAAATCGCGTAAACAAGACGGACTGCAAGAGGGAATGCTGCAGCAACCACAGCCCATAGAAGGTTCCGATATTTGCGGTTTGCAAGCGAGACATTTCTATACAGATTTGCAGCAACAATCAGAGTCGCGGCATATGCGCCGATCAATAATCCAGTACCAATCTTGCCAAGACTTCCAATGGCGAACGTCCCGTTCTCCTTGATCGCATTTCCGGCTTTGATGCCTCCAACAACACCCAGAACGAGACCAGCGATGATGACCGTTTGTACAAGGCGAAATATGGACTTTTCTGCTTGGCTTCTGTTTTTGCCGCCAATGTTCTCGCTAAGACGATTCAGAAGTCCCAATGAGCCTGCTTGGAGGGGAGCAAGGCCGATGGAATTCATTATAGATGCAATGGTGTAAAACTTGGTTGTACCAGGATGGTTTTTCGCTTCGAGTTGAATCGCAGAGCCGACGATACGGATAGCCGAGAATAAAAATATGTCGAGCCAGCCGGTAGTATGGAACTCATTGATTAGAGTGAGGTAGATGCCAATAATGGCAGAAGGGCAGTAACAAATCAGTTCCGCCACAGCGATGCCATCGCGGTAAGAGAGAGCCATCCTGTAAGGTATGAAGTGTACGTGAAGTGTGTGATACGTGTATTTCGATGCGACAACTGTTGGCCTTGTTATATCCCCTTGTTAAGGCATGTGTTGCCAGCCCTCTTACCCCCTTCTCTACGAATACGCCTTACGAGACGGAGATGAGGCCTCTCTAGTAAAGCATTCATTTTGGAGATCCTACTCAACTATTGTGAACATGGCAACCAGGGAGTGAGATGAATCGACTTCGATGGTCATTGTGGAACGTAAAAGCCAATCAAATCAATTAGACGAACTACATACTCTTCTAGGAAAAGGTCTATGGATCTCTAAGCTGTCAATGAACGCTTCTACCCGCCCCGCTCGCTGCACTAAACTAAACTAGCAACTCAGTTTGAGATCTGAACGCCAAGGCGCTTTTCGATGTCCAGAAAATTGTTGGCTGTGTCAATAACCATCTGGCGCAGGGAAATGAACTCTATGCCGAGTTCCTTCTTGGCCTTGGTGTTATCCACGTTGTAGACACCGGTGATCGGCTCCCCGGGGTTGCCGACTGGGACGCGGCCACGGAGGCTGGGAAACTCCTCCCGCAGGATGTCACAGATCTGTTGGAAGCTAAAGAGGCCCGCCGTGGTCAGATATCGCTGACCCGCTGTTTCGGGCTTGTAGTATGCCACCTTGTGAGCGAGGGCAACATCACGAACATCAACAATGGCCCAGAAAGAGGTCGGAGGTACCTCAAGTCGGGAGCCGTTCATGAGAGAGTAGAACATGCCAGATGAAGTGTTGATGTTGTCGAGATCGTCAATGTAATGGCGGTTAGGGCCGTATACAACGGGGGGGTTGATGACCGTGACAGTAAACTGAGGCTTCTTTTCTTCCACAAATTTCCAAGCCGCCTTCTCAGCCAACACTTTAGAGGCGCAATAAGCAAAGCCAAAGTCGGCATCCGGAGATTTGGCCTCGTCATAGGTGGCAGGATTGAAGTCCTTCTCACTGTAGACGTAACCCTCCCGAAAGCCTTTCGATACATCCACGATGGAGGCGAAAGATGCAGTGATGATGACGCGCTTCACCTGAGGAGCATGTTTATACGTCGATTCCAGCACTTGAAGAGTGCCTTGGATAGCCGGAATAAGCAGGTCTTTCTCGTTGTCTTCAATCTTTGGTGTGAATGGTGAAGCGACGTGGATGACGCCATCGACACCCTTTACAGCTTCATCAAAGGCACCCGGCTTGGTGATATCGGGGACAATGACGAAACTGAGGAGCGAAGCATACTGAGAGTTCACTTTGAGAACCCGATCCGCGGAAGACTGAGATCGAACGACACCACGGACTGGAGTACCCTCAGACAGAAATTGATCAATGACATGAGCAGCAATGAAGCTGGATGCTCCAGTAATGAGAACGGGCGCCTTGGACATTTTGGATTGATAGTTTTGTTGTTTTTTTTTTTTTTTGATGTTGTAAATTGCAACTGTAGATTTAGATCGAAAATGATGTTCAAATTCAGTAGTGTATTTGCTTTGTGTTATTGTGTGGTGATTCTGAAACTGGGATGTCCTTCTTTTTTTTTCTTACAACGTTGAGCTCTACCATTCTCTTATATATCGATTTCCTCTTGAACCCCTAGCTATCACGACATACGCAGAAGTTGTTAAATCCATCGTCGAACCGATGCTATCACCGCAAGCTCCCGTTGTCCAACTCTACTAATCTCCCGGATTTTAAAAACGGAGATACTTGCCTGCTCGCGATCATTACAGAGCACCAAAGCTAGAACGAAAAGCTAGAACCAACAATCGAAACTTCTTCATGCTGCACCAAGCAGTGGATCCTTGCGATGCGTTCCGAAAGACAAACCCGTCGGTCGTTGAAGAATTATCGGCGTTTGTCTGCGCTAGGAGGCTCCGTGTCGGATTTTAGTGCTAGTGTGGGAATATTTTGTTGAGAGCCTGACAAACACGCTACAATGACTAAACCCGCGGACAAAATAACAGCCAGAAAAGGTCGAAAGACTTATGGTTTGCTACTGACGTCAATTCTGTATGTTCTACGATTCATCTGAACCATTAATAAGGAGATTCTGGATGGTTCGTTGTTGTGCGTCGCTATTAAGAGGCAACACCATGGAGATAATTGCGAACAGCAGAACCAACGTAATGCGAAAGGTCGCACCCAAAAGACCGTACCCAAAACAATCGTACCCAAAAAACCCATACCCAAAAGACCGTACCTAAAAGCCCGTAACTAAAAAGTCCGTTGTTCCCAAAAGACCATACTCTCCTGCTCCGTCCATTCCCGAGCGCCACTACAATCCCTCCAGCAACATTTCCACAGTCGGAAAGTCAGCGGGGAGAGTGTTTCCGGTGGTATTCGCAATCTTCTTTGCAAATTCGACGATTTCATTCAGGTTTTCTCTATTTCCACCGTGTCGCAGGTATCCCTTTGCATGCCAAGAGGCTTGGAGTGGGCAGTTCATCGTTACCAATACCGTTACCAGCAACGCCATGGTCGCCAATCCATCATGCACCGAATAATCCGACAAGAGATTGCGCATTGAGACATCCATAGTAATATGTGCTAAACCCATCAGCCTAGTGTATGCGGGAGCGATATCAGGGTGTACGAGTACTTACCAATATCCGGCGCATACATACCAGCCGCCTGGAATGAATCGGCCCAACCATCTCCATGTGTTAATTTCGCATACTCCCAGCCTCTGGCTGAGTTGTCAGCTTCCCAGTCCGACTTTTTAACATGATTTAGATCTTCTTTGTTGACTAGTGGGATTATTGGATATAGAGCGTTCAGAGTTTTTGGCATCCCGACAATGATTAACATCTCCGTGAGCGCATCGATATAACGGCGCCATAGGAATGGACGAGACTCAGCAGGCGTTTTCTCTAAAGCTGATTTATACAGATAGACTCCATAATGGCCTTGGTTGATGGACGTGAGCCCTACAAGCTTTTATCTGTTTAGTTTGAGACTAGTTGGCAAGTGTCAGGTATACATACCGCAAGACAGTCCCATGGTGGGTGTTGGTCACTCTCTGCTTGTCGATTGAGTGCTTCATCAATGAGAAGCTCAATCTTGTCTTGGTGCGCCATACTTAAACTCGGAGATGTTGGATGGGCAAACTCTCGCGTGAAAATGGGGATCCTTACTCTACCATTGCTTTCCATGGAGAGCAGCACGACGCTTTAATACTTTCTGTGACAGGATATCATGGTATCTAACTGAGTCAGCGCTAAGTAAAAGTAAATTATTGGTAGTTTGTAAGAGCTAGGAATATCTCTTTATATAAAATACCTGAGAGCTCTAAGCAGCCACTTATTTGGCATAAGACTCCTGCTATATGGCAATTGCGCCACAATTAAGTTTCCACTCCTTACTAAGACGAAGTAAAAGTGTACTGAGGAAACCATACATACATGAAGCTGTGTGTTTTAGCTGAAAATATATATATAGACATACTGCGTGAGTATCATATGTAAAATAATTCTCCAACAAAGGTCAGGCCGCGATCTCACATTTCGTAGAATATTTCTTTAGGACATTCCTGTTTCCCAATTGAGGACATAAATGGCGAAGTTGGCGACGAGAGACTACTCGGATAGTCAATTAGCTATTGTGCCTAATTATACCCTAAACGTTACATGTCAATTAATGTTCTATACATGGAAAGAATTTAGTTTAATAGTAAAATGACATAGTATTGGACGCTGAGCTGCATCCAATTGCGCAAATTCGATTGCATCAACAGTCGCCAATATGGGTATTAGAAAACTTATAGATATTTGAATGAAAGCCTTTACGATTCAGCAACGAGGAAGAAGAAAAGAACACGCAATTGGGGTTATCCCGACGTGTTGATTTGCACCCTTAGTGTATATTGATCATTTACGTAAGACGCTTTCAGTCAGCCAACACCTTCCTAATGTTCTCATATATCTATTTCGGACGAACAATCGGATGAAATCCTCAAAAAGTGAACATTCAACTTCATGTAATGGAGAGATTATTGAGCTGCGCTTTAGGTAGATCCATTCATATCGTTGCCAACATCCGCAGGGGGCTCCTATTTTATACACAATATTGAGTATCTGAATTATGACTTTGAATCTCTATTCTGGCTAGATCATTGTGCTTCTTATTGATGTTGTTGGTTTGAAGACGAAGCATCTCTAGTTGTGCATATGTTCTTGCCACCGAGGCTTCTAAGAACCAGTGATACAATGTCCTCTTGAACACGTTGAATGAGTGATGGGTAGTCTAAGTCAAGCTGGCAGGCTGCCGGTATAATTGTCGTATTCTCTACTGTACTAGTGCTACTTACCAACTCAAGATGGTAATTGCCCTGAACAGCTGCGAAGCGGCTTCACAGCATATACCGATAGTTTTATTCGCGTTGAATGCTCAGATTGATTAGCAATCATAAAGATGAAGATACATGTTATAATTTTATGATGAAATCGAAACAAAAGCCGTCATATAGCGCCGTATTTCGGAAGCTTTTACGCATTAATATAAAGAATATGGATAATTGAGTCAATTGAAGATTCTTCATCATTGAACGCCGATAGACATCTGCAATAGACCGGCTGTAATAAGTGAAAAGTGCATTTCCATGTGATTCTAGGACAACTTTATTCTCAGTGAAAATTGTTTGTGATACTGAAAGCAGTTGTAGATACTTTCGAAATATTGAGATAAATGAGACAAGTGCCGTTGATTTCTAGTCGGAAATGTCGCTGTAATTAGAGATTATTAAAGTAGTTAACATGCGGTTAAAAGAAAACACCGAATTGTTTTCCATGCTAAGGGTACCAAAATCAGTGCAGTCGTGAAATAAAACGCCGGTCTGATTTCTTCTGTACTACGTAAGAGCATCATCCCGGCCGGTGTCTTCTTTTCCACCCTTGGCTAGGCACGATGCGGGGAAGATTGCGGGAGCGGCCGCAATAACCCACCAATCCTTCAATGCGATTTCTCAGCCCTGTAGCTAAACCTTGGCTGTGGATCTCACTCCCTCCTTTTGAGCCAGTTTCCAGTACTCCGTGGAGTTGGTAATCCAGCAGAAGCCTGTTGCTTTACAAGCTGGTACTTCGTCATAACGAGTCAATAGCCATACGTCCGCAAGGTAATTCGGGTTATGGATAATATCAAGCCCGCACACCGTCACTCTTGACTCCAGGCCCAGGGGTGCTCACTCGGCCGAGTGCTACCTCTGAGCCATGCCGTATCATCATATGCATGCTTGAATCCCTGTCCATGGACATGTTATTCGGAATGACTCTCGAACACTCTATTGTTTCCTACTGCGCCACGATACCGCTCTGGTTGAGGTGAAACGGCTGACAAGGGAATGCGTTTGAGTCGCTAATTCCGCTTTTACCAAGTATTGAGCTAAACCAATACGAGACAAAGAAAGTCATCACTCTCGGTACAATCGCCGGCAAAGCATCTAACAAGGGCGTAATTGTGAAAGACTCCTCTCGACGACTACGCCGCTGTGATGCAACAGACCAACGGTAGGAGATTCGTTGGCTGAATCAAATATATGGTGGAAATGTTCGGAGTACAATTGTACTAATTATAAGCACTTTACTTTGAGCAAATGGTTCATGATTATTAAAGCAACTGTCTACACATTGTGGGTAAGTTAATTCAGCCTTATCCAACTGTTCCCACATCGTCACGCACACCATTGACAATAGTGCAATATCTTGCTAGCTGAATCTGAATATCCCGCTCGTTAAACGTCCAATCAACGGGTCAATCTAATCGCCGGCTCAGTGCAATCGCCGAATCCCGTCAATCACCGAGTCCAACCAATCACCCAGCCCAGTAAATAGTTGATTTTCTCATCCGTCAGTTATCGCATGCATCCGCTCTCCGGAGGGGGCGGAATTTCACGAGCAACTTGACTCTTCCATTCTCTTTATCTAACGTCAGCTTATTATTGAATAAATAGGACCTAGACAAAATTCAGCCTAATGTTGCCATAAATTATATTAATTCTTAACATTTCGCGGATGCGAAGACGTTGTGGTAGTATGTAATGTATTTCCATGCGAGTAATATCAGTAAGCTGCATGCCAACTATCCATTAGATGGAAGAGCTTGTACCAGTTATGTCTCATACCACCCCACCATTGTCAACAAGTAAGTCATTAGGATAATGAGTGTGTAACCAAGATTAGAACAAAAATATCCCTCACTTCTAGAAATGTTGAAGTGGATAATATCAAGTAGTTGGCAATACCAATCAGAAACCTGCATATTTGAACAAACAGCATTAAAAACGAATAGTTGTTAAACAAGGGAACAAAAGTCTTCTCAACATGGTTGGCTGTGGTTGCGGCTCAATGAACTCTGGGCGTAAGCGGTATACGAAAAAAAAACATACGAGAGTACCCATTGCACCATTTACACTTAATTAGCCCGGTTTAGTTCCGTCGTAGTGAGCCTTTTAAAAAGATGAGATCTCCAAGGGGTATTTGATCTCCAAGATTATTAATCGCTAAGCAGATATGCTGCTTCGTAGGCTTGATACGCCGCGGAGAAATGCTGACATGGATCACATGTGAGGTGTTTATATATCAACATACATGCAATGGGTCTTGGAACATCGTAATCTCACGGCACTTGGCATTCCATGGGTGGATTCACGGGTACAAGGCATACCATGATAGGGGCTCTACGCAAAGATATTGCCATTTACAAGCAGCCAATAACCAGGATGCTTATTTTTGATGTACTGCTATCTAGATATCTGAAAACTACTAATCAAACACGGTGCACTATTGGATCTTAGTGCTGAGTAGATTTATTCTTTTCTTGTAAAAATATTTCTCTAATAGAGTCTACAAGGTATTAATTACTTCATGTCAGGGATATTGTCACTATCACATGAAAGAAAAGAGATGAAGGGATGTTGAAAAGTAGATAATAACAGGTCAGAAGTGCTGCTCAAAAGAATATATAGCTTTAAGAAAGGAAGAGAGAATGAAATACGACACATTGAGATTTTTCAAGTGTTTCTAGATACCAATCGTTACTATGTTTCTTCTTATTATTTTACTTTGCGGCTTGTGTCTTTGGCAACTTGGGCAGGCTTGCTATCATCTATGGCTTTCACCACTGTCTCATATTCCTGGTCCTAAATGGGCAGCAATCAGTCTGCTATATGAATTTTATTACGAAGTGATATGTTCAGGACAGTATACAAGAGAAATTGAAAATATGCATCGGATCTACGGTAAGTAGATATCTCATGTGAGCCCTACGCTTTCTCTTCACTGATACACAATCACTATAGGTCCAATTGTGCGTGTTAATCCGTACGAGGTGCATATTAAAGATCCGGACTTTTGCATAGAGCACTTTTCTCCTGTCAAAAAGCTTGATAAATACGGCTGGTGGTACAGGGTATTTGGTGGTCCTTGGTCTACCATCAGTACAGAGGATCATCACGTCCACAAAACGCGGCGTGGCACTTTTCAGAATTTCTTGGCTCCACGTATGGTCAGAGGCTTTGTGCCTACCATTGTTGAGAAGCTCAAAGGAGCGAGCGCCATCATGGATCGACACGTGCGAACAGGAAACGTATTGAACCTGTCAAACGTCTATCGGTGCATGGCAGCGGATGTTGTATCCGCATATGTGTTACCAACATCCCTGAATCTTCTTGAATCAGATGACTTAGGGGAGGAGTTTCAGTCTAGTCTAAGATTCTTTTTCGAAACGGCCACCAGCATGCGATATCTTGGATTCATGGAACCTATCATTACCATCATCCCTTCTATAATATTCAACGCGATGCTTACTCAGCCTGCAAAGGCGTTAATAAGGCTTGTAAGGGTAGGTTGCTTACACTGTTCTTCGCCCTTGTCAGAAGTCAATGCGCGCTAACTATGCACTTGTAGAAATTAGAAGCCTGTGTCGACGATGTTATCCAAAAGGGACCAGATATGGACAAATCAGGGTTATGTCTTCTTGAACGAATAAACAACAACGAGCACGAGAAAGATGAGATGTTTCGTGAGAGGCTACTTCAAGAAGCAGAGCAATTCATTGTGGCTGGTAGCGAAACAACAGGTCATACATTAGCGGTGACAACGTTCTACATTCTTCAATATAAGAATGTTCAAGAAAAGCTACTACAAGAGCTCATAAACGCAGACATCGTATTTGATGGCAACCTCGAAATCACAAAGCTTCAAGCGCTTCCCTATTTGGTAACTATTCCTTCTGCCATCATTGAGAGTATGTCTGAGAAACTATCTAACATATTCCTTCAATGTAGTCCGCAGTCATTACTGAAGGGTTGCGGTAGGATTATACTCAAGCCAAATATGCAAGCTATAAGTTGCAATTTACTGACTAACATCTTTTCCAGTTTCTCACACGGTGTAGGCTCACGACTACCAAGAATCAATAAGTCAAGCGAGGTACAATATAAACAATGGAGAATACCAGCCGGTGTATGTACAAAGTTTTCCCTGCATAATAATTATCATGTGAGGAGATGACTGATTAATTCATCAACGGCAGGTCCCAATAAGCATGACATCACGGCTTCATCATGAAGATGCACGATTGTTTCCAGAGCCTTACAAATTTTCCCCTGATCGATGGCTTCAAGCCGACAGCAAGAATTTGAAGAAATATCTTAGCCCATTCGGCCATGGATCTAGGATATGCCCCGGAATGCAGTAAGTCAACAGATTTGTCGGTACAGGAACGAAACCCTATGCGACTAACATTTCCAAATCATAGTCTGGCTATATACGAGATTAATATCGCCATTGCCTATATATTTACCCACTATACAGTGATAAATTTCGACACAACAGAGGCTGATCTTGTTTCTAAGCACGATTTGGGAGCTCCGTTTCCCAAACAGGATTCTAAAGGACTTCAAGTAACGCTACGGGCTAGAGTGACTGAGTGACTTCTATCACATGTATAGAATGACAATAATATTTATAGATTAGACCTCGCTTTTATCCATAGTCCTGAAGCTTCCGCTTTAACATCTTCATGATACAATTCATCATTTGTGGATGCCAGTTGAATTGCCTGCGCTTTCATCCAATACTTGCGCCCTTTGTGGGCAACACACCAAGATTTGACTATAAGCACTCCTGGAGTGGATACTGGACGCTTGAACACCACTTCTAGCTTTGATGTAAATAAAGTCTTTCGTACTTCATTAACCTTTTCAGGCAGAGTTGGAAAATATGAGACCAAAGTGTGTGCCATGGCTTCATCAAGAATGGTCGATACAAAGCCACCGTGAGCGGTTGAAGGGTGTGAGCAAACACCCGGACTGGATAATTCCAGAAACATGACGGTATCAGGGGCCATATGCGTATTTGAAGGGGTGGATGAGGGCAGCTCATCGTTGTTTTGTATGATTGGGTTGACAAGAGATGCTTCTGAGAGTGATGGAAGGGTTGCTTTTTTAAGCATCAAGCAGTGTGGTATCGTCGACTGTGTTCCGATTGTTTCAGAGAAAAAGAAATCTTCGCCGCTAGACTTGCGAATTCGCCCCCAAATGGGGACAACTTCATATTCTAGCGATTCTAATAGCGGAATTAAATTGGGGATTTGGGAAAAGTGCTCCATTGCTTCCACGAAAACACGGATATCCGTCTTAAGCCTGCGATGTAAAAAGAAAAGGAGAGAGAAGGACTAGAGTTTTCTTTGATAATTCTTCAAGTAGACTTTCTGCTCAAATTTTCTATTCCAATAAGATCTTTCTTTATCTATAGTGTCTCGGTCGTAACTAAGGCGAGTTGATACCAAGTACATACTCCGACAACACGACTAATCATGCTATCTGGGCTAAATTCAGCGGTGGATGTCTCCCCGCTTTGCGCTATCATACAGATCCCGCAGCCCTGTATATCTCGGCCGTGTCAGCAGTTAGCGCTGACAATCTCCTTCGGCCTTTCAATAGCTTAAATTGGCAAACTCCGCGCCTAGGCTATCTGTTTGGTTCATGATTTGATATCACGCAACCATGTAATACTCCATCACATGCTAGATTGTTCGTCGGCTCGGTTGTTCAGTTTGATCAGTAATAGAACTGACTCCTCTATTTAAATATAGCAAAACTAGTATTCTTGTAATCGCCTGAGTCTAATATTACTGCATTTGGTTAAAATAATATCCCGAACGGAATTCTGGGCCGCATTCTTGTGCAGACTTAAATAAACGTACAGCATTTATGTACGGAGTAGTGCGTATCAAGAACATTTTGCAACCTGTTATCAACCTTGCGGTTTCTGAAAGAGACTAAGCGGATACTTAGGGGTTTTCTTTTCTTGGTCTCTTCGGGTAAAAAATACTTGAAGCCTATGCTCCTTGAGTCCAGTTCAAAACCCAACCCAAAACAGAAAAGAAAACAACTCCTCCATTAGCTCTGTTTCTTTGTTGCCGCAGCAAAATCTCGTACTCTCTCAACTCGACGTTACACAGACAATTTTCATCAGTAAAGGGGCAGAGATGGCTGGACATCCCATCACCGTGGATTACAAAGGGCGAATTGCCATCATCACTCTCAACCAGCCCGAGAAATTGAACTCACTGAACCAAGAGCAGTTCTACCTATTAGGGGAACTTTTGCGAGAAGTGGCAACACACGAAGAGGTTGTCATCACGCTACTTATTGGAACAGGACGGTTTTTCTCATCGTATGTTATGAAGCCCTTTGTTTTTATGTTTCTCTTAGACTTATGATATGACTAACTTTTGTACGCTCATATAGGGGTGCGGATATGTCCGATCTTAGTACATTCATGGCAAAAGCTAGCCGCAAAGATGTGTTAACCGGATCTTTGTTAAACAACATCCACCTAACTCGCGCTTTCTACACCCATCCAAAAATCTTAGTTGGGGCACTTAATGGACCTGTCGTTGGCTTTCTAGCAGCACTAGTTTCGTTTGCCGATTTTATATACGCCCAACCTCAAGCTTTTTTGCTTATCCCCTTTTCATCGCTTGGACTAGCCGCTGAGGGAGGCGCATCTCGTGCACTAAGAGACCGTCTTGGTGTCTCGAAAGCCAAAGAAGCATTACTACTAAGCAGACGCATTCCATCTAATGAGCTTCTGACATGTGGGTTCGTAAACAAGATTATTGAATCAACTTCACCAGAGTCAGATAAAACCAAGGCTAAACCAGCGAACTTCTTGGAAAACGTTCTGCTTGAGTTAGATAAGGATTTTGGGCCTCATCTCAATGACTCCAGTCTATTGGACATCAAGGAACAATTCTGTCGAGATGATAGAAATACATTTGCCCACGTAACTGTGCAGGAGGCATACACAGCTGTGGAAAAAATAACTGCGGGAATTCCACAGGAACATATGAAGAAAATAGCTAAGAGGGGAAAATCCAAATTGTGATAAGTCGGGGCTTATTGGATCACACGCCGCAACCGCATTCGTATTACCTGTACCTACTTGTCAGCACTACAGTAGATAGCCGCGGAATCAGTAATTCCTCGCCTGAGCCCGCTATGGGCCAAGTATGGCGTGCATGGAGCCTTTTTTCGGACTCCCTGCTTCAATTGCATTAGTGAGCTTGGTAATATTACATGGGTTTATATCTCGAATAGTTGTTGACCGCTTATAAAACTACTGCGGTCAGCAGCACAACATCATGTCAATGCAGTAACGAATGTTTGCAAGGAAAAATGTTGCAATTTCTAACAGGTCGGTCGGATATTGTTTTCCACCATCATTCATCTTCCTTGAACTTGACGCCGAAAAACGAAACCCCCATCAATTGGGCAGATATTTGCAAAAATGCGATTCCATCCACTTATACGCGACCGATGTTTTTCAACGGCCACCTGCAAACGATCCGGATATTGTTAGACAACCCAGAACTGCCGATATACTATAAGCGATGGATGTTTCAACAAAGCAATAAGCTCTTTGAAGGAGAATTTGCAGTTGACTTTGCGATAAGGTCGCTCCAAGATTCCGAAGGTCAATCTCCTCCCGAAATTACCACAATGTTTACAAAGAAAGAATTCGAAAATATTGGATCACTAGATTCAAAGCCCATGCTCGTTGTTCTACACGGCATGAATGGAGGATCTGGAGAAGCATATTTGCGCCGCAGCCTCATGCCTTTTATAAACGGAGGCGAAGAGTGGGAAGCATGTGTTGTTAATTCAAGAGGATGTGCGGGTTCCCAACTAGGTAATGGCATTCTATACAATGCAAGATCTACTTGGGATCTGAGACAGGTAGTCGAATGGCTTCAGCAGAAGTTTCCAAACCGACCATTATTTGCTCTGGGATTTTCCATGGGCGCCAACATGCTTGTTCATGTGAGTCAATTTGTCTTGACCTCAATTATTTGCTGCATATATGTTTGAAGACGAGTTTAACTGTATGTTCAACTGACATAATCACTCTAGTACCTTGCCGAAGAAGGGCAGAAGTGCCCTATTCGAGCTGCAGCAATATGTTCCAATCCCTGGAACTTGGAAGTATTATCGCACCACCTCCAAAGCTCTTTCTTCATGCGAGAAGTCTACTCGCGAGGCCTGACAGCATCACTAAAGAAATTTTTAAATACGTGAGAAAGATCTATAACATCCATACTCACAAATAGCTTACAAAGCTTACCAGACATGAACAAAAAATTATGACAAACCCAGACGTCGACAAGAATGAAGTTGCGCGAATTCAATATTTACACGAGTTTGATCGGTAAGAATTTGAGAGTGCTGCCTTGTAAGTCCATCGGCTTTAATACTAACCGTATGAAGAGCTATTCAGAAACCTATGTGGAAGTATCCCACAGAAACCGTGTATTATCGTGAAGCATCGTCGGTCAATCCGTTGCTATCTGTGCGGATTCCTATCTTTGCACTGAATTCAGAAGACGATCCTGTCCGTTATCTCTTCTTCTCGTATGAACCTGGGAGTATATGCTAACACCACTTAGTTGAGCCCTCAAATGGGGCTCCCTATTGAAGAGGCTAAAGCAAACCCATACGTGGTTCTTGTAGTGACTTCATTCGGAGGCCACCTCGGCTGGTTTCAACAAGATGGTAGCAGATGGTTCATTCAAGCGGTATGTACAAGACACTTGGTAACGAAACACGAAAGTTTGCTAACTCTGAAAAGATATACAACACCTTACAACAATTTTGGGAAAAAGTTGACTATCGTAGACCGGTCAAAGAACCAATTACCCACAATACTTCCCAAATGAAACATTCTGAAGGAGCGTTCTGTTATAAATGCGGGAGTTATTGCTCTCAAACATATTCTTGATAGTTCTTTGAAGAATTTCTCGGTAGGAAAGGCAGATAGAACCACACTCGGAGGATATATATATCGGATTTGTCTCTAAAGGTAGCAAGCCATAGTAATCTTGTGGGTCATTAAGCAAATCTTTAATAAGTTCCATTATCATGCAGACCGGAAGTTATACATGGATTAGCAAATTGGAGAATAAGGCGCTTATAACCGAGATAATCTTTTGACGAATGATCATTTTGCGATTAAAATGCTAAGTATAACTGTCCTCGGAATAGGGCCGATGTTCAATAACTACTCTTGGCACCGGAGGTATACAGCGACGTACAAGATAAATGGCAACACAATGGATGCTATTCTGCTATTCTTGTTACAAAAGCCATCTCTCTATATTATATTTCACTAGCCATGTTGCATTCTGACTCAATAACTACTTTGTCACGCTTTCCCCTATGTATTTTTCGCCTTCATTCTTGTCCCTTTTCCCAATTCGACTTATATCAACAATCCCGCAATCGCACCCGTAAATATCATAGCTCCTATAGTGAATCCAACCTTCCATGGCACAGTGTCAGCTTGGTAGATTCCAACAGCCGCATTAGTGCTTGTTGAGCTCGTGGTCGCTGTCGTACCCCTGGAAGTCCCGGTTCTCGATGGAGCAGTTGTAATTGTAGCAGTGTTTGAGGACCTTTCGCTTGTACTTTCTGTTGCGGTGTTGCTTGCAGTTTCTGATGCTGTGTTTTCGCTGTCCGTTGTTGTAGCTGTAGTTGTTTGCTCAGCAGTTGTTGTCCTAGCAAGACATGCAGAACAGAGTCCCGTAGTCTTTGCTAAGTCACTGGCGCGACTGAGATCGCTTGGAGAGGCTAGCCGGTCGCCGCCGGTGCATGCAGCACTGCCAAGCTCTGAAATAAGGCAATCCAATAGATCTTTGTCATTTGGGCCATCTTCGACGAGGGGGCAGTAGACAAGGCACACCTCAGCTCCGTCATTAAAAGACTGAGCTACAGGGGCGGGACCACAGCATTTCTTAAATCCAGCAATTGTTCGGTCAAGGTTATTGCTGTTGAGGAAACAAGCACCCTCAGGAACAAGTGGTCCAGGAGGGAAAATAGGACAAATAGACATATTGACGACAATATTGGGTATAGAGGGAGCACGGAGGAAATTTACCGATTTGTTTCTCAGGTAATTGTAGGAATGCGGTTGAGTGGATCAGTATAAAAAGTTGCTTTATTGCTCAGCTTTGCTTTGCTGTACAGCCTTTGCGAAGAGGAAAAAGAAGAGCCAGCCAGATCAAATAAATATATGTCTTGCAATCTTAGCTCAATTGACATTTTTCGAGATAGTCGGAGTGTTCTCAAACATGCTACGATTCAAAACATTGAGGATAAAGTCCGAGGCTTGTCTTCAGTAAGCTGACATCGACTGAGCTTTAGGCTGACTTGTGTTAAGAGTGTTGAATAGTTGTGCCTAACAGCTCAAGAGTGGCTACTTGGCTGAAAATAGTTGCCAGAAACAAGTGGCAATTACCCACTTTAGCTGCTGTGACACGTTTTAAACCTTCTTTAGAGGCGAAGCAGCTCTTCAAATTAATGTCTATAATAATCACAACCCCACCTATAAACTCCGTGCCATGCCGTGATTATATAAAAGAAATCTAGAAAATGAGTTCTAGGAAGAAAAGGGGTCAAAGAAAAGTGAATTCATTCGTTTGAGATACCCTTTTTACAGGTAGCGGCACAATTGAAAAGAAGCAAAAATAGAAAGTTACCTAATAAAGTTGTCAAACAAGCCTATTACTATAAGTTGCATTTAGAAGCCAAGGGACATTTTGTGGATAAGCCATGTTCAAGATATGCAGCGTGACGTTTCTAGTTCAACAGAAGACAAATTAATCTCAGTTTTCAATGCTAAACATCCACGCCTAACATTAAATCCTGCCGCTGAAGCACATTGGAGAAGTGCCATGATACAACACTACTATGAGGATCTTGATAGTAAGGCGTACTCAGGTACCAGCCAAAGTTGTTACTAAAGGTGGCGTAAGTCATGAAATACGAATCCTCAGCAATGGTTAGATAACCTTGGATGCACAGAACGTGATGTATCAAAAAGAGACTTGAGAGCTGCAAGTATGACATGGGCGATTGTCTTGCCAGCCAAAATGACGAATAGTCCATGCATGCGATATGCCATATACGTTATATGCTATTTTCAAGAAATTTTAGGATAGCAATTATCTTTTCATCCTCAAATCTGCGACCAATAATCTGTAGGCCTACAGGCATATCGTGGAAAACCTCGGGGTTGTCTATAGTTGTATCTTGTTAGTTCACACTTGGTGATTCATTAGCGTAATGGTAAGCGAGTCACTCACACAACTGCCAATTCTCCTTGTCCAAACCACTCAGAAATCGCTTCCTGTTGTCTCTGACGTCGATATTTTTATCAGCTCTTCCAGCAGGGAAAGTCAGCGCGGGATAATCCAGTAGATTCCACACTGCAGTATATGTCCAGTACTTGGCAGTATTGTGCCTAGTGGCCACTCCAGGTGCAACGGGACATATAATGGCATCCACAGTATTCTCCCATGATCCTGAAGCTTCATTCCAGCGCCCCGTCTTATTCCAGTGCTGTGAATACTCCAGCCGGAACTCTTCTCGTTCTTCCAGCCAGTATTCCAGCTCGCTACGGCTCAATTTCTTCACTCCTGGATTCTCCTTCATGATCCACTTAGTCAAGGGCAACAATGGCTCGCCCGACTCAGCCATGACTGCGATGTCAGCGTCGCCACCATCAGTGAAATACAAGCTCGAAACAATTGCCCACGCTTCGTCGTGCTTATATACTGGAAAATTGACCACTTCCACATGCGACAACCCACTCACTTTATCTGCGAACTCTCTCAGCACTCTCTGCACCGGTGGGTGTGGGTGGACGACCTCATCCTGCCATATTATCCCTAAGCGTAATGGCTTCTCTGCAGTTGGCTCTATCGATACTGCTCTCCATGGTAATGGTATGAGTGCTGGTTCGACTTTCCATGATTCTGCCGCCACAACGACCCTCATAAACAGCTCCAATACCTCCAAGTTGACACCCATTGGCCCCAACACTGTTACTATTGGGTCTGCTCCCGGCGGAGTACTGCTCCAGCCAGTCGTTGGCACTCGAAAGGACGTTGGTTTCAACCCGTAAATCCCACAAGCAGCAGCCGGGACACGGATCGATCCGCCCACGTCACTTCCTATACCCAAGACTGAGCCGTGCAAAGCTATCAGCGCCCCTTCGCCACCAGACGACCCACCCGAAGACAGAGCAATGTGAGAATACGGATTTGTGGTGACACCATATATGTTTGAAGCACATTCGAGCTGCATCATGCTCTGAGGCTCTGCTGTTCGAGCATGGACAATGGCACCGGCTCGCGTGAGAATTTGTACCACTAATGCGTCAGAGACAGGGCGGGCATGTGAGTGGAAGAGGGCACAATAACCAGAGGCAAGAGGTCTATGAGCAATACCAATATGGGATTTGACGCTTATGGGTAGACCGTGAAGAGGCCCAACTGGGACGGAGCTTCGAGAAAAGTGGTTATCAAGTTCTATAGCTTGAGAAATAGCTCGTTGAGGAAGAAGTTCTGTTAGACAGTTCGTCTATGGTTGAAGATTAGTACAAAATGGTAGATTCACGGATATTGGAAACGTTTTAGCTAAATTACGAGCTTTTGGGCAGTTACAGCTCTTTCCAGGAAGGCTTGAACGACTTCCTGAGCTGATAGCCGCCCATTGGATATTAGAGCCACAAGCTGTTGCGGCGACAGAGATGTTATACGAATGTTTGCCTCTGACAAAACTATTTCCGGAATATTGATGACGTTCGCTGGGAGTTGCAGTGGGAGTTGAACAGTTGTTCCAACATCAGCCAAGCTTTGGTCACGAAGGGCTTGAGCTTCATGGGCAATTTCTTTCCATTGTGTTTTTTGCTTTGAAGATTTCGATGGCGGCATTTTGAAGTGAGGATTCACGAAATGGACATGGAATGCTTCTGTGACATCGTTGATCAAAGGTTCACCGTTATATTGCGCACAATGCTTTACATATGTAGCTAGAGAATGAAGGTGGGCTAGGCAGCAGTGAATGATGACATAATATTGGATTTATGATCAGCGATCTGATTACCCTGCCACAGACTAACATGAAAATACGTTGTATTCACGAATTATGTGGAGGAAATGGTGGTGAAGAATACATTGTAACTGTATCCACGTAGAAAAAACAACAAGTCGCAACAATGACACAACTATTTAAGGCTTCTGGGCAAATGCGAAGTGATCAGATAATTAATGAATAGATGTTAGAACAGGGTCCTCATATTTTGTGTAAGATTATACCAATAGTGCTCCATTGGAACATATGGTAAGAGCAAAGAGCAGCGTGTATAAGTATTCCATTAAAATCTACTGGCCTGTATTATCTCTTAGAAGTCTAATTAAACATTACGCTATCAACACTCGGTCTTTTCGCTATTCCAAGTCTAAGGATTCTCAACTTCTTGAAGCCAATACTGCTTTGAGAAAGTTGCAGTCCAAAATCGTTCCCACATGAAGCCTACTTCGGGATTCGTAGCGTTGGCTTCAACAAATCTTTGTAGGGCCCTTGCATATGCTTCTCGCGGCTGGCTGTAGATTGTCTCTCGTCGGACGGCAAAGATACCGCCGTGTGCAGCTCGAATGGCCGGTGGGTGATCCTCTTCCAGCACATAGTTCCAGAGTTCTGCAGGTGTGTAAGGCGCAAACACTAGAGAACTTAACTGGCTTGCTGTAATCCAAATGCTTTCCTTTGGATCTGTCCAGTTGATCTTCGCCCAGTTATCAACGTCGTGGAATAGGGCTGGATTGAAGGGATTAACTTCGTTCGGTTTGACTCGAAGCGCCACATCAATCATTTGGTTGGTTGAGTTGACGACAGTGCCAATGAGATCGTACGGGTCTGCTTGAGAAAATATCATGTAATCCTCTAGTGTATCCCAATTATTGACGATGTGGTACAAATGCGTGTGCCCCTCACGGCCAATGTTAGGCAGTTCAACATAGGAGCGGAAAGCGTCGTGATCGACTGTGTCGTTCGCTTGTGGGATTCCACCCTTGTCATAGATGTAGGAATAATTAGCTCCTGAAAGCCATGGTGTCAAGTCTTCTTTGTAACGAGCCACAACAATGCCTAGGCTTGTTGTTGGGATTGCCAATGGAAGTCCAACAGCAGTTGACAGAATTGGACTCATGCTGATGATAATTGGACTTGTTATCCGCTTATAGGAGGCTTGGCTTGGGAGAAAGGTTTGAAGTAGAAATGGTTTTATTGGATTGGGTAGATCAAAAACGAAAAGTTGATGGATTCTTATATACCTACACAAACAATCACAGCAATCAGGAGAACCTGGTCTCACCAATCGAACTCAAATCGACCAGTCAGCACTAAGCTGCTGGAGCCTCTCCACTCGCATTACATCAAACCCCTTAAAGCCAGTAGAAGAAACAGATTTGATCGTAAGCGGTATACCTTTGTACAGGAAGTGGCGATCTTGTTGCGTAGTTCGCGGGGAGGCAAGGGAGGACAGGATTCACCAGAACATTAAACCTTTGGGCCCACTTCAGTGAACGTAGATCAAGTCATCAGATCAAGTCATCAATATCCTACAATCTGGATTTTACGGGCCGTCAGCTGCATCACTGATCTCAATAAGGGGCCAACGCTGTGAGCTACTCCATAGTACAAGTGACGATATCGTACCGATACCGTCCTCAGTAGAGACAGCATCAGCCGCCATGCCGTCATCAGCAACTTAATTACATATCTATCGCGTGTCAGAAGTCAACTTAGTTTCACAGCAGGCAAACAACATCAAGATATGTAGTACGGCATAGACACATCGCTCGGAAATGTCATCTAACCCTCAGATAGCATGCTCAACAAGTAAAGATCACAACATTGACATAATAAGTGGGGATACTAGATGTATGCCCCCTGTAAACTGAAGTTGCTCAAGTGAAGTCAACTGTTCTTCTCAATCTACTGGTGAGTACATGGCTTTTTAGATGCAGCTGTAAGACTTCGATTCCCATTTTAAAACGTAATAAATGTGATGAAATATGCCGTTATCAATACTTTCATGTTGCAACTCGAGGGATTTTCTCATTGTGTAAGGAGGAGGATTGAATACTTGTCTCTAGTGGGTTGAACCGGCTGTCCGGACTCTGGGCAACGCGGCCCAGGGTCATAACGGTCAGCACTAAACGGGATTTCCACAATTACGTTGAGTCTCTGTTCTACACAAGTAGTGTAGACATGCAGTAATGAGCAAGTCAAACTACAGTGTTTCTTCTCTAGGCACGAAGATTCCGTTTTGGTAATGCAAACGTACGTCTGGAGTTGCTGTTCTTTGGCCGGCATGAAAGCCATCGCACAATTCATCCTACCGTCTAACATCTCGGGCTCGCGTCCTGCTTGCGGCGAAAGCCTTCATGCCACCATACCGCCATTGCTGTTGCCTACAGCCGACTTCGCCGTGGTACCATATTGTCCCTTGCTCGCCCCATTCGCATGACCGCTATTTTTCCCTTGCTCAGGGGCAGCCATAACCGGCAATATGCTGGGTTCAAAGTTCGTCCAGAACAGCACTTGTCTCCCCATAGTCACTACTACTTTAATTTCGTATTCGCTACTAGAGGACCATTCGCATGAACGGTAATCAACATGTATTTTTTTTACTCTCCAAAGTTTGTATAAAAGGCGATGTGCAATGGAAAGATGCAGCCAAGGGTTATGATCATTTTACGAGCTATTTTCTAGGAGATCAAGAGGTTGATCTGTGACGGGCAGTCACCTTGAGGCCTCTGGGAGTACAATTTATGCTCTCCCAATGGCTAAACTTCTTCTTGTCGTCCTCGGAAATACCCCATTTAAAAGCCATGACAAGCGCGGCGATGCAAATGCTCAATTCCATGTAAGCCAGATTACGCCCAATACACGCCCTTCCGCCCAACGTAAACGGTAGAACAAAATCCTTCAAGTTCCTTCTCTCTTCATCTGAAAAGTCTGGGTTTTCGGGAAGCCATCGTTCTGGAAGCCATTTCAACGGCTCTCGAAAGAGGCTCTCATCTCGGTGCATTATGTACACGGAGGAGGAAACGGTCACTCCCGCTGGAACATGGTGGCCTGCAATCACGGCTCCATTTTGAACAATTATTCGTGGTAGATTGAACCGTACTGGAGGCAATAGTCTAAATGTTTCATCCAAAACTGCTGTCAAAAGCGGTATCTTACTCAGCTCCATGTATGAAGCAATCGGCTGCGATTGTTTGGGCAACGAATCAGTAAGGAGATTGTAGAGCTTCTGTTGGTACTCTGGGTGAGATGCAAGCTCATAAATGGTATTGGTAAGTGAGATCTGGATGGTGTCATTTCCTGAAAATGGTCAGCAAGGAAAAACGAGAGCATGTAACCTTGTTAGCATCTAGTTAACTTGCCTGCATTCAAAAATGTACCGCACTCTGCAATAAGCTCTGGCAACTCCATAGGTACAGGGCATCTCTTGGTCTTTTGTATCGGAAAGAAAGAGAAGAAATCAACGTCATCGGAATCACCTCGTTCCATGCGCTTGACAATACCATATCTTGCCATTCCTGAAAAATGATCTGCAGCTGCCGTCTGATACATCGACTTCGTGACAAACCTTGAAATTTGATACAAAGGCGGGGGGAGATGTGCGCAAAGAGCGTTGAATTGCACACCAGCTTGGAAGCATCGGATCGCTGGCACTTTCATGACGCGCCCATCGCCGGCCATGGAGTTGCAGTCATCGCTCCCGCATTTTAGGAATCCATAAGATGAAGACCATAGCATTTTGGAGATAACATCGTACGAAAACATGTTCAACCAGGGCTGTACATCAAATACGCCTTCCAAAACCACGTGCTTGTCATCGTTGGATAAAGCTCCTCCATTCAGCTTGATGCGGATTGCTGCAAGTAACTCTTCCACTGAGCTTGTCACTTTTGGTTCCATGCTCAGAATGTTTTTTGCTGAGAAAATACTTGACAGATTCTTCCGCTTGATTGAATGCAGCTGGCGATCTGTCGCATCGCCCATGGACGGATTGCCGTTTGCCAAATTATCGTAAAAGATGTCCTTGAGAATTGGAGAACCATGGCCATAGATATCCTTGTATGCCTCGGGAGCCGAGAAAGAGAGTGTTTTAGGACCGACCCGAAGAACTGGGCCGAGCTGTTGGTGTGCCAAGTCGAGAGCTTCGTACTTTTTGCCCCGAGCATTATGCCACATCATCCACAGAGGCGACAATGCAGCCGCCAAAGACGGCGAGGGAAACCGACGTAGACGGTGGACATCTGCAAGATAGTATAACACCGAATATAATAACGTAGCAACTGGCAGCGCAACAAGCGCCCCTATGAGAACTTGAACTAGACATCGCGTCAGATATTGTGCCGGTCTTCATGTTGACAGGAGCGCATCTTTTTGACATACCCGTGTAACTCATCACGTATGTGTAAATAATGAAGCTAACACGCAGAATACTTGAAAAATCTTCAATAATCGTGACAAGATTCGAATGTGTTCTGAGAATTTTCTTCGGGCGTCTGATCATAGGTCTATTTATAAAACTATGAGACCAGTATCAATTCTAGGTATCCGAAGTCGGGTTTTGGGAAACCAATACTCTCATACCATGACATTAGTTCGAATTCAAGATGAGTACACTACCCGAACTCGGATAATAAACATCTAGACGTCGTGTGGTTGAGGATAAAGTCGTGTCGCTGTGATTCCCGAACTCGGGAATCGCACTCGGGAATCGCACCATGTAAGTTCAACGTCAAGTCCATCGCGAAATAACTGGAAAACAGAGCGAAGCATCTCAACAAGATGCATATTTAATTAAACACAGTTTATCTAAATTCGTTTCTATACAAACAACAAGAACGCTTGATGATGCTAGGCACAAACTGTGCCATACGTATCGAAGAAGACCAACTCGTCAAACCGCGACTCTAGTATCCTTAATTCGGTACACGAAAGTCATTTGTCTTGGCCCCAGGTCCAAGATCTCCTTCCCGCAACAGAGGGCCGATTTTAAAAGCCGGCATCTCTGTGAAATCCAGCTTAGCGGGATGCTCTTTTGGGCACCAGTATAGTGTACCATATCTCAACCAATGCGCATATGTTCCTGGGACATTATCGCTGCCCTCATTGTTCCTCCATAGTGAGCTCAAAGTCTCACCCATAATTCTAACAATGATGCCTGTGGCGAGCTTCATACCAAAACTTTTAGATAGGCAATCTTCTACAATCTTGCGTGCGAGTCTTTGATCGTCGCTTTCTTCTTCCCCGGGTTTAGCAACAGGCAGAGACATGAGCTCAAACTGTTTGGGGCCGTTCCATGCGGTGATTTCGTTGATGAGCTGTGATCCAACCATGTAGTCATATGCATAGATGTGCTCTGCCACATATTTCGGTCCGTTCCAATCATCTTCAGGATCGATCAAGCCCATGACCATGGTAATAACCTGTCCCTGGATGATGTAATCGGTCAACATTTTGGCAACCTCCTCTCGTTCATATGTTCTGCCATTCTCTTCCATCGAGTGTCCGGTATCCAGTAAGGCAATTCCTTTCAGCAAGGGGCTAGCATGCATGCCCTCGGTGCTTGTCTTTCCCCCATCTTCGGCCCACAGTGCAAGTAGCAGCTTATGACACCGTAGAAAGAAAGGATTGTTTCGTCCCGAGGCCAGGAAATAGTTTGCCATGCCTCGTTCTTCGGGTCCGCCCATGTTGTAAGTGAAAACATCGTATGGAGAGCTCGGGTCGCCGATGGTAGCGTTCCAGACACGGTCTAAATCTCCTATTTGGACCATGCCTACGTCCGCATAGACACCTCCGTATTTTAATAAGAGGGGAAATCTCACAAGATCCGAGATATGCTGGTATGAGTGATGGCCGCCAACTAAGCTATCCGTAAACGCTTTAGGAAACACATCCGTATCGTGAATGTCGAGGTAGTGTGCTACATTCAAGGGAGAGCCGGGCTCAAAATCCAGGACGCGGATCACCCATCCCTTCTTGGAAAATCTTCTGTGCCAATTCCGAACTGTGCGCCGAGTATAGCCGTGCATTTTGCCGATACCACTGTGCCAGAAGAACCAGATATTCTTCTCGTCTGAAACGGGCTTAGGATTGAAGAGATCATGGTCCACTTCATCATCTGATCGGAGATCCAATTCATCATGCGGGATGGCGTAGACGCCGTCTGGCATGGGATATGACAAGGCCGAGTCCATTATGCGGGGTAGTTGTGATTGGGTATTGAGAGGAGTGGTGGTAGGGAGCATGAACAGTGAAGTAAATAGAAGTTAGTTGCTATAGAGATAGACTCCTATAGGGAATTTCTCCGTAGTTATATTCCCATGGCGAGCATTTACAGTGACTTACAAATAGGGTATTTGATGGGGCCGTTTGCAAGTTTGTTTCTCGAAATTAGATCGAGGGGCACTCAGCCTTGCGATGAGTCACTACGCGTTGGCAAGCGCGACAAATCTTGGCGAAGAGTCACTTTCCGCGGATCAGGCTGTGGCAATTTTACACATGAAACAAAGTGTCGTACAAAGAGTCAGCGCTATAGGGGATGACAAACTCGAAACTGTCTGCTGTATCTTTACAAAATTTTCTTTGATCCACTACTGAGATCTCATCCAGGGAGTCATCTGCTAAAAAAAACGGGAGGGACAGACGGCTAGCCCGTAAGTTTTTTCCGTGACTCTACGCAAGGGTTTCGAATGCACTAACCGTCCCTAAGTGACGCCTCGTTACATCTCTGTACTTCGATGGATGTTCTCTGCGGTTTTCGACGGATAAGCCTCAGTTCAGAGGGGCTCTAAGTCATGAAGATTGCAATTGCACTCATCTCGATCTACTATTATTCTCAACTCCATTGCATTAATTCTGGAGACCCAATCGCGATCAATCCAATCCACGGGTATTTAGCAATACTCTGTGCAAAGTGCTCATTTCTGGTAGCATTTTGCTGCAAAGGATGCAGGACCGAGGAGGTGAAAAAATTTGACACATGGAGCTGTACTCAAATAGAAGAGTTTAGAAAATTACATAAGTCTTTCATTGCTCAAAGCCTCAATTAATACTATATTATATCCCTTCAAAGGGTAGTCATTGTTCATTCGCGCACCACCATCCTACATTCGTTTTCTCTATATCCAATGGCGACATTTACAGAAGTGACAACAAGGCCAAAAGGGCGCAGGCGAAGCCTGGAACAACCAATGTGCGGCTTGCACTGCTACCAACGGGCACAGTGGGAGCCGTAACGCCACCAGTGGAGGTGGTGGTTACTCCTCCAGTGGGCAATGTGGTGTTCCATGCCACGGGTGAACTAGTTGCTGGCTCGGTTACACCGGCGGGAGTGCTCTCGGAAGTGCTGAATTGGACGTATTAGTGGAATTCATATTTTAAGAAGAGAGGTAAAACTGACATTGTGGCTCCGTTCGAGATGGTGTGGGTAAGAGTGCAAGGGCAATCAGTGATGGTGAGGGTAGTAGCCTAAACAACTGGTCAGTGAAACTTGATCAGATTGCTCGAAGGGTCGAAGTCTGCTTGCCTGAGTAACAGTGTAGGTGCTGGAGCCGGCTGTGAAAGTGGTGCTACCAGGGCAGTAAGTTGTGTAGCTAGTGACGACTTCAGTGACGGTCGTTACGCCAGCTGACTGAGAGGCGGATGTCGTAGCAGCGACGCTGGTGGCTGCGGAGGAGCTGCCGGAGGAGCCACAGGTTCCCTTCGTATCCTTCTTCAAAAGAGTGACCTTGTCGCCCTCGGAGCCATCAGAGCCGTGAATGTAGCTCCATGAAAGAGCAGTGGCGTTGTGAACAGTCAGTGCACCAAATCCAAAGTTGGTCTCGTCGAGATAGGTGGTAATGTCCAAAAGAGGGTCTGAGTCGAGAGTGCTGTGGCTCTCAATGTTTCCTGCAGCGCCGTTGATGATGTGGGTCATGGAAACTCCTGGGTTTGTCCAATATGTGTTGTTGTTGATCACAGAGGCCTGGTCGATAGTGCCGTTGGTTCCGAGAGGAAGAAGACGCTCATACCAGTGAATGTGTCTACATAAGGTTAGTACTTGTAATCCAAGTTGGACAAACAGGCTATGAGGCATACCCAGAGAGATATAAATCAACTTCATTTTGCAGCAGAAGATCCTCGAAAGCTGCGCGAATGGTCTTCTGGTAGGAAGAGACCTGGGAACTATAGAATGGGCGATGGCTCATCGCAATGACCCAGGGGGTCTTGCAGCGATCGATACTCTCCAAATCCTTCTTCAACCACTGGTACTGAGCGTAGGCCGTTTTGTCGTTGTAGTCGCCGTCAACAGCGCCGAACGGACCACTGTCGGTAACATATGTCTGGTTGGCAAAAGGATGCGTTTGGTTTCCCTTTACATCCTTAGCAAATGGCCACTCGGGGCTGTTGGGGTAATCCGTCTCTCCGTCAAGGGAAATGAAATGGGCCAGGCCGTAATCGAATGAGTACCAAAAGTTACCAACACCTCCAGTCTCGGGTCCGGGCATGCGGAATCGGTTTTGGAAGGCAGTAAAGTTCCTGCGTTTCGTCAGATGCTAGTTCCCACATTGTAACGTATCGACAACATACCTCTGAGAAGGCGGGCAGCTATAATATGTAAGGGAAGACTTGGCAGCACTGCCATTGGGCTGGTTCTTGTTCAAGTAAGCTGTGAGAACGTTGCCGGGGCCATCAAATTCAGCGCAGCTGGCTTCGTGGTTACCGGGCAGGACCATATGCGGGGCCTTGAGAAAGATAGAGTTCATCCACTGCTGCCAGAGATCCCAATTCGACTCATAGAGGACACTCATATCTCCGCCCTTAGGGCCACCCTGGTTGGCAATTTCTCCGGCCGGGAGAGGCGTCTCGTACTCCTTCGGGATAGCACCACCTCCAGGCAGCTGAGTAGAAGTGCCATTGTAGCAAACAGGCCAGTCACTTTCGCAAGGAAGGATTCCAGAATACCAGTCATCAGCATAGCTAATGTCGCCTCCGTGCCAAACAAATGCGGCGCCATTGTTGACGGCCTCGCTGAGATATTTGTAAGTGCCACCAGCGTTAGTGTAGCCCATGTCATTGACGACAGCAATGGTGAATTCAGAAGCGTCACCTGCCTCCTTTGCAGTCGTGAAAGACAGAACATCAGATGCAGTGGTGCCGTTGGCTGCGGGAATCTGGTAATAGTAGGTCTTTCCAGGCTTCAGGTTGCCAATCTGGACATCGTGGAAGAACTCGCTGCACTGTGTGACCACAACCGAGGAGCACGAAGGAGTTCGGCCATATCTGCGGATTCTTATTAGCTAGATTTAACATGGGGTCAATTGAGGATAGTAATACGTCACAGATTTGCCGGTGGCAGTGTTGCTGAGGTCGGATGCGCTGGTACCCCAGACGACGGAGGGGGCCTCTCCCAAACCAAAGGGCGTCTGATAGTGGATGTTGATGCCATTTGGTATGTATGCAAGGGAAATGACATTGACGTTGTTGGTCGGATTTGAAGAAGCTGGCTTCACAGCAGGCGGTTCTACCAGTCGCACAAATCCCTTCCCATTGCCATTGACAGTCGGGTCAATCCAGTCGCCAACGGGGACCTTGGGCCCAGTGTAGGGATAAAGCTCGTCGACGGTGGGCGCAGCATCAACCACCACGGCGAGGATGGCTCCCAAGAGAGGAGCGGCGGACTTCATTGTGGATAACGAATTGGTCCTTTCTACCGGTCTAAATATCCGAATTAACGAATGGCAATAACGAGAGACCAAGCAACCACGCGACTGAAGGCGATTCTTGACGCACAACCGCTCACGAAACCAAAGCAGGCGAAAACCAAATGCGGCCGAGAGCTGGGGGCATTTAATACAAATTGATTCCGCCGCTTGCCTAGGCATTGACACGGCCAGCTATCTGGTCCATTTTCACCTGCCATTTGGATGAAGGTGTTATCACGACTCCATTCGAACTCGGTGTAGTTCGGATGCGATCCCGATCCGTACCAGCACTAACAACGCTTTCATATGCCCGATATGGGCAAAACTTATCCAATCCAATGGAGTCGCAGATTACACGTGCAGATAGGCAACGCCGTGAAGGACTCAGCACGAACAAAACAGCCAACAGTTGTGGATCCGTTGCTAGCACCGACCACAGACCCTAGCTGTTGTCCAGGGTCTTTTTGTAAATGAATCGGTTAATCGGCATCGAATGTTTTTCTGGGCACCATTGAAAATGCTCCAGATGGTAAGCAAAAACGCGTTGACAAGCAGCAGAGCCAGTCTTCCCACACGAGCTGTCAAAATTTTCCTCCGCAAAGCACAGCCCAGAGATGTTGAGCCTAATTTTACCACAATCTGGGGTCGAAAACATACCGACTTTTTATTTCTCTATAGCATGCATAGTGAGCAATCCTCCTACTATACCACTTGACTACGTAGACCAGAACCATTGAGTTCCTCAGAGTATGTAACGATGCAGCATCAACTCCCAAAAGTCGGGATGTTTTCCCGCGCATCTACAAATCTCCGCGCTACGGCAACCATCTCGCCAGAATCAGCCTTAGCCTGCCGTTGTCGGTCCAAAAAAAGGTTTAGCTGCCAATAGCCGTCAGGTACGAGCTTGCCAGCGTCATGATCCTCCATTTAAGAGTGTGTGTGGCGTCCTGCTTCCCTCATAGCATGAATGGATATACACCACGTGGATTGAACATTATAAGCAAGTGTACGGAGTAATACAACCCACTCATCTGCCAACACAACATGAATGCCCTCGTCATCATGAAGCAATGCCAAGTAATGCCTTTTACAAGCAATGCCTTTTATCCAGCTGAAACATGGAGAAACGCGGAGCTGTGATTCGGTCCTCTACAAACATTCTCTAAGCAGCCTAAATACAGTCAGTAGCTCAACCAGTTGGCCTCGGTGAGCCCTTGGAAGAGCTGATGAAAGCAGCCTACAGGCATGAACAAATGAAAAGGCAGCAATTCCTAAGCAAAGCACATGGTGCCTGCGCACATGTCTCCGCATCGTAATATACAAATGAATAGCACGCTCGGAATACTATTCCGGTTCACCTATTTAGCTTGTCGAATCCAGAACATCAAGCACCAGGTACCTCGGCCTATGTGTCACCCACGTGGCAAGGCAGATCGATGAAACCTCCCAAGCTCTACTGACTTTTTACACAATCCGTGATAATAGTGGCAACATATAGTTATGCGGTATCAAATGCATTTCTTATTGCTCCGACAAGACTTTATAAACAGCGATCATATCCTCATCCTCCAATCCGGAATCAATTGCTTGTTTGTACAAAGAGTTGCAGACTTGGATAAGAGGAGTCTTTGCTTCCGCGGCCTTCGCCGCTGTCCAAATGAGCTCAGTGCTGTTATAGCAATCCTTCACAGCCGCTTGGGCAGACCAGTCCTGTTTGGCCATTTTGGCTAGCTTTATCTTCGAATAAGCAGAGGCCAGGGGGCCAGCATCCAGCACGCTACTAAATGCTTCAAGATTGAGACCCTGTGCTCGGGCTAGATTCATCGATTCCGCGAGCCCAGCAGTAACAGTGATGAGAAAAATGTTAACCGCGTACTTGGTCTTCAGGCCAGCCCCAATAGGTCCGCAATAAACAGCCGCGCTGGTAATTGGCTCAACAAAAGGTCTGATGCGCTCGCACTCGGCCTGGTCGCCGGCCATCATTCCCACAAGATTCCCTGTTTCGGCTGGGACTTTGCTCCCGCTGACAGGCATCTCGATAAAGTTGCCACCTGCTTCCTGGACCTCTTTTGCCAGACTCTGACTGAATTCGACAGAGACTGAACTAGTGTTGACAAGCGTCTTTCCGCGAAGCGCCTTTCTGAAGTCGTCGTCAATTACGGACCGTATGGCAGGGCCATCAAACATCATAGTGAAGATGACATCGGATTGTTCGACCACTTTGGCTGGTGTCTGGCCGAGTCCAGCTCCGGCTTGTACCAACGCTGCGCATTTAGAGGCCGTTCTATTCCAAACAGTGGTGGGGAATCTGCGACACAAATTGAGGGCCATGGGCGTTCCCATCACGCCTAACCCTAAGAATCCAACGCTCATATTGTATGGTAGGAAATTTTATTTCTTGCAGCTATTCCGTTGACCAACTCCCCTCTCTATCATGGGACAACCTTCCCAAGTATATAAGAAACCGAAAAGCCCAAAGATGATTGTAAACCCCCAACCAGCAGTCGTCTTTCATAGGGCGCGGCTAAAAAGTTGGCCAGTTGCACAGCTGTTGCGCGGTTAGATGCGGCCTCGAATGGCTTAACCGTATCGCCTATACGCATAACAATTGCTTCAAGTAAACATGCGTGGCGTCGAAGGACGGCTTCAATTGTTCCTGAATAGCCGGTGTATCTCTTATACGAGCTACGAGTACATAATTTGCGTGGATGTCTAATCTGCTGAGGCCCGCCACATAGAGACTGTATCTGGGAGGTAGATAAGCTTTGCATTGCGACAAGGCACAAATTAACCTTAAAAACGATCAGCTCAATTCAACACGTTCGGGTAATATTGACACAACCGAGATTCCTTTAATCTACGGGCCTATGAGACATTTGTTTGTATGGAGACTCCTGTTTTTACAGACATTTGAGTTTCACCGGTCGAAATAAGTCGAGATAAGAGGAACCGCGTACCGCGATCATGTATTAGTAATCATCTCGTGATACGCGGCTCAGGTACCAATTAACTAGATGAGAGAAGAAAAGAGTTATTGAATAAGAGAAATCGAAGAAGAAAAAAAGAATTTTGTTATAAAGGTTTGCCATTTTCTCCAAATGCTTTTTGCTATTGGCACAAAGGCCATTGATCTTGGAATGAACAGTAACGAAGCTGTGAACATTTCGGAGACTTCAGCCTGTTGAGAGTGCAGTTGCATGGATAATTGAATCTGTTGTTTTGAAGGTTCTGAACCTCATTGCATTATATGAGCAAACTTGAACCTGCTTCATAGTAACGTAGATGTAATTAAGTAGTATTGAGCGACACAAGAGCTCAAAGTATTAACGTGATGTACTTTTCAATAATTATTTTTTCACTCTATTTAACAGTCTCTAGGTTAGGTAATATTGCCTGCTAATGCTTGACCACAATCTTTCCACCAGCGTCATGAGAATCCAGCATCTCGTGCGCCTTTTTGATGTCCTTATACTCGAAAACAAACGCGGGTTTTGCATCCCATGCTCCCTTCTCAATCTTGCTGACAATATCCTGAAGGGGAATGCCAGACATGGGGAAGTCCGGCGAGCCTAACACTTTGCTGTGGAATAAACTGAAGTGCACTCCCGGCTCCATCTGGATCATGGGATTGAAGTCGACGACAGGATCCAAGCCGCCGAGCCAGCCTGCTTGAAGCATGCGGCCACCAGGTCGAGCCAAAGAAATAGATTCCAGCAAAACTCGGTTACCGATCAAGTTCAGGACCTTGTCGAATCTAAAGCCAGCAGGGAATTCTGACTGGAGACCCTCGTGCTCGAGTTTGGCATCAACGGCGCCCTTCGCCTTTACAAAGTCGAATCTCTCTTTCCGTCTCGTTGTCGCTGTAACCCGAGCACCGGCATCAACAGCCAGGTGAAGAGCGGCTTGGCCGATAGTTGATGTTGATCCGCGAATAAGCAGTGACTCGCCAGGCTTCAAATCGAGAACTGTGAATAAACAGGAATATGCCGTGGAGTAAACTTCCGGAACAACGGCGAGTTGCTCCCAAGGGAGCTCTGTTTTGATTGGGACGACATTCGCAATTGGAACATTTACGAACGAACCGTATCCTCCAGGACGGTTCCTGCCCATGCCTCCCATGACACCAACAACTTTGGTTCCGACTGCGATCTCGCCGCTTGGGCAAGCTGCGACAACTCCAACACATTCTAAACCGGAAATAGGATTCCACTCATCCCATTCGCCCTTGCGCATATGCATTTCGGCATGATTTACGCCAAAAGCGAAAACTTCCACAAGCACCTCTCCGTTAACGGGTTCTGGTTTAGGCACTTGTTGGATCTGGAGAACTTCAGGTCCTCCAAACTTTGATATAACAATGGCGTCCATAGTAGCATTGGCCATCGTGTCTTAGAGGTTAGGTAGATGTTGTTTGGTTGTGAGGTATTGTCGAGACTCAAGTTTCAATGTGTGAATCTAGATTAACGGTGCAATGCAATGAGTTCAGAGGATGAAACATAAACATCAAGGTTGAGGTGGCACGTTCTCTATTTATACAAGTTAACGCGTATGATACTGACGCCACCGACATAGTCTTGATGTGACAAATCTGGTCGCCGTTCTAGCTGCCAATCTCCTACGCTCAATGACTACGGATTGCTTTAGGTAGAGAGTAAACGTCGGCGTTGCCCCGATTTGTCAAGGGCGCATTAGAACATTTGCAACTGCATCTCTAATGATGTAACTGTAGGCATATATGAGTTTGTCTGGCGATAACTACTCTTCATATATCTTAATAATACGGGCTCCTCCATATGAGCTCTTTAATCCAAGCTAATGGAATGGCTCATATGCAAGGTCAGGGAGCAGCAATCTCTGTTTCTGGTCTAGCGCATGCCGTATTCTGGAGAGTAAGACCTTGCAAAGCTGCGAAATGCTGTAGTCCGTGATTTCCGCCAATTGCCGAATGGTATTGTGCTTGCTGCATCTCCGCTCCGGAGAAAGCGTGCCGAAGTCTAGTCCTAATAACGTCATAAAAATGTTGTATTTATGCCTAGAAAGAGTCAAGCGATATTTTGCTTCAAGACATACGGAGCAGGTATCTCTGTGTAAATGCGCCCAGCAAAAGCACGCACTGCGAGCATTGTGTATCAAGTAACGGCCTCTGCTTGTCGCGTGTCATGTCTTCTTGGAGAGAGGTAATGTTACTTATTCGCGAAATATTGCGAGATTTCAATATAGGCTGGTAGGAAACTTAGAGTGTCTCTCCCTGCTGCGATATCTGAATGAAAAAGAACCTATAGCTCATACGTTAGATGGCAGGATTGGTGCGACATTAGTTGATTAGTCAAGGCAAAATAGAAATGAGCATTGTCTCCTTTTGGATGCCCGCAGTTTCATTTTATTCTTTTAATTGTTTAAACTTTTCGCTCTTCCCGTCTGGCGAGGCTAGGATTCAGCGACTGCTTTTATCGGGCAATTAGCGCACGACAATGTGTGGCGCGAAACCAGCATTTCCCCCATGGGGTTTAGTGGGTGACGTCGCTGCGAATGTAGACTGGAAACTCGAGCTATGAGATAGGTTTCGCTGAGGGATTCCATATCGAGCTCTGACGTGACTTGACAACTAACGTGGACTCAACATATTCCTAGTTGAGTATGAGAAAACGATAGGAGAGAAACTCGTCCTTCTTAGCTGCTAAATGGTATAAATTCCCACCTTGAGTGTCGTTGAAGGAATTCAGTATACCAATAGTCCAACACTCCAATACTATCAGTAAACACCAACAAGCTTCAAGATACTACAGAGTAGTATTACCATCGCCAAGAACACATCAACCATATTTATCGAATATTTAAAGAGAAAAAAAAAGATGACCGCAACTCAGAACATTCGTGTAGCGCTGCCCAAGAGTGGCGTAAACGTCTTTTATCGGGAGCAGAGTCCCACACATCCTTCTAAGACGATCCTCCTACTTCATGGCTTCCCGTCCTCGTCGCATCAGTATCGGAACATAATTCCCTTACTCGCTACCAAATATCGAGTCATTGCTCCAGACTTTCCTGGATTCGGATTTACCGAAGCACCTGATGGCTTCAAATTCACGTTTGACTCGCTCACAGATGTTCTTGCCGAGTTTCTAGACTTGCTCTCCATTACCAAATTTTCTGTTTATGTCTTCGACTATGGCGCACCAGTGGGTTTGCGACTAGCCCTGCGTCGCCCAGAGGCAGTTGAGGGAATTATTACACAAAACGGAAATGCCTACGTGGAGGGTTTCGGCGACGTTTGGGGGCCTATCAAGGATTTTTGGGCTAGCAAGAACACCCCGGATGATCGATCCAAGCTGGCCGATGCCATGTTGAACTTTGACATTACCAAGTTCCAGTATGAGAATGGCACCCCGGACCTTCAGACAATTGCGCCCGAATCCTATACACTGGACTACGCTTTGCTGCAACGCCCAGGCAGGAAGGACGCCCAACTCGATCTCTTTATGGACTATCAGAACAACGTCCCGTTGTATGAGAAATTTCACGAATATTTCCGGTCTTCTCAGGTGCCTTTGTTGGCAATTTGGGGCAAGAACGATGTGTTTTTCATCCCCCACGGAGCTGAAGCATATAAAAGAGATTTACCCAACGCAACAGTTAAACTAATTGACGCTGGTCATTTTGCAGTTGAGAGTGATGGACCGCTGATTGCGAAGGAGGTAGCACAGTTCCTAGGATAGCTTACGGAAAATTAGGCGCTAATTTCACATTATTACACCATATTATGTTGTTAGTTGTACGAGTATGTGGCTCCGTGACAAATCTTTATTTGGACTGCACCAGTGCGAGTTGCGGGATGGCTATTCAGCTGTAAGCACACCGTACCCAGCACATCAGTAAACAGTTGCATGTTCCCGGTCATGCCGATAGAAATGCACAGTGTCACTTTATGCCAACAAAAGCATGGTAAATTAATGAGATATCTTATAAGGATGTCTCAGTAAACTTAAATTGTTAGTTGTGGCGAGACGGGTAGAACTTGTGATTGCTTAGCCAAAGAGCCTAATTCATGGCTGAGGAGGTGGAGCGCGTTGCGCCATTGATTTTAGCTTACTTCTAGTCTCACTCGATTTGATGGGACAGACAAGAAGCTCTCTATATATTTTCGTAATAAAGACACAACACTTGCAACCATCTATTCTTTTTCCTTATCTTGCTACATTTCATGCCACAAACTTACCTCTCTCTGTCGACTGACTTCTGATATATTTCTCCTGATGGATGATAGAAGAAGTTAGCCAATGTGCCTCACACTATGCTGAGACAATCCATGTAGCGCTAACAGCGAGTCCCTAGGACAACCGGAACGCAACCGTGATAATAACCGCCCACGGTTTGAGTTCATAACTGTCTCTGGAACAAACATCCGTGGCGATACTGAAACTCGGAGGCGTGTGAGAAGCCGAGCCCAAGCTGATTATCGTCGGCGCAACCCACCTCCACCGCGGAATGCTTTGACCGTTGACCTTGATGTTGGGTCATGGCTTCAGGCTTTATCGCGCGATGCAGCTCTGAGACCACAGCTCGGTGACCCAGCGCCGCTAGATTTGCAACAGGCCAATGAAACGATACAGATTAACCCAGCAGGTCACGAACTCATTGGCGGAAGAGAAGGAGCTGGGATTTTTTTGCTGGTGCCCTCGGATCAGCGACCACGCGCCCGCGAGTTATGGAATCATTGTTCGTTTAATGTACTACCCCCTTGTGCTGAGTTAGTTTGCTCACCACTGTGGTTTAGTGTACGGCGGAGGCTGCGTCATCTTCAAATCCATGATTGAGATTGGGTTTCTCGATATTCTACAGGGATCCGCATCACTTACACAGATGTTGTCGTCTTCCGCTTGGCACAGAAAGCAAGTGGGGACTGGGGACCATGAGAGTAGTATAGATTATGCGAGATACTCTCTCATGGCCACAAGAGCGTTGCGACGACGGTTGGATGATCCCACCCAACGAGCCAATCTCGAAACCATTATAGCAATCCTCACATTTGCAGCGTTCGCAGTAGGTGATGATTGAACCTTCGTCAATCACGGGAATTTGTTGGGCTGACCGATTATAGAATCTGACAAGCAACCCGCATCTCATTAACGTGCATCTTGATGGACTCTCTCATGCCATCAGCGGCGTTGGTGGCCTAACAGCGCTTCAGCAGTTGCCTATTATCTGGATGATGATGTATTGGTATGGCCTTAGTGGCTCATGCTTCGAGCTGTCACAAATGTAACTAATTGTTCCTTTAGGATCGATATCCGCGGTAGCTATCTCCAAGATATAAAACCACGTTATCCTCAGCCATATGATATCCTATCAACTGAGAGCAGACTCCGAATTGCCGCAATGCCCGCCGCGAGACCCTCCGACAGCAACAGCACACTAAGCCAGGATCCAGCAGTTGTCCATATTTTTGATGCAATACAGCAAGTCAACTCTATTTTAACTGCCGAAGCAAACGCACGAGGCGACGCATTCTGGCGAACTGTTCTGTTCCCGGGCTTTCACTTTGCCCCGATTCTTTATGACCTTTTATCATTACCTAGAGATGCGGACGGTGTGTCTACCCAATTCTCAAAACGAAGAGAATGCTTCCGGTTGGCCGGCATTCTTTACATTAGTGAAGTTCGGGCAAAGTTTGGAATGGACAATACCGGAGCCACATCTTACGCATATAAATTATTACTGGCATTGAAGAGTCGCAATATGTTGGTCTCATGGGGTAGCGACAACCATTTCTTACTCTGGAGCCTCGTTATTGGATCGGTCTCTCTATGCGTACCCGAAACTCTGCGTCTTGAGTTTATGGAACTTTTGTCAGAATACCCATCTATCACTGGAGTTGCATCTCTTCGCGAAGCTATACCCCCTGAGTTTCGAATGTTCATATGATGTATTGAAGCTATATGTCACATTTTGGTGGCAATGTCGGCGATGGAAAATGGAAGGTAATCTGGTTTTGTTCTTCTTGTTTGTGTGCGGATATACCATTACGCTTTTATGCTCACATGAATATACAACGGAAGGAACATAGATAATATGACGAATAATATAAAAAACACATCAGTTTCTACAATTGGGTGCCCGGAGCATATGTTAACTGTAGATAATCATTACAATGATTGCAACATATCGCGCTGATCACGATAGGCGCTTTCTCGCCTTATGGCCTCCAGCGAAATCCCGGATGCTTCCAATCAAGGTCTTCAATTTCCTCCGGAGACAAGCCGTTCAGCTGTTCTTCGACATTGCGGCCGTCTCGTTTGCGGTTATCTCTAACCATCCACACCAACATAGCGCTGCTCACAATGAGCACCATGGTCGTCGTGGCAAGATTGAGACCATTGCCGATATGAAAGTTGGGTGCATCAAAAGGCAAGAAGCTCCATGTTGAAATGAGGCCTCCAATATTGCCAAGCATGACTGAAATGAGCATTGTCAGTACGACGAGGGTTGATACTGGCGGTATTATAGTGATGGAGTGAAGTAAGAATGTGAAATACCTGTAAATCCAATTGCACTGCTTCTTGCCGAATCAGTAACGACGTTGGCGCTGACTTGTGAATTAACCATTGGGCCCAGAGCAAACACTGAACTTGTGATCAAGAACGTTGCGCCATATCTGACCCTCGGATTGGTGCTCGCCAGAAACATGATGTACCCCGTCATCCCCAGCGGTGCACTAGCAGCAATGATGATTTGACGACGGTCGATGTGCCAACTGAGAAGAGGGAACACGACAGTAAAGAATGCACCAACAATATATGGCGGTACCGTATAGAGTTGTTGAGAGATGACACTGTTGTGAGGGTAGATCGTCTGCACTACCGTTGGGGTGAAGAAAGCCAGTCCCTGTACTGTGATGTTAACAAAAAGAAAGATAATGGCGGTGGAAATTGTCATTGGATTTTTAATTCCACGAAGCATCTTCTTTTTGTCCATTTTGTCAAGAAGAGTTGTTGTTCCTACACGCTCGGACTTGATTCGAGCAATGCAAAGATCCTTTTCGTCCTGGGTCAACCAACGCGCTGTTGATGGGCGATCAGTAATGGTGAAGAAAGAGATTACTGATAATCCAACCGTGATAACACCCTCAATGGCAAAAATCATGCGCCAAGATGTAAAACTGCCAAAATGGGGTAGCTTGAGAATGGCAGATGCGAGAAGCCCACCGAAGGCTCCGGCCAAGGGGGCCATGACCAGATACATGGCTAGCCGAAACGCCAATTCAGATCGGCGATACCAACGACTCAGGTAATAAGCTATACCTGGAAGCAAACCAGTCTCAAACGCTCCAAGAAAGAAACGTACTGCGCAAGCTTGAGACTTGTTGTGGACAAGAGCAGTGAATATGGAGCAGAGGCCAAAGCCGAGAGAGGAGGCTGGGATAAACCATCCTGGCCCCATCCACTTGCACAGAATATTGCTGGGAATCTCGAGGATAATGTAAGAGATGTAGAAGATAGATAAAACGGTATTGTAGTCGTAGCCAGTAAGACCTAAATCTTTCTCGAACCCCGCAAGGCGTGCATTTCCTTGATCAAGGTCAGCAAATTAAAATATCCATAGTTGTGGCATTGGAGGAGAAGCAACATACCAATATTTGCTCTATCAATAAAACAGAAGAGATACAGCAGGGCAACTGATGGAAGTAAATAGAGGTCGAGCTTCCAACGCAGTCTGGCCTCAGCTTTCGGATCTAGCTGTACAAGAGACTGTCCATACCTAGCACGTACAAATGCTTAATACCTGATCATCTTAGAGGAGGAATGGGAGAATTACTCATCTGTTGCTGCTTGCCCACGTTCAGCAGCATCATGTAACTTCTCATGTTCCACTTCTTGATAATGAGGCTTTGCTATCGTAGAAGGTTCTTCAACCGACATATTGAGACAAAGGTATCAGATCACTCGTTGTAATGAGACAGGTTCAACTGAATTGACAGGGACGAAACGAGATGGAGATAGTGGGCCATCAACGCTTTTCTAGCAAGATCTAGTTGATTAATCTTAAAGCATTTAGCATATTTTAATTTGTCTAGCTCGGATCTACCCCGACTTCTGTCAGCTCGGGTTTGCCCCGATCCTTGGCAACCTGGGGGAGTTTCAAGGTAGTTTGGGGTTCACGATGGCTGATTCATCAGCGCAGCCGGCATTATAAAGTAGCGTCGGGGCCTCTATCCGCTATGAATTTCCACAGTGTCCGACTCTCGACCGTCCGACATCCGCACACATATGAAGAGCGACAACCAGCTGTGAACGCGTGTGCATTGCGCGTAGCAAAGAACAAGAACGTACGACATCCGCAATTTTGAGAATAATTGGTCGGATCAATTATTATACCATTCTCGCAGTTCATATTCATCTTTCTTCCTCCGCGGCCGCAAGTTGTCGATTGGTTGATCCCGCGGATACCTGTATCCGAACCGACAAAGCCATGCCCCGACATCGAGTCAGGCTTGAGGATAGGAAGCGTTCCGTGCGCGCCTGCGAGGCATGCAGATTATCAAGAAAGCGATGCGATTCCCGACTCCCGTGCTCCTCTTGTTCCCGAAAAGGAATTGGTGCAAGTTGTGTGTATGGCGACAGAGCGAAGCAATCCCCGCCAAATCGAATCGGCTCTTCTCGCGATCGTGAGGGGCTCCCGATCCATCATGAGGCTAGAAGCGAAGATGCCCCACAGCCGCTTCTCGCCCAGAATGCCAGAATGCTATTGACTGCCAAGGGAGAAAAGGGTGAGAAAGGGAATCAACAGCGAAGATTATGTTGGCTAAGCCTCTTGAGACAGTTTACGTGGGCAAGACCGCTGCAATATCGATGCTCCAGTTTCTCCGGAATGTCCTTCGACGATATGCAGGACCTTCAACTTTCACTGAAAGCCGACGGAGTAATTCGATGTTGGAGGCCACTCTGAGGTCCGCGTCCCACAGGCCTACCGACTTTGTGGATAACTTGGACCTATCGGAACGAACCGAGTTAATCCACTATTACAAAGTTGCGGTTCGTGTTGGCGGTACCAGTCTTCCGACATTAACTAGACTTTGCTAACTACTAACCAAGTCCAATGGATTTCTCAATCTACTCACGGATGGCATATTGAGCCAGCTAAATTCCGAAAGCATTGCTACACCTGAATCCGAGGATACATCGTTGAAAGACGATATAACGGCAGCCTACTTGGTAATTGCCATTGGAGCCCACTGCAGAGGCAACGGTGACAAAGATGTCAAGACATCTTCGAACTATTTCGCGGAGGCACAACGCCTCGGCTTCCAGGATATGCTGCTAAATCCGAGTCTTTCCATGGTGAGAAACTTTATCCTTATGGCGTTTTACATGTTCTGCGCTTGTCGTAGAAATACGGGCCTATTGTATCTGGGGGTTGCATCGCGAGCAGCCACTATCCTCGGCTTACACTTACCGGAGTTGAATGCGACTTTACCGGCTGATATACGGACGTCGAGGTAAGTTTCTCTCTTGCCTTGGTACTTATTCATGACGAACTAATATGCCGCTGAAGAGTGCAGATATGGAAGAGCCTACGAGTTCTCGATCTCATTACCAACTCTATACTCGGTAGGCCCAGCGGAACACAGGATATCCAGCCAGAGGCCCAAGAGGCGAGAGGGAAAACGGAGCTACTCCCTCATACTTCGATGACATTGGATGCCATGTTTGAGTCTTGCTCTATCGTCGAACTCATAGCACAGAAGATAACTCGGGACGGAACTCTTGACATTCCTACAGCTGAAGAGTTCCTGCAGAAACTACGCGGTTGGGCACAAGGTCTGCCGTCAACTTTACGCCAACTATTGACTCGAGAGAACGACGGTTGCGTGGAAGATAACCACCAACAAGCAGCTATTGGCAACATTCATGTAGCTTGCAACTATTATTTCGGCGTCATGTTGGCTACACGGCAATTTCTCATCAGTGAGGCTATCACTTGGCTGCAGCAAAAACAAGCAACCCGAAATGAGGGACAATCCTTTGCCCCTTCTCCATCAGCTGCAAAGGCTCAAGAGCTAGCAAGAGTTTGTACCGACTCTGCTACTTACCTTGTACAAATGTGTCATGACGCTGGCACATCTGACTTCCTGCTGGGTAATATGTGTATACTTCAGTAAGTTTCGACGCCTAATACCAGAGGCCCTTAGAGAAGCGTAAGACTGATCAGATATTGACTTGAGCAGGGCGTGGGTTTTCGCTGCAGGACTTATTCTTGGGCTCTCCCTCCTAAGGCCACCCGAAATAACGAGTTCGGAATCGCATTTTTACTTTTCTTCATCGCAGAACGTCTTGAAACGGATTGCAAAGTTGAGCCCTCAGGCACAACGTTACGCTGAAATCCTATCCGACTTCTCAAGGGCGATCGAAGGATATCACCGACAGCTACAAAAAGACTCTTCTTCGAACAATGTTCTCTTAGAACGAATATTGAAGCCTACGACCTCTAATGAGAGTGGCAACAATACAACAGGACTGCCTTCACCAATGATCAGTCACATGGGATATTCATCGACTGAAGAGGGGGACAATCCATCTATCGACTTGCTCGACGGTATGCTAATGCACGAGCCAAGCGCTATCGCTCTGTCATTACAGAATACCGATGATTTTGGATTCAACATTCTATGGGACGATTACATGTCCACCGCAGAACCCCAGGAGGCATCATTCAATGGGAATTTTGAACAATCGTCTTGGCGTTTAAACGATCTTACATCAAATTTATATCAGGAAGGAAGCGGTTCATGATATCCATCTGGATGTCATCCTTCTTTTCTTTACCGGGACAGTGTCAATGGTAACTGTTTCAAGGTCTTTATGCATGAACGAACATCTACGCCTAGGTTAAAATGTTATATTAGTCCAATTTAAAGTATATTGGCGCTTGGTAGCCGCTGAAGGTAATTATCAGTTGAAATAGGGGTGTTTTAGAGCCTCCGACGCCGTAAGTCGTTGCTATGAATACATTGTAAGCAACATATTTCCCAAGGCCATTAAATATCATCATCATCTTACTTTATGATCCCACCGTAGGAGCTTATCCAAGAGATCTACGGCTTCGTCGCTCTGATATCGTTCATTTTCCTCGCTGAAGAAACTTTCCCAATTCCTCTTCTCGTAATGCGGAATGGCATCAACGCCATCTGGGTCAGTTTCTATACCGTACTTCTCCACATAGTTGAGCAGGCCTTTGGTTCCCAACACCCGTGCAGTCGCCTGTAGGAGGTGAAAGTTGCTATTTCCGTGAAAGAATGGCTCTTTTCGGAAGATTAAAGAAGCAAAAACCATTCCAAAGTTCCACATATCTATGCTGCAGTCATATTCCTCATAGTCCAAAAGTAATTCGGGGGCCTTGATGAATCCATAACTAACACGGACGCTATACCTAGAGTTCGGGACGTAAACGTCGGCATAATCCCAATTGAACAAGCGCAGCTAGCACCATGTAAGTCATCAGCTAGGGTTCCAGCAAAGGAAGGAAGTGGTTGGCAACTACAAAGAAATTCCAACCTTTCGTTGACTGTGGTCAATCATGATGTTATGTGGCCGAATGTCTCTATGCATGACTCCCTTGCTATGGCAAAATTCAAGAGCCCTGAGAAGTTCTTTCATATAGTATCGGGCATCTTCGGCACTCAGACGGGGATATAAAGATCTAAAATCGGTGTTTTCGATGTATTCGAGGACCAACGACAGTGGTTCCGTCTGTCAACTTGTAAACAGACATTCTGTCTAGCTAGTTTGATCCTGTGTACCGTTATAAGAGTCCAAGTGGGCATACCTGATTGTCTTGTACAACATCATAGAGGTTCGGGATGTTTGTTCCTCCTTGTAAAGAACGAAGCATTTTAATCTCTTGCTGTATCCTGTGTCTCCCTACTTCCTTCGCCGGCTTGACGATGCATCTCTTGAGATCTCTCACTCGAACGCCTTCAAAGATATCTGCATGTTTAGTGGAGGCTTTTTTGAAGAAAAGATAAGGGGTTTTTTAATTAGCACAGATGTTAAATGAGGTGAGGGACGTGATTTACCAAGTTTGCGCACGATCTCGTACGCATCGCTGCTCGCATATCCTGCAATAAGGTGTCACAGATGCAATACGACTATTTATTATTATGCGTACACGCTATAGTTATTACATACCTTCGGAATTAGCCGACATTCTCTTGGACGTGGTTATGCGCGGTATTTAAGAGGCTGATGTTGAGCGGGGTTGAAGTTCGTGCTACGGCGATGTTAAGATCGTCGGTGCCTGGTGCGTTGTATTTAAAAAAATATTACGCTCACTTGGGTCGCCACTATTCACACAGCAAAACATATTTGTTACAATTGTTTTTGTCAAAAATAAAATGCCTCACAATTACGCATGAGACACTTTTGATCATAAGAATAACTTGAGCTTCATCGGGTGTGGGAATGCATAGGTTAGCGCTGTGAGGTTACTAGGAAGCGACAAGAGGCTTCTAAGCACTTAGGGGCCGACATTGATACACCAACTCATTGCTATTATATGTCCCACGCATCAATTGTTATAGATCAATCTGTCAATAAAATTACGCTTTTGCTTACTAGGTTGAAACTCCTTTACCCGCTAACTACGCAGTGATCACGCACAAATGATAACTGATATTTCCATTAACACTTCACACATCTTCTACTGTACTAGCCCAGTAGTATCTGGCCCGTCTACAAATTGAAAGACGGGGTTGTAAACAGATCTCGCCAAGAGATATCCTAGCAGACCACCGGGGCCAAGATCTTTAATACCACCTCTCAAATGAACCATCCTGAGAATCCCTTCGCCATGCAATCTATACTCCATTAAGTTTCCTGATAGAAACTAATGGGTGGATGACTGTTAGTTGCATTACTCTTTAAATACAATAATTATGAAAATACTTGCCTCTTCCGTTGTTAATACCAAAGCCAAAGCGATGGTATAGTCGCTGATTTCTCTTCCATCAGAGGCCGAGAGCGCAGCGCGAAGGATTTGGATGCATTCACTCTTATATCTTAGCAGCGACACTCTGTACGAATCATCGTCGGGGTGTAAAACTAGTAAACTTCGACAGGCTGCCATCAACAGGCCAGCTTGGAGGCCTCGTTCTGTAAGCGACCACGGCACAAACTGCGATCGGACATTTTGGAGAAGGAGTTGTTCAGTCTCAGTGTGGATACAATCTGTATACCCGTTGTCTACAACGTAGGTAATGTCTGCAAGATTTAGTGCTCTAGCTTAGATGCATATATATGGATGTCAATAAGCCACGGAAACACTTACAATGATCAATCAAGCCATTCTCGTAATCAGAAACCGCTATGGCCGTGCTTTGAAAGGGATTTCTCCGATTGGATGTTACATAGGTTTGCGGATTGGGCATCCATATTTCTATCTCAGTTGGTCGAACCTCCTCCTCGTGCTTGGGTTCACGTGCCACTGATAGCTGAAGTTCTCCGGTTTTTGGCACCGATTGGGTGTCAAAATCTACTTGGGACCAGCGATCGTTAGCCTTGCTCGATCCAGTCTCTGGCTGATATTGCCGAATCTCTAGGCGGGCACGTCGACTCTCTTGCTTGCGACCATGAGTGTTTTTGGCCACGTGTGAGCGTATAACAGTGAGTGCATCCGATTTGGTGGCGTCGCTGGGGTTTGTCAAATTGAGAAACCGTATGCTTGGCTGCCCCTCTTTGCCTTTAGAGCTTCTTGGCTCCATGCTGTGAGCAGTCACTGCATGTGGGGAGTTTGCTATGGCTAACGAGCGCTTGTAGATGGAAGAAGATATGTACAACTGCCGGTTTTGAAGAGTTCCGTTCGGCATTGCCCCCGAACCAGCCAGACTTTATGGCCTCCGAAAGGCTGCTTATTCTTAACAGAGCGACACTAAGACGCCTCTCCTGAAGTGTCAAACGCCGCGTGGATGGTTAGTTCCTGTTCGGCATGGCGTTCCGGGAATCGGCTCAAACTTCGCACCGTGATTTACAACGCAACCTGATCCGTGATACCTGTTGCGGTATAACTGATGACCCCCATCAATCATCGAGATGCAAAGCCTGAATTCTGCTACCCTTGCGAGCGAGAGCCGTTTAATTTGTGGAGCATCAACGAAAAAAACAGCTCTCCGAGGTCCGCAATTTCTCCTGATTGAGCGGTCCAATATGCGGTTACTAACGCTATTTCCAAAAGTGGGCAACGCTCTGACCCGACGTGCATGCACATTTCCATGGAGAGTTGGTTGATGTTGGGGGAACACTTCTCCGTATATCGACTCAACGACTCAACGACTGGTTTATGTTAAACCACAACCTCTGCGGGGCTAACGATAGACACGAAGTCAACAGTACGAATCGCGCTTTCGTTAGCCAGACTGAATCTTTGTACTATATGTTCATACTATATGAATGTGTTCGCTGCTACACTTCTTGGCTATTCTCGGACAAGATGCGATTAGCGTTAGTTGTCAACTATATGCATAACACAATAAGAGCAACAGCTGCGACACCACATGACAGTAAGATTGGTCATCATGCTTAATGTTCAGTCTCAGTCAGAAAGTACTGCCTAAACAAGAAAAATGTTACATTTAACCCAATCCGTGTCTTTCTCTTTGGAATCAATCATGCTGATTTTGAAAGGAGGCCAAATTGGTCCACTAGCAGGCATCGGCCGTGTGGGTACCATCGATCAAAGGGCTGCATTGCCCAGTAGCTAAATCTGCCGCTGGGCTACTCTTTTCTCCTTTCCGTTAGCCGTCGAGATTAGGCATCACAACTAATAATAGCGCTCAGCTCAGGGGCGATTTTGTATCACTGAGAGCCTTTGGGACTGGTACTCTATGGTATAGTATTTTTCATGTAATCCGTAGATAGGTAAGCGGAAGTAGCCGGCTTTGCTTTCTTCAAATAAGATAGGTCACGAACGCTCTGTTCCATGGGTGATCAAGCTTCATGGCCAAAATTGAGTCTCAGCGAGTGCCGTTGAGAAAAATTCCATGGTATACTGGATCCAGCTCGGTTACACATACCCCTGTATCTCGCTACCAATGGTAACTAGGTCCGTTGGTCGATTTTGCTCCTTGGGACAAGGATGCTCCTCGATACTCTTTGGAGAAAAGTTTAT